AAGTGACCAACTACACCAGCCGACAAGATTATATATGAATGAGGTGTATTGTTTTCTGTCTTCTCTGTTCTCGCGAACTCCCGTTGCTCTGTCTTTTATAGATTCTTTAGAACATGTCGGAGGTACGTTGTTCAAGTATCTGACCCCTAAGTGGACAGTAACTTTGGTGTTACTTTTGAGAAAAGGGGGTCCCTTCGCCTTCTGAACTTTAAGTGACAATAGTCTTCTCCAGTGCCATATCATTTCTGAACCTAGGAACCAGGTGCCCTATCTGACAGCTGTCACAGAGGTCGTATATTGACAAATTGGTTCAACCGTACCAAATTCAGACGGTTGGCAACTATCCAGAAGTGCCAAGAAACCCCTACCATGAGCTGAAGCCTTTCGACGGCCAGGCCGACGAAGATACCAAACGACTGTATCAGAGGAAGGTTGGTAGCGTACTGTACGCAGCGATAACCTCACGACCGGACGTCGCAGAGGCCGTCTGCAGACTGGCTCAATACATATGTGCTGGCGGTAAAACCCAATTACTAAAGCACTGATTGCCGTCGCTCGAAAGATTATATTCATAGGCTGTACAAAGCGAGGAGAGGTAAAGGAGATCAACACGCGATATATGCTTGGTTCGCAATATAGTGGCTCTGCGAGACAAGGCAACTGGCTGCCTTATACAATGCATGAAAGGCTGGGTTATACCTGGCCGGATAAGGCTCGTATGTGGCGTTACGGCATCCATTCTTTCCTTGAGTTGCTTAGGATGTGTTTACCAGCTTCGCTAGAACACATGCTAACCTTTATTTCTATCGCATACTCTATGTTGGCTCTGCTATATGAAACAGTGCCGGCGTTTGAAGATATATGGATTGAATGCCTAGGAGGTTTGGACCGTTACCGCATGGTCATCGAGGATGACGATATTCGTGACCGGGATGTTTGGACGTCAGTTCCCCGCTCCTGGTACTCCAAGGCATCTGCTAATACTCCAACCAAAGCCCGCCATCAGATCCAGCTTGTTCTCTTCCTTCATGTCCCTGCCATTGGCAGCCTTTAATCGGAGTCCGGTGGTGTAGGGTTCGAGCAAACTGCGCACATTCTGAAATCATTCGTCGTGTTATGCGCATTTGGGACGTGGTTCCCATCACCAACCACAGTCAATAGTGCGCCTTGTGCCAGCCCATGTACCGCATCTCGGACAAAAGGTCGCCACGAAATGACACATGTTGCTACAGCATATCAGTAACGTTCACATATACATATATAGAAAGATATACGAAGGTATAAGTGCTCAACTTACTAGTTGTTTCCAATTATCGACACCTGAATCGTCCCAGGAACAAGCGATGTCCCAGGAGAAATAGACGTCTTAGGGTAGCGAGTGTACGTCCCAGGAAGGAAGTAGATATCTTGAAAAGAAAGTAGACGTCTGTCACGGGTTTTCAAATATGGAGGGAAGGACGAGATGCTAGAGAGAAACAAGCTGCCAGCGACGAGATAGGTACCAGTAGTGCAGTATAGGGGACTCAATAACGACAAATTAACCGCTGGCCTTCCTATGAGAGGAGGGGTTGCAACAGCCTATTTATATATTCTCCGCTCATGTCTGGGTCAGACCCTGGCAATCCACTGGAACCCAGCGACTGTACAGGGCCTATAAGCCACTTGTGGCTCATTTGCATCTGACAACGTCCCAGAGAGAAGTGGGTGGGGAGTATTGCGAGCCCGCGGTCCAGATCCCAGGAAGCAGGTGGACGTGGAGGTTCCACGTGGTACGCCCAATCCCGTTAGTCAGGCTTGGCACTACGTCACAAGGTAAAACCCCGGATCTTTTGCCTACAATCGATCATCGACACTTAGGATTAAGACAAGTCAACGAGCAAGCAAGATGTTGTCAGCCAACGGGACCTCGAGGAAAGCGAGCGATGTCATTAAGAAATCTAGATGATTGCTGCCATGGCTACGTCACATTGAGAAGATACCTGCATAGCTCCGAATGAGGCAGGAAGTGCCTCTTTGATTGACTTGGTGCTGATCCCTGAAGTCCAGTGTTAAGCTTGCAAAGTCTTGATTTGGGAGATCTTACAAGCTACCGGATAATAGCTTTTCCGATATGGATGTGTGGTAGCGCCAATGGAACTCCAAGCCGCCCCACAATTCATTCTCTCGACAATATACGACTACACCAGCTCCTTCTCATCCCGGAGATCCTAGGCTGTTAATATACAAAGGTAAAGAGGTTAGTTCCTGTCAACGTATATTTAAATTCGATAGAACAATTTGCTCATAAAACTGTAGCATCACGTTGTCACAGACCAAGACACAGTGCCTAGCCCATTGCAATCACGATGAACGACGAGGCCCGAGTCCTTATTGTCGTTCAACCCAACAGCCCTCACTTTCATCCAGGTGATCGAAAAGAGGAAGACATTGTCGTCTCAGGTCGGGGTATTATTGAAGCGGCAATCGGGGTTATCCAACAACAAAACCTTGTTTCATGCAACATAGAGGATAACTGGCGCTTCCTCGCAGTACAACAATTCGACAGAAAGAACTACATCATTGCCGATATTTTCAACGAAGAGTACCAGTTTGCTACAGCACACTAACAAGCTCAGAATATACGCGTCATCAAAGTTATCTTCGGCAGGCAGGTTTTAGCAACATCCGCAGGAAAGCCGACGGAGAACTATGTCAATGAAGAGATTCGTTCGTTACACAACGCATTCGGTTGGGAAAGGAAGCCACCATTTTACATAGACCGCACCAACGGCAAAGCGCCATATTATCCTAACCCACGAAATCTACAGAAGTCGTAGAATGACGGTCGTCGTTTTGGAGGGGATAACATCGTGGATAAGTGAAAGTTGTGCGGCGTGGCTTTAAATCAAGGGCGGCAAGTCGAGTATTATCAAATAGTTCTACTCTTGAATACTTGTATGAGACAATCGTTTCAATCTCGGCTTAGCGCCTTGCTGCCTTTGGCTCGCTTGCGTTTCTTGGGGTTGCTACCTCCACCCCTTGTTTCGAGCAGCCATGCATGCCTCTCATGTAGCTATAGCATATTCGCTGGAAGGGGCACATGCTCCATTGCCAGTTCCTCTTTTTTTTTGGCAAAGCGTTCTGATGACCTCTTTCAAATCCGGTTGTGTCTCGTATCTCGAACGTAGCTCAAGGATGGCGTTATCAGTGGCTTGACTCGTATTGGAACCCGTCTTTCGATCCAGAAGCCGGCAGCGGCTTGTCCCGAACTTTTTGATTATACTCAGGTACGACACGGACGCTACCCCTCTGCTTGCGACTGACCCTGATAGGCCGAATATACCTACGGCCGCTTCTATTACGGCGTCTCACGCTGCTTACCCAAGTACGAGCGAGCATATCGAGTGTGTCGACCGAATATCACTGGCGCAGATTTCAGGTACAGAAAATTCTTTTGACGCTAGCCGACAGATCTGCCACTAGAGGAACTATGAAACTTGTACTTAGGTAACATATCCTCGACCGAAACAGACCCTTTATTCAGTTAAATGGTCACCTTGTAGCGGATTGTCGACCCCGAAATTACCCGTCGTGATTATTGAACTTCGCATAGCATGCCTTAGAGAACCAGCCATATCTCATCTTGTCAGAGGTGGTACCTGCGTATCCGCCACTACTTGGTTCCAACTCAACAGCACTAGCCTAGCATTCTTCACTAACCATAATACATCTCTCTTCTCTTTTATGCCCCTTAGTACATCCCAACTCTTAAACAGCCCATACTTCCTTCACAAACCAAGCCTCGGAGAACCGGGGCTTCCCATATCCCATCCCAGCAGTTCTACCTCTTTACCTCTCAAACGGCCCGCACTTCACATACCTGGGCACAGAGAACCAGAGCTCCCTAAATTCAATCTCCGGATGGACAATTCTACCGCCTCCTGTGCGGTAAGCCCGGACAAAACCGAACTTAGCCCAACCGTTTCTCGCTACCACTTTAACCAGACTCCCAGCGCCTCCTATCCCGGAAAGCCCGGGCAAACCCGAATAGCTGGCTTCCCTGTGACGGGGCTAGCCCACTTTGGCTAATGTGGCGCTCGGGCCATATTCAACCTAGTGGCTCCATAGGCAAGTTAGCCACACTGTGGATCTAAGTGTGGCTCTAGGCCCCATAAAAGTGGAAATAAAGCCAACGCTGTTACTGCGTTACATAGAAACCTAGACTTATCATCAATCAATCCACGAATCAACAGATCTGACCACACAGCTGACTTGGCACGAATTCAATGAACTTGACATTCGTGACATGAGTCCAGTGCGGTAGATCGACCAGGATACACATAAATGGCGGCCATAGGGGCCTTATATAGACATGAATGACTGATGCCTGTCCCACAGCCAGGACTTGTGTGGTTCGATGGGTAGAGGTCATATTGGCCCATAATCGTACGGTTTGCGGCCATATACTTTTCTCTTTGACTTGGCAGTCTTGGGGTAGTAGCCTTGAGGGTCCAACACCTCGCTATATGCCATGCCGTGACATCTGGCTGATAGCTTAGTGTCACGGGATTTCAAGTGCAAAGTGAAGGACGAGAGTGCTCAAGCGAAACAAGCTGCCAGTCACCAGGTAGGTACCAATAGCGTAGTATAGGGGACTCAATAACGACAAGTTAATCGCTGCCCTCTCTAAAAGAAGAGGGGTCACAGCAGCCTAGTTATACATCTCCGACCCCTGTCCAGGCCAAGCCACTGTGGCTTATTTGCACCTGACACTTAGTGACTGAATTCCTGACCAACAAGCTTTTCGCTCAACTTCCAAAGTTTGTCTGCATTCTCGGAACTGCTTGCCGTTTCATCACACGGAGTGACGCAGCTGTTCTGCAGGTAAGCGGGTGACTTGGCAGGAAGGTCAGGGTCGAGAGCGGCAATGAGGGGCGTGGCGGCGATCTGGTCAAAGGCCTTTATCCTCGGTTCTTCCCAGACGAACTCCTTGCCCGTGTTAGCCTTGGAAGTGGGCTCGATCTCGTCAAAGTCAGCCCAGGTCAGGTGCTTAGCCAGTTCGGTATCGCTGTTATAGCCGGGATGGGCAGCTGTCGAAGTGATACCGCGCGATCGGAGGCGCCTAGTGAGTCCAAAGGAGAACAGAATGTTTGCCGTCTTGGCCTGGCCGTAGGCTTTCCAGCGTTGATATGCGCTACCGTTGTTGAAATTTTAGTCGTCGAACCGGACGGGGCTGACGAGATAGCCGCCGCTGGTCAGGTTCACAACACGGGCGCCGGCCGTGGACTCGGCGGCACCAGCCAGCAACCCAGGAACCAGCAGGTTTATCAGCAGGAAGTGGCCGACGTGGTTGACAGATAGCTGAATCTCAATGCCCTGCTTGTCTAGAGTGTACTCGTTGATGGCCATGTTGCCGGCACTGTTGATTAGCACATTGATGGCGGGAGCTGCCTGCAGAATCTTGGCGGCAGCCTGTCGGACTGATATATGATCAGACAGGTCGACCTGGACAAAGGATGTCTTGATGGACTTGTTAGTGGCCTCGATGCTTTTGATCACAGGCTCGACCTTGCTGAAGGACCGAGACGCGATCAGTATGTGCCCGGGCTCGACCTTGGCCAAGGCGGTGGCCATCTGGCTTCCAATGCTCGGCTGGCCAGCGCCGGTGATGACAAAGGTGCGACCCTTGGCGCAAGAGCCGAAGGCAGCGATGACTTCGTCCTGCGTTGTAGTCCCGTTGAATTCAGGCATGTTGAACTGCTGGTGCTGATAATGAGGCTGTTTCTGGGTATGTATGTGTCTGTGAGGGAGGAGGAAGAGGGACGGGTGGTTCAATGACTACATATTTCGTTCGACCAGCCATATCAAATAAAATAACAGAGGACTGGTGGCACACAGTCCACTGGCGGAGCCCTAGTTACTCCGTAACAATGTACACTAGTTAGATAGGTAACATTCTGCCGTTACACCTGACGTAGGTTAACTTAGCTCAATAAACATCACAATCCTCCATGATAAAACAGTAGCATATGTAGGTATCCCATAAGGCCACCGGGCTTCGGACTTAAGCCGGCGATAAAAAAAACATGCTGCGGGAGGACCTAGTAATTATCATGTAACGTACCCCACAAGCAAGTTGGCCACTTTTTCTTGGCACTGTGTATCCTGGTCGATCTACCGCACTGGACTCATGTCACGAATGTCAAGTTCATTGAATTCGTGCCAAGTCAGCTGTGTGGTCAGATCTGTTGATTCGTGGATTGATTGATGATAAGTCTAGGTTTCTATGCAACGCGGTAACAGCGTTGGCTTTATTTCCACTTTTGTGGGGCCTAGCGCCACACTTGTGGGGCTTAGGGCAAGCCACACTTAGATCCACAGCACCGTACGAACAACCTTTTAATTAACATCTTTACACATACCAAGATGGGATCAAATTGAAAAGAAAGCGACATGATTCTAGCGTGTCAGGCGCTTCAATCGAAACCCAAATTAAGCATTGACGACGGGCAGTGAAACCACCTGCAGGTTTAAGGTGTAAGATGATGGCAACGGATAACAAGATCCTCAACAAGACCTTACTATCCGGGAGGTGGAAAGAAATAACAAGATCAAGAGCTCCTTGCCCTGATCGGAACGACAAGTACCTCAACAGGTACTAACAACTGTAGCCTCAGCAGGCTGGGGAAGAAAAGGAACCTCAACAGGCCCTTGAACAATCACCTCAACAGGTGAAAGATGGGAACAATGGCCTCAACAGGCACAATCAGATCTATAGGGGAACATAAAGTACCTCAACAGGTACGTCAGACATTGAATGCCTGTCCAAGTAAAGAGAAATTGGTTCAGATTACTGTGGAAAAGGCCGCTTGAATTCCTACCATCCCCCACCACCCCACCGGTAACCAAATTAGCAGCACCTACACTATAATTACTTCAACTTCAATTATACGGATCTTAATAGATTTTTATTATTATTATTATTAAATACGCCGTAGGCTCGAAGCCCCCGGTACCTCTGCTAGTACTCCCGTATGTCAAACCGTGCCCTAATGGCTGGACTAAATACATACGCTGCGTCGTCGGTTCGCCCTATTGGCGACTGCGTTGCGTCCACTACCATACTACGTTGGTTCTCAACCTACCAACAAAGTCCCCCCTGAGAAGTGTCAGAGAACAGAATGCCATAGGCACCAGTGGGTGTCAGGACACTGAACGCAGGACACCGGTGGGCCGCCGGAGGGGTGTTTCGGACAAAAGACTCCCGAATCATGATTACAATCTATGTGAAGCTTTGGGATGACGAGAGTCAAGATCCTTGGCATCGCCGACCCTGCTGTTATGCCGGGTCCAAGCGGCGGCCTAGCTATCTATATAAGGACCATCTCGAAGTAGGATAGGGAAGGAGTTGTCAGAGCCACAAGTGTCATCCGAGGCGGGCCGGCTTCCACCAGGTAGGAAGTCGTTGGTGGCGAATGAGGAACCGGGAAGCCGTTTGTGGCGGCTAGAGAGCCGCTTGTGGCGAATGAGAGCCGTTGAAGCCGTTTGCAGCGGATAGGGAATCGCTTGGTTGCAGATAAGGAACCGCTGTCCAAGATATTGGCCGAAGTCGGAGGAACACAGACATACGGAAGCAAACATCCAGAATCCAAGAGAGAACCTCGGCTGGCTATAAGTAAGGAGTCGAGACGGAGGAAGATAGAGAGGACAGAGATCAATGCATCACCGTGGGCACCCCTACCTGAGACCGCCAGTGACCACCCGGTATTACGTAGGAGGGACGCCCGTTACTCCCCATCACTCTGTACTATTGCCTTCGGCCTAGCCGTACCCTGACAGGTAGAAAGCAGGAGACAGCTCGATTCAACTCGTTTACACCAAAAGCCGTACATTGGTACTTTGATATCCGTGAGAGAGAATACGGCTGGATTAAGCCAGAAAATACAGTTACTGTCGATAAGGGAGGCATAATGGCTGGCTTTGGTGACTATCTATTAGTCTCTTAGGCAATTATCTATGCTAATTACTATACTATAGGCCTTGACGGGCTCGTATTGGGGAGTTCTGACGTCCAACAGAAGGCTATAATTAAGAGCTCACAGGGCCGTAGTTGGACTACCTTTATTGAAGCCACTACAGCCGATGGCCGCCTTCCAGAGCCAGGTATAGTGTTTAAGGGCAAAGAGCTCCAAAAACAGAGGTTCATTGACCAATTCCGAGAGATCTGTCCCCACTGGCGCTATATAACGTCACAAAATGGCTGGACAGACAACCATATAGGCCATCAATGGCTTATTGACGTATACTTGCCTCAGACGCAGCCAGCAAACCCCTCTGATGCTAGGCTAATTATACTAGATGGCCATGGATCCCACGCCTCTGTAAGTCTTCTAGTTATTGCAGTATAACTGTACTAACTGGGCTATATAGGATGAGTGGATGACTACGTGCTTTATGTACAATGTATACTGTTGTTACTTACCGGCACACACTTCCCATGGCTTACAGCCAAATGAAAATGGCCCCTTTAACGTATTGAAGTCGGCCTATAGGGCAGAAGTCAGTAAATTGGATAGAATGACGGATGCGGCGCCAGTTGATAAAGTCAACTTTATCCGGTGTTATATTATTATTTTTATTATTAAATACGCTGTAGGCTCGAAGCCCCCGGTACCTCTAGTAGTACTCCCGTATGTCAAACCGTGCCCTAATGGCTGGACTAAATACATACGCTGCGTCGTCGGTTCGCCCTATTGGCGACTGCGTTGCGTTCACTACCATACTACGTTGGTTCTCAACCTACCAACAAAGTCCCCCCTGAGAAGATCGATGCTATCTGGGCCTTGAAGCTGTCTGTTCCAGCGCCTTGCGTTCCATTAAGCCTCCCATAACCTCGATCTTCTCGAGAGGTACTAAGTCGGTAATCTTTTGTTCGACGCTCGCTCGTTCGCTGTCGATTTGCTTCTTCGTTGCGTTTTCGTCGCTACTACGCTCCACGCTCGGCGCGTAGGCGCTTTCGTTCGCTTGGGGGTGGTGAAAACTCTGTTGGAGTCCCGCCCGTCCCCCGTCAATTACCATCGGCATCTCCATGGCTTTGCGCCCTCGATTCGCAAGCGATGCGAGGTGACTATCCGATGTAAGCGCCTATGAAGAATCGATTGCCGTAATCTGTTTGATGATTTAACGCTGTTCGATGAAGTTATCGATGAATCTCAAAAACCCAGCAATGTCCTCCGCGATCTCCGGTGTTATAGTACTGCACGCAAGGCTATAACCGATAAGGTCATTAAATCTGGCTGGAGAACTACTGGAAATTGGCCAATTTCAAGGGCCAAGGCACTACGGCATCCAGAAATCCAGGTAGATGTTGATAAAAGGGGCACTCCACCGCCGCCACAAGCCCCTGGACTTGACAGTGATTCTACACCCCGTACGAGCCGTCAAATCCGCAACTTTGCGAACAAGTCAAGCCCACATAGCCGCTATAGGCTACAGAAGGTTGCCAAGGGGGTTGAATCCTTAGAGGCAGAGTTGGTAGCCGAACGCACTAGGGCTACAGCATTACAGGAGGAACTAGACCGCTTGAAAAGGGGTAAAAAGCGCAAGTCACTGCCAAATCCGAATCGCCGTTTTATAACAGTATCAGAAGCACTAGCTGCAGGGGAGCCTATACCCCCTAATAACCGTCAAGAACCAGCCAATAATGGGAAAGTTGTGGAAGTTGAGGATGAAGGGGTTGATTCATCAAAATCAGAGGCTACGGCCGATGATTTGCCGGCCGCTGTAGTCACACAAAGTGATCGTACAGTCAAGAGGTGGCGATATTCTTAAATTCCATAACGGCTGCTCGGAAGGCTCCCGGCGACGACCTGATCCCCACTGGCCTGCTAAAGGCCTGCGGTGAACCCCTATGGGAGATCCTAGCGGATCTGGCAACAGCTAGCTTTAGGCTGGGGTACTACCCGGAGCGCTTCCGCTCAGCGAGGGTGGTTATTATCCCTAAGCCTAATAAAACGACAGCTCAGAAGCAGACCCCTGGCGGCTGGCGCCCCATTGCCCTGCTTAGCACGGTAGGGAAGGTAATAGAGACGGCGATGAGCCAGCGTATCACCAAAGTAGCTGAGGCGGCCGGCCTACTACCAAACGGCCAAATGGGTAACCGCGCTGGGAGGTCCACCGAACTGGCAATACGTATAGTTGAGGACGTGGTCTATACGGCGTGGAGACGCGGGGGCATCGCCTCGCTGCTACAGCTAGACATCAAGGGGGCATTCGATACGGTCAATTACAGACGGCTGATTTCCATATTAGCCCGGAAAGGCTACCCGGAGTGGGTTCAGGAGTGGGTACGCAGCTTCGTGGAGGATAGAACGGTACGCCTCCGGTTCGATGGCAAGGAGTCAGAGCCAATCCCCCTACGAGCTGGCGTCCCCCAGGGGTCACCGCTATCCCCGATACTGTTTATATTATACATTTCAACGCTGTACGAGGAGCTAGCGGAGCAGCATCCACTACTTTTAGTAGTCGGGTTCGCGGACGACACGAACCTGCTAAGCGTCGGCACCGATCCAGACACGACCTGCCGCCGGTTGGAGAGCGCATGGGCTACGTGTCAGCGGTGGGCAGTGAGGCACGGGATGGAGTTCGCTCCTGACAAGAGTGAGCTAATGCACTTTACTAGGGCCCGAGAGCCCTTGCCGCAAAGTATTCGCCTTGGGGACGCCACAGTGTCGCCGGTAGTCTCAGCCAGGTTCCTAGGAGTCTGGTTCGACCGCAAACTGACGTGGCACGCCCATGTTGAGCGTGTTAAAACAAAAATGGCAACTCAAAAGCTAGCCCTGACAAAGCTAGTCAATATGTCGTGGGGCTGCGATCTTATACGGGCGAGGCTGTTATATACGGTGGTTATCCGTAGCGCAATCGCCTTCGGGGCGACTGCGTGGCATACTATAAGTGAGGAACCGGCAGGGCCAGCTAAGAGCCTGATGGGGATACAGAACGAGTGCCTCCGGGTAGTCTGTGGTGCCCACAAAGCGACGCCGGTTCGCCACCTGGAAGCAGAAGCAGCAATCCCGCCACTAGACCTCTATCTTAGTGCCCGGGCTGCTAAGTTTGAAGAACGGCTACGGCTTAGCGGGAAGAGAAATCTGCTTCGCAGCGCGAGCGCTAAAGCGTCACATATACTCCGGCAGGATAGGCCGGCGAAGAGGAAGCAGGCGTCGCAGCTACTCCGACCGGCAGGGTACACTATGGAGAAGGAGGCCCGGGGCTCCGAGTGGATGAGTGAGGAAAAGGAGGTCCCGGCTGCCCTCCTCGACCACTGGAGGAAGAGATGGCTCACCGGAGCAGAGCATCACGATCGCCAGCGACGCGCTATCGCTGAGGAACCGGAGGGCCCTTCGATGCAGATACCGAAAGGGGGCAAGTATTTCGGCCTGAACCGACTGGAGGCGTCTACGCTGTGCCAGATCAGGACGGAAAAAATAGGACTAGCAGCCTTCTTATTCAAGACAGGGGCTTTTGGCGTGTACTCGCCGCTATGCCGCTGTGGCGATGCCCCTGAGACGGCAGAGCACGTAATCCTCTTTTGCGGGCTGTTGGAAGGACCGAGGGAACGATTACGGGCCGCCATCGCACCACGGCCACTATACTCTCGCAGAGACCTCGCAACGGCAACAGGAGAACCAGTAGTTAGTGGGACTATTGTAAGATGGCTGCTAGGGACGGGTCGGACAGCTTCAAGGCCCAGATAGCATCGATCTTCTCAGGGGGGACTTTGTTGGTAGGTTGAGAACCAACGTAGTATGGTAGTGAACGCAACGCAGTCGCCAATAGGGCGAACCGACGACGCAGCGTATGTATTTAGTCCAGCCATTAGGGCACGGTTTGACATACGGGAGTACTAGTAGAGGTACCGGGGGCTTCGAGCCTACGGCGTATTTAATAATAAAAAAAAAAAATAAATTCCATAACAATAGCTACATAATGGTATAACTACGGTATAAATAGCTTCAATATGTACGGAATTATGTGTAAGTAAAAATGTAGTGTTTTTGCAGTATTGTGCTCAATTAACGTTACCGGTGGGGTGGTGGGGATGGTATACCCTGTCAAGTTGCGAGCCCTAGAGCATGTGCGAACATTTTTTGAGAGCTGGGACACTCGAATCCTGGTCTCGGAGAGTTCGAAGGATTCTGAAGGATCCTGCATCCGGGGTGTCGCTCCGAGAGACCGGCTTACCGGTCTGCACTCCGAACGGCGTGAGCATGCGGCCATGCTTCAGCGTCGAACACGTAGTATATTAGTCTATGTGGCAGGCTGTCCGTAGATAGCATTAATACATATGCTTACAGCTTTATTTGATGTATCATACAGCATTTTCTTGTGTCTTGAAACTGTCAGACAGAATCCCGAGTGGGTAAAAGTTGACCAAATCTGAAAAGTGGTGAGATCACGTTTTCGGAGATTCTAGATGCAACCGTCGTCCAAGAAGCGTTCGGTTTCGTCGTGCATCCCACGCTACATCAAGAAACAGAATTTCTATGAGTTCCTCCCTCTATCCAAGCAGTGGAGCTGTTACTGACATGGTACAACAGTGCGATCGCCAATATCCGTGCAATCATTGTTCCAAGCGTCGGCAAATGGAAAGATGTATTTATCATTCCCATCCAGACACGCGGCATTTATTGAAGTCCCCGCGAAGCCTCGATATCGATGACTCGGCTCTGCCTGCGGAATTCGTCGACTCAAGCTTTGTGCTTTCAACCAAGTCTGGCGTGTCCCCCCCGGGTCTTGGCGGCCAAGATCTGTCACCACTGGCTGCAAGATATGGTTATATCGAAAGCAGTACTTCAAACAGCCTGGCGCTTATCCGTAAAGTGAGTTCAAAAAGAAAAAAAAAAGAAAAACCGTGGGAAGCACGGTGCATTACGCATCACTGTGATTCGCCATCTTTACGACTGTCTGGTGTAGTACTCTCATATGCACTTGAGAGTAGCATATTGTCTTAATGACGGACCGGCTGATTGTTCCCAGTTCGGCGGGAACGATTATGCGCCGCAAAACACATGTAGTCAGCCTTTGACCGGCGAGGACTCGGAGGAAGTGAAATCTCTTATTGCCAGCATGCCTCGTCGCCACATCCTCGACTTATTGCTGCAGGTTTTCGTGTCTGAGATCTCCTGGTAGGTGATACTTTCTCCTTGCCGACGATACACTTATATTTCCGCAGTTGCATCTCCCAGCTAATTCGCATATACTGCCAGGATCGACCAACTGATATATCCTCCCTGGTTCCTTAGACAATACCGAGACCTGTGGGAAAAGGGGCCGACACTCTGTGTTGCTGATGTCGAGTTTCTCGTTCTGATGCTCACGGTCTGCTCTTACGCGACCCAATTCCTACCCTCGCCCTACTATACCCTTGATAGGATCGATGGCATCTCACTCTCTCATATCGACAATATGTGCGCAGAGATGGCAGTCTGTCTCTCACGTATCACATTCCGACTCGACGAGCGAGGCTCCTGGATCCGTGTCCAGCATGTAGTGTTCCATGCTCTCAAGTGTCAGATGGTAGGTGACATGGCGATGTGCTTGGCTGCCTTGGGCAGTGCCGTAAATACAGCGCAGAACGACGGGATGCACCGGGACGAGATCCCACCGATACCTCACATGGATTATCTGCAGAAAGAGATGAGACACAGGACTTACTGTTACCTTTACGTCTGGGACAGTCATCTGGCTCGACTTCTCGATCATGTGCCGCTGTTGCCCGTTGCCGCTGCCCAGAGAAAATGGATTCACATGCGTCTTTTCTACGCCCAAGTAGATGAACACAGCAGCGGGGGAGACGCCGAGGCCGAAACTGACGCCTCGGATAACTATACGGAGCGCCTCCTTCAGGCTCGCCTAGAGAATTTCTGGAGAAATTCGGAGGCGGCACAGGCGGCAGAGTACAACATGATGGCCGCCGATGATCGCTATTACCAGTTCTGCGATGAGTTCCTTGCCAAGCTTCCGGCCAGCTTTAGACTGCAGCCCGACAAAACCTGGGACAAGCGTCACCCGAAGCTCCCTCTGCTGCGACAGATGTTACACATCGCAATCTACCACTCGCTATGCTGGAGCTTCCGGCCTCTCCTCTGGACACTTCAGGATACGGACAGGCTTCCAAAATTCAAACAGGTGCTGCTATACAGCCAGAAAAGGGCCATGGCCGTTGCTGCTCTTCACGTGCTAGATGCTGTCGGCACTCTACACAGATTTCTTGGCGGGAGCCACAGTCGCATCATTGGACTCATAATTCCTACATTCGAGGCGGCCGCCCTCCTCGTATGTCTTTGTCTTGATGTGGAGTTTCCCGAGGAGTATGGTGGCGAGCCAGGTCCGGGTAAAATAAACCGCATAGACCCACTTCGCACGAGCTTAATTGAAGTGACGAGGAGCTCGTGAATTCAGGCAGTGCAAAACGCGTTGCGTCGTCTGCGCATGTTGGCCGATGTCAGTAGTGTGGCCGAAGTAGGTGCTCAAAGCCTTGAAGGGCTTGTCGCCAAAATCGTGACGATGACATCGACGGTATCGACAACATCGGAGGAAGAAACGCTGACGGGCAACCAAGAACGGAACGTGAGGCCACCATCTCATCATGAGATGACACCGATAGCAGAAATCCAGGCCGCGAACTGGTCACTGTTTGTTGAGCCCACAGCAGGTCTCTGTCACGGGATTTCAAGTGCAAAGTGAAGGACGAGAGTGCTCAAGCGAAACAAGCTGCCAGTCACCAGGTAGGTACCAATAGCGTAGTATATGGGACTCAATAACGACAAGTTAATCGCTGCCCTCTCTAAAAGAAGAGGGGTCACAGCAGCCTAGTTATACATTTCCGACCCCTGTCCAGGCCAAGCCACTGTGGCTTATTTGCACCTGACAGGACGCCCTCTCCCTATGGCTTCTGTCCTCAGAAGCCGAAGGTACTCAGCAGGTGTACCTCTGGGGTCCTCTGAAGGTCGACTCCCCAAAGCTAGGAACATCTAGTTCCGACAACCAAAACAACAATCCATCTGCTCCTAACCATAGACTTAGATTCGCCTCCAAGAGAACAATAGGAATCCACCTGCGATCCTTTCGTAGACACACACTCGCCTCCAAGAGAACAACAGGAATCCACCTGCTATCCTCCTGTAGACACACAACTAACTGGTCACCCTTGGACTCATCCGTAGGCTCAGCAGTCGAACTCGCCTCCGGGAAGAATAACAGGAATCCACCTGCTATCCTCCCGTAGACACACAACTAACTGGTCACCCTTGGGACTCATCCGAGGGCCCAGCAGTCGAACTCGCCTCCGGGAAGAACAACAGGAATCCACCTGCTATCCTCCCGTAGACACACAACTAACTGGCCACCCTTGGGACTCATCCGTAGGTCCAGCAGTCGAGCTCGTCTCAGTCAGCACCAGGAATCACACCTGTGCCTCACGATATGCTTTGCAGCGTCCATAGAATCAGCTCCGGCTAGTGACAACCCGTAGAGAGTAGGCAGCACCCCAAGCACCCAAACCGACTGGCTTCTGTCCGAGAGTCCCCTTTTTCCTACAATCCATTTTTTTCCTCCTATATTTCCGTAGTAGTAGCCAATGACCATCTTCCATCCATTTTCTACTCCATGCCTGCCCAATAGTCCTACTTCCTCACACAGGTTTCACCGATTCTCTCCTGCGACTCCACTGGTGTCCTTTCCCCCCATTCTGCCCCTAATCCTTCAACAGTTCTTTTCCTACATTCAACCCAGTCTTCCATCACATCCTATCGGTTCTTTTCCCCACATCAACCTGATCCTACCCTGTCACTATGTCAGCAGGCCCATCTCGGTCAGCCAGCCGACAACTGCGCCCTGACTGCACCCGAATTTCCGGGCGCCACTACACACGTCGCCATGCAGCCTGCTCTCGCTGCTTGGATCGCATGACCAGATGGAAGCCAACAGTTGGCAACACCTTTCCTGTCTGTGAGGACGACGACAGTAGGTTCTGTTTTCTCAGATCTGAGCTCGCCTTACTAACAATAGGACAGGCGGCTCCACGAAATGCACATATTGCCGCGGGCTTGGTGGTAAGCCCTGCTCAGCAGTACGCTCCTTCCCTAACAAGGCCGCTCCTGCGGACTTGGCTGACCTAAAGTAGCCCCAAGGCTCGCTACAAGCGTGCTCGGCCGACCTCGTGCGGGTCGTTGAGTCGGTTGTCTCTGAGGGATACCTTGAGCACAAGGTAAAATTCCCAAATCATTGAGGTGTAGGTCAGGACATGCTGACCAGCTGGTAGGAGACCCTTACTACCGCTCAAATCTCTGTCAAGAAGGCTCTCCAAACTGCGAAGAACCTGAAGACCATGCCTGCAGATAAGCGCAAGGCTGTCGATGAGGGCGCTGCTGCAGCTCAACAGGAGCGAAAGCTCTTGGCCCTGGAACGACAGGCTGCCGCTGCAGAAAAGGCAGCCATTGAGTTGAGCAAGATTCGCACCACCCTGGAGGCACAGTCATCAGATTTGCAGCGTCTGTTGACCTGCCACCAGGAGCTGTCGGAGACGTATGCAGCAGTGGTAAGTCAGCTGGTGCATGCCTAATGATCGTATTCCTCTAATTTCCTTCGCAGCACAAGGATGATCTGGAGGAAATTGCCGGTGATGAAGAGAATGCCGGTGGTGAGGAGACTGATGTATAAACAGCTCCTAAAAAGGTAAGCTGATGTGTTTGGGAACCTCGAAGAGGTTGTGGTCGTGGTTGTGCTTCGTGCTGTGCACCTGGTAGGTACCAGGTGTTTTCTTGTGTCTGGACAGCCTCTAGCTGGCTGTGGCCAATTTGGCCTCGTAGTCTCGAATCAGATCGTCACTGACATCTTTCTTTGCAACCCAAGAGTTCTCTTCTGGGCCGTAACCTTTCCACTTGATCAAGTACTGTCTTCGCCATGCACCACCACGGTGGGCTAATATGGCGTCGACTTCATAAACTTCACTGTCTTCTTCAACAATAGGCACCAGGGGGGGAGCTGGTGCTTCACCATCCCTTTGCCTCCAAATCTCTAACGACGAGATTGGGAACACGTTATGTATCTTGTACTGGGATGGCAGATCTAAATGATACGCCAACCCGTGATCACCAACTACTGCTGCGACCTTGAAGGGTCCCAGGTACTTGTCTGACAACTTTCGACTCGGTCTCTTCTGCTTGATATGTTTAGTAGAGAGCATAACAGGATCACCTACTTTGAATTTCATGTCCAGATGGCCACGGTTATAGTACTTCTCATACGTAACCTGACTGGTTGCCAACAACTGGGCAATTGCGGCATGCTGATTTTGCATCTCAGCTGCCCTTTGAGCCCCAGCAGCGGACCGTATGCTAGCCGGCCCAGATTCTCTCGTGTCATTAGGCCCTTTCGGAAGGTATCCTAATAGTGCCTCTGCTGGTGACGTACCGGTCGCTGAATGCCTAGAAGTGTTATACACGTGCTCCGCCAGAAGAAGCTGGTGAGGCCAGTCTGTCTGCTCGAAGGTACAGTAAGTTCTCAAATAATGCTCAAGGTTCTGGTTCTGTCTCTCAGTCTGTCCGTCGGTCTGTGGGTGGTACGCTGTAGACAGCCGTCGCTTTACCCCTAAGCAGTGGCATAGTGTCCTCCAAAATATGCTCGTAAACAGAGATCCACGATCTGAAACAATCCCGTCAGGTAGCCCAAATGGCCTAAGGACGTGGTAGAACAAGAGGTCCGCAAAGCCATCTGCAGTCAACTTGCTCGACACTGGTACATATAACGAGTACTTCGTAAACCGACAGACAATAACGAGCACAGCATCACACTTTCGCCCCGCCAGTGACACTGCTTGTGGGAGGCCGGTGATGAAGTCCAACGAGATCTCTTGCCACGGTCGGCCTGGTATTGGCAGCGAAGCCAACTTGCCGTAGGGGAGGTGTTGCCGCGGTTTAGTTCTCTGACAGATCGCGCACGTTGGTACGTAGGTCCGGACGTCTTTGGCCAGACCATTCCAAAAGTACGACTTGCTAAGTCGGGCAATCGTCTTTGTCACCCCCTGGTGACCACCAGTTGGGTTATCGTGAAACAATTGCAGCAGCTCGTTCTGGAGAGGGCTGTCATCTGGGATAAACACACGACCTTTGAAGCGGAGCAGCCTATCTTGGCCTTTCTGCCACAGCGCATCTCCGGTCTTCCTGCCCTTGCCTCTCTGTTTCCACGCTTCTGAGCGTACGAAAGGACTTCTCTCCTGAGAGGCCCGAATATCATCTTCCAGGGATGGCAATAGCTCTTCTGCCGTTCCTGGCTGCCCTGCCGGTTGACCACCGGTAGGTAGCTGGTGCCTTCTTACCCGCGCTCTAATGGTCGTAGCGCCTACACGTGGCACTTTAAACTTCATTGTGAACTCAGCGAGGTGCTCACGCCTCGCCTCTTCAGCTTCGCCATCTCTGATCTGGTGGTCTGGTCTTCGTGACAGACCATCTGCTGGGTTCCTAGCACCCGGTCGGTACTCAATCACAAAGTCGAACTCGATCAGGTCCTGAAGCCATCGACTCTGTCTTCCACTGAGCTGGGCCTTCGTAAGGAGGTACTTGTGGTTGAGGTGGTCAGTCAGTACCTCAACAGTGTGCTGGCAGTAGGCTAGATAACGCCTCCATGTCTTGAAAGCTTGAACAACTGCAAACAGCTCTGCCTCCGGTGTGCTATAGCGCAGCTCCGGGCCCTTCAACTTCTGGGACATAAATGCCACTGGTCTCCAAACACCATTCTCCAGCTGTGAGATGACTGCTCCGATCGCGAATGCAGAGGCATCGGTCTCCACCCGTATGGGTAGTGATGGATCGTAGTGCCGTAGGACTGGTGCTTCCGTAAATAGCTGACATAGGCGCCTGAAAGCCTCTCGCCCACTGGTTTGGCTGTGTCGCTGGTACCCGTTCTGGGCATCTACCCGCGAGGTGGCCCTTCTTGTGACATGAATAGCACTCCGCGTTCGCAAGCCACTCTGCTGACGATAATCGCAATGCAGGTGGGTTACTAGTGGGTGGCTGTTTCCCACCATCGGATGCCGAACCATGGGGTTTTTGATCTGACGAGCCCGTACGACGGTCAGGTCGGTTATTATGGGACCCCGTAGTGCTCGGCTTATTGGCTCGACCTTGGCTGCTGCCGCGTAATAGGGTCTCCGCCCGCTTCGCTGCGCCAACAAGTTCTTCTCGGGTCTTTGGCATCCCATTGGATACGATCTGGCGGATCATATCTGGGTCCAGTCGGACCAGTAGAAGTCCGACCCAATATCGCTCTGGCAAGGGTTCGGGCAACTCCGCTTCCAACGTCTCGTAATCCTCCAAAAAGTTCTGCAGCTTCTGGCCTGTCGTATGGTAGCTGGAGTCTCGTCCATAAAGCTTGATCATGGTTTGAAGGAGTTGGGTGTCATCATCGTCGGCATCATTGTAGAGCCACTTCTCCATAGTGTCCTAACTAGTGTTTGTGATGTCCCCCTGGTAATGCGTCTGGACATAGGCCATCCAACGTCTCTTGACTCCTCCTTCTAGGCAGCTGGTGGCGTACCGAATACGGTCAACCTCCGTCTCTGTGTTTGACGAATCGATAGCACAGCGGTTTTTAACTTCAAAGGTAAAAACCTTGAGCTCTGCCCAACTAGAAGCCTTGTATCGTAAAGTGCTCATCGATGGCTTCCACCAAGTCGATTCTCTCAATCTCTTCCCCGGACGGGAACTGGTGTCCGCCGGCTGTTCGTCTGGATCTTCGCCCCTCAAGAGGGCGGTAAGTCGGTCTCTCTTCTTCTGTCTGAGGCGCTTGGCTTCTGCAGCCGCCAAGGCTCTGTCTAGCTCCTCATCGGTACAATTGTCGACGTCGATTTGTCCCGAAGGGGTCACAACGGGCTGTGTGTTGGAGTCAAAGCTGGACCCTTGCCCGCTACCCTCTGTCTGCACTCCGGAGGTCATTGTCGATAAATAGAAGCTCTGTCGCACTCTGCCCAACGGTCCGCACTCCCTCTGGTAGGTTGGAGCGATTAATATGTCACGGGATTTCAAGTGCAAAGTGAAGGACGAGAGTGCTCAAGCGAAACAAGCTGCCAGTCACCAGGTAGGTACCAATAGCGTAGTATAGGGGACTCAATAACGACAAGTTAATCGCTGCCCTCTCTAAAAGAAGAGGGGTCACAGCAGCCTAGTTATACATTTCCGACCCCTGTCCAGGCCAAGCCACTGTGGTTTATTTGCACCTGACAGTCTCAATGTGGAAGGTCCCGACAACTACTATCATGGATGGGGGACATTCACGAACGATACTGTGAGTTGAAATAAAGCGGACTAAACCAAGTAGAATGGCGGCTGCTGGTACGTAGTCGAGTGATAGAATCCAAGGCTTGAGCGTATAGAGAAATTCTATACACTAGTACATAGAGCAAGCGCGTGAATTCCTACAAGTGATCCGACCTTGTATAGTATGTATGTATTTATGAACGTGGAACATGATAATTTCGCAAACCACCCCTGGTTAACAGCTCTACTGTTTCATAGATCACAGACGTGGTTGTTGCTAGGCAACAGACGCTATGGAGGACCCCCAGTTGGTGACTAAGCCTCGATTGATTGGCTGCGGGCAAGACGAGGGCGTTATTATGTACCAGGGGATGCCGCCATTCCTGCTCAAGAAGAGCTATGAGAACATCTCAAGGTCAATGTCGCTTGAGAGAGTCATTATTGGTTGGCATGTAGACCTGTGTAGTTCGTAGGAAGGAGGCCAATTAATAACTGCAGATGTGAATGATGACGGTGGGGGCGGTTCTCGGAATTGGAATTGAAGCGCCTCACTACTAAAATATCGATTGACCCTGGGAACTCATGAGATGTTACAGAGGCGATGGCGATCGAAACAGCCGTTTCAAACCGTCCAGACGGCGGGATAGCGATCCGCGCAGCAAATCCCCTACCTCCTAGAGTCGCATCTCCCGAAATTATCAAGAACGACCTCAAGTAGGCCCGCCACGGTCTCCAATGCAGCCGCCCACTCGTGCTCCTCCGGAGCTAAGACAGTTATAGAAAAGCTGACGAGGCAATCCCCGGTCCATCCTGTACAGAACTCCGCTCAAGCACCTCGGCCCGCTGAGCTACAGAACCCAAGCCCATTGACATACAAGGGTCCGGTCAAGCCAGCCACAAGAGCCGGTCCTCGATCCCACTATACGGCAGTAGACGACGGAAAACCCGCCCCAGGATGAGGACACCAATCGCAACGTTGTTCGACAGAAGAACAACACGAAATCTTCCCGGGTTGATCCCTTGAGCGGCCATCGAGGCGATCTCCAATCCGACCTCCTGATCCTGCTCCAATTCCTTGCACCCCGGGCGCCGATCCAGCTCTAGCTCTAGCCCCCGCCCAGCAAACAACAAGTCCACCTCGGGATGAGGACAACAGTATTTTTCATAGACGAAAAGGTACTGAGTCTTCCCGCTTCGATTCCTTGAGCCGGCTAGACCGGGGAAAAAGTAGGATCGTCGAAGCGATCTCCTATACGGCCTCCTAGGGTCTACTATCCCACCAAGTTGCCCCAGAGCTGAAACGACTAAAAAAGGCCATCAAGACGATCTCAGATATATCCAGTAAGTCAACCACAAGCACATCAAATCCCGGAGATACCAGAAATCCTGAGCACGTTTACAGGAGAGCGTCCAGTCCGCCATATACAAGAGCTAGTGTTCAATCGGACAGAGAACCTTGCATAGCAGACGACGGAACATCCCCTGCGAGATGGGAGTCTGGGTAGGAGGCAATACTCTCAAACAGGCCCGAGCAGAGCTGGCAAAGCATTCGCTGCTTGGAACAGTCATCCCAAGAGACCAAGACGAGGTGGGCTACCTTGACTGGTTTCGCTGTCGAACATCAGTGAAGTTCGGTGGCCCATTTTGCTCTTCGTTTTGGGATACTCTGGTCATGCGAGCAAGTCCATGGTCAGCTGCGGATTGTGTTTGGCAAATTGCTGGGGATACAGCATATTTGCGGTCTTGCTCTGGACGTATCGATTCACAGGACTGACGCCTTCCAAAGACCTAAGAGTGACAAACTGGATCTTCTCTGGCCTGGCCCACTTCCAGGCTGAGGAGGTCATGCTGACTACACGCGGGCTCGCCGCCTTGATGAGGTGAGGCGTGAGAATCTTTAGGAGAAGGGCATGCCCAAGGTGGTTGGTGCCCATCTGAACCCCATAGCCATCCTTCGTGAGCTTTGGTGGGCAGCCCATGACTGCAAGCAACGGTTAGTACCATAACCAACAGAGTATGGCCAAATATTGCACTCTCTAACTCGGTTATTGGATTTCTTGTCCATGACTCAATTCTGATAATGACTCGACATCTAATAAATCTTTCTGGAGCCGATGGGGTAACTTACGTCCAGCATTGAGCATCAGAATATCCAGTCGACGAGAAGACTCAATAACTGCCTTGGCCGCGGCCTTAATGAGTCGAAGGAGGCCAAATAGTTTTCCAGGAAGGCGACATTTGCGCCTGGAACGTGGCTCTTGACGTCGGCAACTGCCTCGTTACCCTTTTCAGGGCTGCGGGCGCTCATCCATAGCTGTGCGGGCTTGTGTTTGGCTAACTTGAGGGAGGCCTGCTTTCCCAAACCACTGTTGGTGCCGGTAATAAGTTATGCCGACTTGGACGAGTCGCAGGTTGTGTAGCTGCTTTCCAGGCGAGCTACCGCCTCCGGACTGGGTTGATGAGTTGTCGGATGGGGTGAGATTGGACAACGGCCTGATTTGGCGTGGGGTTGCATCGTCAGCTAAATGGTCGACATCTGCGCCTTCGGTCTGGCCATTCTCGTCCAACTCGGTCGCGTCGCGTCGTTGTCATTTCCGTGGTGTAGAAGCAGTCGACATTGGGGGGGGACAGCAGAGAACGTTTTTTTGCTGGGGGTTGGATCATCGACGCCAGTCAACCATTTGTTGACTTTGTTGTAGTAGTTCATTGATGCACGCTGAGCCTGTCACGCTGTGGTTTCTGTCGAGAAGATAACATTGAAGCGGTCATGGTGAGCTCAGATGATGTGGTTGCTGTGGTGCACCGATAGATTGCTTCATGGTACCGGCCCGGCATCGCCCAGCCTAACGCGGCCCGGTTATATATGTATATGGAATATCATCAGCCCAGTTGTTAAACTATTGACTCTTTTGGGTAATGATATCTAGAATACGTGTCTTTAACTCCGTTAATTAATTTACAAATTTTATACCTCTATATTCGCCTTATCCTCTTATGGAACTCATTCTACCCTTTAAAGCGCCCGTTCTGCCCTCTAAAACGTCTCATTTAGGTCATCGTTTTATATATACCAGTCAATATCTATAAGAATCTCCCCCCTCAGTCCTGCGGAGCCCTGCCTTCCTGCACATTGGTTCATTCTCGCTCTGCTGGGATTGGCCTGCCGATCCAGTAAGCTGTTACAGTAGCGTGTGGAGGAGTCTAATCGGGATCTCGGGTAATCCATGGCTTATGCAATGGGTCGGGAATGTTTGCTGAAAGAAATGATATGGGAAACGCGACGAGGAAAAATATACGTGGGAAAAGTAACAGCAAGAGAAACACGACGAATAGACCTAAGACAGCCCCCGCTACGGGAGCCGGCAAGCATGATGTGGTTCTAGCTTCCGACTACCTAGTCAATGTATAGTTCTCTTTTCCATTGATCGACGTTCGGACTGACTGTATGCTTTGGCAGGACCTACCGATTGGGACCCGATGAAGACCAAGCGAAGCCTGTGCTGGACCGCGCAAGAGGAGCGGCTCATGGAGTGGCAGTTCTACGATATAAAGGGCAATACCTTGACCAGACAAATTCACGGTGTATGGAGAGATATAAACCAACGAGGGGCAGTGGGATGATGCGTGCTTTGGGAGTTGTGGCTATGGCTTTGAATGGGTCATCATCAATTCCTGATCATGCCCCTCATCCAGACGAGTGACCAAGTAAACGAAGAGGTTGACTCGAATATTCTCATATCCATCTGGCAATATAGCGACTACCAACGGAGAAATATCTTCGACTACGCCAAATCCCTACCTGAAAAGGCCCCGTCCACCCCTAACCAACTCCTCACATTCACGAAAAGCACTGCTCATCCCGCACCCGGCAACGAAGACATACCTGGCAACTCACAAAAGCATGAAACCCTGGTACTATACGCCGCCAAAATTCATACACATGTTTCTTCCACTAGGGTTGTTGGCACTCTTCACCCACCATATCATAATTTTGTCTGTTCCAGGTCTTTACGTCGCATGAACCACCAGCACCATGGACGAACCGGCGGCGTAGAGCGTTGACCGCGTCGTGCAAGAGCTCTGGAAGGTTCACGTCGATTCCGAGATGATGGTCTCAGTCTGCCCGACAATCTTGAAAAGCGACTTCGTGACCATGAGATCAACGGCAAGCAGCTGGTCCATCCCTATCCTTGCCTTGGATGTACGCAGCGTTTTTGAATCGCTCGCTAGCGCTTGGACGAAAAATAAACACCACCAGCTTAGCTCTGGACGGTGAATTCTGCGGCTTCTTGGGCTATATATGGCATTAGTCTTCGTTGCGACGGAATGGCTAGGAGAGCAAGATCATGTCACAAAGTCATAGACGACTATGCCAAATGGCATCAGCAGATGAACATGATTCTCCAGATAAATTGTAAAACGTCTCCTTACACTCAACCTCGGCCTCGATGATCTCGTAGACATCAGCGGCCAGTTGACTGAGCAATTGTTAACACATGGCCTTTAGCTGCAATGGATCCTCTACGTAGATATCCACATCCTCCTCCGAGTCATCGTCGTCCGTGTGCATGTCCGATACTGTGCTGTGACTTATGAAATTGTTGAACCGGGCCATTGCACGATAGATGATTGCAAGCTTGTGGCAGGTTGGACCGTGTCCGTTGTTCGATGTGCGGATGTCTCTTCGCAGACCGCACGCCTTCTTTTTGTCCATGCGCAGCTTGCTTTGAGTGACAGCGCCGATGGAATCGAGGTCGAGACCTACTAAGGACTCTCTACCTCCCTACTACTTCGAGTTCTCTCTAGTCAATCTCGAGTAGCCTAGCCGGTATTGGCTTATAAGTTGGATGCATCCTTTTGGCTCTGAGAGCTGGCGCTCATAGCCGGTTGGGAGGTAGGGAGGACCTGCTTAGACTGCTCCCTCTGCTTCACCTTGCCATAACCGTAGACAAGGCCGCTGAAGAATCCCAGGAGGATAGCCGAGACGCTACCAAACGTGACGGGAGCATCGAAAAAGACGATACCGCTGATAGCGAGCGGGAGCTTGTTCAGATAACCGACGAACGAGTACGTAGTCGACGAAGTCTTGCGAATACACCAGGCAGACGAGTACGAGATAAAGATAGCACCCAGGCCAGAATAGAGCATGCTAATCATAAGGTTATTGCGCGACTCGGCAGGGAAGTTCTTAGCCAGATTAGCCGAAGACCAGTCCTCGGTAACTAGAGAGCAGATGATCATGATAGGGAGGGAGAGCAAGTTATTATAGAACATAGCTAGTTAATTCCGGTTAGTTTAAGTGGCAATGCCTAGCCTAGTAGTTAATTAAAAACTTACTGTCCCAGTCCTTAAAGTTCAGCGAGGTGATGAACTTGCGCGTACCCAGTACGTACGAGGCTGTGCAGACGATGTTAAGCCCCATCCACGCGTACCCAGCGTTCAAGGTTGAAATAGCGACAGCAGTCTCCACCGAGTGCCCAACCCCATTAAGGGCGGCCTGGATATCAGCCCACGCAGCGACAACAGAGCTAAGCACCATACAGCCGAACGACAGCAGAAGCAGCGGGGTGACGTTACCACCAAACCACAGGACCTCACCATAGGCGATAACGACAATAGTAAAGTTCATGAAGATAGTATATACCGGAACAGATAGAAATTGAAGAGACTTGGTGCTGGTGTAGATCATGCCGACGAAGAACACAGACACGGGGAGCCCTAATCCGGTGTTAACACGGCCGGGAATTGCACGAGCGTCATTTAGCTGTCGCAAACATACATCTCTTAGCCTTGCCGCTTTCCAAGGCAGCGAGGTTAGGGATCAACCCATCTGCTTCAAGACCACAATTGCAGCCGTGCAAATAACGGCCTATCGCATAGGTGTCAGCTGCAGGGTCTTCATGAAGTGCCAGAGTGTCGTGGCGCATACCTGAATAGCCAGATAAAGGAAGTTCAAGTTCCAGGACGAACCGGAAACGACATATTTGTTCACGACCGTCATGCTGATCGAGGAGAAGCAGTAGGCCAGAACAGCAGCACCAGGGTTTTTCTCGAGTTGGGAGAGAATGCTACCCTTGCCACTATCGACGCGAGCCCGGTGATGGGGCGTGGGCTTCAGCAGAAAGCTCTCCCGCTCACCGAACTCCTTCTCGTCCATTCCGCTCATCTCGAGATCCACATTCTTCTTGTTCGACATAATGGTTCCGTCGTGGGATCAGAAGGTCCCAAACGAAAGGCTCGAGGTTGGCTACCCCACAGGATGACGGGGATGAGAAAAACAAATCTATTCCCTGAGGGACGCTGCTCGATACAAGAAGCACGTTTGAGTTCGCGAGAAACAGGCGACAATCGAGACGGCAGGTCTGTGACTTAAAGTCAAAGACAACAGGAAGCGAGGAAAATAGAAAGGCGATAGGACCTCGTCAGCAAACTTGACGATTACTCGCTTTGATACTACAGAGGAAAGGCAGAGTTGCGAGAGCGACGTGTTGAAATCCAGGTGTTGAATTGCAACAGACACGAATCCCAGCAACGGGCTTGATCGATTGATTGATTGAAATTTAACGTCTCATCACGTGAGACGTGCCGGGCGCAGTGCCGGCATGGTCAATGCTAGTCGAATCTATGTTACAGGGGACTGTCTTCATCTAAGATTCCTGTTCAGTGCGATGGGCAGATCTCAGTAAAGAAATTGGTCTCCTCCGCCCATTGGCAAAACAAACGAGCTCCCTTGGCCGTGCCTAGGAGGGAATCTATACTATTCTTGGCCATATGCGCTTTTAGATGACCGGGCGTGGCCTTGCGGCCGCGCTTGCAAAAGTAGAAGTGGACTGGTGTCTTTGTCTTTCCACACCCGCAGTTGAGCAGTGCGTCGCGATGCTGGAGTCTCTCGTGGTAGGTCACGAAATCCCCGTGGTGCGACCTCGCTGCGAGTAATCTGCCTAGGTGTTGCCGGGGCAGGCCAAGTTCGGGGGGTCGCGGGTGGATAGCGATCCCTAGATCTCGATACTGTTGAGGGCAGGTAGTGGCCCATCGATCGTTGAAACTCTTCCAAGTGTAGGATCTCGCGATTCTCTTTATATGTGCGAATGAGGCCGGGTGTTGTGTCTTGGGTGGTTGCTCACAGGCCGCTTTGGCCTGGACATTTGCTTCTTCGTTTCCGGGGATGCCTACGTGTCCTGGGCACCACCAGATATACACTTGTCCCGGGGATGTCCAGGGTTTTCGCTTTCTCTGTGACCAGGTTTTGGACAGCTCTTGGAAGGCGGTGAACTTTGCTTGACTGCTTCCGGGACTTGGACAGATGAGCCTACCCGCAACCGCGAGATTATCGAGGCAGATGTGGACGTTATCTGCCATGCTGTTGGACGGAAGCTTTACAGCCTCCTGAAGCCCCCGTAGTGATGCGTGGGCTTCCGCATCGTATACCTCTATCTGAGAGCCCAGTAGTTCGGACCCGCAGAGTAGTCTTTTACCGGCCTGATAACCAGCCCAGCCTGCTCCAGCTAAAGTCCTGTCGCTATGGGTAGCCAGCGAGCCGTCTGTATAGATTATTATATCGCGCTTTGAAAACTCGTTTATCCTTTGTAGAAACGAGCGGGCAGCCTCCTCCTTTGACTGTCCTGGCGGGCTTGCCAAAGGAGGGTTAGCGTCTGGGGACAGGGGCAGGTGGCTCTTACCCCGTGGCTTGAAGGGGGGAAGTGGGGCTTGACTAAAGCTTAAATTAGAAACCCCATTGTGGTGCATCCCTATCTGCTGTTATGGTCGAGCAACAGGATCTGCCAGAGCCAAATGGGTTCGTTGCCGGCCCGCAAGGTTATCGTACGGAGTTCGACCAGGGTCGAGAAAGTGGGAGGAGCCGAGGCCAACAGAGGCCGAGGCCGGCCGCGTAAGGCTGTCGCAGAGGATCCAACTATGGTTGGGACAACGGGAGTGAAACGAGGTCGAGGTCGGCCTCACAGAGTTGAGAGTACAAGGTTCGGCCGGTTCGGCACGGGACGAAGACATAACGTGATCCACAAGTCAGTGACCCACCCAAGTCAGTGACTCAGTTTTCGCGACATTTCAACCTCCAACTTGACTTATACAACTTTCCACGATTCCAAATGCCACGTATCTCAAACGAAGCCAATATTCAGTTGGCTATCCAGGCTAAACGTCGAAACCCAGAATTAAGCTGGAACCAGCTCAAATTGATCTACAAAGCTGCCGCCAGTACCATCAAACGAAGATACAACGGAATTCAACCACAGCACATTACCAACGCTACGAAGCGGAATTTGACCACGATAGAAGAAGAGACGATTATTCGACGTATACTTGAGCTAGATTTGCGAGTATTTCCTCCCCGCCTTCAAAACGTGACCGATATGGCCAATATACTCCGACGCGCACGCGACGCGCCACCCGTGGGCAAGAATTGGGTTTCAAATTTCGTTAACCGACAACCACTCCTCCGAACGCGTTTAAATCGTCGAATTGACTACCAGAGGGCATTTAACGAAGATCCCATCGCATATCGCGCGTGGTTTAAGCTTGTTGCCGACACAATAGCGAAATACGGGATCACGCGGGAAGATATATATAACTTTAACGAGACAGGGTTTTTAATAGGCATGATCATGACTGGAATGGTCTTACAAGTGCCAAACGAAACGGCAGGCCTAGACAAGCCCAGCAGGGTGATAGGGAATAGGTTACCGTTAACCAAGCCATCAATTCTCAAGGCTGGGCAGTACCTCCATTTATCATCTTCGCGGGGAAAGTTCACCTTGCCTCCTGGTACCGCGACGCTGCCTTACCATGCGACTGGAAGGTTTCTCTGTCCAGTAATAGTTGAACAACCAATGAATTGGGTGTAGAGTGGGTAAATCATTTTGATCTACATACCCGGAGCCGTACAAAGGGTACGAAACGTCTTTTGATTCTCGACGGCCACGAAAGCCATCACTTGATGGATTTTGAGGAATCCTGCAAAAAACTGGGAATTGTTCCTCTTTGTATGCCTGCCCATTCATCACATCGGCTCCAGCCTCTCGATATAGTACCTTTTAGTGTGTTAAAACGCGCATATAGTGGCTATATTGAGGAGCAAATGCGAAAGCACCAAACCCACGTTGCGAAGGAGGATTTTCTATCTGGGTTTCTAGAGGCATCTAACAAGGCAATGACCGAATCTAATATTCGGTCTGGCTTCGAAGCAGCTGGACTTGTCCCATTGGATCCAGAAAGGGTCATTTCCTCGTTAGATGTTGCTCTAAAAGCCCGTACACCGTCGCCCGACCCTCAATTGCCGGCTGCTACTTGGACTTCCAAGACTCCTACTACCACCCTGGAGGCTACTTATCAATCAACTCTTATTAAGACTAGTGTCCAGAGGCATCAAAATAGCTCCCCAACTCATATTTTGAGCTCTGTAAACTCAATTGCGAAGGCTACTCACCTAATAGTGCATGAGGTTGCCCTTCTGCGCCAACCACCTATTAAGCAAACGTCGCAGAACCAAAAATAAGCAAATACAGCATGGAGGTACAATTACTGTAGCTGATTCACAAGAGCTACGGGAAGCCAAGGGTGATATCGAGGCAGTAGAGGGTGAGGAAGACAAAAGTAATGGTCCAAGGAAAAGGATCGCAAACAGTGCAAGACGTTGTGGTGTCTGCGGGGGGACTGGGCATAATGCGCGGACTTGTCAAGTAGAATTAGAAACATCTAATGAATAAGATTCTGCTTAGTTGAATTGATCTGATGTGTTGTGAAGTTATCTTGATTAATATTGAATTGATGGTTGAAAATGAGTCACTGACTTGGGTCAGTCACTGACTTGTGGATCACGTTAGCTGTAGTTAATATTTCAGAAGGCTCTAGCCAACCGGCAGCCGTTATGCTGGCCTATACCCCAAGATCATCGAAGCCATCGCGCAAAAGATATCGCGCAGAAAATTATGCCATGCCTCTTGTTTTTGCAGTAGCACCGGCGGTGCTGCACCGCCAAAGATTTACTATAACGAACGCGCCGGAGAGCCATAACCAGCTACTGCGCTGGTATCCTGTATTGGTTCTTGTTTTGAGGGTACTGGGCCTGAGCTGGAGAATATATGAAGCGCGATTTACCTGGTCAATAGGGACGACTGGGAGTCTATTGACTCATGGAACTGGTACGTTCCTGGCAGTGACATATTCCGAGCAGTTACGGTACGATAGGATGCTTAGCATGAAGAGATCAGGGCAGTTATCGAGGCAAGTGCTGAGATGATAGGGTTATAAGCTGTTCCAAAAAAGTGTATACTGACCGTCTCCCCACCTTCAGCTTTTTTTTCGTGCGCAAATAGGTCAATTGATAGCTAAAGATACATGAGTGGCATTCACGGTGTTATCTATCACCAACTGTCTTCGTGGTTGAGCACGTCGGAAAGGGTACAGACTTGGCCAGCACTGCCACCCTCGGTTACATAGTCCTTGATACTGAATTCGACCGGCCCTGGAGGTTCTGGACCGCATCCAACCAATCCACAGTCGGTCCTGCACTCCCTGTCCATAGCTTGTCAGTTCCAATATCGCGCGCTACAGTCGGCTCATTCCTCCAAGTACGCATAGAGCTCCTCAAAGTAGGTAACAATCTTCTTCATGTCAATTCGTCCACTAAGGTCAAACCATTTCTGAAACATTATTCCCCATGTCCAAGGCGCGTTGTGATTCCATCGGCAGGGTTTACCATCGTGTCGACCGACCCTGCTTGTGATTCTCCAGTGAGAATAACGGCAAAAATCCCAACATTGTAACGAAGATGTCCGTCTTTTCCGACCGGGAAGGGCAGGCCATGGAGATACTTCCTCTGCGTCGGCAAGGCACTCACAGTGTCGCCCGATGATTCTCAAATTGAAGACCTCGTCCGGGAGTTATATACTTCAGGCAATCTGAGCAAGCACTCTCGGCATATCGGCATATATAGTTGTCCAAGCTGTAGGTCGGTGACCACAGTCCGTGCCAGGTCTGCGACATAGAAGTCGAGCACAAGATGCCCCTCCAGAACCAAATCTGGATCCTCCTCCAGACCACAGTATCTTCGTGGCGTGGGTCGTACGAGGCAGAACAGATGTGATGCTGCAAGCTCTGGCGTTGTTGCTGAAGACTGGGGTGTATACGACGGACCCTACAGCGATCCAGAGGATGGGACAGCCGATAATCACGCCGCAGCGTTCGATGGGGCGAGCTTTTTTGACCAAATTGAGGGCATCAATACCCCCCCGCCCCTCCTATCGACGCCATCGTTAATGAAAACATGGCAGCCGGTCGCGAAAGTGTTGACGCCGCGCTTGTAGCAATCCGTTATTGGCTAGACCAGCTCGAAGCCAAGCCCAGGCGCATCCCAGAGCACGAGCTCTCGAAGCAAGCGGAAGCAAATCACCACAACAGCTACGTACGGTCGGATTTCAGATATTCACAAGATTTATGTTACCGATACAGTAGCTGGCCGCGGATCTTCAGTATATCGCGATAGAAAGACTAGAAACGATATATCCCTTCGTTATAGGACTTTAGCATAAGCGAGTTAAGACAATCGTCGAATGCAGTAGATAGTGACGCAATCGGAATGAAGGGGACATTTCCAATTGTTGTTCAGTCAGGTTTTGAGAAAACACAACAGTCAGAGAGAGTATAGTAGGGTTTATTACGCCCGGAGCTAAACCGGGTACAAGACTCTTAAATCCGGCTATCCCTCCTAACTATCATAGGATTCCTGGACTAGTATACTACACCGCGAAGATAAGTATGAGAGATAGATTATACCTAACACCTGGCATCATGGCATGGGTACTCACGTCGAACCTGCCGCCATGGAAGTAAGGACGTAGATGGAATGGAATCAAAGTCATGAATAAATCAAATCCGACACGTGAGGTGAAGTCTAGTAGGCAATATACAACAGATGTAGGCTTGTTGAAATACCAATCGAACGTAATTACATAATGTTGATCGTATTTCGTTGCTGGGTGTTTACTCGAAAACTTAGAGGTTTCGCTGGAGCTGCGACTGCCGATTGCGGGGAATGTCGGACGTCGCACCGGGTATAGCCGGACAAATAAAGACACCAGGGCTTAGTCATTATGTGGATCAGTCTTGATCATCATCAATTCTGAGGTGCAGCTTTCTTGCCTTCAATCACCTCAACAGTTGTTAAAATCTATCAACCCAGCAACACACACGCACACACAACCGATGGCTGAACACGCTCTTAAACTTAATCACTGGTCCCCCGACTATCGTCGCGATCCGCAATGGCGTTGGCCGTGGTGGGAATTTGACCTCGACCCGGATACAGCATTTCACAACCTGTCGCGACAGTACAACACATATTCGCTGCCGATCCAGGCGCCGCAAGCCTTCCACCTTGACCTTATCGATATTGCGAACGAAGCTAACAGCCTCGATGACCTTCATGCGCGACTTTCGGAACGAAGCACTGCACGGCAGACGGAGGTATTCAAGGCCTGGAGAAATGCGGCCATCCAACTCGTCGCCGCGCCCGACTGGGACAACAACAGGAGCAAGATGTTGCACAAACTGTGCAGCCTCACCCGGGAACCCTCTCTTAACACTCTCATTGGATTCATGTGGAGCCATGTGCCTGAGGAGACCGAGGATGCACGTGAGTGCATGGCGGATTTGAACAAAGCTGAAATGGAGAGGGAGCAGACAGAGAAGGCCAGTCGGGAAACCAGGTTCAAGTCAGCTGGGAAAGCCTCACGGAAACGGCTCAGGTCCGATGACGACGATGCAGACACTGATTCCGACGACGGTCAGGACGTCCGGCCCGCAAAACGGCAGAAGGTGGATGGCGATGATGCAGCCACCGTAGACATTTTTGACCTCAACAGCAACGAGCTGGCACGGCAGGTTACGGAATCACTACCGTCTCTGTCAGATGATGAGTGGGAGAACCCGGAACCGCCGCTGTCTGACTGTCCCGAGACCCCCCAATCCCACTTCGAGCCCGAGTCCGAGCCACAATCACATCAGAAACGTAGGCGATGTGAAGACACGCCTCCGTGGTCACCACCTCTCAAGAAGCAGCGACGCGATGAGCCGAAACAGGAGCCAGCAAATAGCATACCCGAGTGTCAGAGTAGCGAATGCGATGGTGTAACAACTGGTGAAATCGGAGGACGAGAGAGCGACGATGCTGTTCATTCAGAGGCAGAGAACTATGGACACTTGGAACCATTGGCGCCTGGGGATCAAACTAGAGAATCAATCATCACACTCGAGGGCATTGGTACACCTGGTGAGGCAAGGCTCGAGGGGCTCAACGATGCCGAAACCGAAAGGAAAATGAGCAAAGAGTCAACGCAAAGACGGAAGAGCCACGAATATCATCCGCCTCCCTCACCCCCCACGACAGACGACGATATCGATGCATCGTTCACCTCAGATTGTCAACCACCCAAACATCCCACTACGGATGAGCTTCGGTCACAATGTGATGTGTAGGGGACGGGGCAGATGCGGGATCGAGAATAGTCACGGACATACGATGCGACTGATGGCCAGTATCCACCTGAGCTCACCATCACTAGTCATCACCGCTGGTTCAGTCTCTAAGCAGCCCAGCCTCTGGCGAGTGTGTACTGGTTATCCTAACAGGGTTGGGTGCAGCCAGCGACACTCAGCTAGGGTGGGAGGGGAAGTATATGCTGGCTATCCTTACAGGGTTGGGTGCAGTTAGTCATACTTCCACTCCCCAGGAGGTGAATCACAGAGGTGTGCGCTGGTTATCCTGACAGGGTCGGGTGCAGCCAGTGATACCTCTGTAACTTTGCCTCCGCCAGGTGCTGCTGCGCGAGTGGGACGAGGGGACGTGTACTGGTTATCCTGACAGGGTCGGGTGCAGCCAGCGACGTCTCCGCCCTCGGATCACTCGTCCTTGCTCGAGCTATGGATTGTGTCTGATGGATATGGTATGGTTCGGGGTAGCGCATTGCTGGGGAGGCCCATACTATGACGTGCTTGGGGCAGAGCTGTGCGCACGATAATGACTGGCGTTGATTTGTTTTTATGATACCCAGGCCTATGATGCCGTAGTAGAACCGGTTTGATTTGAATAGAATGTTCATTATTGCCTTCCCTTCCACTATCTCGTTTAAGGGCAGTCAAAACTGATCTGCGTCTACTCAGCACACTTGGGATTCTGGAAGTCCAATTTTGTTATATATTACTCATCCTCGTAAGCCTCCGGTGACCATCAGGTGGGGACCACAGCCACAGTGGCGGGCCGTCCTCTTTTTGTAGAAAGAACACCACCTTCTCCCATAATACTATTGCACCAGCAAGGCGCTATTTTTCTTTTAAACTTACTGTTTATAATATGTGTATGTAGCGCATGACTTATAAAATTCAATTTGGGCATGTTTCAGAGACAGCGTGAAAAAGTTGGGTGAGAAAAAGTCGGTGGTTGGGTATTGTGGCTGCGCGTATGATCCATCCAGCACGATCTTATTGCCCAAGCGAATATTAGGATTCGAGATTTTATCATCACGATACCAGCCCATCCAAGTCATTCAACGACTCCATGACATGTTAATTTGTCAATGTAACATTGAATTGGTGTCTGCACACGGCAGCCCGCTCTCTCCCACCAAGACATCAGAAACTTTCCTCAGCTGTATCTCGGATTCTCACGCTGCGAGGCTGTGATGCCAGTCACGGATATCAACAATACTAACAAGAAAGGGGAGCCCGGCGGGGGGGATTCTTCTCGGTGTGTGGGATATAACCCGGCCAATCACCGGAACTCAGCTCTCTTGGGCTGCACATCGATCGACCAAGCCGCAGTGGGTGCTACCAAAGACAAAGATGCATCAATCAACATCTCAAATGCGGATGTAGTGCCGGCGAAAGTTAATGTAGTCGATACACCTCAAGGTAACGAGAATAGTGACCGCCCCCAATTCTTTTAGGACACTTGTACTCATTCGAGAAGCAAGTTCAGATGAATCGCAGTGCACGGCGATCAATGGCCCTCGTCAGACGGGACAAGATAATTCTCAAACTACCGAAGAGAATATTTCTCGGGGTATGGAAAACCGTCTGCAAGCCTCGCAGTCCACGGTGGCCAATAGCTCGAATCGTATAGAGATGAAACTTCGTCGACTCACAGAAGGGGAGAACTATCGTCAAATTCAAACGATTGACAGTCAACAAGCAGAGATTGTGCCTGCCCGAAAGGGTAGCAGGGGTTCTCAGCATCAGCACACCGAGAAAACCACTTCGCAGCGCACAGAATCTACCCAAGCATTCTCTCAACGACATGGGATTGGCCTAGCGGGTGTCTCCCTGTCAGACCTTGAGCTTGCCGCCCTGTCAGAACCGAGTACACCACGGAGATTAGAAAAGGCAGAGAGATACCCGGACGTGGCCGCAGTGCGACTAGCTTTCATGGGAACTGCATGTGGCACCCGAATTTTCATCACGCCGCTTATAGGACCAGAAAGTATCAAGCAGAATGCGCATGAGAATGAACCAGAAGGAAACGACCACGGAATTTCTTGGCTCAGGTATCCAGCTCCGCCATTGGCCTCGGAGACATCGACAATACCCGTCCAGATTGTCGCCGTGAGTCAAACCACTTACGCCCCCGGGTACAAGGTTAAGGCTGTACTTCCCCCTGGCGGCAGTTCACGAATACTCGAATGCACAATTATCTTTGACCCCGGACGGGACGATGTGCTTGTAACTAATGACTCAAACATGTCGCCCATCCACATCATTCCCATAATGACAGATCAGCAAGACGATGCAGAACCGATTGTTCTCTTTCCCCAAGCAGCCAGATACGTATCACCGGGCACGTACCGGCTGATTGTCTCGGCCTCACAGCGGGCCAGGGCGGATAATGATGAAGACAAACACGAGCTGGTGCATGTTAAAATCATGCCACGTCGGTTTATTAGCTCAAAAACACCTGCCTTCAAAGATAATGTAGATGCTATAACCCAAATCGAAACTCGCAAGCGGCCACCACAGGATGCACCCTCGTCGGTTATTGTCCACGGAGACAAACGGGCTCGCAATGTTCATGGTGAAGGCATTTCGTCTCAAGCCATGATCCAACATCAAGTCAAAGAGGGCAATCCACTCGTGGGCATTACCGAGAGCCAAATGGTCCGGATTCTGGGAGATGGCAAGGAGAACCGGTACACACTTGCCCCCAGACAGCGCATCGCCCGCAACAGGGGCTCAGAAGTCTTTGCAGCCTCCCACTCAAACATGCCCGCCCAGTTGGTCGCCGTAAAAGTCCTCAAGACCGACAATCACTACTCGCTTGCCCACATCGTCGAAACATGGCTCAAGGAGACTCATATCCACTCACGCCTTACAAAATCTCTGTCAGAGAAGCCAGGTGTGTCCGTGCTCAGCATGCTTTCAGCCGATGCCCGCCTGCTATCCATGTACCAAGAGCACCACCCCTCTCGCTCCCTTGGATCTTGGCCGCGCTGGCTTTCCACGGGCACTCACATGTTCACGGGGACAATGCAAGATGCACACCGTGTCTTAGTGGACATGGCAGCAGCCCTTGAGCATGTGCATGCTCAAGGTGTGCTGCATAATGACATCAAACCGGCCAACATACTGTACAGTCCCGAACGTGGTGCCGTCTTGATTGACTTTGGTCTGGCTAGTCTGGTTTCCTGGCCCTGCGTACACGCCGGTACGCCGTGGTATTTACCCCCCGAGTTCAGGGCATTGCCAGAGAGAGGCGAGGCCAGTGACATGTTCGCGCTGGGGGTGGTGGCGCTGTACCTTGTGGGGTTGCTACCTCTGCCGGATCGACTGAGGAGGGTCGAGGAGTGGAGGATTGCGCATTTGCATGGTCACTGTCCGGCGACGGATCAGATAAAGGCCATGGATGCGATGGATAGCTGGTTGAGAGAGGTGGAAATGACTAAGTCAAACATGCGTAGCAAGATGAAGACTTTAGACGAACATGTCCAAGAGGCAGCGATATACGGTGCTGTGGTCCAAATGCTTCAACGGATGCCCGAAAAGAGGATCACCGCGCCAAAACTGGTCCGTTGGTTGGACAAAAGAACAGTGCTAGGTAGTGGGTAGCAATACGGTGCCTCCACCATGCCATAAAATCTTGTGGCTAGTCACGGATAGGATGCTGCACAGAAATTTTATCTTTGGACAACGGCCAGGAAGGCTTGAAGGTGACGGATTTCAAGAGAGGTCCCCCGATATGTTTGCGGCGCCTGCTCTTAGAGCAGCCTTGATGATGCCACCGAGCGAGCAACATGACGAGCTCACTAGCGTTACCACATATGAGAATATATCAATAATAAGGGTCACATATAATCCTCGAAGTCAGAAACTACTATGAATAATACTGTCATACCAAAAAGTTCGAGACCCTCGCGTCCCGGATTCAGCCCTAGCTTAATGCCAATCCATGGAGTCTATTGAGCTTGAATCCACCGGTGACTCTTTCCTGCAACAAGCCCTGCAGGTCATACTTAGAAGCAACCTGCGTCAAGAACGCAACGTCTCCGGTCCATAAGAGAGTGGGTTCTGCTCGGGGTGCGCATGGTTGAGGTAGCGCCACTGCGTGTCGTAGTCATTCATTTAGGCACATTACTCGAGCACGGTAGTGTCAGCTACCAGCTTTCTGTTGGAAACCAGTTCGTTAACAGGCTCATCTATGATGGCCTCTCCCTGACTGAGGACCTAATTTGGATTCAGCAGCGTGTCAATATCAAGTACATCGGCGCCAGCTTTTGGGGACAATGAAGGTGGGGAGGGCCTGGAACAGAAGTATGTTGGAAGCGGAGTCGGAACCTTCCGTCTTCATTTCATCCACATATCTATCGAAAATGAGCAGTGCCTTAATCAACATTTCCATGGTTTTATGGAAATTGAGTGTAGTCTAAACGTTGCGTCGGCTAACATTACTATTCAATCCGATGCTGAGTTGGTGATATGTAGTTGAGGCCGCTCGTGTTCAGAAGAGCGAACGAGGTGGAGTTCTCGTTAACCTGAACTTTAGCCATTATCACGGCTATGAACAGACCCATGTCCGGAACCCATGTGGAACAACCAAGTTTGCCGTCGGCCGGATTTTCCACGTGGATGTCGAAGAACATCTTGACGAGCTGTTCCAGAACGGCCTGTTTCATGTCATAGGAGTATGCTAAGATTCCGCCATAAAATCCTGCTGGTGATAAGGCTTACATATCGAAGCGGGTGACGAAGCTCCTTGAGCAAGTGTTTGTCGATATAGAGTTGGCATTGACAAATGACCCGTCAGCCACAACCAACTCGAAATTCACATCGTCCTAGATAAACCCACATAGTCCTGAGTAACAAGAAAAGCCTATATACAGAAACTTGAGAAAACGATAACTTATCGCCAGGGAATAATTCTAATGATAGACATACCAACACCTAGCAACAATTGGCAGCGCTGAATTGGCCCACATGACAATCAGTGACACCCATACCATATATCTCAAGTACGCCGTAGATGTCTTGCCATCAGGTATCTGGCCTAACATGTGCAATGCCCTGTCAAGTAGAGTGTCAGCCGCCATGCCAAGCCGTTCTCAAGCAGCGAGTCCCGAGAATTCACTTAAGCCTGTGCAACTCCGATACTTCCCTGGTTCGGAGTCATTGACCGCATACGTACAAACATCGTGGTTGATCAAGTCCATCCCGCTGAAGTTAATGGTAACCTCGTGGGCGGCAATGTCACTTGGCCAGAATGCGTGTCTTCTGTCGCGAATTGTCACATTCAAATTACCAGCAGCACAACGAGCCTAGTGTCTTCACATCCATAGACAGATTCGTACTTTGGGGGTTGAACGATGCACCAGGGATGCAAGTCTTGAACTTTGCCCCCGTAGGTCGAATAAATACTCGCCTCATACTCGGAGTCTTGATAGAGCAGGTCATCCAGGCCTGCGGCAATCACACTTATTTTGCCGGTAGCTACAATTCAGCCTCGAAACCAGTCGGATTCTTAATCAAGGGCAGCCTGATGATGATGACGATGTCGGCTGGAGCCCAGCATAGCAATCCGGCTGTTGGAGGCAACGTGGAAGAATTCCATCAAAAGCGCTTTATTACATAGCAGGGCATCGGGAGGCGCCTCAACCCTGTCGCCTTTCGCGGATTTGGAGGAGACACGACGCTGTGCGCGAGACGCCACTTTGCCACGAGCTAGATATTGATGTTGGCGACTCTGCTGCTCCTGCGTTTCGATGTCCGACCCTCAAACAAGATGAATTGGGCACTCACGTCGACCGCCAAGTCCTCGCAGGGCGAGGCTGAACTGCTGCCCGGCCTGAGGCAAGCGGCAAAACATGGCGCGTCGCCTGTTTGGGATGCAGAGATGTTGAACTTCTGGTATTGCAGAAGTGGGTATTATGCTTGAGTGGCTAGGTGTGATGCTTATTTGTAACGATCAACCAAGCATTTCAAGCTAAACTTTGAGATTACGACTGTTAAGAGTTCGGGTGAATGCACTCACGGCTTCATCCAAGGAAATTAAAGTTGTTTTCTTGAGTTCATCCGAGAAGAGTTACAAGGGCGAGCATGAGAAAGATTTGACAAGGTTAAGTCAACGCATCCCAGTCCGCTGAGTTTCACACGGACAGTTACAGCATGCAGGTCTGACTTGTCCGAGCTGTCGGGTCAAATGTCGGTCAAGGTGCCGAGCCCAAGGGTCCAACTGAGCGCTTACATGAGAATGTGACCTTATTGGTAAGGGGAATTGGTCACCGAGCCACAGCATGGTTGTGCTACATTCCTTCTCAGAGCTTTTCTGCACGTTCATCAGTTGGACTGTCAGATTGCCCCTGATTGGACCGTCTGCTTCGAATTCGGCGTGAGACTGGCGTCTCCTGATGAACAATGAGCTAATGATAGAAGCGCACCTATCATAGCCCTGTATACCCCGCGGGCCTAACCCTTACCCCGGATTCCACGTTCCTTCACAGGGATGCGGGTCCATTCAAGTTGCTTAGTTGAAGGCCGACTTCTAACTGATTGGTGGAGAATGACCGCTTGACAGACGATACCGCTCTCGTCTTCCCCGATGCTGTCTGGTATAACTAGGGGGGTAGGCCCCATTTTCCTAGAGTTTTAGAGTCTTGGAGAAGCTGCGCTGAGTCTGACGGTCTGATCCTCTCTTCCCCACTTTCTCGTCAAGCTCTTCCCCATTGTGAACGATCTTGCCTGGTCGAATCTGAAGGACTGAAGGGCGTCAAATCCAGCAGAATGGGCCTACCTACGCTGCCCAAAATCTACAATGTTCACTTTGTGGCAATAATTGCCACCCTTGGCGGTGCGCTGTAAGTCATTGGCCGCTTGAAGCCAAACTATCACAATTCTTGCAACTGGAAATTTGCAACTGACGCAACCCAGCTTTGGCTTTGACATCTCATCCATGTCAGCCATCGTCGTCACTGACCAATACCTCGACTACTTTCACTCACCCGCCGGCGCGCTCCAAGGTGCCATCGGATCCGCCCTGGCAGCTGGCTCTGTAGTTGGGTCTGCCGTAGCCGGCCCCATCTCCGATAAGATCGGTCGTCGCGATTCCATCATGTTTGCCTGTATCTTCTGGTTTATTGGAACCGCGGTGCAGGTTGGCTGCCACAATTCAGGCACCTTGATTGTTGGCCGTGTCTTCAACGGCTTCACCGTTGGCATCACATCGTCCCAAGTTCCCGTCTACCTGGCCGAGATTGCCAAGGCAGAAAAGCGTGGCTCCATTGTCATTATCCAACAATTGGCGGTCGAATTCGGCATCTTGATCATGTACTTCATTGGGTACGGCTGCTCCTTTATTCCCGGCCCTGCTTCGTTTCGTACTGCTTGGGGCACGCAGTTCATCCCCGCTTTCTTCTTGGTAGTTGGCCTCCCCTTCCTACCACGTTCTCCGCGTTGGCTTGCCAAAGTCGGCCGAGAGAAGGAAGCGATTGCTACACTGGCAAACATTCAAGCAGGGGGCAATGTTGACGATCCCCTGGTTATCGCCGAGTGGGAGGAAATCATGGTGACTATGCGTGCTGAGAAGGAGGCTGGCCGTGGCTGGAGAAAATTCTTTAAGAACGGCATGTGGAAGCGTACCATGGCCGGCATGTCGGTGCAGGCCTGGCAGGTAAGTCATAGACCCAAAGCCAACATGATTGAAAATCCTACTTACATGTTTCGCCGTCATAACAGCAACTGGCCGGTGCCAACGTTATCGTCTACTACCTGACTTACATCGCGCTCATGGCTGGTCTAACCGGTAACGTCGCCATGGTCACTTCAGGCATCCAGTACGCCGTTTTCATCATCTTTACGGGAGTCATGTGGCTTTTCATCGACAAACTTGGTCGCCGCACCCTTCTCATTTGGGGCGCACTTGGCATGGGATTCTGCCACATTGTTATCGGTGGCGTCATGGGTGGGAACCACGACGATGTTCCCGGAGGTGTGGGCAATCCGCCCAACCCCAATATCGTCATCTCGGTCCACGGTGGCGCCCCCGCCAACACTGTCATCACCTTCTCGTACCTGCTCATCGTCGTCTACGCCTTGACTCTGGCACCAGTATGCTGGATCTACGCTGCTGAGGTGTGGTCCCTCGGTACACGTGCCACGGGTATGTCCATGGCGGCTATGTCTAACTGGGTCTTCAACTTTGCCCTGGGCATGTTTACGCCACCTGCCTTCATTAATATCAGCTGGAAGTTATTCATCGTCTTCGGTGTGCTCTGCATTTTCGCCGCTGTGTGGTTCTGGGTCTTTTATCCGGAAACTTGTGGGAAAACCCTTGAAGAGGTTGAAATCATGTTCTCCAAAGATGGTCCTAAGCCGTGGAAAACCAAGAAGGGCGAATCTAGGCTGGAGCAGGAAATCCAGGCCGTGGTCGAGAGGAAGACAGATAAAGACCACGTTCCCGTTATCGAGCCAGCTGAGTAGGTCTGAACAAGTTCTCTGGTCACATGGGTCTATGGGAAAACTTTGTGAAATATCACGTTAAGTGGGAAGAGGCCCGGGGGTAGTCAGCAACAGGTGACTCAAAATTGCTACGATGATACAGAATCTGATAAGCACTACTTGAAAAAGTGTGATTAAATCCAGAAGACGCACCCCTTTTCTATATCATGCATGTTTGTGCCCGCCGTTGTTCACTCGGATTGATAATATCCACAGGCTCCTGTCCATTCCATTACCCGTCTGCCCATAGAGGAAAGCCCATGTCAGGTCCGACATCTCAGATACAGCGGCCTTTCCGGCTTCAGAGTGTGCATGGTTTTAAGCAGTTTGCGCAACATGTCCCTGTACGCAATGGGATATCTGCGTCGAGGTAAGTCGCCGGGTACGACGTAGATGGCATCAGGGAAACTCCGATTGATCTCTGGCGTCAAAGATGGGTAAGAATGTGGTCAAATTCAGGATTCGGCCAGTATAATCACCATTGGGGCGGCATCACAGAAACTCTGAAAAATACACTTGCTGATTGCTCTGGATCAAGCTCAAAGACTTGATGAGGCGCAGCCAGAAATAAATACCTTCTTACACCTCGTGCCTGCATGCGAAGGAACCGAAAGCTCCATGATTGAGGGTCGATGGTAGAGTTAATTAGCCAGTGTCTACTTTATGTCATGTCACTCCCGACTAGTACAGCCAGTTGTGGGAGATGTCTCCTCGCAGCCTAGTTATAAAGTTGTGGCGCTGATTTCAACCAAAGGCTACGGAAATGATAGCTATAACGATGGACAAGAGAAGTAATAATAATGAGGCCGGTCTCGATGTTTCTCATACCGCTTGGCTATTCTTTAGGTACGCTGATCTAATAATTGTCCCCACGATATAGGGCGTCTTAACATGTAGCATATCATGCCTTCTTGGACGTTGTCGGGACAATATCCATATATGCTCAAGCGAGAGCACCTGTCCATGCAGACATTTGCATCCAAATCTAGAGCATCGTCTGATCGGGAATTAATAACAAGATTGCGGGATATCATACATTCCTTCACTGCCAGTGAGTGGACTGCGGAAGGGCTATCTACGGGCAAGTGGCCCAAGTGCTGCACCCAGCACACAGGCGGTAGTGCCTGGGGCACGCAACACAAAAAATAAAACTGTACTACCTTTGATGTCCCACATGGCATTTTGGCAGGTGTGTCCACCTCAGCAAGACGTCAGGCTGGAGTGTTGTCGAAATGTGCACCGATTCACAACGGTCGGTCATCCCAGTAGGATTGGAATAGATATCTTTGCTTTGGCCACTCAAACGACTCTCATTGTATGTTCATGATGCACGAGGTGCTTAATCATTATTTATTATATCGCACATGTTATTTCAGAATCACAAAGCGCATCTAATTGGACACGATAGTTCCTGTCGCATCACCCCGTCCGTCGGATGTAGCTTATGTTCAAGATGAACGAAGATACAATGAAGAGTGGGAAAGAATGCGAAACAAATGTTCAGTCTCATCCGGCCGATGGCAATGCCAAGACCGGCGCATAATGTCTGTCCTTAATTTCAGCGTTTATAAGCCTGAAATCCGCCAAGATGCATTGAACTTCCGGCTTGGCGATGATATTAGGCAGGGGTTCCCACTCCCAAAGCCTTAGACCCATAAATGTCAGAGGGCATCCAGTGAGTCGTTCTATGGCAAGAGAATCTTGTCCACAGATCATGGTCGTACGCAGATATCATCTCTCAGGAGACATCTGTGTTGTTCTTTCTTCCTTGTGTCTTTTCCTGCGTCTTGATGTTGTGAAACGAGGTATTTAGAGACGCTGTTGAGGTTGAAATCCTCGAGAGGGATGCGGGAATTGCTTACTGGATTGCAGCCAGCATGAATGGTTCAGATGTAATTGTTCTGTGGCGTATGGATATGATTTGTGAGACAGTTGTCATTAGTCGTGAAGTATGATTTCGATCTGACAGTCGTTGTCGGTGGGCTACTTAACAAAACATCAATAAGGTGGCATGATGTGCAGCGATGCAAACAATATTGCGGTTTTCCACAAGCGACCCGACAACGCCTATGGCCCAACGCACTGCCCTGGTACCGTCGTCGTGCAAGCCATTTAGTGTAAGCACATCGAGCCACTCACGTTGGGGCTTTGGACAGCTACTTTCTAAGGAATACCTCGTTGGCAGCTAATTGATTAAGATTGTATAGTGACCTTCCACTAACCAGGATCACCTCACCTCGCTGCCACCCGTCGCCGGTACCTATCATCCCGCCTCTGAGAGAGGGAGGTTGGAAGTGAGACAAAAAAGAAGTAGCCAATATGCGAGAGAAGCCGAAAGCCTACTCGCAGGAGTGGATCAAGTCCCGCGCTATTGATGGACATCATCTTCACTGACTCTGCAGCTTCTCTTCGACGATACCGACACCTACTTGATTGAAGTTGTGGCCAAAGCTGGGATAGCCACACATGACTAATGAATTGATGACATTGTACACCTCCTTGAAGATGGATTTACTTTCAGCAGTCCGAGACAGACCTGTGGACGGGTAACGGGCTTGATTGTGTCCTATAGCATTGTTAGCAAGTATGCACATAATAATGGGTTTTTAGCATGGCTGCACACTATTGCCTTGCCGGTTGCTACTCAAGTATTCACAAGCCGATTGGGCAAGTGTATTATGTCTGATCACGCAGCATTCATGGGGTAGTCTACGAGATAATCCTTGCAGATCAGAGATCGGAATCAACTTTCTTTGAACATGCGTTGGACCATCACATCAAGTCCATCCTCGAGCTCCACTCCGCGATGCCCCAAGCAAAATCAAGGGACGTTCTCTAGTTAACTTGTGTTTTTGAATTTCTATAACAAAATTGGAGACATGGGCCTGATATTTTCAACGGTTCAGACCTGTTTTGCACTGGCTAGGGTAAGGACAAGTGAGTTTCCCTTCCGTGGTGATGAGCCTGCAAAATGACGGGAGAGTATTGTATGCAATAATAATAAATTGAGTCCATCTAAAACGCCTAAGACAATCTAATGTACAATATATAGTCGTACACTAACCCCATGTTCTGCTTCTTGACCGTATGCCCCAATCTCGCCAGCCTAGTCCGAAGCAGGTAATTCTGCCACGGATCTTGGTAACAAAGAATCGGCCCCATTGTCATTACCTCCCAGTTCGTGTTATGTTTCGTTTAGCAAACGGGGACGTTGAGGACCTGGTCGACCTGGAGCAGCAGAGGGTCGACGCCATCGTTGGCAGCCAACAGGGCGTCGGTGGTAATACCCAGGCTCTGCGCAATGAGGAAGAAAGTGTCACCGGCAACAACAGTGTAGGTGGCCTCGCCGTCGGTGACACAGATGGCGTCGGCCGTGTCGTCAGCCAGGCATGATGTGTTGTCGGGGCTGCACACCAAGGTGGGCACCTGGAGGACATCGCCGACATTGATGAAGCCGGGGTTTGCCAGGCTGTTGAGCGACGCAATATCGCAGATGCCTGAGCTGTAGTATTGCGAGATCTTGGTTAAGGTGTCGCCCGAAACGACTGTGTACTCGACCGTGGGGCCAGCCGAGCAGGTGGCAGTGGGAACGGGAGCCGCGCTGGTAGACGTGGGGGCGACCTGAATTATGTTAGAATGAGGTCACGTCTCGTCTCTGTGGTGCTCTGAATATTTCATGACTTACTTCGTAAGGGTAAGCGGCAGCAAGGCCGGCGGCGGCGAGCATGACGAAGATGGTGGACTGCATGTTGATGGATTATATGGTTGGCTTGCTGACTGCGTGAAGAAAGAGTGGCTTAGTGAGTGAATGTAGAATAGCAACGAGTGTAAGCGGCTGATTTGATACCGGTTGGTTGAATAGTGAGAGTGAAGTAGACAGAAGGAGTGGGAACTTTCGCTGTTCTTATACCTGATTCTGGCGTCTCGGCAAACGGCATCGTCTTACCGTCTGGTAACCAGTCGGATGTGTTGTCTCCTTTCCCTGGACACTCCATAACACGGGTCTGCAAGGTGTCCCGGCAGACTGGTTCTGGTCAGCGCCGTGTAGTTATATTGCCAAGAGTATGTTGTCGTATACCCCACATCGTGTAACCCCTGCAAACTCTATCTTCCAATTCGGCATCGTGAACTGACTCGCAAATAGGAGACGTAGCTCACATGCCCAGCCGCCAGGACTAGCTCCCTTCATCCCGCTGCCGGGAAATATGGTTTCAATTTTCAACATGGTCAGCTGAGATTCGTACGTAGCATGAGTATGGACACTGTTGGTCAAAAGATGTCCATTTTCAGTGACAAGCTCGTTTGACGTCAATGTATCAAAGAGATTTGATTCTTAATCTATAAATTACAGGCGTTCTAGGTTGTTCCTAGTTCCCCACGCGGGGATTCATGATATCGGATAATCCCGATAGGAGGGTATGAGAAAACCATCAGGACAACAGGAGTCGAAGTGGGTCGGGAGAGTGAGCCTCGTGGCTGAGTCGATATCCGACCCATCCGGCTCGTCCGCTCTTCATTCCTCAATATCTATTCTTCAAATCGTTCTTCTGCAGTTCGTCGGATATTGGAACACGAACTTATCTTGGCATTGATTTTCTATTTTAGTTGATCAATTCGGCGAGCATAAGCGAGTGCCACGTCTGGTGGCATTCGGCAGCTCCGCATGGCAACAAGCTATTAAGTATGCTTGGCGTAATGCATGCTCAGAATGCTTAAGAGGATATAGTGACTGATTGATGTATCTAGACCTAGCTCGTATTAAATTCAACGTAGTGAAACGAGGATCAAACACCTTGGGAAAAGTGTATAATGGTGTTGCCTGGGCCTCCAATGAGCCGAGTGGTTCGGAGAGGGGGAATTTTGTGTAAGACGACACATGACATATTACTCTACGCTATAAAATACCTCCATAACCATCTTTACGTGTAGAAGACCGTGGCTCTATAGGCACACGGGGTACCCGTGTGGGTACCTAAGCTCCCCCGTGGTCGGAGACTATCCCGCATCGCGCTGTAATTCGGTGATTAGAGCAATTCGAAAGATGTATTCTTCTTAATTTCGTTTATTATACTGTCCTATGCAAGCCTACGGCTTATGAAGACAGTAAGTCTAAAGATCCGAAGTATAGCGGGTAAATTATCCAGTCCTACTAATGGTAAGACTAGAACCTTTGAGTCTTAGAATCTAATTGCGTTCTCTTTGTTCATCTATTTCAAGGATAGTGTTATAAGAATGGAGAAGAGAATGACGGGCTAACGTCCTAGATGTAAAGATTCGATATAAAGGGCATGTGATGATAAATAACAATGTTATCATCGCTAAGATAACATGACATGGAGAAGTTTCAAGCATTACTCAAAGGAGGCGTAGTTCTGGAGTGAGGAAAGCCTATACACCAAGTTAGTTGCTTTGTGTATAATATAGAGCAATACTAAGCTTGTTTACTCAACCAATTCACATAATAAAACAAGTTTCCGCTTTACACACTATTGGCTCCTCTTGAATCAAAGGAGCAAAATCGTCAGTAGCTTCAAGTCTTCTATAGCCAACAGATAGGTACCGTTGCAGGAGAAAAGAAATCAGTATTTATGTTAATCTACTCCCCAAGTCACCTGCAAAGCCTGTCGTGAACAAAGTTGTATCTAGCATCAACATCTATATACCATGCGCACCAGTATACAAGGGGAAGAATATTGACGGTAGCCGTTTGTCAAATGTCACTATTACCCTAATAAGGCTCAAAACGAGAAGTTTGAGGATTATAAAGGAGCGAAATATCAGTATTAACATTACGCGTAAACTGAACGTACGATATATCCTCTATATATGAATGGAATAAGGCTATATAGCACAAATTAAGGTTCTAAATTTATTTCCATTTGACACTTTTTATAAACTCACATATTTCTCGATGAAAGTTTGACTTGTACTTTCATCTACTATGTAACGGACTCGGGGGGTTCTAGCCTCTACAAGATTTTCAAGCAACCCATCTGGGATATCCACAACTTCGCTCAACGAATTTGCATTGCTCAGGTTGCGGCTCCCAGGGTTTGAATTGATGATGGAAATCAAAAGATGCATTACTATCAGGTGACTATTGTCAACAGCCGATCTCCATGATTACATCAAACTTATGAAGCGCCAGACACCAAGATCTCCTTGCACTGTTCCAGTCGTCCATGTGCCTCTTGGAGCAGTTCTGAATGTGCCTCAGCCGAAAGAGCGCCAATAGCATCTAACAGAAGAGGTAGGTCCTTATGAAGAGAAGTAGCCGCAGACTCGAGTTCCGAAAGTCGCGCAACATTTGATAGATAGTCTGAGATGATACCCGTACGCCTCATGGTAGATGAATACATTTGACTTGATGGACTCCTGGGATAGCCAAGTGCTCTGACGTAGGACCAGATGGTCAAGGTAGCGTAGTACATGATCCAAGGTCTGTGGGGGTCAGGGTCATTGCGACATGAATACTGGATCCCGTATGCCGCCCCTGAACTGCCATTCTGGTACTCATAGGGCCGTTTTCTCGGTCGACTGTGGTCAACAAGTATACAGTGAAGCAGTTTGAAGGCGTGGAGAACTGAATGTGTCGTCGAGGAAAGAGCTGCCCAGGACTTCATACGCGTCACTACGTTGGTATAGTCTCGCGTTGAGATCTTGCGGCCCAGGAGACGCTTGGCCCCCGCGTACACCTGGCAATCAATGATGTCGACGTAAAGGCTAATATGGGCAAGATGGTACAACACTGCGGCACTCTGGATGAGGCCATTGGATCCGGGACGTTGTCCCGAGGTATTTGTTTCTGCTTCATTCGACCCCATGGCCTCGTCGAAACTTTTCTTCCAGTCGTCAAAGGCGCTCAGAAGCATCTTACACCACTTTTCTCTCGTGTCGGTGGGGGATTGGGTCAAGTCAAGCCACTTCAAGTGTGTCTCGCGGTGGCTCAAGTGCCACCCGACACTGAGCAGGCCACACATGATAATCATGCGGCCGAAAGAGTGGGTTTGGATCTGCCCGCCGTGGATGGCTTTCTTCAGACCATCAAGGAACGAGACGGGCTTGAGGCCATACATGCGAAGATTGGCTTCTTGCTGTCGTACACTCTCCGGGGTTGATGCTGACCACAGTGAGTCATCGCAGGGTAAGGGTAGACGAATTTCATGGGGCGCCATATCTGCCGTATGGCCAAACATGGCTGCATGCACGACATCCATCATAAAGGCAGCAAAGACGACCCGGTGCATGGCCTCCGTCTCAGCCCACCGGATCCACCAAGTCCTGCCATCAGTAGCAGGAGCATGGTTGGCAGCAATGGGTTCATCTGGAGGAGACTCGCTTCCAGATCGTCCTATCAATGGGCTTCCTCGTCGCAAAAGGGTGAGTGTGGCGGAATGGTAGATGTGGGCTCGTTCGTGAAGCTTCCTTGTCGAGCACATCTTTTCGTAAAATTCCACGAGTAGAAGTGCCTGCGCGACCCACAGATCTACAGGAGGCGAGGCTTCGTCAGCGGTTAGGATTTCCCATCGAACGCATGTAATGATGAGATCAGCGAACGGCCCGTACTCTTCCAGTGTTCCTGTCGTGTCCTGGCTGTGGAGTGACACTGCTCCTAAAGCAATCATAACCATGAGCAGAAATACGGAACACCGACTAGCTAAAAAGGTTGGCTGGTGGACAATGGGCAAACGGGCTGACACGTGGTCCCAGTAGTGACGAATGCAGTCCCGCATCATATCCAAGTTCAGCCCAGGAAGGTCGCCTCCGGCCTCGTGCACCAAACCAGCAATCAGGGGCTCGTATTTGGGCTGTTTCTGACGAAACACCTGAACCCACCGCAGCACTTCCTGGCGAAGAAACTCGGAGATCAGTTCCTCAGGCGTGTCTGATTGGCGCGGAGGGGTGAGGTCAATTTGAGACCGACTAGTTAGCGAATCGTGGTCATAGTGGATGTTATTATTGAACGGGGACTCCAAGCCGCCTTCGAGGAAGGGCAGACCAGCCATGCTGTAATCGGCGTAGGTCCGTTGGGGGTCAAACAGCCACATGGCGAAGTTGTCTCTGTTCAATCCAGCCGGGTCGGTGGGGATTGGAACGCCGGCGAATGGTACGTATGATGCATGACTGTGCTCAGGGATGGGAGCCGGTTCGCGGGCATAGAAACCGGGCTTGGTACGAACGAGATTCATGTCTTCCATGGTTGCCCAAGGGGCAGAGCCCTGAGTCAATCCTGCGTGTTGAGTGTTTGGCAAAGACATGGAAGCCGGAGTTTGAGCTGCATTGGACTCGGGTGAGAGAAGAACCGACGCATTTCTTGGTGCACTTTGGGGCTGCTGCTGGAAAGCTGCTGGCCGGACTGGTCCAGGGTCCCCAAAAGACGGCGATGCTGTTAAGGACATCTGGGGGGCCGAGGCCTTAGATGGGAGGGCGAAGCTACTGGAGCGGTTCCGTGGGACGTAGGAACCAGAATGGCGCTTCTTGTGCCGCTCAAGGAGATCAAGGCGAACGAACTCCTGGGTGCAATCCCCGACATTGCATCGATGGATGACCTTGGCGTTGTCTGATCCGTGTCAGACTGTCAGTACTCAATGGTGATCCCACACTTGATGTGATAGACAGCCTACGGTTCAGTTGATGCCGTTGTAAGTGCTCGGCTCGCGAGTAGAGCTTGCCGCATCCCGGCTCATTGCAGGCGAAGCGTCTAGGGGCACCTTTGCGACTAGCACGCTTGTATGGTGCATCACTGCCCGGTGATTCTCGCTGTGGCTCCTGCGTCGCCATGACTAGGAGACATTATCTCCCAGATCTGGGAAGTGGACTCGGCTTATGACCTTGAAAGTGGAGATGGAAAAGCAACGACCTGGGATGTGGGATGAATGGGGGTCGCGACGTGTTTTCACTCTTGAAACTGAGACCAAGTTGACGTTCCGTGTGGGGTCGACGCGGGGGCTAGTGTCAGTCGAGTGTCGCACAAGCGTGGGGGTTCAGCCACACTTTCTGGGGAAGGTGTGGGGGTAATACCGTGATACAAAGATGAAGGTATGGATTGCTGGGGGGAGGGGCGGAGGGGGGTGCTGATATTTTTCAGCGGATCTAGTAATCGCATTTCTATTAGCACTCCTATGTTCGACACTCAAGGCGAATCGGAGATTTTCTCTACAGACTTAAAAATCCAAGTATAGCACATTGCGGTATACGGGGCTGGCCCTTCGGTGTCGTCGCGAGGCTCAGAGTACTTGCCACTCCCGTCATCGGGTAATCGCTCCTTGTGATTCCTAATTTGTGATCCTGGAAGGAAATCCTCACGTTTGAGCTTCTCAGGCGATCGACTAGCCTGTCAATATCCAACTTCAGCCTGGCGATCTCTCCCACGAGACGCCCCAGGGTCCTGCTGGGTCCTGGGAACTGATTCAGAGTCCGCTCAAACCGTCTAAATAAAGCCTCATGGGACTGCGACAGCTCCACACCCGATTCCCCGGCGGCTCGAATGCACTAATGCACTGAATACTGTCCTGTCTACATTGTATCATGTTTATTCTTGGGAGATTCCAGCTCTCGAATCTTCTTCGTATGCAAAATCCATGCACAAAGTTCTCGAAGTGCCGTAGCCTAGGCTGTTCAAAATTGAGACCCTGAGCCTCATCTGCTCATCGAAGGAATTGCCAGGCTTCAAGATTCCGTCAAGCTTCCGGCATTGGCCAAGTTCCTGCTTCAACTTCACACAGCGGTCGTACCCAGACCAGTTCAAGTTGGCGTTACCGGCTGTTGTGGCTATCACTACCAATGTACGCGGTTTGGTAAACACCTGATAGCCCTGTGATACGGACTGAGGGTCGAGAGCCCAGCGAATCAGAGTTCTCCAGTTCTCGACCACCGGACGGTCGCCGTGTTCCATAGTAACTTCAGACATACCGATATTGCTCTCGCCGTAATAACTCTCCATCAGCCTCAATCCTAACGTTGCTCAAGCAAGAATTCTTGTGCAGCTTTCGCTGTTCTAGAACAGCTTGTAAGTGGCTTTCAAATGATGGGACCCACTTAGTTTAGTCGATGTCGTATGATGTCGTATAGGTAAGGATTTGAAACCCTTCACTAAGGCGAATAGCTAGCCACCTTGCGAAGAAGGAACTCATTTCGTGCGCTACTGTAGCGAAGGGGAAAAGGCTCCTCACGTAGTTATGAAATTTTATGGTCCGAAGCGCTCGGAGTTCCATGGCTGCTTGTAAGCCAGCGCTTATGACTATCCTTTCACTACTTACACCTTTGGATAGACAATGAATGATCTTAACCCTAAGCTAGTCCTTCAAGTACGGCATATGCAATTGCGCACTCAATCCTAGGTCAATTGAATATCTGATTCAATCAATTCAAATATAACTACTGGCGGTTCATTATTTTGTATACCAACCATGATCTTTCCGTAAACACGTGGCGACACAAGATCTATAGTAGTTCAAGTCGTCAAGGACTTGAGACAAGGGATTTCAGCTGATTGAACAAGCCCTGCGCTACTACAGCCAGATCAAGTGTGATGAAGCATTCTTTTTCCCATTGCATTGAAATGTTATAATACTGCGTAATTAGAGAAAACACATGATTAAATCAACCGCAGAGATGATCGGTGTTAAATAAGTAACTTATTTCAAGTGTAAGTAGCACCCCGTCTCTGTGCCTTTGTCGTCGTCCCACTTCGGCAGGTAACTTGTCCAGTTATTACAAGTCCAATGAAGTTACCAACATACAACGGTCCAATTAAACACATAATAGCAAGAACAAGCCTTGAAGATACATATGAGACATACTAGTTCTATCTAGGAGTCAGTTGGTTCATATAGAAGTCGCTCCGTCGCCTGCATCGTGGAGGTTGCCTCCTCTATTAATAGCCATTATCAAGATCGCCTAGGCCCCAATCTAGATCATGTCATGGATTTCAAGGCAGTTCAGTTATGCTGTGATGTTAGGGATATAAGTCAAGGTTAGACAGCCGTAGTCTACTAAACCTTGAAAACCTGACTACCATATAGTTGAAATCTCAATAGCTTAAGATAACTCCACTATATTTATCTATAATAGCGCAGGGCACTTACACCAGCGTATTACAGCCCTAACGTATTTCACACCCATTCCGACACCCCTGTAAAACCCAACAATAACCACACCGCTATTTACATTATCCTTTTATTTCTCAAACACTTTTGCTTCAATTGACTTTATTCCAAGTATTCGATCTGATATGCTATCAATGCCTTCATATACGGAAGAAGACCTCGCTGTCGCCATTCTAGACGTCGCAAATGGTAAATCTGTGCGACGCGCTGGCCTGGATTGGGGTATACCAAGGACTACACTTATCGACAGACTTCAAGACGCTGAATCAAGTCGCGAGGCCTCTGCTAGCCAGCAGAGGCTATCTCCAGTGCAAGAAAAACACTTAGCAGACTGGGTTTTGGTCCAGGAAGCCCTTGGACTAGCCCCAACGCACGCGCAAATCAAGGAGCTCGCGCAGCGCGTCCTAGCCCTCAAAGGTGATCACCAACCACTCGGCAAGAATTGGCTGGAAGCCTTTCTAAAGCGTTACCCAGCACTAAAGACTAAAAAGCAACGCCGTATCGACTCTCAGCGTATCAATGGCGCGTCTACCGAGGTAATCCAAGCCTGGTTTGCTTCAAAATTACGTATTCCTGCAATTCAAGCGATTAAGCCGCAATGCAGGTATAATATGGATGAGCATGGCCTTATGGAGGGTCAAGGGGGCTCTGGGCTAGTTGTCGGGAGCGCTACCTTACGCGCAATACACCAGAAACAGCCTGGTTCGAGGGCGTGGACGTCAATTTTGGAATGTGTGGATGCCCTCGGCAATACCTTACCCCCCCTGGTTATTTTCAAGGGCAAGGACGTCCAAGAGCAGTGGTTCCCTGATAAAAATATTCAGGACTTCAAGGACTGGCGCTTCAAGGCATCCCCCAAGGGCTGGACAGACGATACGATAGCTATCAAATGGCTTGAAGACGTTTTTATACCCCTTACGCTTCCTCAGGACCCTTCAGACACTCGTTTACTTATTTTGGATGGTCACGGTAGTCACACAACTGATAATTTTATGTCTCTTTGCTATCAAAACAACATATACTTATTATTTTTACCCCCACACTCATCTCATGTCCTTCAGCCCCTCGATGTTGGGGTGTTCTCAGCTATGAAAACGGCATATCGCAAGGAGGTCGGGTTTTTAACCCTATTAACTGATTCAGCACCTATTGACAAGCAGAATTTTATGCGCTGTTATGCCAGAGCACGCCAGAGGGCCCTAACGGCTCAAAATATCAAGTCTGGTTGGCGTATAAGTGGTCTATGGCCCCTAAATGTCGCTAGGCCCCTTACTAGCCCTCTTCTGCTTGAAAATAGCAACCGCACACGTCACCAAGGTCCAGACATTCTTATTACAACCCAGCAAGTCCAGAAAACGCTCCAGACGCCTTCAGAGGGCAATGTTGTATGGTTAACGCCAAAGAAGAGCGTAGATATAGAGCGCCAGTTTAGGGAGTTCAATCGACTCCAACAAACTAACATGACTACACAACGCCAGCTATTTGGAAAGATGAAAAAAGGGTTTGATGAGAAGGATTATCTATTAGTAAGCGCAGAATTACAAATTGAGGGCTTGAAACAGCAATTGGAGCTTATGAAGCCACGGAAAAAAAAGAAGGTGCAAATAAGTCCAAACGCGAAATTCGCAAGGATTGAGTACGTACGGCGGATGAGTGAAGTATCTAATGAAGCTCTTGTTGATGATTCGGGTTCAGAAATATCTAATGTATCTACTGTCCAAAGCGATTGTATAGTTGTTCAGAATTGAATTTGTGGTGGTTGTTTGAAATTTCAGTGTTATTCGTGGTGTTTTGTTTTATAGGGTGTCGGAATGGGGGTGAAATATGTTATTTCATTCGCAACGAAGTTTTCGGAAATATTGAGAGGGAATACAGTGCCCTTACAGTGTAAAGTTATCTTTACTCGAAATTGTCTGCTAGACGCGTTTCAGTCTGTCCAGGGCAGTATCAATCTCACTAGTCTAAAGGAGTAACAATCTCACTACAAGTCGGAGATTTTTATCGAGTATAGCACGGGATCGTTTGGTTTGCTATTGGGTAAATCGGCGTAAACTTCAAGAACCAGTCGGCTAGGTTTGACTTGATGCCGAGAATGGTCCAGACGCTGAAGAAGACCAGGTTGGTAGGTGCAAGAAGCTCATGCAGGGTCCAGCCACGAGTCCACCAGCGGCTTTTTCTAACTGGGCCTAGGTGTCATTGGGTGCAAGGTTTAAGGTCTGTGTTCCGTTCCGGAGGGAGCCAGCCTTCCCCATCAATGGTACGTCAGCGGAATGAGCTTCTAGAGGACACCGCAACGTCGACCAGGTAGGCATAGCAGACTTCAGAGTCTCGGTACCAATCATTGTGTTGATTATTATAAAGAACTTTCAATCCTTGTTCCAGAAACACCTGACAATTCAACTTACAACATAGACTTGATAGACTCACTTAACGCCGCTGTGCTCGACTTGTCGATGCAATTCGTATAACACCACAAACATCCCGTCCTATCCTTGTTGGCTTGTTGGCACGCGCCCTGGATCTTATATCCCTGCTTCTTCTGAACTCGTGGGCGGGACGCGGATGAGCTTATGTGGGAACGGAAACCTTGGACCGTCCTGGCGTCTCGGAGGGAGTGGACGTCCGCCCATTCCTGGATGATAACCTCCTCGGGGCCCTAAGTCTGCGAAAGATTGGTGTATTTTGAGTGGTGGAGTGGGAAATGCTCGATGAGCTGAAGAGTGATGACATGGATGAGGCATATTGAATTGTGCATATAGAATTGAATGAACAGCATATGTACAGCGGTCTGAAATTAATAAGTCAGTAAGTACACTGTGAATTGCCGCTGAAGAAAAATTGACCCAGGACAAACAGAAGTTTTCGGCAGCTGGATATTCTAAATTTCCTGGCGAGCCTTTGGTACAAACAATGACACACTGACGAAATAATGATGGACAACACAAGTATGAAGACCACCGCTATTATTGCAAGAACTCCAGAGGATGCCATGGCTGCTTCTGCAAATATATAATCCGTCTTTGGGGAGAAAAACGGGCAGGGGTGACGCAATACGAACAGTCCCCATCACAAGGTGACTGGCTCTGGCAAAAGTAAGACCCTCGTCGTTATTTCGTCAGTTCGATTCTCAAGTCATTTTCAGATTGTCTCGCGATATATCAGCTAGATAACGGATTCATGGTCTTTCAGCTCACTCGATAAAATTGACGTATGTCTATGCTGCTGGTAGACCATGCTATTCGAGAGGTCCTTGCCGTAAGTAAGGTTATCAGGGGCATGTCAGACCTGGAAAGGCAAGCGATGAAGATCCTTGTGTTCCTCATACTACAGTTTCAATTTTGTTCTCGTTGTAAGTGATTAATCGAAAGAGTAGGTAAAGTATTACAGCTTCTGAGATCGACTATATTTCAGCCTGATACCGGGATACTGAGTTGCCAACTTGCTGTATGATGGTCGCTCGTGTTATTGAAGTCGATATCACGCCTCGTGTCCAAAGTGGCTCAGTTGGACAACGTGACAAATGTTCGTACTCAACCAAGGGTCCAGGATCAGCCGAGCAAAATTCAAAGAGGAGCCCGAGTTGGTCGCCAGGACAATCATGACGTAAGCTGATACAAATGAGGGCAATCTGAGGTCTGACACAGCTGCATTAGCTTATTCCACCTGACTTTCTTTGTTCTCATGTTTACGTGGTCTTAGCCAGTTTGGCCGTTAAATGGATGATGAGGTTTGATATTTGATTTCTCGGAGTCTTCCCGTGCTGCTCTAAAGACATGTCGCTCGCAATAGTTCGTTCGCCCAGGCGCCCGCTTTTCCTCTGGACCCTGAACTCTCCCCCCGGTCCCCCATCCACCATGCCCATGCCGCTCATCATACCGCGTCCGGCAGTCTCACCGCAATATCTCCAGATTGAGTGATATATCGCACCCATGGCAGTGATGGATATTGTAACTGAGAATTTGTCAGATGTGATCATATCAAGTTGACGCGTTACTCACCTTTGGCTCCGTAATCTTCAGATACCGCACCTGGATGCCACTCGTCGTAAAGTAGGGAATCTCAAACTTGACCTGGATGGGTCTCTTGGCGCCCTTGCCAGAGCTGACTCCGCCCATGCTGCCACCGAAGCCACCCGTCATGCCTCCTCCGTGCTCGTCATCACCCCTGACGCTGGGGAGGCCCAGCTCCGCTCGCATCATGAACTCCTTGTTGCCACCGAATTGTTTGATCTTCCAAACAATGGCGCTCTGCTCCGGCGCATAATGCACACTTCCAATGTTAGTCCGAAAGCGCGGTGAGTCGGCGTCTTCTGGCACTGGAACGATGATCTCGACGTTGTTTGCTGTGCTCCTCCGCTTGAACTGCGCCTTGGCCTTGAGCATGTACTCTATACGCGACCCCGAATGGCTTTCCACAACGCATTCGACCCAAATTAGGGGCTTCACTTGGGTGTTTAACCGGTAGCTCATGAGCTCAAATTCACCATCAGGAGGAATGAAAGAGATTGTGCGATCGTTCTCGAAGCGAGATAATCGCACACATTGGTGAAATTTGACGTCTTCCATCTCGATGGCCTTTCCTCTTGTCGTTCGACCCGTAGTCTCGAACATGACCTTGTCGTTTAAACCCAACCGCAGCTCCGGCATGCCCGAAAGATAGCACTTCATCTTGATAGCGCCCAGAATTTCTGACCGTAGCACGTTGCCTGTTGCCGATACCAAGAGGTTCAAGCTCTCAACCACGTCCAGGAACACCTCGTTCTTCCGGTATCGAATGCCTTCTGATCGCCATGAGACGGCATTCGTGACTGCAATCGGTGGCCTCGCTTGGATCTCGAGCTTGTGTGATTCTTGTGTAATGTATTCTTGCAGGATCTTCGATTCGGTCGTTTGTGGGTAACCAAAGTCCATCATCTCATCCAGTAACTCGTAGATGATGACGAAGTTGTCTCGAATGGATTCCTCCTCAAGTGCTTTGAAGTATTCGGTGAAGACTTCGACGATCTTGTGCAGGAAAAGGAGGATCTCGGCGGCATTTGTATTGCGTTTCGTCAGGGCGAGGAGGTAGAGGTTGTCGTGTCGGATGTAGAGATACTGCTACGTGTTAGAAAATCGTTAGGTTTTCTCCCACACAAATAGAGCACCCACGTTGACTCCCTCGTGCGAGAAGCATGGTGGAACGGCGGATGATTCTTCTTCGGCATCGCTCAGGAGGATAGGGAACTTTTCGACTGCTGACATGGGAATGTCACCACGATAGTTTCGGGACAGCAGGGTCTGCAGAACTCCAAGTCAGCATGCATCATAGCGAGTAGCGCATACTGGGAAGCTATGACGACGTACCTTGCCATTGAGGTCGAGGAAGAAGACGGCGGAAGCCATGATATTGATTTGGAGATGACGCCAGGAGAATACGGTGTAGTTTGGTTGTCAATTGGCACTCGGGCCAGACAGTTGCAGTTAACAAGCTGGTTCATGCAACAAAGACCTTGGTCTATGGAGCTGTCGTCGAAATGTTTCCTGAAGCCTAAATCGCCTTTGTAAGACATGAAGCTCCTAGGCCTGCTCAGAGTCCAAACCAAAAGACCCCACGTCGCACTTAATGCTTCGTAGCCTCATCTCATCGGCTCTGGGCCAGGAGCACAGACCAGCTTCTTCAGGGGGCCAAGCAAGGCAGTCACATCTGGCTGCACGTGACACTAGATTTCGCAGCTTGGTGGGCCACGAATGAACATGTCTTTTGGAAATTTTCGCAGACTTGTCTAAAAATCCCCTCTTCTCTTCTTCAACGCGCCGCTATTAGACAGTGCAACTCATTATTTCACAACCGGTTCTAGCATTCTGCTGGTCAACCGACCGTGTTGCCGTTGATGTAGTCTGCGATTCGCGACGCGGAGAAGGATTCATCGAATCAGGTGCCATAAGAGCTGCCCGAGTATTTTTGCTGTATTGGCATCTAGAATTGCTTGGGCGGCGTCAGAGGGACCGCACATTTGTACAACACAGTATCGTCTTGTTCTGCTCTTTGAACATGAGGTTGCATTCGTCGCTGGATGGGGAAACGGATGTCTATTCATGCTGTCCAGCTTCATGAGAGGTGCGTCTAATTGTAGCGTCACCAAGGCAGATCATTGTCACATGAGGCTCAGGCTTTGGCCATGCAGGCTGACCATCATGGGTTGACGGCCGTCAGCAGCAAGCCCTGACGTGCTCTTGAATGGACATAAAGAAGTTGCCCGTCAAAGTTCTAGAAGCGCGTTTCCAATGTTCATCCACCGTTCGGCGGGCATACCAAATACAAGTAATCCGGACGTTTTTCCTCAGATTGTGACTGACATCGGACGCTTCAAGCGCGTGCTAGCATGAAGCTTATCCTTGAAATCCATGGACCAAGTATGTTAATGTCATTACAGAATCACATGGTCTCTAATAGGACCAAAGTGAACCATTTCCCGTTTCTGGGATTCCATTGTCAGCGGTTCCCCAGCATGCGGCGTTGTCTGTGCGATGGCACTTCACTCGGCTGTCGGTCTCGGGCAATAAGAGACTCCCGTTCACATGATGTTGAGAAGTCGATCAGTTCGGATGGACATGTCTGCTCCAATGCGTTTCCGCAATCCTGGTAATCTCACGTGGCAAAGCGTTACGAAGCCTACCTTGACGAATTCGACAAAATAGAGACTTATTAAGCAGTTCGGCTCCGACCTGCCGTCTTCTCCTCAATCGACTGTCATGTGCTTTCAGCCCTTGGTCTGCGGCAAGGTCACCCAAGTCTTCTTGTCTAGGGAATACTGTTGCGGGACAGCAAGAGGATGCAGCAAATCGCGGGGAAAGTTTCTCTCCCCGCTGGCAGCGCCTCCAAAACATCACATGTCACCTGTTCCTACTTTGTGCAAACATCAGATGTCTGACACGTGCTGGCTGCAGTGCTTGCAAGGTGCAAGGTGCTGATCCTGTCTTCGGCATCGGGCTTCCTGCGGCAAGGCACAGCAGCAGAATCCAATTGCATTGGACTTATTACCCTGTACCATGCATGTTGACTGTCGATGCCTCGAGCAATCCACCCCTTTCTGAGAGCATAACAGTTGATGCCATCAGCAGAAGTACTGCTTATCAACTACTTGACAAGCATCCGTGATATTTTATTGAGCAGTTCGTTCGACCTTGTTAGTTTTCAGCTGCATTTTGGATGGGGAGACTCTAGCGTGATCACAAGCCGATCCGAAGTGCGAACAGTCCCAGCTGGTGCAAAGTGTGGAGAGTTGACCCACCACACCTGACCAATGCGCTGGCAGATCGTTTCTGTACACCCCATCCAGCTCTGGTATTGCTGCGACTGTGCTGCACTGCTCTGCCCACCGCCAACATCCTGTAACACGCAACCCGCCCCAGCGCTGCCCAGAGACAGACAGACCAACTTCTCCCAGCACAGCGGTCGCAAACACCTGATTCCCCCCCCACGCCATTTTCGCTTTCCGTTGCCGCCCATTTGAGCATTTGAGAGAGACTATTGTACCAGCACCGTCGTCTCGTCTCGATCCTCCAGCCCTGATCCCTCCCCCCCTCCCCTCCTGACGTCTTGCGAATCCTGGATCCTCGCAAAAACCTCGATATCATCCAGCAAAACTTCTTTCACATCATTGCGCATTCGTCCAACTGCCCAGTCCCAGCCGTTCGCGAGTCAGGAACCAGTCGACGTCAGACTCCATATCCACCTGCACATTCACGATCCACAGCTTCAACACCGGGACCGACCGACGGCGCCCTCAACAGCGCCGCCTCTGCGCTTTGTGCTTGAATGGTGCCAGCACTCTAACAAATCGAAAAAGTCGGCGAGCGCAAATGATCCCAATTTGCATTCAGTGACCGACCGGGTTGCTAAGGTGCCTCTAGACTCTAGAGGCGCTTCGGCTTCAAGTTGGGGCCAGAAAGCACTCCAAGTGCACCCGCTGTAGCCATGGAGCAGCAGCAGAATCACATGCTGGCCCGGCCGGCAAACCGTCCTGCTACTGCTGCTATTGCCGTCGCGGACCACAAGCATAGTTTACTCCAGCAGCACGAGGACCGTCGACAAACTCCCTCCTCCGATATAGCAGCGGCATTCCACACTTTCGACACCCCCATTAAATTTCCCCTCGACTTAAAGTACCCGCCGCCGTCATATGCAACTGCTCATCACGACCACGATCATAGAGGCCTTGTCTTCCCCGACGCCCCCAAGACGGAACTCGCTCCCATCCACTCCTTCACTGGCCTCCAGAATGATCAAAAGCAAACCAACTTTCTGCCTTCACTGTCGGCCTTGACAGCATCGTCCGCACCGCTATATCCCACGTCGTCTTATTCTCACCAACCTCGCCAGCTTTACTCTCACCCACCCGAACCGACATACGCTCCTCCGCCACCGCCTGCTGCTGCTGTCTCTCCAGCGCCACCTCAACCACAGCACTGGCCGAGTCTCAACCCGTTAACTGCGTACTACACCCCGAGTCATGTCCAAAGCGCCGATTCTCCGATGCGAATGGACGTAGACTCAAACAGCAACAGCGGTGTTAGCGCATCTTCACCAGAACGCTTCTCCGACGGTCGCGCAAGCAGTGTTAGTCTCGATGACCCCGATGTCCGCCTCGCCGCCGAGGCTCTGGGGGACTTGCGAGCAGGTCAGTTTTCCAGTTCCTTCACCCTTTCCGCATGCGCCGACGCTGCGGTACCCGAGAGTCTGCAGATGGACTAGCTAGTTGTACTAACAGGCCTTGGTCACAGACTTCGTGTCTTCCCCTCCGAACAGGAACACACCATTGCCCGGTTCGCCGCGATCGCAATCCAACGCTTTACCACCAGAACCACTTCTCGCCTTGCTTACGACGTCACATCCAGTACTAGGACACGCTATAGAAGGTACCGTGTCGGCCTACAATGCCTCAAAAAACTACTCGCCACGCTTCAAGTCCAGCGCGGAATACGTCGAGGGATATGTCACGCCAATCGCCAATACCGTCGGGTCAGTTGGACGTGTGACCGGTATGGAAGGTGGTGTCCGCTGGTTCTTAGGCGGCGGAAAGAGGCAAAAGTCCGGGAGCTCGGATCTCGAAGCCGGCGATCATACTTCCAACAAACGGAAACGGGTCGAGTATGGACCCGTTAATGACGAGCAAGAGGATGAGACAATGTCGGGCGCAACAACACCGAGGCCATCCTACGATCACTGTGACCGACGGCTGTCTGTCGCCAGTACTGTCGACACGTTACCTGCGTATGATGAATTTCGATCACCCGCCTATACCGAGTCAGATTCCCGACCGACGAGCTCTTCAGCATGGCAGTCCTGTCTCATGATGTCCACTTCGGGTCTGAGCATCGCTATGAGTGAGGAAAGTCTGCGCAGTCTGAAATACTGCCTCAGCTGGCTTCGGTGGGCTAACGTCCACATCGGCAACGTCATCAACTCGCTCAAGACCACCATGGACAGATTTGAAAGGCCGCAAGCCAGCGCCGACGGAGACGAACCAATGCGAGGTGTGAATCATGGCGAGGACGCTCGCGACAGACATGAAATGGCAGTCAGGATTACTGCTCTCAGAGCCGATGTGCTCAAGACGTTACAAGGCGTCATTAGCACCGTCAGCAGATATGCTGGTGGCGCTCTCCCTGAGAATGCTCGCATTCTCGTCAGGCGTCATCTTACCAGCTTGCCCCAACGTTTCCGTGTCGCAAACATGACTGGCGAAAGTCAGTCGACGAGTGACCGTGGAGACCTGAGCGCAGAAGAAGCCGGTGCGGCCAAGGAAAAGGAAATGCGCGAAGGCGTTCAACGGGTTCTCGTGTTGGCAAAAGAAGGCCTCGACATGATGGCGCAGGTGTCGGGTGTTCTGGATGGCACCATCGTCAGTGCCGAGGAATGGTGCGAGCGGCTGGGTAGGAAGAAGAGAGCGCAGAGAGAAGCACTACTTGATGGGCCACCACTGCCTCATGTGCCTTTGGATGATTTCAAGTTTGGTTGAAAGGAAGCTGCGGATATTATTTCGGAGTTTGGGGAAGACAAATCTTGCAATGCGAAAAGGCCAAGGAAAAATAAAGAAAGGGGCCGATTTCTGAGCTTCCACCACGATCTAATTGGGGCATATGACCAGCTCCCCATTTACCTTTCACCGGAGTTGAAGTCAGCCAGCGACTTACCTCATGAGGCTTTCACTCCGCCATCTTACTTGCTATTTCGAACTCAGTCCGAGAGGCAGCTTATACCCGACACGCAGACACGAGTGGCTCTAGATTACGTAGAGCGTATGCTGCCACCTTCTACTATTTATGACATATGCCAAACTTCTATTCAATTTCTTGTTCGATCTTAGGGTGGAACATATCATGGACTATTACGGATTCAGGTTTGGGGACAGGCATCAGGCCTGACTGGATGGGCGTGGCAATCTTGATATGGGCCAAAAGGCAGTGGATTGGGGCCTCTTGCCTTCTTAAACTATTGCGCTTTGAATCGTGCTTTACTTGTACGCAAGTAGGTAATGGCAGGTACTGGAGCTGTATGTGCCTGGGTCATTGTGGTACTTTAGGGCGCACATTGCTGCTATGCTGTCTTGCTTAAATTTCATACTAACAATGAATTGTTCAAGGCAAGAAACGCAAATCATCTGGGTAATGGGGTAAGGTTTTTCTGATTTACGACACGGCCTACTGTGAAGTTGAGCAGGTGTGACGACATGATCCTAAGTTAGCAACGTATATCTAAGCCACGTCTAGTTTACTTCCATATTTTGCCCTGCGGTTCCGAGGGGTCTGTCTCGGTATGGTATTTCTGACTTGTTCTGATGTTTCTTATTAGCGCCTGCTTCCCTGTGTACTATGGGGGAAACTAGTAAGCAAACTAGCGAATGACTGTAAAACTTTTAAAACCTGCGCTATTGTTGCATTCCTATTACAAGATAATCATAATCAATCGTCACAAAGGAGGAACAAGCCCCTAGGCCGCCAATAGACCAAAAGATCTAAAAACCTCAGTGGATCATTGACATTTGGTCCGACTAACTGCTATATACAGCACTATGTAGCTATGCAATCGCTAGCACTGTGACATTAAGCAGCTAACAATAGTTTAAGCAATAGTTCATAGATTAGAGAGAACTCAGGTAAATTTAATAATATTATAGTTACTAAAGAACATAATTTCATAGGCTTAAAAGTTACTTTACGCTGTAGGACTCTTATTGGACAAAGCTCTACTCGTTAAGCCTTCCGAATACTACTACCTCCTTAATAAATATATATACTATATAGAATGATGAACGTATGCACCTTAATTCGCTAAAATCCTATATGTTAGGTTACAAGTATTAGCTAGTTTATGAGCAATCGCGATCATATTATTCTTCGTTAAATCCGAACATAATCATTAATAAAGGGACTTTGCCGCTATTATCCTCTTCAAATACTTGTGTGGGCAAATCGCAGCCCACCGTTCATTGTTGTTCTTATGACTATCGTTACTTGCCGTAAGCTCTGGCTAATCTACAGTGGCTACACTGGGTGGTCCGTGCGGGGCCGAACACTGCCATTTCTGCCCACAACTTGTACTAGCTGTAGGAAGCCTTTAACTTACTTACTATAGGGATTTATATATTTACTTAAGCGAAAGGGTGGTGGGACATGGCACCTATCTCGCTCTTCATGGATCCATTTCTTCCTAGCAAGCTCTGTATATCTACGCGGCCACCCCATTAGCAATCTCCCAACTCAAAGTATTGTTAGGCAAAATCCACTCCTCTAGCATGGGTTTCTCCTCCAGTAGCAGATCGGCTACCATTCTGCCGAAAACAACGCTGCCCCAGGCGTTCAAGTGCGTCTGGTCTGTTGGGTTCAGGTTGTACGCCTGTGCTGATGCGTTGCCGATGGCGTTGACGTAGGCCATGGATGCAGCATTGAGATCCAGGAGTGCGGTATCTGTGGTGTTGGCGGCTGCTCTTGTGGCCTGGGTGTTTGTGTATGTCAGTCACTATGAGATGCGCTTGAACAGGAAAACGTGGGCAAGGCGAACAGTTAGGCAGGTAAATTGCTTAGAGATACTCACCGTGGCTACATCCTGAAGACTATCAACTACAGTCCCCGTTGCGGCATTGAATGTTCTCCGTGTAAGTGAAGTGACTAGAATGGGAGTCCCGCCCAGAGACTTTACTTCTTCAGCCATATTTTCTAGATTGGTCTGGAACTGGGCCATGGTGATATTTGCTGCGGCTTTCTGTTCCCATGTCAGTTGTCTCCCTACTTAGCACCCCGAGACCTGTCTCTAACGTACCTGATCATTATGACCAAACTGGATCGTAACATAGACGTCGAATTCCTCAGCATTGCTGCTCACGAGATCTGTCACATCGGCCCAATCCCCGCCGTTCACGAACGAAACGGTAGTCGCGCCGTTGTGACCCTTGTTTATGCCCCACGCTGGGTAATTCAAGAAAGACAGGAACCCGTTACCCCAGCCGCCGCCGTTGGTCGATTGGATAGCTGTTGTTGAGTCTCCGGCTAGGAAGAAGGCAGGCGGTTTGCCCGTGGAGTTGAGGTAGGGTGCCGCGGTGGCTAGCATGGGCAGGATGAACCAGTATAAAACGCACTGCATCTTGAATATGAACATGTTTTCTTAGGGCGTGAGATCAGGCAAACCTCTTGTAGTAACGGGCGGTGTGAGTGACGATCCCACTTATATACTTATGTCTCCCTGGCTCATGTTTCGATCCCATCATACATCGCCTTCAGATACGCATCTCGCTATGCACTAGTTCAACATCGTATGCACCTCTCCAATTATCGGTGCAAGCAAACAGTCGTGGGCAATTTCTCCGGCATCGTGAATGACGAGTTGTGGGGTAGGGTCGCTACCATACTACTTGATGAATGCAGAGTAGCCCAATCGGTAAAGCACGTACCGAACTTTTCAGGGTGAACCAATTAGGCCCATCACGGGAGAGTCTAGGGAAACTAGCCTTGACGATGAGTGGGTGGAACTAGTTACCCCATAACGTATACCCCAGGACTTCCCCGCATACAACTCTTTGGAGAAGCGAAGGGCATAACAGGGTCCGCTCTTCCGATTTGGGACATGTTAGAAGCGGTGTTTTGGGGGGATTTTCACTGAGGCATAGAAGCGGTTGAGACGATAGACGGTTTGTCTCGGGTGGAACCATTAGGCCATTCCCGTCTGCTACATTGGAATATCGGGATATCCCATATTATCCCACACTTGGCTCGTCGGTAATGCCGGTAATGATCCATGCCACATCCATTGCATGAGGACATGAAGAACAGGGGTGATCCGAGTGGATGGGGAAGACCGGAATAAGTACGCAAAAGGGGCAGCTTGGAGGGTTTCAGCGGGTATAGAACGAATAGGGCATTTTGCGTCTCTTTCATCTGGACTAGTTATGCCCTCTGCCGAAGGCGGTATAGTTGCTAGTGTAGATAGTGAGTCAGATCCTTCCTTCCTTGAAGAGAGAGTAATATCTTCTTAACACCATCGTACGTAGCACAACGCGTAGAGCATTGTTGGAGTGTTTGCAGTATGCTGTTAACATCGACGACCTGGCTTTAAAGCAGCTGTTGCAAGACCATGAACCTTACTGTGACACTGCACTGATTACACCACTCTGAAACAGGCACTGCATCTCTATCTCTCCAAGCCACAGCCTAATTTCTCCACCGAGCTGGACAGTCTGCGGTTTCCCCTTGAGCCGTTGACACCGAAACATGCGCCAGGGAATCGCGAAGAGCGTAGGCTATTCGATCTGCTAAATGAGCAGTCCAAGTCCTCACTTCACCATAAGATTCCAGATGATGCTCTAACAGCCGCTTGCATGAGCCAAGGCCCTAGTCTCGTCCAGGTCTTGGTAGATGCTGGTGACCGTGTCTCCTCACGGCAGCCTTGAATTGTTGACTGCCTCGTTTCATAATGCTGAGGTAGGGCAGCTGCTGGTGGGTATAACACGAGCTGTCGACTGTAACTCCCTACCTAGCGTCGTCTGAGGTGGACACGAGAAGGTGGCGAAGGCGATGTTAGATGCAGGAGGCTTCGTCAATGTTCCTGCCGCCGGCCGGACGTCGTGCGGTGGCACTGCACATATATTCTGTCCGGGAAACTCCACGGCGCTCGCAAACAGCACAGAAAGGGTATGGCTCCCGTGAGTGAAGGCAGCGGTGAGATTGCCAGGCTTCTCGGGAGCATGGGGCAAAGTTGACCAGAGGCTTCCTTCGCATGACGATATCTGCCGTCCTATAGACCATTAAAAGATGCTCAAGACAAAAGCTCTAGTTATAAGAAGGAATAAAAAAGAAAAATAGAGATAATAACCATCTCGAAGATACGGGTCCCCACTTCACCTGGGTGCTTCTATCAACCACGCCGTAATTAGGCGACTGATCGTCGACCGCGGGGCGTCTGTTTCGGCACCCGCGTGCGATGGGCAGCCTGTTCTAGGATGTTTGCTTTCGGCAGGGTGGAGGTTTCACCGGCCTGGCACCAACCAAGCCTCGGATCAACTCTACTCACGTCCACTGGGCCTTCAGATGGGTGGGTGATCAAATTAGTAAGTAAGTGAAATAGGAAATGGACCACAGGGACCTAGTGAATATTCAGGTGCCAGGCTTGAAGTTATCACCAACCTCGCCGGCGCTCTATTGGCCCTTTTGACCTTCGTCGCCCCCTTCACCCTCATTAGAGTCCTGACCACACCATCACCAGCGCGGGCGAGACTATTGAGGCCATATGAATTTTTTTTAGCGATGCAACATATATAAGTATACTACTGTATCACATCATAATCCAGTCAGGCATGGGAATAGGGGGTCAGGAGGGAACATCAGCAGTCCAGCCGACCAACCACAGAACGAAGTGTCACCCTGGTTCGCCAAATCCAAAGATAAGCTAACGAAGCGTGAAGTATGTCTTCAATTCAAATACATGCCATAGTCATCCTGGTATATCCACCACTGTAACGCATCTATATATGTTTTGATCAAATCATGTCCCATGCAATCCCTGACCCAGTGCCCAGAGTCCCATCCCAGCAAGCAGAAGACCACGAACAAACCATCGAATCTTCCAATAGCGACGGCCATTCGAAACAAGACACTGTATCCGGTGTGGGGGGGATCATGTTCTGCTCAATACCCCCGTGACATGAAAATGTGTTCAGACAGCCACCCCAAAAGTTCCCAAGGTATATAATATAGCCCCATCCGATCGATGCATGTTGTATGAAATCGCCAGCCCAGCCCAGAAAACAGATCGAACTTTCTATTAAACGACCAGCGGGTGAAAAAAAGGAAGCGTATATAATAAAAAGGGAGAAGGGAAAAAACAGGCTTGATAGCTGTCCAGCAACCAAGGAACAAAAATAAAAGTAAAGGAAGAAGCACTGCAAACTTCGTCGCAACGGGTCATCTCCTAACACCAACCCTCACTATCCTTGGTGTGACCCATCGTCAAAATCCGTATTATATCCCCAGCGTCATAGATGCCGTCAGTCGTGTCTTAAACGTAGATTCGATGGATTGTTCGGTGTTCAACTCAGTCCCATCATCTCATTCTGCCTCAAGAAAGTCTTGGCCAGTTCATCCCCACCTTGCTCCGCCGCCTCCATCCAATGGATAGCGACGCACATCAAAGCGGGATCATTCCTCACATCACTATCCTTGCCACTTCCCGTGCCCTCCTGGCCAACGCCGCCACTGCCCAGGGATAGTTGTGTCACCGAACGACTCAGGCGTTCACCAGGGTGCCGGGCACTGCTCCCCGGTCTGGCACCGTATTTCTCCATGACGGCCTGTTTGAACACCTCGCGCGGCTTGGAAAGAGGTAGCGTTGTCCGCTCCACCAGCTCAGGGTTGCTGAGGTTGAAGAGTGCTAGTTCGCGCTGCGCCGTGGGATCGCCCTCCTTAGCCGTAATGGTCCACATCCGCGCCGCGTCGCCCAGCTGGGGTGGCGGAGGGCTGCGGAGTGGGGAATCCGGGTTTTCTTCGCCACCACCTGACGGCTTCCGTGGTTGCGTATGTACTTTGACAATCTCATCGGCCACTTCAACCATGGTGCGGCAGACATCCTGCTTGAGAGATAGAGCGGCGAGACCGGCGTCCCAGAAGGCCTTGCCCTTTTCTGACTTGTCGAGTTGAGAGGCAGGCACGAACGAAGCGATGAATTGGAGGTCGCGGAACAGCGTCTTGGGTCGGATGCCAGCATCGCGGAAGAGAGTTTGCAGGATGTTGACGATGGCATCCGTGTTGGCCGGGTTCACCGACACCATGGAGCGCGCATCGGCATTCGCTGCCGAGCGCGATGGGGGAGCCAAAAGTGGAGCTTGGAAGGCGTGTGACCTGCGTTCCTTGACGCTGTCCACCGTTTGGTCCAGAGCGTTCATATTGCCAGCGCCGGTGCTGTCATCCTCGTGCGGTGAAAGCTGGTTACGGAGGCTCCACCTAGACCTGCGGCCACCAGACGAAAGTGATGCCACAATGAGGTGTTTTAGTTCGAAGAGGGCGTTCATCTTCATGTGCGGGTTTGGATGTACGCAGAACATGCGCAGCAGTCTTTGGTACGCCTTCTTGTATGGAAATTCTGGTGGCTCATCCTTGCTCGACTGCCGGCTGCGCGCTGGGATGTTGTCGCTTGTTGTCGCCGAGCTATCGTTGCTCTGCGCCGCCTGCGATTCCAAGTGTTCGGCGTCCACAGACTCGCCGGCTCCACGCAGATTGCCAAAACTCTTCTTCTTTTCAATCACTCGGTGTCTCGTAGAACTCTTGCTTGTTCTGGTCCGGTCTTTCTTCACAACCAACCGCCGTGCCTGGCGTTCATGCGCCTCCCGACGATCGATACAGTCCTGACCCAAGTCCTTGAACCAAGCATCCGTCTCGGAACCGCCCGAGAAGACGTGATTACCGAGGTCAGAGAGCAGCAGACTTGTCAGCGTTTGCCTGAGCTCATCGAGGAAACGCTGCTTCTCTTCCGAAAGACGTTGAAGGTGGATGGTCTCGTTGGAAGATGTCGAAGTCCCCGGCCGTCCACCCGAGGGTTGAGGTGGAAGTTGTCGATGCTGCGGGTACGAGAAACATGAAAGATTGGTGATGCTGGTGGTGGGCGACTGAGCACGAGAAGTAACGGAGCTCGTGGAGGGCATGGTGGACTGGAAAGGTGACCAGAAAGTAGTGCTCGAGTCGATGGCATGAACAGGAGACGCAACGCCAAAGTAGTCACCGGCGTCCAGGATGTCCGACATGGTCGTGCTCGCCCTCGAAAAGTTGTACCTCGAATCAACCGATAACTGGCTGACATTGTGCGTCGTCATCGCGCGGAAATCTCGGGCGATCGAGTTCGGGCGACTTGACGACGACATTGACATCGCATATCTCCGTTCTGGGTCGCTAACCACGCTGAAGGAGTCCTCTCCGCCCCAGTAGCTGTCCCTGTCCCTGTCCCTATCCCTATCCCTGTCCTTGGCTGTGGCTGAGGTGGGTTTTGTGCCTTCGAGGGCTTTCCGGTCCCGCAAGTACAGCTCGCTTGCCCAGAGCACCGGCCCGTCAATGATGCTCTCGCCAACGAGTTTACCAATGCAGCTTTCCACCTCGCAGCAGAAGCGGTGGATTCGCTCCTCGCCCTTGCAGAAGTTCTCAACGCCTAACTGCTCCAGCCATTTCGCTGTCTTTTCTGCCTGGTCGTCGCTGAGTTTGTTGGGGCCACCTTGTTCTTCGCTGGCCGCTAGTAGATCCAGCATTTGCGACTCGTTCTTGTACAGGTAGTTGGCAGCAGGACCACGAGATAGCTGCGCACGTGTACGCTGGAATGTGCCCCACCGCCTGGGAACGCCCATAATCTTCAAAGCGCTGCAGATGCTTCGCGTGTGCTCATAGGGCGCCGAGTTGTGCACGTCAGTCACATACCACATCTTGTCTCTGATAGCCCGGAGCCGCTTCATCATGGACTCGATCAGACCCTCATGGCGCTCTTGGCTCTGCTTGAGCCACACCAGCCATGCATCGTATTCTTCAATAGCAGACGCGGACCGACGGATCGAGTCTCGAGGCCCCCGAGAAAAGATGTTGAGGAGGGTCGCGAACCCGTTCTTCCGCAGAGAAGGAGAAGCCAGAGCATTGAGTTGTTGTAGTGTTTTCCAGTATAGGTGAGCAGACACAAAATCCGCCTGCACCCTCGACTGCGACGAAGCCGCTTCCAGCATGGCCATAAGTACCGATGGAGGCTCGGACCCCTCCGAGCCTTTGCCCATGGCAGATTGCCTCGCTGGAGACCCCATTCTTTGCTTGGATGCCCTGTCTTCCTCGTCACGCCTCCTGTATGGATTGCGACTGGCCATGGATGATTCAGTTGTGATGATCTTGCTCTTAGACTTGTACTTCTTGAGGCCTGAGGCTCGGTTGCTAAAGGTCGTCTTCGCCCCATCATCTTCAAGGCCCCGCGGAATTTCGAAATCTTCCACGAGCTTTAGGATCGAGTCGCGCAGCTGGTGATAATCCTTGTCAAGCTCTGGTCTATCCTCCGGATCATCATCCTCGGTGTCACTTGTGGTAGACGAGTTTTCCTCGTCCGGGTCGTCGTCTGGATCGTACGTCATTTGCATAGAAAGACTGTTCCCGTTTGCAGAAATGAAGAGCACGGCCCATCGCTCCGCGCATGGATGGCAGGAGCCAGAGACAACATCAGCGCCGAGGATCTGGACCATTTCATGCATGGCAAGTCGGAGTCGGTATCCATCCTCCTCATAGTTGCTCAGATGCTTCTGGCTCGCGGCGTCATGGACTGGAGGGGAGTAGCGTTGCGGCGTACCCGGAACTTGATCCTCCAAAAGGGGCTCGCGCGAGGTTGTCGCGTCACTCATGACGGAAGACGCACTCATGCTAATCACAGATGCCGTGTCAAAGTTGCTCCGTGAGGTGCCAACCGAGATAGGTTGGGATGCTGTGGAAAAGCCTGATATTGAAGGCGCTCCAGAGCGAATGCTGCCCGAATGGGCCGATTGTGGCCTTCTTTCGGGAAACAAAGCATTAACCAGGGTAAGCAGGTCAGCCGGGCTGATGACCAAGTACGGATGAACTTCTACAGTTTCCCGCAAGGACGTAATGGAACGGGCCGGTAGTAGCCTCGTCGTTTTCTGGGCTCTGGAGGGTTTGAAACGTCCCAAAATGTTCTCAATGTGGCCTTTCACCTTGGGAGGGGTAGAAACCGGCTTCTTGGGCGTGTTCCAGGTCATGTCAATAACCAGCTGCTGCGCTCTCTGCGCAACTTGTTTGAGAATCTTCTGTCGTCCGTACTCGGTGATGTGGTATTCCGACATCATGCCGTAGCTTTCCGGATGAACGACGACGGCGATCAACCAATGAGAAAAGAGCCACTTGCAAACGAACCATCGTTTGGTGCTCTCAACAAACCCGCTGTCAAGCCGCCGGAGGATTTCATTACCCAGCTCGACCAAACCTTCGGGGATGCCAGTGGCGTCTTCGTCGTCGATGATTTCGAAAAGCTCATTGATGGCCCGGTCGTAAAACTCGTCGGCCGCCACGTTATCCTTGTGAGTCCATTCCGAGATGTTGAACCTGGTCCCGTTTTGGTCCTCTGCTCGGTCGAGCAAGAAAGCTCCGTCCTCCAAGATCTTCATGAGGAACCACTCCATGTTGGAGCGGCCAGACCAATCACGCATGGACGACCAGACATTGAGAACGGAGGTCAAGATGGGCTCACGGGCGGAATTGGACTTAGCTTCTGAGATCAGCCGGGCACAGGCGTTGGCCCAGATGTCCGTTCTTCTCCTGTCCTCGGCGCTGTCCGGCCCAGCCGAATTGGCGAAACAGGTATATATGAGGGCCGACAGCGGGTCGTGTCTTTGGAAAGAGAGAAGCCGCTCGATAGCATTGGGGGTGTGCCCAGGATTCCTATTGGCACTGCTGCCATGACCACCACGCCCACTGGGGCGGCTGCTGAAATAAGGCAACACAGACTCGATCGGATCCAATCCATGGTGAAAAGTGGTGAGAGCCTGGAGCTCCAGGCTGTTCAGAGAACACAACCGTGTGGCCAAATAGTCTGGATTGGTTCGCAGCTGGGTTAGGAAGTTCAAGAAGGCCTCCCTGGCCGAGGCAGAGATGTCATTCAGGAACGGCGCAACCGAGCTGTTGGGAGATATGCTTCCAGCCACGCTGGTAGGAGTTTCCAAGCCTTCTGAGGACGTCATTCCTGGGGACTGAAGAGCATCCATATCCGGCTCCAAAAGCGCAAATCTGCGCGTCGCATCGCAGCTGTTTCTGACATCGTGGATGGCGCTGAATAGGTTGGAGAAAGCCTTCTTATCCTCGTTGCGGAAACATTCAGCTAGATTCCTCTGGGTTATCTCGCCGCAGCGAGTCAGACGCGCCGAGAGTGCAGTTGCCACCAGACTCCGCTGGAGTCGTATCCTGGTGTTGGCGCGCTTGCGCTCCTGGTACTTGGACAGGCGCACCAGGTGAGCGAGCTCCTCGAGGGTGGTGCCCTCGCTCTCAAAACTCGAGTATGCATTGGTATACAGGGATACGTCGGCCAAGAGCGGTTGCGGAAAGTTGGGGGGCGAAGCGGTACCCTTCAACGCCGATGGAGGCGTATTGGGACGGGAGGAGTTGCGGACCTTGGTGGAAGAGGTGGCGGTTCCCGAGTGCTGCTGGGCTATAATGGGCCGCTTTTGCGCACTTGCGCTCGAATGTTGTTGCTGCTGCTGCGGTGATCCGTGTCTTTCTTTCTCTTCGCTGCGACGTGCGGGCAGCACCATGCACGCGACCGAGTCTGGCAGTCGGGAAAATTGGCTAGGACTTCGTGAGTGCAGGCGGCGCTGCCTGGGAGCATCCTGTCGGCTTTCGGGAGAAGGAGTAGGCGATCTCGAGGAAAGATGGGTGGCGGTGGGAGAAACAGCTATTGCAGAAGCGGCCATCAGTCAGCGAGGCTGTTCAGATTGCGGGACACACATGCATGGCTGAGTGTTGTGCCGTCTCCTTCTGTTGGCAACTCACGCGGCGAAGACTGAATGCAGACGGGAGACGAGAGGGAGCGTTGCATGGAAATCATGATGGGCCATATGGAGGGGCGACGCGCGCGCAATCACTCAGCGCGGCCAACAGCATGGATAAGTCGAAGTCTGCTGGACCGTCGTGGGAAGAGAGCGTGCAGTGCGAAGTTAGCGTTGACAAGTCGAGGAAGCTCGATTACTTGGTCGTCAAAATGCGAATGCTCGTAGTCGACTATGTATGTATTGGCCGATCCGGTAGCTGTCTAGTACGAAGTACTGGTTAGGGCGGGGAGTAGTGGAAACGGTCGGGTCGCGGCACTTGAAGTGGGCAGGGGAGCTTGTCGCAAGTGATGACTCTGGGGTCCTCTCACATTCCTTCAGCAGAGCCGGCGACCAGCAAGTATATAAAGCAGTGCATGTCGAGTGGGAAAGAAGGTTGATATTGAGGTACAGAAGACAAAAACGGGACCAGAGACGACACAAGCACAAGAACATGTCTTCGTCGCCCACCAGCTGCTGTTGCTTGCTGCTGTTGCCGCTGCATCTTCCCTGTCCACGCTGGCCAGAGCACAACAGCATGTGTTGTATCGCGCCCGCTGTTGGTGGCCGGCGTGGGGTAGGAGATACACCCAGGCCACTAGGCCCAATAGAGCTAAGCCGTTGCGGGCGGGACAAGCCACCATACTGGTCCACACCTTGTTGCTGTCCACGGCCGAGGTGCCACACCATAAAGTTTTGGTACAAAGTACGGAGTACTTGGGCAAAGTTGCACCAGCCTGCTGTCAAGTCGGTCAAAAAGAAAGGCGGTAAAACTGACAGATTCTTCCACTCCAGCATCGTGTTGGCCGCGAAATGGTTTTCTTTTCCGTCTGAGCGGCCGTCGTCGGAGGCAATGACGTCTCTCCTTCTCTTTTTCTTTTCTCAGCTACTACTACTCGGCCCAGTAGGAATTGCGCTCGGTCACTCCCTCTAGTGTCCAAATTAATTAATTGAGACTTGCGCTTCCGCCGTGGTTATCCACCCCTCGAGTGTTGCTTGCACTCCTCCGCTCGTTGTTTCGCCTGTCGCTCGGCTCTTCACATCGACAACACACTGCGCGCAAACCATGGAAAGAAGGCAGCCCAATAGTCCAAACAAGCAACGTCAGCGAGTCGTCGGGTAGACACCGGGTCATGTGTCCTCTTGCTACTCTATGCATCTCCCTATCAACTCTGAGTACGCCAGCAACCGAAATGGCTCGGCGAGCGGCTACGGGCGAGAGGCCATCGAGAGGCAATGACCTGGCGGCCTTGGGTGTGCATCTCGCAGCTTACCGCTCGCTGCAAGTCTATGCTTTTTGCCTTTCCGCCTTTTCTTCTTCGCGCTGGCGTTCTTCTCACGACAATGCCCATCAAGCCCCCTTGGCACACCACGGGTTATCGATCGTCCCCCGTGAACGGTGGGGGGCGAAGCTAGACCTCGCGCCGCCCAATCCGCGTCTACCACGCTTCCCACCAGGCGAGGTGCTTGCCAACGCATCATGGCCCAATCGCCGCCCCCAGCCCACCACCAACCCAACACGGCATATCCCTGAAAATTGTCTGCCCCGACCAATTGTCTGGGCTCCTTATTTTCTCGTCCGCTAGATTGGCTGCCATTTCTCACCACCCATCCCCCCGTTTTCCCACTCCTTCTCAACCATTGGGTATCTTGGTATGCAGCATGACTGGCGGATGATTGACACCAGCATGGCAACGGGGCACCAAGGCAGGGTAAGGGTTGCTTACACTATGGGGCCCAAACGAAACTCGTCTGCTGCCACGCTTCCGCTCTTCCATCCTCAGATGAACCGTGGCAAGCTTTCCTTGCCGTTCGTATTCCCCCTTTCAGCCTTGCACTGGCCCTTGTGCTGCACGTCAGATGCGAGTACCAGGTAGCGGTGGACCGTTTGCGAATCCGTTCGCACAACAGTTTGCATCTTTTTGGGTCTTTTCCCCTACGCCAACGGACGTTGGTCCCTTGGTATTCTGCTGTCACGGCTGACCCATTCCGCTCGCGTGGTTGACGGGACCCAAGTGGACTTGAATCACCTCGGCTACACTTTGCCAGCTGAATATACGGGCTGGGGCACATTGAGAACCAGTCATTGGGATGCGCAGGTCGGTAGCAACTGTGCCATATCCACTTGGGGAGGGTATTTCCACCACCAGTTGTCAGTTCAGGCATATGTCACATGAGCAGCCGGTGTCATGTGAGAAACGGCACAACATGAAGTCCCTGCTAGTTACAAGCATCAGCGCGGCTACTCCATCAATTTGTCCAAATCTACACCAAGGCACAAGCGCGCTTGTTGGACTACATCTAGAGAAATACCTCAACCCGAGGAGGCCGCTTGGCGCGAAGCCCGTGTTCTTTTGTTGATTACGGGCATACTCAAGAATGGAAGTCGCAAGCAACTAGTAGACGTTGTTTCTTTGTGACAGTACCAAGAACCGAGTATTGCTGTTAGCTAGCCTGATATCGTCTAGGGGTTGTCCGGTATTATCAGGGTTCAAAGCTATGCAGGCTCCTGAGTAGGCCACGAATTCAAGACCCTCGAGCATGCCCGATGCGAATACTGAACACATCATGGCGAATAGGGTTGAAAGGCGAGAACGATCTTATGTTATGTTGCTGACGGACGTGCTCCACTAGGTCCAGCGCCTTGGTCAAATTCAATACGGTCGAGTCGACAAGCCTCTCCAGTCAAGTCTTTCTAATATGTACGGTGCACGGAATAATATTTACAACGAATGCCCAAATTGATTTGGCATGAGGCCACCTTTCGGGTTTCCCGGCCCATCCAACCCAAACTCAGGGGGCGTAGCCCTTGAGAACCGAGTCATAGTACGAGTATGCTACACCACTCGGCGGCTCGAACGAATAGATGTAGTCGCCCCACCATGGGCCTCCTCCCCACCACATGGCACCCATCCAGACGTCAGAGTTGGCCTTGAGCTGGTCTAGCATGCCCACGATAGCGGACTTGCACTGCGTGTTGGCGCCACCGGCGAATTCGCCAATAATGCCCTTCTTGCCGTTGGCCTGGAGCCATGCCGTGGCATCGGAAATACGCTCAGCGCCAATGGTGCTCGAGACGCAGACGTCGGAGGTGCCTGAGCCGTCCGAGTCGAGGTACTGGTGCATCTCGTAGACGATCTTGTCCTCGGTGTCGGTCAAAGCAGCCAGGTTGGTGTTCACGGTAGTCCAGGTCCAGGCGCCCGAGTACGAGTTGCCCTCGACGAAGATGTACTGCGAGGTGGCCCCCGCGGCACGGATGCCGTCGATGGCGGCCTGGTTCATGTTGAGCACGACCGTCTGGTCTTCGTCATGGTACTCGTTGTTTGTGTCGAATATGACCTTGGCATTGTCGGCGAAGGCGGTGGCCAGTGTCTTCCAGAAGGTCTGGAACCCGGCCGTGTCGTTCATGATGGCGCCGTTGTAACGGCCGAAGTTGTGCGGGTCCAACACGGCGTACGCGCCGGCTGACGTGATGTATTCGATGCTCGCCGTATAATTGGCCAGGTAGGCGGCGCTAAACGTGCCCGTCAGGCCCGAGGGCGCCATGCGCTCCATGAGGAAGGGCACGCGGAAGATGTTATAACCTTCGGCGACTAGGGTCTGCTGGCGGTAAGTACTAGTGTGGAATCAGAGAAGGGTTGGTCAGGCTTACGTCTATGGTGCTGTCGGACGGGAAGATAAAGTCGGTACCGTAGGCACCAGGAATGGAGCCCTGTCCAAACTCGCCACCTGATTCATTAACACCGAGCCAGGTGAGGCCGGTGCCGTTGCCGCTGCCGCTGGCTGCAGGAGCAGTTGCTGTTGCCGTTGCTGTCGTCGCCTTCACTGTAGAAGCCGTTGTGGTAGTTGCTGCGTTCGTGCTTGTCGAGGCTTTCGTCGACGTCTTCAGAGTGCTGGCTGCTGTTGTCGTGGCGGTGCTCGGCAGGCACTGACTGTAGTACTCGTTCGACTTGACGCATGTGTATCCGCTGACACAGGTGGTGGCGCCTGTCCAGCCCACGCCGCCGCATTGGGCCCAGGCGCTGCCCTGGGCAATCGCAGGCCCGGCGAGGGCACTGATAAGAAGGAGAGACCTCATGCTAGGTGTGAACTCGATGTTGAGAGATGCTGACTCCTGTTAGCCAAGTCCAGAAAGCTTGGAGCTACTTCACGCTCCATCCCCTCCTGTCTTTATACTTGCCTCATCGCTGAATTGCACGTGGCGTCGTCTCTGCCCCTCGAATCATCTAGGTAGCGGAGTCCCAATTTGTTTCACGTTCGATGAATGTTTGTTCGGCACGCCCTACCGGGACTAACCTTGTTGAATGTGCTGTACCTGGCTCCGATCCCTAATTCAGTGGCACACGTGGAGAAACAAGCTCCTGGCCGTCCATTGTGATTGAAGGAGATGGGATTCTGTGTCATATAAAAGTCTATATTGGAGTTTGTTGTACTCGATTCGGCGCTAGTGGTGTTCCTCGTCTCATGTGCAGACCGTGGACCCGATGGGGCGGACGCACAATCTCCGAGCCAGGCACGCAGGAGGCACCCGGGCCCGGTCATTCATCCCGTTGGAGCGTGCGGTTTCTCCTCCAATCAATTCGAGGCAGGCTAACTTCGATCAATTCGTAACATTGCCAAGGCATGCTGGTCATTGCTGGATTTGGTTTTGATGGCGTATCCGTACGTTTGTCGTACGAATACGCTACCAAACTATCAATATGAAAATCAGGTGTTTTGTTCTTTCATTTATTTTACTTGTTGTGGGCAGGTGGTACGTAAGTCGTCTGTTTCGACGTCCCAAGGTCCCTACATATCAGGCGCTGTGTCATCCGTCGAGCAACATGCAATATTGTTGCCTACCATCACCTCCAACATGTCTCGGAGAGTTGAGGGCCGCTTAGCTCGAATTTGGCACTACGCTGTCATGTTTGGATTCAGCTTATTCTTGCGGGCGTCGCCAGAGCGGCCCATGTCCGTGCAACCTCCACCATGATGACAACTGCTGTAATTTGGGTGTAGATATCGTGACGCCATGGTGAGTGACTATTTAGGTACACTCCACCTCTAACCTACCTTAAGGTACGTGCATGGCAAGCAAGTAGATACCAACTCACCCTGGTGAACTCATGATGTTGTATCATAGTCATCAGGTGCAATAACCATGTCAAATCAGTTTGCTGCACTAGAATCCTCATATTAGCAATTACTCTGGTGATATGAAGTACCTCTCCTGCACAACCCATAACACTGTGAAACAGCAATTCGCAAAGCAATCTTGAAGCCAATACTTCGAGTAATTGCAAAATGCACCCCACCAAACTGTTTCGTTGTTAATCCTTGCTTCGCCAACATTGAACCAAAATAGCCAGCCGATGCCTGGCTGAGATCACAGACTTATGAGAAATCGCGGCGACTGGACGAATGGCTATACGTCTAATAAATGCCTAGGCACGACGACATACGGATGTTGGATGGTGAATTTGCCTAGTTAGGTGATAGATAAGTATGTGTGGTGCTCAAGTCAAGTGGAAATCTAACGAACTTTCGTACGCAGGTGCTTTCCTTACCAGACTTCTCAACCGTCTTGCGCATGAAACTCGAGTTGAGTCGCACAAATGTCGGTTAAGGGATAAATGTCTTCAATATTTCCAGGTGCACCGTCTCCGTCTCGTGGTATTCCCAGTTGATCGTCTATGCTTGCTGGACGAAGCTAAGTACGAATTCAACCCAGTGCTTTGCTTCGTTCGCCGGGTCGTCTAAACTCTACGGTTCTACGCTGGTCGTGGACGTTCATGAAGTTCCATGGCACATATTGAAACTGGACCAACGTCTCGCGGATCGATTTCTTCTTTTTGATCCGACTAGAAATGGAGAACAATGGCTTCCACGTGGCTGTTGCCATTTTCTGGTATGCATTCTTCAACCTTCTGTTATTTACCGCGTGCATACTGTACACTGCATATGGGTGGTCCTTGCGGGTTGCTGGCATCACTTTTTGAAAGCATCATCAAAGTAAGACATAGTGTTCATGTTTTTCGTTAGGTCCGCCAATGTGCACAGCCGTCGTCAAAGCGAGAAACGCGGATGTGCTTCGAGGAGCCTGTTGGACCAAATCACCGTCAAAAGACGAGGGACCCACTGGTATTAGAATGAGGTGTTTTTGGTAGTTATAAGATCTGATACCTGTCGTAGCACTGATATCGCAGCAGTGGGTTAGAACGTGAGTGAAATTTTGGAGTTTATTCTGTCAGTCATTGGTTGTTGCTATAGCTGTCAAAATCAGCCCTTTGCTGTCTATACCACGTTAGAGTCAGATGGAGGTGTTAGAGGGCTCGGCGGTCGACGAAACTCAAATAATCCCGGTACCTCGTCAAGGGAGCCTCATCTATCCCCGTCCATTTTTCGCAGTTCCCTGTGGATGCGGTTGCATAGATATTGGATTGCGTCCAGCTGCTTGGTAACTACACCATACAGAACGGCCCTGTCCTTTTCAGTAAGCATGTGGCCTGGACGTGTATTTGCGCCATCCCGTTCTAGCCGCTAGCCACCAAGCGCTCTTTGAGAAGATCCTTCGGCTTTATGAGAAGCTCAATCTCTATATTAAACGGCATTTTGGCCTTTGGGGGACACGATGTCATGCTCAAAACAGGTAATGGTTTGAGGGGGGCAGGTGAGGTTTCTGCCTGGCTTATATTGCTTAGGGCAACAAATTATGTCGCCACTTCAAATTTCAAGAGCTATTCAACAGGACGCATATTGCGGCTTCCTTAAGGGGTGTTTTTTTGGCTTCACTCCTGGATACAATCAGCTTGCGCTTCCAAGGGTCGGCTTAGAGCTACTAACGACCAATCGTTCTTGTTTGCGGGAATATGCTAGCTGATTGTTGCTCTATATGTACCTTTACAACCTACCTTCATACCTGCCTTGGCCTTGGGCAATTCGCTCAAGTATCTTAGGTATGTCTGATAATATAGCGGCACAACACGGGGGACCAGATAAGATAGGAAGGCCTGCGCGTGAACCTCCCAAGCACGATCTGCCTTGCGATACCAGTAGCAATTCGTACCATCGAGAAACCAGAGAGTCATCGAGAAGGATCGAACCCTTTGATAAATCTTCCCACCTGAGACTCATCGCCATTGACAATCGTATCCGAAGACTGCGACACCATATAGGCAACTCTCATTTTGAAGCAGATCCAGACTGGACATTACCTTGGCCTAAGAAGTCTAGGTTGCTGCTGTGGCTGCCTACAGCACAGGAAAACCACCGCCACAAAAGCGCCGCCCGGTCATCATCGACCTCAATGGCTCACCTCCACGCCCGAGAAGCTGCAAGAGCTCGCCGCCTACCTGATCTTCCCATTCCCACGATCACCACTATCATGAACTATCGATAGAAGGACAACCGGTAGACCAAGGGCAAAGTTGAGAACGACCCATCTGCGGAGAACCTCCAGATTTGTGACATCAACAGGCAAGAGTACGCAAGTACGCCGCCGAGTTTATGGGTGAGAGGATTATGAGGGATTGCGTTTGGTTCTGTGGTGCCAAGAAATACGTTACCAGAGTTTCATCTATTAAAGACCACGCGATGCGGGTGGAAGAGGGCCAGGACATGGAGCCTGAGGCCGTTCGCGAGTTAACAAATGGACAGGATCCAAAAGACTTGGTTGAATAATTTCAGTGATAAGAGACATGTCCTAGCTTAGGATCGTAAAGTATACACTAATCGCTTGGCCTCGTGCACAGAAGATTCTTTCGCACAATGCCACTTTTAGCTGCACGGGTAATTCACCTGGTGTCACGCCTGGTCAACAGCATCACAGCAAGGGAAGGGGACAAAGCCGAGAGGAAACAGGTTGCGAACACCAGAAGTGGGGAGAACATAAGCAGATGTAGTCTATGGAAGGTTACTAGTCAACAGCATTGACTAGTATGCCCCAAGTCTTCGGAGCGAGTTTGTTTTAGTTGATTGCCCTGTCCTCATAACCCATTTGTATTTGCATGAAGTGTTGTTGTTGCTAGCGGGGTTTGAGTTCGTGGTTTGTTTCGACCACTAGTAGGGGTAATTACCCCCTCATTGCACGGCGGCCACGTGATGCCCCCCACTTCCATGACCCCCTTAGCCCCTCAGCTACCCCTGAAAAGGAAACAACTACAACCATGTGCTCTTTCCTCGCGGCAGTTCTCAACATTGCACCCCCCCTCCGCTTCTTCACAATTCCCAACACCAGCCACCGCCATATCAACGACGTTGAGGACCGCATCATGGACGTCGAGGAGGATCAGCACCACCCGCAGTGTTCATGGGAGGAGGAGTACGCGCGGTCCCTGCGATCCGCCAAGCGCCAGCGCACGGGCGGAGCACCCCGTGGGGCAGGAGGAGGGGGAGGGACTGGGCAGAGCAGCCAAGGTGCCCTAGGTTCGAGCGACAGGAACGGGCACAAACTCGCGCCTTTTTCCTGCCAGCTGTGCAATCGGAAGTTCACTCGTCAAGACCACCTGAAGCGGCATTATCGCTCTCTGCACGCCCAAACCAAACCTTTCGACTGTCCCGACTGCGGCAAGAAGTTTTCGAGGAAGGATAATCTCACCCAGCACTTTCGCATTACGAAGCACACGGGTCGCAGCGCTGCGACTTTCACCCCCGCGGTGAAAAGCCCCGGGGTCAGCTCTGCGCAAGTGGCAATTGCACCGATTCCCTTGCCCGTTGATGGCTCCACCAGAGAGAGAACGAAGTCCGTCCCTGAGGTGTCGGGCTACTGGCCCCCGAAGACGGCAGCAGTGAAGGATGAAGATGAGGTGTGTAGTCTGGACACGAGCATGCCGCAGAGCCCCCACGAGGACCCAGAATTAGATGAAACCACCGGGCAAGTCGCGCCTCTACCGGAGCGACTCCAAAGACTGGCCCGAACGCGAGCCCTGCTCAAGGGAGAACTTCCACCCCCTCCAACTTGCACACTTCCCAAAGTCGATGGCAAAGGATCTCCGCCAGTCGACGACCCACGCACATATTTACCCGACATGTTCCAGTTCAATGGTTACGACGAGGATGGCGTGCCAGATTTCGACCTGCGCTACGACAGCCCGCAATGGCCAGATGATCTGGTTCGCCGCTTGGTTGCCATCCACTACTGCGGCGCATGGAAACAGAATGAAGATGATACAGTCTATATCGCCATGTCTCACACCGAAGGGCTGTACAATGAGAAGACCGAGTCCTACGATCACGAGATTAAGGTCGAGGGCGTATACAAAACGCTCGAAGCGGCCAATGATTCCATCATGGATAGATTTGAGAGAGACTTCAGCGATATGCTAACTTACGACGATGACGAGTACTCCGAGAGTGGCAATCTGGTCATGAAGGACATTTTTCAGGCTGCCAAGGGCACGGTGTTGAACGACTATGGGGCCGGGTGGTGGGTTGATGCTGACGGTTGTCTGTCACTGACTGCCTTTGAGACGGGCTTGGTGAGGTTTTGGGTTGTAAAGGGGAAAGTGCGTGGATGAAATGCAATAGCCTCTTCCTGTGGTCAAAAGTTCCGGTAGATCAGTCAGCTGCCCGTACCCCTGTGCCATGAGACGAAGACCTTCTCGTATCAATAACCGGCATGGACTTAAAATCCTCCTGTATCATGGCATTCAGACCGATAGGACCTTGAGGTAGTTTAGAAAAGTTTCCAATACGACCAGTCAGCATTCTTCTTCCAAAGAGCTACGCGGCGATTCTGACGAAGGCGCATTTATTTCAAGTGCAGGTGCATAGGGATTGTCGGCCTCAAGTCGTTGCTGTCGATATCATTGTCCCGGAAAAATGACTTGAACCAGATTGGATGAGTTGGGAACCATCTACATTACGACAATTTCATCATCACACCTGCGGAAGGTTTCCATTTTCAAACGGCGGCTAAAATTGATGTAACACATGTTGGATCATCCATAAGCAAGGGTGAGATATCTATGACCTCGCCAACAAGACTTGAGTTTTTTGTCTTGTATCTATTGCCTCCCAAGTTTCGGAATAGAACATCCAGATTGATGGGGCTAAGAGCTCCTGCATCAATGTGGCGGCGTTGGTGTAACAGCGGTCGAATTCAGGGGAATTTTAGACAAGACGGCTATCTATGAACTAACCTGAACGGTGTAAGAAACGGAGAGATCTGGTGTACACCGTTTTATCGGTCGATTATGCGTCGTATCTTGGTGAGTGTGGACCACGAGGAGATCTTGGTGGCGGAGGTGTTCGGGGAGAGATAGAGGTAAACGCGGTAGTGGAGGAATGTCGGTCAGCTGTTGATATTGGGCTTCACGCTCGCGAAAACTTGAATCACCAACCTGACCCTGTAGTGAGCCTTATGTCGCGTTATATTTCGAGCATCGCTCAGTGGTAGTGGATAAAGGTGGCCAGTTCCTCGATCAGCTGTAGGGTGATCGATTATTGAAGTCCTGCGCACCACCAGAACCAGCAACCTCGTGGAATGAAGATGGGATTTACACAAAAGGATTACCACCAAAGAGAATAACCTTGTATGGGAACATTTGTTACATTTAAGTCGTACACAGGTGTGATTCCGTACGCAAGGATTTCTACAACCAATCTACTGTTGCCGTCACTGCTGAACCACTATTTGCCAACAATTATGTTTTGGAAGACAGGAAAAAAGAGCGAGCCTTGGTGCGTCCGTACCGCATATGCCACTCAAACGACGGCTGAGACGAAGAGTTGGTGCTAGTGTGGGAGGGCATGCAAGAAGATTGGTCCTGAGGCCCAGAACACGTTGCGCCGCTCTGTTACTCATTCACATGTATATGGAGAAATAACGATGAGCCTTCGCCACTAAGAGTCCCGGATGGTATCCCCGTTGGGTTGCATTCTAGAGTCGACGTTAACGAAATGTTGTTCTTACCACTAAAGTTGTCGATGCAAACAGAGTGAGACAATGATGTTGAAGATGTGGAGGCTGTCGTCCTATAGATTCTAGCCGGGAAAAAGTTTTGCTGAGGACCCTGGAGGCGACCTATTTTGATTGGAGGTCTGAAACCACTGCGCTGAAACAGCCTGCGAGATACCCCTGCGGCCTGCTAGAGCTGGATGTCATGATGGGCTAGTCACTAAACGCAGTTAGCTGTGCCAGACGTTTGTACCTTCTTATGAGCTCTCTCGAAGGGATACATGCCTCATAGGAGTCATTTGCTCAGTTCTGCATTCGACGAAAAGGTTGGCTGGGTACCATCCTGCGTGTAAAAAGCCCTGTTGCAGACCCCAAACCTGATGATTCCTTTCCCCTCCTATCGCTCTCTTAAAGCCCTAGCATCTACGCACAATATAGCGATGTTTTGATCTGTTCTCCTAATTCTCACGGAATAGGAAATCTACTTGTGCAATTCTCTTACCGTTTGATGCTTTTCCTCCTCCCGTTTTGAAGTCCTTCCCTTGATGCACCTTACCGAGCCGAATTATCAACTCACTACTTCTCACCTTGATTTGCCGACTGCGCCATTCCAACACCATGGTTAATTGAAAGCACGTGGCAAGCAATAGACACATTTATGGACCACTGATGCCCTAATCTTCCTCATGCTCTAACGTTTGCACGTCTGACAGCCAGCATTGTGTCTGCTGCATCGATTCAGGCAGCACGAATACCAGATGCACCTTATATAATGAGGAGATGGGGTTCAGCGACATCCAGTTTACAGAGAATTCTTACAGGCCCTGGCAGAGATTTGTCTTCTCTTCGACTGAGTCCCCAAGCCTTGGTTGCCTGAGGCGAGGTAACCATGTCGGAGTCGAAGCTTATAACCACGAAGATGCTGTTGCCTTGAAGTATGCATTATACATGCTGGCAAGCCTACCTGATGAAGTGATTAGGAAGCATTCACCTCTCGATATCCTTAGAAATCGCGAGGATATTCAATGCCTCCTAAGCCAGCTTACAGATCTTACTATTGCTTTCTTCAACATGATTAAGAAGAAGATGAATCTTCATTGTCAGGCCAAGTACATAACGTACTACGTACTCTAAGGTAGTCCTTACTATCCCGGCCCAATGGGAGAAGTACAAGGAGATTCCAGAGTTATACGAGTCCATCATACGAAAATTTTGGACAGAATGCTGTCGAAGCATAGAGTTCATCTACGACATCGAAGCGCTCACCCACCCTTTGATTTGTGAATCATCGGATGCGATCCAAGAATGTGGCCAGGTCATGTTTTCGGACATTGGAGGGCATACTGTGGTAAGTATATCTACTTATTGATAATTAATGCCTACGATTTCTAGGCTGGGTCGACCTTTGAGTTGAGGTGGGATGGACGAGAAGATAACAGTATAGCACCACACTTTTCCAAGCCGGAGATTCATGTAGTACGTTTCTTTTCAACTACAACTAATCCGCTCGGATACAAATTAATATGCCCAGGCTGTTTTGGAGGTGGCGAGGCTTGGACCTATTTCGTTGGCGACACAATACGCGAAGAGCTGAAATCTCTTCACGGCATTGACGATGCTTCAGTGAGGTTCGAGCTTCTTAAAGGCTTTCGCCAAAAGTTTCTCAAACTCGATGTTGGGAGTCCGACACTGACCTCCCCTATAAGTGGAACAATTCCTCCCGCAACTTTGTGCTTCGGGCCAGCGTGGTAAAAGCGGCCTTCGAACTAGCATTTGGTGCAGCGCTTGAGGAGATAGATATGCAAGACGATCTACCGTTCTCCGAAGAACACACTGCTTCTAGTACATGGTGGGAGCGCAATCCACCCGTTAGTAAAGGAGAGACTACTCTAAATCGGACGCGCTAGTCCCTTCGCTACCAAACTGATGTACAATGACAAGGTGGAGACGGCGAGAAAGGGCAAATATCTAGCTGGAGGACAACCCCCAGCAACTCTCGGGACTGAGGAGTCCAGTTTTAACCAGCAAGGATTACTGACACACATGATTTCCGCTCACTCATTTATTTGTTTCAGGGACCACATCGATGAGACCATTACGATCGAGCCAGGTCGACCAAACGGGTTCAGTCCGGTGAGACTAACTGTCAGCTTTACTGCAGGCATTCTGCCAGCCCACTTGTAGGGATACCTACTTATTGCATGACGAGAGCTTCCCGCTAAATGTTTCCACTTGCAGACAGACCATGGCAGTTTGTCACGGCGGAGCTCTGGCAGTCATCCGTGCCAAAACCTTCCCGCAGTTTCTGCGGGACGGTGCTGTCATTGGCCTCCAATTCGGTGGCAACCACGGCGTGACTATCCTTATGGACAGCTTTGAAAAGGTGAGTGTTGCTCATATAAACTACGAGAGGAGACTAATTTTTGCAGGCTCGTATACAGCGAACCGTGATAATAGCAGTTGATGGCACTGGAAGCAGTGTTGATGCTAGTAATAGTGACCATATTTCCGGGTCTGCAAAAACAGTTGCTCGGCCCCGGTTGAAGATTGTCTGTGGTCCAACATTCTCAAATCGCCGAAACTTGACATCGAAAATACATACGATATACTCGAGGTGGGAGAGGTACATTCAGGCCGGTATAAGGTCCATGTGGAGGTTGATGTGGAGAACGCCGTGCTGTATTATTCACATCAGTTTGATCAGGATCCCGGCGACCCAGGGCTGGCATTGGAACTAGATGTCTACGTTGATCCTGGAATCAATTGAATGCTTGCTGTGCAATGCAGCGAGCCCAGCCATTCTCCAGGTCTACATAGGGCGGTCTAGAGGAATATATCCGAAGAGCGTGGGCAATCCTCTGAATAGATGGTAGAGGTTCTTACTCAAGGGTGTCCGTGAAAGCTATAACTATGATTGGAAGATAAGCAGAGACCTGTGTATATACGAGTCGGCTGAATACATTTCATTCCCGCAGTAGATTGCTTATTGACCACGTTATGACCATCTAGCACCACCGATTGAAACACTAAAAACCACCACACTATGCAGAACCCTGTGTGTTCACTTATACGTTATTGCTGTGGGATTTATGGCCACAGTTATGCTCTACGCCGAAGGCGGTGTAGCGGCAAGTGTAGCTAATGGGGTCAGGCCCCTCACACCTTCAGATAGCTTTCTATATAGCACTTCCGTCAACTAACGCAGCACAACGCGTAGAACAGACACAGCAATCAATACGATATTCGCACAGAGTTATCAGTAGAGGGTTGAGATCCCTCAATTGCGTATATAATACAATTAACAACTCTCGAAATATCTCATTTTAGAGATTACTAGGCGCTCTGTAATTTTATGTAGGTCACATGGTATAGGTAATTAAGGTTACGGGAGCCTTTCACTATTAGCATGGCCTCTAAATAGTATGTTAACATCTAACGAAAGTACAAAAGATCTGCGCGAGATACTGTGTATGTGGTATCATCCGGACGGTCTAAGAGTGCTTCACGTCTCGTCTATTCGAGCAAGGTGGATTCTCACCCCCTCAAGACGGCCTCTCCCTACCCTCTTCATCCACCACAGCCCCATTGCCATCCCCATTATCTGCTACTGCATCGTCCTCCTGTATCCCAGGATAATCTCTCTCACTCGCCGCCGGCAGCCATCTAACCACAACCGTGAACCCCAAGCTTATTAGAACCATAACCAACCAAACGAGGTAGCCTCCCAGGACCTGCGTCCTGGCCCCAACCGCAAAAATCGTCGTGAACAAGGCAGGCGTAAAGCTCCTCAATGCGCTCATTCCCGTCAACGCCAACGCGTTCAACCTCCCCAGAGTTTTCTGGCTGGGACTGACGTCGTTGAGCGCGAGTTGGATGGCAGTAAACGACATGCTGACACCGGGGCCAACCAACAAGAAGATCGGAGCGAGAATCCAGAAAGCACACTCGGCTGCGGGGGTGCCTTGGCGTAGGAGCAAGTTCAGCAAGGGGCAGGTAGCCATGACAATTGGGTACGCGTACGCACAGAGACGCATAACGCCGTTGGTACCGATGCGGTGCTGGAGCGGTGGGAATATGAGCAGTAGCCAGGAGGCCTGTGAGAAGCCGGTCAGGCCCATGCAGATGGAGATATAGAAGGGAGTAAAGCCGAAGCCACCGAGGTGGATCGGGGTGAACCAGAAAACGGGGACGATGGCTGTGTAGGAGAAGGCGAGGAGCATGATGTGGGCGTAGACGTAGAGCACGACGCCTACGCCAGGAGACTTGACGAGTTCCCAGGTAGATAGGGTTGGGGGCTTTGGGATGGAGTCGGGTTCGCCATTGGGTTCGTCGCTGCCGTCCTTGGACTTAGGTTTCAACGTTTCTTTGACGAAGAGGGCCGAGGTAACGACGCTGCTGAGACCAATGATGCCCACAACAAAACTTGGAAGCGTGTACGGGAAGTGCCTGAAAAATGCGACATTCCCAAAAGCGCGTGGGTACTGCGTCGCCGGCTCAGCAAGTGCTCCTCCAATCAAGGGCCCGATCAGAATCCCCAAATTGCCGGCAAAGGCGAACCAGCTGAAAGCCCTGGCCTGTGTCTCCTTGGTGCTGTGTTCGCTGATCATAGTCCTGATGGTGACAATGGTGCCCGCAAACACACCAGCTATGCAGCGGAACAGAATCATCTGCCAAATGGTCCTCGCGAACCCGAAAAGCGCCGTCGCGATGCTGACGCCGATCAGACTGAAAACCAGCACCGGCTTCCGTCCCACCCTATCAGCGGCCAGTCCCCATAGCATCATGACGCTCATCTGCGTCAGGGAGAAGAGCGACTCGATCAGTCCCGAGTAGAACCCCACGTCGGTGTCGGCCAGATCGGAATTGTAGATGAGCATGGCGTTGATGTACGGGAAGATGGAGAAGAAAGCGATGGGCTCCACAAGTCGCGCATAGCAGAGGAGGATGATTTGCGATCGGGGAAGCGGTTTGGAGTCTGGTTTGGGTTGTGATGATGCAGTGGAAGTGAGACCTTCAGCGACATCTGGATCCTGGGCCGACGCGATAAGCGACGACGCTAGGAGGTGTGTTCTCTCTGTCGCTTCATCGTCGATACTGGTTTGATGAGGCTTCCCGTCTGGAGCTGGACTATCAGTCGGTGTCATCGTGGAACCTGAGGCCAAACTTTCCAACTAGGACTTGGAAATACTCGAGATGAAGGTCTCACGCTTGGTTGGTTCAAGGTTGTGACCGTGTTGACGTGGATCGGCCCGCAACGTCGAAGTCACGAAGTTCAGACCAGACCAACACGGAAACGACCCCTGTCGAAGTTGCCTTGGGGCTTTGGGTTCAAGGTGAAGGTGCAGCGTTGCGTGTTACGTGTTGCATGTTGCGAAACGTATTGTTGCCTCTTTGCAGTCTCGGCGACAACGGCATTCTCGGTTGGCATTTGACCGCGCAAGGCCGGCCGTCGGACTTGGGGTGCGGCCGAACCACGTGCCTGCCGGTACCGTACAGCTAACCAAGATAAGCAGGCACATAATGCAAGAAATGATTGTAAACATGTACAGTGGTCTTATGCTTGCAGCATTTTGTCACTGTGGGCACTCTTAAGGAAAACTGCGTCGTCTCCCTGCTGTGGACATGTAATTGTAGAGCTCGAAGGTTGAGTTGCATTGATTCTCATGTGCGAATTTGAGCTTCTGCTATTCAAGTATGCAACGACCCGGAGGTCCGCCTTGTTGCGCGCTGCACCATCGCAAATATCATACATGGTAGATATACAGTCCTGTGTCGCCCAGCATCATTAAGACATTCTCTTGCATATCTCCTGATGCATCCAGAACGCCGCCCTATGCAATTGCCTCATACTTCATCTCAAATAGTACATCAAGTTGCCCAAAGGACACCTATATCCTTAATCGCGATTGCGGTTTGTCGACCATCTCCTGATCATGACTTCTCTGATCTTATACCGCTTCAGTGTCGTGGGTATGTCTTCATCGCTTCCTGCAGGCGGTGGCACATCAACATATACCAGAACCATACTTTTCAAAGCACCAGATTGTACACGGTTGATCGCATGCAGCCAATGCCACGACTTCGGGGATGCACGACAGCCCAGCGCCTTCCAGTGGGGGTGAGAGTATGACGGCATAACGACCACTGCGAACTCTCCGTGGTTGAACGCAGGGCCGCGTTGGTACAACAACCAATCACAACCGAACTTGACGCCGGGTCGTGGAACCCACCCAAGAGACCGGAAGTGGTGATACACCACGTATTGAATCATGAACGGGTCATCAGGTTGAAGGTCGCCCTTCTTGGTAGGGATGTAGGACTGCTGTCGGCAGAGACTGAAGAGTTGCTCGACCGGAAACGTGGATCCACTACATTCATCCCTCACCGTCAAAGCACCGAGACCAAACACCAAGAAGAACGTCTCCTCAAGGGTAAGCTGGAGGTGCTCTTTATCGACAAGCTCTGGGGCCCCGGCCACAACCGGCTGGGGGATCTCGGTACCTACTGCGTCCACTGGTGCTTCTACCGAAGGAACACCAGGTTCGTGAGACAGCGGTGAAGTGCCATTCGCCAACAGGCTGTCTGGAGCCTTGATGTTACCATTGGACAACGTGCATATGTTTGGGGTAGGTGGATCCGAGTTCTTGAATGTCGTCGACTCCACGTTGGGAGAGAATCGCACACTCTTTCTGCGTCTAAGCAGAGATGAAGTACCGTCTGGTGGCGAGGACGAAAGTGCGCCCTGGGGAGTCTGCGGCCGCTCGACATCATCATCGACTGGTGGGAACGGAGAAATTGTATCATTGCCGTCTGTAGTGCCATTGATTATCGTCTGAGCATCAGGCTTGAGGATGCCATTCGGCTGTCTTGGACTTTCTTCAATTGGCACCTGCGCCTCGTTGTCACCAGCAGCACCATTCATAGGTTGCCGAGCGCCGGCTTCATTCGTTGTACGTATAGACATAATCAGCCTGTGGAGATCACTTGGAGAATTGGGCAAGGTGAGTAGCTCGTTTGGCCCCACAGGCGCAACACGCATCTCCTCGAATCTGGTTCGTTGGATAAGCTCCTGCTCTTTTCTCGCGCGGTCCCACTTCATCTGCTTCCGCTCTTCACGCCGTTTCAGCGTGTACATTTCGGCCACACTCTTGCCCTTGACATCTCGACGGGCTTGCTGCTTCTTCAACCAATTGGGTTCACTTCGGCTGAAAATGCCCTTGCCGTAGAAGCCTTGTTCCCAAAGTGCACGGATAGACTTTGGGTCAGTGACATTCACAGACCTCGTCTTGGACGACCAAATGGCCTCATGTACGACAGAGGGTTCTCGAGGGGGTGAGATGGTTTGACTGATCCACGTATAGGCAATGTGCAAGAGAGAAAGCGGATTGCTTGGGTAGAAGGCAGGAAGGGGGTATGTGCGAATTGGCGCGGGCAGAGCATGGATCTGCCATAGGGCAGGTCTAAGGGGAGCTGATGACACAGAATGTGCCGGAGTCTCTGGTGCTACTGTGCGTGGTTGTCCATTTTCACGTGGTTTCGCCAATGCTGTGGCCTTTGCCTCTCCGTCAGCGTCAGCTTTCGCAACTGCGGTGAAATCGCTCAACGGGTGGGTAGTGTTTGCCATGACAAGACAGGCTTCATCCCGGTCTGTCTCAATGATGGTCAGCTTGTTGCTCTCGCAAGTATTGTCTCATCAAAAGTAGTGACATGTGTGGAGTCGCTCAGATACCGTTGTAGTCATTATGGACACTCATTGAGGGTTTGAATCCTCTAAGTTCCGAAGATAAAAGTTTGTCATCACCACGAAGGGAGTTGCAAGAGAAAACGCCCTTGGAATAGCAGTTCAATACTACTCCGCAAGGTTCTCGAGACTAATGGGTGGTAGGAGATGAGGATATTCAGTTGTACATACTCAGTTCTAGATGAGGGATATATATCCCGTTGCCACCACGGAGAAGTGATTAAGCAGGCCATTCAAGAAATGCCGTGACTCCCTGTATTAAGCATCTCGGGCATGTGGAAGGGAGAGCGGCCTGACCGAGGGAGTGATGGCAAAATGATTCGCGGTTGATTTCGGAGTGACTCTAAAGGAAAGAACTTGCATAGAATTTTCTGAACTGGAGCTTTTTTCGATCTTGGAGCGTGTCCACCGGAAAATCTCGGCAAGCTTACTCTTGGTGGGGCGAGTGGCATTTTGTGGTGTATCCGTAGCTGCAGTTGCCTCGTGCGCAGGGCAAACTCAGCGAGTCCATCAAATTTCCACGTCCATCGTCAATCTGATTGGACGGTGCGCGCGCAGAGGTGGTCATGATATTGGAATCCCGTCTCCAATGTCGTCAATGTTCCCATTGTTTTTGCATCGCTTCGCTCTGTTGAATCCTATCGTGGAATCATTGTTGTGTTCCGCCCCTTCAATGGAGTTCGCCAACAGGTCGTGACCCATCTTCGTCGTTTACCTAACAACCCCATCTACTGTGTCTCCCACCTCCTCAATCGACTTTTATACGGCAGCGCGCAAATGTTTCCTCTCGTCGAGACATTGGGTTATGCCTGTTTTAGCTGGGGCGTCTTCATCATAGGAGTCCAATGCATTGGCAATTACAACATGTCCGTACCTTGGCGAAGCTCTTGGTAGAACTGTCCTCTGACAAGTCTTTGACTGCAGCTTCAAGCACTATTCCTCGAGACCAGCGAAACCGATTTCTCCTGATCTTCCCGAAGACGACGTACCGCATGTGACCATAATACGCCCGGCAAAGGGTTTAGAACCTTCGCTCTATGAATGCCTCGCGGCATCGTTCCACCAGCACTACCCCAAGGACAAGCTGACCATCTATTTTTGTGTCGCGTCTAAGGATGACCCGGCATATCCGACCTTGAAGCAGCTGGTAGACGACTTTCCTGACTTTGACGCTCGCGTGCTGATCGAGAGCGACGACCCCGTGTTGCATGGCGAACACGGCAAAATCAACAACCTTGGACCGAACCCCAAAATTCGAAACGAGAGTCGAGCCTGGCGGGAGGCAAAGGGAGATATTGTATGGATCATTGACTGCAATGTCTGGGTTTCCAGGGACGTCATCGGTCGCATGGTGGACAAGCTACAGGGCTATATGCCAGAGGGGAAGCGTAGCAAGCCGTACAAATTTGTGCACCAAATGCCCCTCGTGGTGGATACGGTGTCGTCGTTGAGCCGCGACAGCTGGGAGAACCAGGCGCTTCTGTCTGGATCGTCCGATGCTGGAAAACGTCATGACATACCGACCTCGATCATGTCCCAAGGTGGGGGTCGGCTGGAAGAGTTGTACATGGCCACCACCCATGCCAAGTTTTACGGTGCTATCAACGCCGTAGCTGTTGCGCCTTGCATCGTGGGCAAGAGCAATATGTTCCGCAAATCACACCTGGAAATGGTGACAGACCCATCGCGGAACCCCATCCTTCCCGCCTCGGCTATGACCCAGCCCACCGGGCTCGATCACTTTTCCTGGTACATCTGCGAAGATCATCTGATCGGTGACCTGATATGGCGCTCCAAAATACCTGGGTTCAGAAATCATGGACTAGTGTGGGGGGATTTGGCGATTCAACCGATAGCCGGCATGTCAGTTCTTGCATACGTCGCTCGTCGCGTGCGGTGGCTCCGCGTTCGGAAATGGACCGTCACCTTGGCGACCCTTGTTGAACCAGGGGCGGAGTCGCTGCTGTGCTGCTTCTATATCTCGTTCGGGCTCACTAGCGTCCCTTGGTTCAATCAACGCTATGGACTTTCCCAAACTTGGGGGGCTTTGAGCCTCTATTGGACCATGGCCGTTACGCTCTGGATGACTCTGGACTATCTCGTCTACAAAAGACTACACGCCGGATACAGCATTAGTGTAGATGATAATACGCCAGGCTTCGCACGGGGGACAAGTGGTGGCGGCGTGGAAAAGAGACCATTTGGCCAATGGTTCCTGGCATGGATAGGACGTGAATTCCTGGCGCCGCCAATATGGATCTGGGCTGTCCTACTTGGGACAACAGTCACCTGGCGAGGCAAGAAGTTTCAGGTACGAACTGATATGAAAGTGGTCGCCATCGACCCGGAAAACGGTGTCGAGCGGCACGCAAAAACGAAGGGTTCGCCAACGAACAAGATAGACTAGACTGGCTTCGCAAACAGCGGCCATTAATAATAAGACACTATTGAAATATTGCGACACTTGCCTACACCTGTTGATGATGTCATCAGCAATCTTTCTGCAAGCGCATATATGGAACTCTGAGGATGCCCGGTCGGCAGAATGGGAAAACTGTCACCATCGACCGCCCTCAAGCCTCCCACACCAAACACCTTGGTGTCGCTGTTGATAACCGCCCTGGAATCGTCTTCTTTGCCCATCTTACAGGTTCCCGGCACGTGCCACAGATTCATCAGGCTATCACGGATCACGTCCAAGATCTCTTCATCCGTGTCGACGTCAACGCCCGACCAGTACTCATCGCCCAGTACAATATCCCGAACAACGTCCATATTCCATACCTCCCGCATACGGCGCATCTCGATCGCGATCGCCGCCTTCAAGTCCGCACACTTCATCAAGCAGGATAGACTTATGAGGCTATAGCCTTGCAGCTAGGGGTTACCCAGCGGCAGGCTCAGTGGGCTGCAATAACCCAAGCAACGCTGCGTCGTCGCTCTGGCCGGCCCGCCTTATTAACTCCAGTCCAGGTTGATGAACTTGTCGAGTTTGTATGCGCCTCACAGACCAACCGACGGGTGTCTTACTGAATATCCCTCGAGCCCTAGACTGGGACTGGTCTAAATATGCAGTTCGATATGTATTACGCCGCGCCGGCTTTAAGAGATACGTTGCACGCCGGAAACCTCCGATATGTGACGCTTTACTAGTGCGACGGTGTGTCTGATGTCGAGTCGAGTTCCATAGTGCTTCCCCATGCAGCAATCCGAGGAGCAGCTGAAGACGGATGTCTACCCAGACTTGCTTCTACCACCTAAGGTTACGTTCAGGGTCACCTCGGGAAGGGCAGAATTGGCCATAGAGTTTGAATGCCTGTAGACCGGACGCTTGTGCAAATGAAATTGACGTGCCCTCTTCTATTGATGCTATTTGAGGAAGCGTGCCAAAATTCGTGATCTTGTGAATCAATACGCTCCGGCCTCTCATCGTTTCTGGCATCCAAACATAATCACCATCTTGCAGTCATTGTTAGAGGAATGGGTGTTCTTTTCTGAATCTATAGCTCAGGATAAGTTTACTAACATTTTCGAAGAGCGCAAAGCACCTAACGTACCCCACAAGCAAGTTGGCCACTTTTTCTTGGCACCGTACGAACAACCTTTTAATTAACATCTTTACACATACCAAGATGGGATCGAATTGGAAAGAAAGCGACATGATTCTAGCGTGTCAGGCGCTTCAATCGAAACCCGAATTAAGCATCCGACGCGCTGCCCAACTCCACAATGTCCCTCGTACAACTCTAGCTAACCGAAAACGCGGACTACTATCTCGACGCGATACTCGACAATCTAGTCATAAGCTTACGGAATCAGAAGAGTTAGCGGTCGTACAATACATACTTGACCTAGATTCGCGATCATTTCCTCCCCGGCTCCATGGTGTTGAAGCTATGGCTAACCGACTGCTCCGTGACCGTGGCGCTGGACGCGTCGGCGTCAACTGGGCCTCGAACTTCGTACGACGACAACCAGACCTTCGGACGCGTTTTAATCGAAGAATCGACTACCAACGAGCCTATTGCGAAGATCCTGACGCGTATCGCGCGTGGTTTACGCTCGTACGAAATACAATTGCGAAATATGGTATCCAAGAGGCGGATATCTATAACTTCGACGAGACAGGGTTCGCGATGGGCTTAATCTCATCCGAGATGGTAGTTACAAGTGCCGAACGACGCGGAATGCCTCGTACAGTCCAACAAGGCAATCGAGAATGGGCTACAGTAATCCAGGGTATTAATTCGTCCGGCTGGGCTATCCCGCCGTATATTATTGTCGCGGGTCAAAACCACCTCTTATCCTGGTACGAGAATAGCCCATTCCCGTCCGATTGGGTAATCGCTGTAACTAAAAACGGTTGGACAACAAATGAGCGAGGCGTAGACTGGATTCAGCACTTTGATCGCTATACGAAGGATCGTACGAAGGGTGTTTATCGTCTTCTTATCCTCGACGGGCATGAGAGCCACCACTCGACTGACTTCGAGCTATATTGCAAAGAGCATACTATTATTACACTTAGTGTGACGGCCGGTGTCACGATGCCACGAAACCCACTAGCTGTGGACCCGTAGGAGCACTGGCCATCTGAAGGCGGGATTGAAGATTCTCAGATGTGAGCCAGCCTGTTTTAGTTTCTCTTTCTTTCCTTGTCGAGAATCGTTAAGTCAATACAGTGCATTAGAGTGTTTTGACTCTTCAATTGTGCTCACCGTGACAATTCCCAGATTAAGGGGGCGCCAGACGAGCTCCCAGGAGGTGTAGGCGTATGTAGCTTAATATCCAGCTGTGAAATCACATATTCCGGGTCGTACGGAATAAGTCCTGTCCCCCTGAAACCTGCCTGGATATTCGACTTAGTTATAGTCGTACGATACGCCCTATAGAATGCCGAAAAGAAATCATCCTTCGAGATATGGGTTATATGCGCCCGTATTAGGTCTTCAATTTCTTGACTAGATTGTCGAGTATCGCGTCGAGATAGTAGTCCGCGTTTTCGGTTAGCTAGAGTTGTACGAGGGACATTGTGGAGTTGGGCAGCGCGTCGGATGCTTAATTCGGGTTTCGATTGAAGCGCCTGACACGCTAGAATCATGTCGCTTTCTTTCCAATTCGATCCCATCTTGGTATGTGTAAAGATGTTAATTAAAAGGTTGTTCGTACGGTGCCAAGAAAAAGTGGCCAACTTGCTTGTGGGGTACGTTATAGAAGGTCATTATAACGTAACGCACCACATACTTTCCTGAAACCACCGCTTGAGCCTGAAGATAGATAGGGACATATAAAATGATTATTAGGGAGATGAAGGCAGCATTTTGGGTTCGGCTCTAGAAGGTGGGCGTGATTGTGCGAGCAAGGAAGAACCTAGTATTCAGACTCGGCTTCTAAGTCTGGTCCAGCGCAAGGTGTTTTCCTAGCACATTCTACGACTACGGCAATTATCTGAAGGTACGCTAAAGAATCTATAACCCAGTCTATATAGAGTATCAGATATGATACTTGACCAGTTGTTGTATTATAAATATTGCCGTAAAAGATGTTGCTTCTGTCTGGCCTTGAATTGCCGTGCTGTTCTTTGATATGCTCCACGCCGTCGGTTGCCCCGCCATTAATCCTCTGCATTGCGGGAGACTGATCGTCTGCCTTGCTTGGGTAGCCAAGCGAGCTTACTGGCAAGCTTTCTGGAGAGCAGCGACCACTGAAGGTTCACACCTCCATTGGACGCTGAGTCTTCCTCTGACGTAAATCGTATCTAATCATCTATGTAACATACGCGTGCAGGGGCCTGATGGATTGGTGTATCTAATATCCGGAAAACACCACCCCCAAAAGCGTGACGACTGTCAATGGCTCGGTGACGGTAGGTGTAGAAGAATCTCGAACCTTCTCGCAATTAGAACTCAAGCTATAAATTCAACCCGACCCCTAGAACCCTCTTTTGCAAAGTTATTAAAATAAAGTTATGACTGATTGTAGAACGATTTAACTATTAAATTTGATTTCCCTTCAGGTTTACCAGCTTAATTATTCTCGGAGAATCCCATGATTATAACTCGTCCTGAAGCACAGCCGATCACTACATTCGAGCCAGACACAGCCGAACGACATGGTCGAAATTCCGCCGGGAGCCAGAGCAAGTTATTCCCATGCAACGTAATCCAGTTCTTTTCTGGACTAATACCAATCCCAAATCGACTATTACTACTTAGACCTGCTAGAGACTGACCAGGTATCGCGAAAGGTAGAGGACTAGATGCATTTATAGCTGCTCCTGGTTTATCTAGCGGATTTATAGTGATAATCCCAGTGTTGGTAAGAAGATGCGAACCTCTAGGATGAAATGATATGCTAGAGACGACGTAACCGGTAGTAGTTGCTTGCACGCAATTGCCCGTGTCGGCCGACCAGATCCGGACCGTCTCGTCGCCAGAGGCCGACGCGACCAGCTTCGAGTCGGGCGAGAAGGCCACGGCATGGACCCCGCCGCTGTGGCCCTCGAGCGTCTGCTGGACCTCGCCCGTGTCGGCCGACCAGATCCGGACCGTCTTGTCGTCAGAGGCCGACGCGACCAGCTTCGAGTCGGGCGAGAAGGCCACGGCATGGACCCCGCTGCTGTGGCCCTCGAGCGTCTGCTGGACCTCGCCCGTGTCGGCCGACCAGATCCGGACCGTCTTGTCGCCAGAGGCCGACGCGACCAGCTTCGAGTCGGGCGAGAAGGCCACGGCATGGACCCAGCCGCTGTGGCCCTCGAGCGTCTGCTGGACCTCGCCCGTGTCGGCCGACCAGATCCGGACCGTCTCGTCGTGAGAGGCCGACGCGACCAGCTTCGAGTCGGGCGAGAAGGCCACGGCATGGACCCAGCCGCTGTGGCCCTCGAGCGTCTGCTGGACCTCGCCCGTGTCGGCCGACCAGATCCGGACCGTCTCGTCGCCAGAGGCCGACGCGACCAGCTTCGAGTCGGGCGAGAAGGCCACGGCATGGACCCAGCCGCTGTGGCCCTCGAGCGTCTGCCGGCATGGGTTCCAGTTGGTCTCAGTCTTTGGGGTAAGTGATATCCAGCTAGGAATAGCGCTCTTAAACTTGTTTCGCAGGATGCTCGTCTCCGGCAAAAAGACAAGTGCGGACGAGTACATTTGAAGTGGATAAGATTGAATTAGCCACAAATTAGCTAGAATAAAGCGTATAGTATCGTCGAGGAATCTAGATAACTCCGTACTAGCTTCGGCCTAATAAGTCAGCTTCTTTACGTAAGGGTACTATTAATATGATTAGAACTTACTATAAAAAGTGACTGAAGATTTCTAATACTATAGAGGCTTTCCGAAGCTTTCCCTACTAGACTTAAAGCTTCGATCCAGTGTAAGAGATGGCGTGTAAGAAAAGTGTGGACTTCGTCGCTATCGCTAATACGTCTGCCTGCTTGCGCTACGTGGTATACCCAGTATCGACAAGCATACTGGACCTCCGCTGATAGACTTTTGTCTACCTCACAGGAATTAATAGTTAAGCGAGATGTGCCTGGCTGTTTCAGTCCACAAATGTCGGAGCGGAGGCGCATATTCATCACACGTAGGCAATGTGCAGCCAGACGCGCGTGGGCCGCTTTCTCGTCTACCCAAAATGGGCTCTTCTGATTTTCAGAATCCACTAAGAAATCTCGGAAAGACAGATGTAGCAGCCGGACAGGCAATTCAGGTGAATCCGGGACGCTTAGAACTGAATGAAACAAGTCAAGTCTGTTACCGATGGTTCTGCTAGGGATACCGAGTAGCTGCTCTAGAGTATAGATGCAGAGGGGACTCTCAAGAACAACAATTGACCCAATAATATCTCGAAAGTCGTTTAAGAACTTGACCCTTTCTTTTTTCTTGTCCTGGTCGGGAAGCTGTTGTTGAAGAACAAACATATATAACTCGTGGAGTTGGGACCCTTGACTTCTCATGCCATCAGGTAGGAGGACCTTTTGGAGTTGTTCATCGGGATCGCCGCATTTATGATCCTCAAGGATGCGGCAGACGGTAGCGGCATAGATGAAGAGGGGACTCGCCATTTTCACTAGCTCCTGGATGTCCCTTTGTTCCGGCCAGTCCATCTTCAGGCGTCGGTATTCGTATACGGAATTATTGTACTTGTTTCTGATTCTCGTGACCTCGCGTTTAAGAAATACAGTTAAGTCGTTCTCCACGTCACCCTTAGGTATTTCATGAAGAACCAGATTATGGTACGAATCTGAAATAGCCTGAAATCCTAGGCGAACAGGCAGCTCGGGTCTGCTAGTAACGAATATCCTTAACCGCGGAGAATGCAGGGTCTTAGCGCGGGAAAAGAGGGTAACAATAAGTTCGATATCTTTGTCCTGCTCGCACTCATCTAGGGCATCAACGACAATAACGAGCGTTGTAACGGCGTGTGCACCTGGGGAAGTCTTTGACAGAGGCTCTAGGATGAGCTTCTCGAACTGCTCTGGTATCGCCTTTCCGAAGATATCGGGATCGGTCTCGATAGCATCTTTCATGTACGGCGCGACGGCGGGATACTTCTTGAACAACTGGGCGGCGATTGTAGCAAAGAACTTGGACAAGCTGCTTCGGTCGGCCTCGCCCCGCTTGAAGAAGAAGCTAGCGCCTAAATGGCCCGACTTGGCAAAAGATCGTGCTACCGTGCGGGAGATGGTGGACTTTCCGGTACCAGGAGCGCCGTTAAGCCAGTAGACGGCTCGGGCGCCAGGGTCATGAGCCCATTCCGATATCTGGCGAAGAAGGTCGACTCGGGTGTCTTGGAGGCAGGTTGAGTTGTGTTCTTCAGCGTGAGAGTCGAAGGCCGCTCCTACGATGGCCGGGATTTTGTTGAGTACTGTCTTGTGGTCGTTATCATGTAGATTTTGTTCAATTTGGTCTACCTTGTAGCTAATTTGGTTGACAAAGGCCCTGCATCCCAGGTTGTTAGTTTCAACGAGTCAAAGGCGGCGATTAGTGATATACTTCTGATCATGAGCCACTCGACGCAGCTCTGCGGCGAATCCGAGGAGTTCTTTGACCGTAGCCCGATTCTGATGATTGCAGTGCTTCTCGCAATTATCAGCTGCTCGGGCGAGTTGGTCTCCACTTTCGATAATACCCTTTACATGCTCGTCCGTATCGCCAAGTCGGAAAGGAGTATCGACTATTCTACTGCGGCTTCGCTTATGTTTTATCGCGAAGCTGAGAAATAGTAGCGACCTGGCGTAAGCCTGAACTATGGATGCCTCTAGGGCACTCAGGGTGTCCTTAGGGGGCTGAAGTTTGGGTTCAGGCGCTATATATAAATGCTGATACGTATGACATTGCAGGACTAGTGAAGTAACGCTAGCTATCCCGTTGAGGAGTCGGCTCTTCAGCTCGTTTCCAGCGGTCAAGGTCTGTAAAGATTACTTTTAGCATTATCCACGCTATATAATGCGAGGATTATTTACCATGAGGACAAAGCGGACGGCCGCCCATGGGAGAGCAGCATGGACAGGATCGAAGCTGACGGCGACATCGCCTACTGCGACAAACCTATTTAGTACAAAGACAGTATTTGTAAGAAAGCTGTCGTGCCGCCGGCTCTTAGTTTCCCGCTCTATTTCCTGCTTAATGGCCCTGGCTTGATCTTTGACAGTAGACTTGCTATCAGATGTTTCAACGTTACTGGTCCGAATCTTGGCGATCTCCTCCACAGCGGCTTTGATATCTTGGTCTTCCACAGTCTGTCGTAGTTGCTCTAGGGCTTCATCCCATAGAGAACCTTTTGTGTCTGGCTGTTGTAGGGTGGCGGACGCCGGAGGTACAGAAGATAGGGTATCTGTTGTCGCTCGTTGTATCGGCGTTGAGGAGGTTGAAGGAGCGGCACGCTCCGAAGGCTGGAGCTCTACACTCGCTAGAGCTTGTTAGTTGGGCATGTCAAATTGAGCTCAGAGCTTTCTGGTTGAAGATTCTAATACCTCGCAATGACGTCGGCGAGGTGACTGCGCCGGGTCCTGGGTAGGCATCCTGTATCGCCTTGGACTTTGCCGAGTTCTCTACGCCGCGACGGCCAGTGACACGCTTCCACCACTTTTTGAAACTTGAACAAGTAGGCATAGCTATAGCGAGCGTAGTCGACAAGAGGAAGGGACGTGCTTAGAACTCAAAGTTCTCTTGCAAGGTGGAGTTGAATTTAAGTTTTGGGACGGTTATCGCGGGGCTGAAGGGGTAATGTGGTAGGCTCTTGTTGGATTACAGCCACACACACAGCCACATCAGAAGCATAATTACCCGGCCATACATAAAAATCACAGCAGCGGTGAATGGGCTGCAAGGCAGACATATACATCAATCAATCACTTGAGCCTCTTTGTCAAATATGTGTGTAATACAACAGCTTGCTTGATCCCAATGGGTCGTCGTAAACCGTGACGTCGCTATTGCGGATACAGCTGAGGCATAAGATAGACTCGCTTCGTGGTAGAAAGGGCCTAACAGATACAAAGTGTTGACTTTTGGCGTGAACTCCATACGAGCATCCGTTCAATATTGCTAGTATGAAGTATGGAGACATCTAAAAACTAGTGATACTCCATTGTAAGATCTGGCCATTTGGCCGACAAGATGCAAGGGGGACCTGTCGAGCTAAGTACTAAGCAGGGCTATTTGCCATGAGGCACGTGCAGGAAGGTTTCCTGGAGAACACGTGGGCTAAGCGCCGTTTACACCAAACAATACTATATAGTGTGACCACATTCTGCCACGAGTGGGTCTTTCGTCTTTCGATGGTCATTTGGTCCCACAACCACTCCGTATTAAAAATCTTTTTTGTGTAATGTTACAATGGATCCTCCACTGGCCGTGGAGTAGCACTTTGCGATAGAAACATTCACATGGCAACCCTGCTCTTGATAAACCCCTCACCGCTAGCGCTCGAGCTTCGTTTATAAGAAATGTTTGTGAGTTGTACATGGGGGGTCTGCTATGTTGTTTTCACAACCCTCCCTGTCTTGGATCGTGCAGCTAAAACCATGGACCCCTTTTGGCCTTCTTTTGTAGTTGATTGACCGGGGCTGCTCCACGCTCTGGTCGCTGAAGTTATTTTAGCAGCCCTTTGATGATGGCGTGCTCCCAATGTCTCCGCCCTTGCACGGCTCGATTAGGGATTGCAGGATTGGAATACAGAAGGCGATGATGTTCTTGTTTGCTTCAAGTCTGTGCATGATTTCGTCAGTGGGCCAACCATCCACTATACAATGACATAACTCACGGGGTTATTAAAGTGGCTTAGATAGTTTCTTATCCTTGTGTCAGCTTATTACTCGAACGGCAACAGATCGCTTTAGAACTTCTCCGTTTCTGGAACATGCTTAGAAAAGTAAGTCATTGTTGAACTGTCCTTTACGGCCGGGCGTGAGTCTCGATCACTGTCCACTGTGACCAATGAGAGCTGACGATTTGAAGCTATGTCGGCACTGCTTTATGTCCTCCTCGGAAATTCACATTGCAGCATCAGTGATATGACTGTAGCAGCGATCTTCAAGACGGCAATGGTACCCATAGATCACACATGTAAGAGAGTTAGCCATGTGGAAATTGACGGACGGCCCCGTGTCGAAGTAAGGGGGTATTGGCTCCAAACTCAGCATCAACAGCACAATAACTTACAATCCTTGAGATGATGATGGTGCGTCTGATCGAGAACGACATAATTGAGGCTCAAGAGTTGCTTGAGCAGTCTATATAATCGTCGTTCCTTGCTACGTAGAATCGAACACGTAGCCTTTCCTTTATTTCGAACACCCGGACGATCAAGTCAATATAAGGTAATTAAGCAAGGCAACCAAGATTATACAAAGTTCGTTGGAAGACAGACAGGCCGATACAAAAGCTCAAAGGCCTTGTTGTCTTCATGTAAGCCTTGTTTGTATCTGAGAATATCCTGAATTGACCCGTGCCGATACAGATGGTGGCTCGGACTACTCGTCACACATTTATTACCAGATTGAATATAGACTCCTGAGGCACTAGTCTGGGTACATGTCCATCATTACTAACTTTCCCTGGTTTCTAAATACTGGAAACTAGTGCACATATGAATCCTGTTGAGTACGATCTTGCAATTTAAGTTATTTCCGTTTCTCCAAAGATCTATGCTAAATTACTCCAGAATTGTGCCAATCACTTAGTCACAGTAGTGAGTGCAGCAACGGCTACAACTTCTAAATGCGATCGCACTCATTCGATTGAGTAGTCGAACCTAAGAATACTCCAGCCCGTATCGTCTCCGTCTCGTGGTGTCAGGTGCAAATAAGCCACAGTGGCTTGGCCTGGACAGGGGTCGGAAATGTATAACTAGGCTGCTGTGACCCCTCTTCTTTTAGAGAGGGCAGCGATTAACTTGTCGTTATTGAGTCCCCTACACTACGCTATTGGTACCTACCTGGTGACTGGCAGCTTGTTTCGCTTGAGCACTCTCGTCCTTCACTTTGCACTTGAAATCCCGTGACACGTGGCCAATGGGGAATCACATCTTCCAATCTGAGTCCCAGATTGACAATCCAACTCCGCAACAGTGTGCTGGACAAGCAATATGCGAACTGTTGCGTCAAATTCGGGGAGAACGGCAAGCTGGCCGAGCTCGATTTTATGTCCTTCACGTTTATCAACAAAATTGGCCCAACATTGCCACAATTAGATATAAGTCCACCTCTACAATCGTTTGAAAGGTTGGTTTCGTGACTGTGAATTTGGTTCTCTGGCACCGTCATTTACTACAAGATCACAGTATATTCTTCGAAAGAAGCTGTTATGATGATATCCTGGGTTTGATGATATGCCTCGCGGATTTTTTTCTTCCCTCGGCGACTACGATGGTTCGACGCTTGACCCTAGCTACCAACCTATGACGATCGATAATGACCTCTCTACTCGAAATATGTGGCAAAACGTGGTACATCCTTTGGAGCACAAGTATCTGTGTACTTGCTTGGATGATTCATTCAGGATGACTGTCCAGGACAATATATTGCCATACCCAGGTGATGGCATTTGTTATATCAAAACTTAATGCTCTGAGTTCGTTGTACACGATAAAGAATTGTAAGGCGATGTTATGACGACGACCATTGTTGGCCGGTGCCAAAGAACAGTGAAGGAGTTTCTGCTATTCCACCGAACGCACAACGATATATTGATTGCTGACCGATTGAAATTCCCTAAAGCTACGCGAATAAGCTCATGATCACATGCGTGTCAATTCTCAGTATTGTCATCAGCGGCACAACGGGCACACTTCCCGGTTAGATGTCGGACTTCCGTTATGGACTTAAAAAAAAAACCTCAATAGGGTTGGAATACTGATGGCTCTGTACTTACGGCCCTGATGGCTACTTTCATTCCAAGAATCTTGCAGTCTTGTAAAGGTCCTCAGGGTCCTTCGAGACAACTATGATTTGGATGCCTATATACAAACAGACCCATCTTTCTGTGGGATTAGCACCGCAACTAGTTATGGCCTAGGCTGAAAGTGGTACAGTAGCTAGTGGGTCAGATCTTTCCTTACAGAGCGTCTCAACACTAACCAACGTAGCACAAAGCGTGAATCAGTGATCATTTGATATACAATCAGAGGCATCAACAGAGGGTCATTTGGCTTGGCCATAGTTATCGGAAGGTTCGGCCACTAAGGCGCTACATTGAAGAAAACTCTAACATCGTCGTTATGCACTAGAACGCCCAGAAAAGGGCTGGTGCGTTCCAACATTCGGGCAGTATTTAGAAGAGTTTTGTGTAGTGAGTTCGATGGGTGATGGTTCACTCGCAACCCGGGCCTAGGGAATTTTGGGCATCATGTTCTCTTGGTCGTGCAATTGTATATTCTCTTTGATTAATGATATGTCCTCGTTCTTCTTTTGGTCGACAGTGCTGGTAGGAATAGTTCCTAAGTTATGATTCATGAGGGACACTTGGTTGTGGAAAGCTACCCGAGAGACTTGCTGCATGGATTCTATGTATTTGAGGAGTGAGAACGTGAATATGTCCCAAACGTGACAAGCGTTTCTAATTGAAACTTTGCATGGCGAATCTTTCGTTCTAAGTAATCTCCACAACGAAGACGATTATGATAGCACACTTTCTGGTGCCTAGAGTAGCCCCGATGACTCCAGATCAGGTCAGGGCTGCTTTCCGTGCTATTTGCAGTTTCGGAAAGATGCGGCAGCCATGTGATCGTTTTGTTTGGAATTTCCATGGTTTGTGGTTGGATATTATCTTGAAACTGTGCGACAACATCACAACTAGCTTGATTGGGTTTATCGTGATATTCGAAAGTCCTATGGAGGGAAAGAGTTGTAAAATACGGAAACTACATACTGATGTAAGGCCAGGAGTTGAGAAAATATCGTCATACTTGAGTTCACGTCTTGATGAGAAACATTGCAAACGGCATGCAGACCACCGGGGCTCTTGACTCCCGGGATCATGACAATACCAATAGTATCTCAATGCGCACCTATTGGACTCACGTACCATACAATCTGCTATGTTTGGGTTTCTGCGTCTTCTCATACCTCTCTTAATTCAGAGATATCATGCATGTTGCAATATCGATCATTAGAAGCAGGACGAGTACTTTCATCTGCAACCCTTTTCATAACTTGTCTAAGTATCATCAGCCCGAAACTACCCGATATGATGCCACAGGGTAACCTAAAGGCAACAGTAGTTATGCTATCTGATTCCATAGAATCATGGTGGAATCAACAGTGGGTATCCCCTATTTATTCGCCTTACCAGTTGGAATAGAGAATAAAACGACCCGTCCTTTCTTGCCCTGCCACTCATCGTCGATACCCTGGTCCACCCTGTAGTAACCGCGTCTTTCCAATTGGATAATGTCATCCTTCTTCAGGGAACCCACACCCTCGTCACAGAAAGCCTCCTCCATAGTAGCGGTTGAGGGGTTCAGGAACTTCTCCAGTTCGTCCTCTTCCTCGAGCTTGTCCTTGGTGATCAGGTAGTCGAATTCCCAGAGCTCAGCCTTCACCAGGTTCTGGCCCTGGGTCGAGAGCCATGTAACCTTTTTGTTGGTTGATCGGACGTCGCCCTTCAGGTTCAGTTCGCAGGTTACCGAGGGGATGGGATCAGCAGATTCCGCGGGCAGATCTCGCACAAAGGCGTTGCCCCACTGCATCAACGTAATCTCCTCGCCGTCCTTGAAGCTCTTCACATCGGCTTGATCCAGGATCAGCTCCTGGCTGAAAGCGACCTTTTTCGTCCCAATGGCCAGGTTCTTGGGGTGCTTTGGCTTGTCGGCCGTGTACGCCTCCGCGGGTGCCTCTTCGCCAATGACGGTCACCTTGACGGCATCTTTGACAGAGACAGCCGTGTGGCGGGGCGCTACAGGATCGATCTCCTTCTTGTTAGCAGCCCAGAAGCTCGTCCAGTCCATGACTACGACGTTTCGCGATGGACCCTGCTTGAGAATAAAGTCCCGGAGTGCCGGGATCGTCATACCACGTCTTCGTACACCACGAATCGTGGGCATACGCGGGTCATCCCATCCCCACACACGGCCAGTGTCGACCAGCTTGGCAAGCTTGCGTTTTGACAAGAATGTGCGGATGAAGTTCATTCGCGCGAAATCCCACATGTGAACTTGGCGCAGCTTGAGAGTGTCCAGGAACCATTGGAACTGGGGGTTGCGGTCTGTGTACTCGGTTGAACGCAATGCGTGGGTGACGCCCTCGAGACTGTCGACTACGGGGCATGCAAGATCGTATGTCGGGTAGATCTTCCACTTCGTACCAGTTCGGTGGTGAGGGTCCTTGGTGTTGCAACGGTAGATGACCGGGTCGCGCATGGCCTTGTTTGGGTTGTCGACGGAAATCTTGGCGCGAATGCAGTTCTTTAATCCTTCCTCAGTGCCGCTCTTCATCTGATCAAAAATGGCCAGGTTCTCCTCGACGGTCCGTTCTCTTCGCTTCGAGGCGATGCCCTTTCCTCGCTCCTCGCGCATAGTGTCCACGTCGGTATCGTCGGCATAGGCGTTGCCGCTCTTGATCAAGCCCAAGCAGGTATTGTAGAGGTGGTCGAAGTAGTCGGATGTGTAGGTGAGGGTATCGGGCTTAATGCCCATGAGGGCCAAGTCCTCCACGATGGCATCCTGGTACTCCTCCTTCTCCTTGCTGGGGTTCGTATCGTCGAGTCGAAGTCGGAGTTGGCCCTTGTATGCTTGGTGACCAAAGAAGTCGCTGAGCAACGCAGCCTTGGCGTGGCCGATATGCAAATAACCAGAGGGCTCAGGCAAGAATCGGCATACGACCCCCTTGTCGGCATCTTGGAGCGCCAAATTGTAGCTACCACCGGCCTTGCTAGCTGCCGCGATCTTGGCCTTGCGAGCATCGTCTGCGGCCTTGACTTCGGTCTGAATCTCGGGGTGGACTTGCTCGATGTAGGTGAACCATCGGGTCAGGTTGATGTAGGAGCCCTTCTTGATGAATGAGACGGCAGCACGGTTGCTCTTGAGTGCGAGCCAGATCTTGGTGTCGAGTTCACTTAGCGAGTATCCGCCGAGATAGGTTCGGAGGATGAGGTGCTTCTCAAGGCGGATAAGATGCGGTTCAATGGACTTGAATTCACCACCCAGGGACGTCGACACAGCGACGAGTTCGTCGATCTTCATGATGATTTATTACACTTGATTGACTTGTTTTGAACGTGGAGAAGTGGGATTGGTGTCTAAGACGCCAGATTTTGAGTCACGATAGTGGTGCGGTGATGGAGGGGCAAGCGGTGGGATGAATTGAATAAACGGCGCCGCGTGAAATGAATAATAGGGGGTACGCGGCTGCTCCATTGCAATAGGATCGGATAAGCCAATACTTCAGTGGTATAAGCTGGTACAACCTGTCTATCCTATAGGAGGGGCACTCGAGCGGTGGAGCCAGCTGAAGCGGGGAAGTTTGTCTGATGGCAGCTGTCAGCCGATAGCTTATCGATGCCCAGGGCGATAATGGCCTCAATTCCTAGGCGTCAATTTCAAGAAATTTGGCACGACGTTGAAGCTTGCTGTTGGTCGTGATCGAGCTCTGGGTTTGGAGGAACCTGTGGTCTCGACAACGAAATCGGCAAGATGGCCACACCAAAGCAATGTATTTCCTCGCTGGCGAGACTGAGTCTGACATCGACAGCACGGCCGACGGCTACATCAATACCCCGATTTCTAGCGCCATCCATCACGCAGGTCCAGGCGCAGCAGACCCGATATGCTGGTGGAGGAACAGCGCAGATGCAGGCGCGAGCCAGGGAAAAGGAGAAGCTGAAGAAGAAGAGGAAACAGCAGCGGTTCAAGGAGTACAAATTTGCCGTACCAAGCAAGGCCGAGCAGTTTTCTCTGTGCGATGCAATGCGGTATGTGCCCCTTATGTTCATGCATACCCAGATACATAGGGTTCAAAAGGAAGACGTATCTCTGACAACAGACCAGCTACCTGCGCGCTGCAGAAGTTGGCCGTCCTCCTACCTCGGTCACGTACGAAGTCTCCCTCAAGATCCGCACCATCAAGAACGGTCCCGTGGTCCGTAACCGCGTTCGTCTGCCGTACCCGGTCAAGAACGACACGCGCATCGGCGTCATCTGCCCCGAAAACACGAATCTTGTGCACGATGCGCGACAAGCCGGCGCCGTGGCCTTTGGCGAGGCATCTCTGTTCAAACTCATCAAGGAGAACCCCAACAACCTGCCGTTCAACCGCCTAATCTGCCACCAGGACTCCGTGCCGGCGCTGAACAAGGCCGGCCTGGGTCGAATTCTGGGTCCCAAAGGCTTGATGCCCAGTTTGAAGACCAACACCATCACCAAGAGTATCAAGGGCATGATGACAGAGATGGTGGGTGCCGAGACCTACAGAGAAAAGATTGGTGCTATCCGCATGCCCATTGGCAATATCCAGTTCAACCCCAAGCAACTGAGCGACAATATCAAAACGCTGGTGATGCAGGTCAAGGGGGATATTGAGGCTATGGAGGATAGGGTCAATAAGGACTTGATCGAGGTCGTGCTGACTTCGACCAACGGCCCAGGATTCAGCTTGAACGGTGGCTTCTTGCCCACAGATGAGATGATTGAGCCGGACCATTTGAGCACGGCTATGTAAATGCGCTGATCGAATTCAATGAGAGAGGGCAGATACTGTAAAACGTTGTGTATATCATGTAAATCATATTCGTTTTGTTCGTATTGTGCCGGGTATCTTTTGCCACGCTTGCCTGAAGTACTGTTCTGCTGCCGTTCTGGCTCTGGACCAACAGCAGTTCACACACGGCCAATTGCTCAAATCGCCTTCAGAGCCTTGACGGCTTCACTCTGCGCGTCTAACAGAGCGTAGACCCCCATTAAACGTACAACTTTCCCTTTCCCCTTATCTCCGACTTTCCTTGCCTCCCTAATCGCCGTGTTAAGATCAAGCAGTATCGTATCCCTGCACCTTGTCATTCTCTCCCCCATCTTCCTCACCAACACTGTGTCCAGCCCAATGCGGTCGGCCAGATGCTCTATCGCCACGTACTCGTGAGCCAGGGACTTTAATTTCGCCGCGCTACTGCCCACCATTCCATAATTCCCTTCCGACTCATCAGCTTCGTCATCTTCACTCTCTTCAGACAGCGAATCCTGATCCGCGCCGTTCAGTGCGAGCCGGTCCTCAAGACTCTCGATCCTGTCGCCTAATTCGAGCATTTGCCGTCCTTTCTCGATCTCCCCCCGCGTCACCGTGAGCGCTTTGTTCAACCCCCCTACCTCTCGACCTCTGTCCCCAACTTTAGACCGCACCTCGTCGACCGCTCTTCGGAAACCCAGCAGGCCCACCCGGACATCCTCCACCCGTTCTTCGCCGCCCTTCAATTCGTTCCCCAGGCTCAGGAAGGACGTGTAGTTTGCATTCACTAGCTCCAGAAGTTCGCCGCTAATAGCTGCACTTCTTTCGCGCAGGTCGGACCGCAAGTCTTCGAGTGTCTGGTGTCGGTGTGCGCCGCTGTGCAACTCGGAGAGGTATGCGGCGGGGTCGAAGTCGGGAGCGAGGAAGTCGCTGCGAGGCAGAGCAGTGGGAAAGGGGAGTGGCGCATCATCTTCAGTGTCTGACGATGAAGAAGAGGAGGGCAGGTTAAACGCGCGGGAGCTGAGAGGGCGAGTTGGTGAGAGGGACGTTAATGCTGCCATTCTGGGAGATGATGCCAGATGTTACCAGATGTTATATGACAGCTGCTATCCCCAGCTTTGCACAGATGACGGCCCGCGATAACTATGACACGAACAGTGGTAGCGGCTTTCAAAATGCAGGGCCTGCAATTAGAGTGTTTCAATTGTCACTTTTATTTGCTGACACCATGTCTCACGACGTCAACAGTTGGTCTTCATGTTCAATGCTCTGGAACTCCACCCTCACCGAGCAACCGAGCTCACCTAGGTGAGAGAGCTGTCGCAAACCCGGGACCGAGCGCTGCGCTCCAGCTCCGCCCGATAGATAAAAGGCCCGATATCGGCCTTGGCCGGCAGCAAAGCTAGACCCGACTTTGCCCGACATAGGACTGCAACAGTTGCAAACCTCCACATTCCACGATGTGACCGCATTAGTTCACATAGCGCAACCCATGACTTTGCTCAAATTGTACTCGGGGAAAGAGCAAATTTTCATATTGGACGAGTCACCGCGTCTAAAACCAACTCCCGATCCCTTCTGGTTCCCTTTGGTCCCCTCTGGTCCCCTCATGCCGGGATATTAGAGTGGGCCTAATGGCAAGGACTGCGCCATAATGCCAGTTAATCTTATCAATCTGATCAGTCCATCTCTCTATCTAGTTTTTCTCACCTTTCATAGCATCCCATATCACTCGCCGTCCCCCCACTCTGCAGCCATCCACGCTGCACACCGCAGTCTCTTCTCTCTTTTGCCGTCTCGTCTGACCAGCTGATCGTCTTTTCTCTTTCAAACTCGGTCCAAATCATCTTAATTGAAGCCCCTCTTTCTGGAGCCGTGCCTCAACATCTGGCAAACCCTAATCTCGGAGACCAAAGGTAAATATCGCACGTCATAGTAGTTGATGGAAAAGGTCTCTTTCCCAGGCACTCCCGGTCTGGATGTTTCCGCACGAAAGCTAGAGTTTTTGCTACTTCTGCTTCGACCGACCTAACCCTGTTTCCCTCTTGTTTGGACCAAATATCGGGGTGCTCTTGGGTTTTAATCTAATCAATCTCATCTGCATCGCGCCGACTCATCCCTCACTGTTCATTCGCTACGGGTCATACCGCCGAGCCGACCCCGCGAGTTCCGAGTCTGCGTGCACACTCTGGCTGCATGATCAATCAGCCCACCAACGAATGAGACTCGACGCATGCACAGTTCACCACCACCACCAGTCTCCGCCAAGTTTTGAGCAACATGGCGACGCCTTCTTATCCTCCTCGTCCAACCCAACCATCACGACCCGGTAAACTCGCCATCTCACCCGTGTCATCCGCATCATCACCGGGTTCAATTCAATCGCCGGGGTCAAGTATATCTACTCCCACTTCCGCTCACCCGCTCGCCATCAAACCCGCGGCTGGAAGTCCGCAGCCAATGATTGGCATGGCCGCCGTGGCAATCGGTCAGTCCCAGATGCCCAAGAGCATCACCAGCAGAGAATGGGTCGTGCCGCCTCGGCCGAAGCCCGGCAGGAAGCCGGCGACGGATACTCCACCAACCAAAAGGAAGGCTCAAAACCGCGCAGCACAAAGGGCATTCCGCGAACGCAGAGCCGCTCGCGTCGGTGAATTGGAGGAGCAACTGGATGAGCAACGCGAGGAGCACGAGCGTATCGAGCAGGATCTCAGGAATAGAGTCCAGGGCCTGGACTTAGAGGTGCAGACCCTGCGAGATCGATGCATGCAGCTAGAAGACATGCTGCAGAAGGAGCGGGCCGACCGAGCCAGGGTTTCGAATGAGCTCGACTCCGTGCGAAGACGCTGGAGAGATGAGCGTGATAGCACGTCGTCGTCGAGGCATGGAAGTCTACCACATCTCACCGGCAGAACAAATCACCTGCAGCACTCGATGCACCCTTCACCACGAGCAAGTAACGCATGCGAGCATCGAAATTCGGCCATCTCCATCTCCCAGATCATTTCACCCCCTGACCCGTCGTCTGAAGATCAACCCATGACGGATGTGGGCTGTGGCTCGTGCGACCCAAATGGACCATGTGCGTGTATCGAGGAAGTCCTTATTGGGAACAACACAGTAACATCCCTGGAGTGCGGCAGATGCAGTCTCGGCACCAAATGTGAGTGTTTAGAGGCAGCTTTCAGTCGTCCGTCTACGAGGCATACCGAGCCAGACCTCAAGCGGGGACCTTCTCCTACACCTGACCTTGCACCCGACGAGAAGAGACACAAATCGATATCGAACGCCAATGAGAACGAAATCGACTTCACCGCCATGTTTTCCAGGAAGCCACGCCGGACGCCTGCCGCTACCGAAACCGCAGTGTTCCAGCCCGTGGCCCAGGCTGTAGCAATACACCCCCGCGACTCGTGCGGCTTCTGCAAAGAGGGCACGTACTGTATGTGTGCTGAGGCCGCTGCTGCTGCCGCAGCCCAACAGACCCTGCCACCCATGGGTAGTCAGAGTCAGGTTCAAACACCACCGCCCTCCGAGAACGACGTTGTTACTTTCCCAGCTCCTGCGACCGGTGCCTACGAAGTTACCGCCACCGGGGCCGTCAAGCTGCCGAGCTTATTTGGCCGTGACCGGCAAAAGGCTACTATCCCCGAAGCTAGCAAGGCGGGAGGATGCGGCGTCAATGGACCGGGCACATGCGCCCAGTGTCTCTCGGATCCCAAGTCAGGCTTGTTCTGCCGGAGCTTGGCCGCGAGCGCCGAGCGTCAAGGAAAGTCGGGCGGCTGCTGCGGTGGATCGGCCGGCGGCGGGTGCTGCAAGTCTGGCAACGCCAATGACTCGTCGTCTAGGGCCGCATCTCCTACGTCCATCAGCCTGTCTTGCGCCGACGCGTACAAGACCCTCGCATCCCATCGCAATTTTGACCGAGCTGCTGACGAAATTGGTACGTGGCTGCCTAAGTTGAGGGCTGTCCCCATGGAGATAGAGGATGCAGCTAGACCCGGGGAGAGGGGACCCGGACCGCGGCATGTCGGTCGGGGATCTGGTATTAGGGGGCGTTGTCCCATTGAGGTGGAGACAGCCAGCATCATGAGTGTCTTGAAGGGTTTCGATGTTAGGTTTGGCAGAGACGCATAGTGCTGCCGGCGATGGATGAGCCCAGAGTGAGGTCTGGCAGGGATGACGACGCATGATGGAGCATGATGGGGATGATATTCAAAATCTATGTCAGGGGATAAAATGGACATACACACTGTATGATATGCAGGTGCATGGCCGGCGGCTATTTTTGTTGTAAGTCCGCTCGGAACACGTGTAAAGGCGTTAAGGCACCCTCGTTGTTCTGGCATTAACTGGCTATACAGCTGCAGGTTTGCGCGAGTCTTGGGGTTTGAGGCGGCTTTACGAGCAAGTAGATAGTTGACTGAGTCAGGTAAGGAAATGGGATGGGAACGCGGTCACCGCTGCCATACGGCTTATTGATGGGACTATAATGCGTCTTTGCGGTGTGATGTGTACATGTGTGGGCAAGGTAGTCTGGCCTACATGGCTTGATTTTCTAGGAGTGACACACCCCGGGGTTTACTTTATTTGTGGTATGCTACACTAGAGTAGTTGTCCCTTACCGTTGGGTACAGGAAAATGGCAAGGTGTGCTAGCTGATTTCAGTAACAAGACTCGCACCTGCCGAGTAGTTTCTGCAATCCCAGGTCCGTCCGACTATTCCGAGCGTGTTTAAGTGAGGAAGGAGATATGCTTCAATTACAGGTCCAAGATGGGCAATGAGTGCGAATTGAAATAAGGATACTGAAGGTTAGCCCTGAATACCGTAACTGAATTTCATCCCATCTTATCTTCTGTAAACCTAGGGCATCAGTACCTCAACATAACCCTGTTTAATGAGGATAAGTTAGCCGATACTTAATTCGCAGTCACTGATAGCAGCCGATGCGAGTGTATATTGGGGTTGAAGTATGTGTATTGGGAAATACTAGTTGGCTAGTCAACCAGCTAGCCGAGTGCCCTTTGGGGCTGTCTATCTTATTTCATCTATGGCTACAGAGTAACTCTCCTTAGGGTTACGTATTAATAGCATGTTCGTACGTAAGGCTGCCGAGAGGCATAGTACCGCACCGTCTACCCTCCCCGCCCGTATATTCAACAATCATAACTAAATTGATAATAATACCTATAAGTTATTGGCAGACGTATATCTACTATGGACGGAGCCGGAAGAGTCCTTAGAGGTAAGACTGCTAATCCTAAGAAGTTATAAAAGTTACAACGTATATACTTCCTAGATCAGAAACTGAGGCAATATGGGCAGTGTGGAAGTGATACCGTGCCAGTCAAGGCACCGAGGTCCAATTGACTAGAAGCTATCATCAACTTGTAAGTTGGTTACAGAGAAGGGGGTTTCACTTTCAAGATTCCCTTTCCAAGCGAAGTCGGAGTCTTGATTTCAGACTCCGGATAAGCCTTACGTTACGACTGCGTCGGGCCTTCCATCTTGATCACAGCAACATCCCACCGGAGTTATCATCCATGGAAGTCACCACCGTGTTTTCCAACAGTTACGCTATAGCTCGGAAATAAGGCCTTGCCAAGAAAACGCTTCCCTACAGACTTAGCTAGAGCGTCTACAGCTAAAAAAGTGGAAGAATTGACCAAGGACTAGCAAATTGCGCCCCCCCCCCGGCTTAGTCAAAAGAGAGCGGTATTAGTAGTGCAGAGTTCAGATTCTGAGGAATCGGAGGCGGAGTGATACGTGACCCAAAGGGGGGTTACCCTGTAGCTATAGATAAGATAGCTACATAGCAGACATAGCTCTGCCAGGCCAGAATAGCTGCCTGGCAACTCTTCCCAATACATACAACTTCACCCCATATGCACACGCATCACCGAGGGACAAGCTCGTCGACCTACCAGATCTGGCCGCCAGATTAAGTGACCTCGCAGGCTTGATTAATAAGGAATTATCTTCATCATAATTATTATAACTACGTAGTACATCCTTAATAGCTAAAGTTGCTTCTTGAAGTAGTAGCATTTCCCGTGGTGGCTCCACATTAAGGCTGTGCAGAATGGGGGTGGCCCATAGTATTTCGTGCATCAAGTGGAAAAACATCTTGCTGACCTCCACCGTCTACTTGCTAGCAGTGGGTCAAACCACCGTTTTCGGGTTTGACGAGTAACCCAAGTTTTCAAACTCGGCCATCTAAGTACACATCCATCATTTGAATTTCTCAAGTTCAAAAATTCTCACCCACTAGACGTCATGGCCGCCTCCTAACAAAAGCAGCTGCTCCATAACGTCCATTGACCCAAATGCAGATACAACAATGTCTCTGGGAGACCAACCTGCAAGGGAACAGTGAAGGATAGAGGCTACCAAGACATGTGGAGCAGGCCTGCCTATCATCAAGAAGTACCAAGCGGACGATATCATGCAAGTATTGTTGATTACGCATACCCCTGGAAGGAGCGACGCTGACGCGATTCCGGAAGGGCAAAACAAAATATTCAGTGGGTAGAGCGGAGCAAAGAAGGGGAGGCACATTCGTCTCTGACGAGCACAAATGGGTCATGTCATTGTGATGGGTTTCGTTAGCTCGGGGCCAAACAGCGCCTGTGTTAATTCGGCTTTTTGCTGTCGTTCAAACCGTGCTCTAATTAGACCTTGATTTTGCTCTTATAACTACCATTATTCACATACTGCTCACAGATGACTAATGCATCAAGGTGCTATATTGCTGTAAGCGTATTGCTGACTTCAGCTATCTGAGAGCTCATTTGCATTCATATATCAATGTTCCGAGTATTGGGGGCTGTATTGGTACTACGAAGGTGTGTGGGGAAGAACTGCACCATCGGCCCCTGGTGGGTTCTTAACATCCACTAGTTCGTGTACGGGCGCCTTGTCTATACCTCAGGCCATACTTGCCCACAACTAGTGTAAAAAGCGGAATCTCGACGGTTGTATGTGTCACACCAAGAATTTCGCTTCCGTTGCTACTGCCGATCCTCCGAAGCGCATATGGTCACCTACCGTTATTTGCTCTGGTAGCTATATAGCTGATTGTTGCGTGCCATAGACACACCGCCGCTGTGCTGGATGCAGCGCTCGAGCTGACTGCCCATTGATCGCCCTTCCGTAGCTGCCGCCTTTGGGAGATAGTCCGATCATTATCATCACCAATACATGTTGTATTGCCCACACTTACTGTGTTCGAGTAGTGATTCGTGTGTGCACAAAGAAATTCAAGATGAGTCTACAAGGCCCGTCTGCTTTTATAAACCGTAGCCTCCTAACACTCATCACTTGGACCTATAAATCAACCCATCCACCAGCTTCTGAAACACGCTATTATCTCCCTCTCTCGCCGCCGTATACTCATCAAACAAATCCCACACCTGGACGTACTTCGTATTCCCCGCCACACTCGCCATAATCTTCTTAATCTTCTCATGCCTCCCCTCCTCACTCCAGCTCTTGGTCCCATCCCCCGCCAATATCGTCAGCAACAGCCCCGCCAGCCCACTTGCGCAAGCCGTCGCCGTGGAGCTGCCGTCCACGGCCGACATATCCGCCGGCATCAGATCCTGTCTCGCATCCCTTATCTCCAACCCGGGGAAAAGGAGGTGGATTGACTCGAAACTAACCCACGTTGAAATCGCCCCCGATGGTCCCGCGGCGCCCGCAATGGTGATGCTGTTTGTGGTGCTGGCGGCGGGGAAGGGCCGGTTGGTCGGGTTTTCGAGCCCCTCATCCCGCGCGGCGCAAAACATGAGGATGTTGCGGTTGGCGGCGTCGGTGAGCGCTTTGTTGAGGGAGGCGAGGTCGTCTTTGGCCTTGGGCGTGTCTTCGATGGTCCACGACATGGAGATTATGTCGACGTTTTTGCTTACGGCCCAGCGGACGGCCTGTGTGTTTTCCAAGTTGGTCAACGAAATGGGAAGCTGTAGACGAGGGGACTGCGTCGACTTACATCTGCTGCAGACTTTGCTGTGAAGCTAAATCCGTTATTGGAGTTTTGGTCATTAAGTTTGGCGACGTAGAGTTCGGCGTTGGGACACATGTCGCAGATCAGAGCTGCCATCAGGGTTCCGTGGCCCGTGGCAGAGGCGTAGAAACTACTGGGTACGTATCTGTTGTTCTGCATCGAGGTGCAATAGGTGATACCCTCCTTGATGATCCTGCTGAGATCCGAGTGACTGGCGTCTACGCCGTCGTCAATCAGGGCGATTTTGACCCGCGGTAGTGTGAGACCCGAGTTGCTGACCCAGCGGGATGTCTTGTCGACACATTCAAGCCATTTGTTAATGTGAATCGGAAATCAGTTATGTTTGAACAACTGCGTCGGATGTTGGTTTGAACTTACGCTTTGTGTTGGTCCCAGGTTTGTCGCTTAGACCCCCGAGGAGCCCTGACGTTGTCTCGCTGCTTTTCGTATATAACTTCTATATCGACGTGCCGCTTATCCCCTGCGTCCACATCCCTGGTATGTGATTTCGCCGTTATTTCATCGAGGCTCACTTGGCCGGATCTGTGCCGGCTAAGAAGTGCCTCCATATCTGCCTTGGTCAGGAATTGAGTTTGATTATCGCGGTCTATAAGGCTCCAAAGTCGCTCCTTGAACTCATTGATGTACGTACTGACTGGTGTTGTTTCTGACCCCTAGGTTCGAAGTAATATTAGCCACCCGCTTGATACGCTTTCGTGTATCGCAGGGTTAGACTTGCTTTTACGAATAAAACCACCTTCTTTAGCTGTGAATTTCGTCAGTTTGATTTGATCCTACGTGTCGGCAAAACCACCATGACTTACTCGCCTTAACTTCCTCAGTCCACTTTCATCCGACCACCCCCTCAAAACGGAATTGTTCCCCGACGTATAGAGATACACGGTACTCGCATTCAGAGCAGCCCGGAAGATGGTCTCACTGTAAAGGTCGTACTTCCGCCAGTTCCACTTATCAACTTTGAAAGTGTCCAGAGTTTCCACAATGGTCTCGTCGTCGTGAGGGCTCACCAAGTCATCCTCGATGATGATTACAAGTACTTGATCCACTTTCCCCTTTTTTCTCAGCCAGCCGAAGATCTCCTTGTAGTGTGTCGGCTTGATCACCGGTCCATTTCGAGCCCTATGATCCCCGTTCTGCTGAGAATTATTTGTAACAGGGAGCAGGTTGGGCAAGGCTACGTGCTGCAGCACGTTCTCGAACTTCAGGAATGGGTAGTTTCGCTGTATATACCCTGGGGTGAGTCTGCGATTGGCGTTGAGGAGGTTGAAGCCGATACTTTGGCCCCCTTCATGACGAAGTCAGCACCCCTGGCCTGCAAAACAACTCGGTAGACCTCTTACCTGCAACCGGCCCATAAAGCATCTCCAAAGCCTCGCTATGAGAGAAATTTCGAAGAATAAAAATCTTCAGCCAGCTTTCTAGATCCTGAAACGTCTTCAATTTCCGGTCCACAGACTTGGGCGACAGTTCCCGCTCCTTCTGTGCTCTGCCCCTTGGCTGCTCCCTCCGACCCGACCGCGTGGACCGCCGCGGTCCAGTCGCCCTAGCTGCAATGTCCTTCATATCTTTCTTGCCGAAGACTCTCTCTTCATTTTCTACACTTACACCACGCCTTGTAGAATGTTCTTGCACTGCGAGCGTTCCCCTGGAGTCCTTGGGGTATAGGAAAGTGCTTGACTCGGAGCGACTTTGACCGTCCGCTTTCGTTCCTTCTTCCTTCATATCCCTTCTGCTCGTGACCCTCTCCTCCGGCCTAGCTGTGCCGCCATCCGGCTTAGCTGACTGCTCCGACGCTCTGAATACCCTCATCGAGTCTTTGAGGTACAAGAAGGGCGCAAGACGCTTAAACTTGTTCTCATTTCTTGACTCCGACTCGTGGTTCTTCTCCTTGAGAACCGAAGGACATTTTCTGACTAGGCTCTGAACCAGACGCAGCTGAAATGTCGGATCAACGAAGTTGGTATGCTTGAGGGCGAGGTGAACTGGGGTGTTGCCGTCAGAGTTGCCTATACAAATGACCTTGTCGTCGGACTTGTCTATGAGCGACCGCATGGCTTCCCAGTCGCTCATTCTGCGTGAGATAGCGGCGTGTATGCAATGGCCTTTGTGCAGCTCTTTCTCTATCAAGAGATTAGAGGCCTTTGAAGTTTCGCATATGAGCTGAGGGGATACGTCAGTCACTTGAATACTGCAGCTTGGTAATGTGAAGAGGCCATGTGTGAGAGCCGATTAGGGCAGTGCCCAGGATCTCCCCGAAAGGCCCCCTTATTTCGGTACGGTACTATCCAGAATTTACCCGCACCAATCTCGTATTATCCCGATGAATGGCATAATGCAACGGCGTCCTTTCATCGTCATCTTCATCATTATACAAGTCCAAGTCCAAGTCCAGGACCAACCGCAAGAAAGCCGCAAATCTAGGTACTTCAGCCTCCTTGATCCGGAAATCGGCAAGGGCATGGATGATGTTGTTGTTGTTCTTCCCACAAGAGTCATAAAGGCTGTTGTACTGCGTCGCGAAGGCGTCACGCAGTTCCGTCTTGTCCCTGGTTTTGTCTTTGACATCATCCTTACTCCCACTCTCCTTCTCTCCAGCATCATTGGACTCGTCAAATGCCCAGTCGAACTCCCCATCCCGCACCTCCTGAAACCACGTATAATACGCATTGTCCACCTCATCCGGCTCTACCGAAGCCGGCGGCACCGCTGCCTCGTGATCACTGGTGCGAGTGCGACGCGGCCCTCCGCCCGAATCAGGCTCGAGCTCTGAGGCGGCTGCGTTGTCCCACGAATCCGTATGTTTGACCACCAGGGCTCGATTTGACTCTTGGCGCTCCACCATGGGCTTGAACTGACGTGCATCATCATCATGATAAGTCAATGTGTCTTTGACCGACTGGCTGGTCGCAGACTTCTGATTAATGGGCGCTGCTGGCTGGCGTGGGTTCTCTTCTCTGCGTTTCTGGCCCCCACGAGGGGCCTGACTGTATCTACTGTCTCAGCCGCACTATCGGCCTCGAGTGGCATGTTACCATTGGCTGAGGTGTCACTCGGTAGGAGCGGGGTCGAGTCTCGTTATCAATAATATTAACCCAGTGGCATGCATCCCTGTGTCCCCCCTTGTCCCGTTGATCCTCGAGAGTCGATAATTTCTGTTCCCTCGTTCTCGCACTATTCTATCGAGCATAAACAACGCCGGAATGCCGCTTGTTTCGTTTACAGAGTTTGACCTCCCACCTGAGGCCGGCGTGGCTGATGGAGGAACCCTGCGTGTGCAAAACCTCGACAACGGCAATGAAATCCAGCGGCTTCACATCGTGGACAGATCGCACATCTATACCGTTCAGGCAGATCTGTCCGAGGTTGTGCATGGCACGTACTCAGAAGATGGGGATTATGGGACCTTGATTGCCATAGATTTCAATGGTATGCATGCAGCTAACGTACCCTACAAGCAAGTTGGCCACTTTTTCTTGGCACCGTATTAATAACTTCAATAACTTAACTAACGTGAATGTACACCGAGCTGGCCATGACTGTGTATCCTGGTCGATCTACCGCACTGGACTCATGTCACGAATGTCAAGTTCATTGAATTCGTGCCAAGTCAGCTGTGTGGTCAGATCTGTTGTTTCGTGGATTGATTGATGATAAGTCTAGGTTTCTATGTAACGCGGTAACAGCGTTGGTTTTATTTCCACTTTTGTGGGGCCTAGGGCCACACCTGTGGGGCTTAGGGCAAGCCACACTCAGATCCACATGACACCGAGCTGGCCACCCTTACATAACCTCGCATAGAAATTTTACGATAATAAAAGCACAACGCCGTAAATCAATTGAAACTACTCTGAATCTTCCTCTCCGGAAGATGGCAATGCGATCTTACAAGTTCGCGCATTATGCCCAGTCCCGTTGCAGTACATTCACGTTAATGTAATTAGAAGTACTGTCATTATCTGCCACCATTTTGGCTGCAGCAAGTCTGCAGTGCAGGATCACCAAGAAGCCTGGACGAGATACTATCTCAAGGGTACCTAGGCACCGCTACCCCTAAGATGATTAATGTGTTTACGTATCATGGTACGTGGTCCAAGCATATCATGCTAGCAGCTAATAAAAACACCAGCACATAGACACTCTAGATATCAGGGGACTTAGCCCCTTCAAATAGCTACTGCACTAAGGAGAGACTGTGCCGACTCACAGGATATGAATGTGCCAGTGGCGTGTAATAAATATATGGTCTGATTAAGGTGATGTGGTCACCATCGAAACCGAGCCGGTGTTGAATCTTAACGCCCGAGAAAATGCACGATAAATGTAGGCTACAAGGAAAATTCAAGACCAACAAGTTAAGTAATAACGGGTTAACCAGAACACAAGTAAAGAAAGTCCAACAGCTCATAATTACAGAGCAAAAGGACATGCATTCTAGATGCTCCAATCTTCTATGATGGCTTGAGTTGACAGAGTATTTGGATGCTCTGGCCCTAGGACTCGTTGCTGAGCCTGCGCACAGCCCTGCATTAACACTAAAGCATCTGCCTGTCGATCTTGAGCTTTCCAAGTTAAAGCGAGGCTGGCCATGCTCGTAAGTGTAGAGGGATGGTCCGCCCCGAGCTTCGTCTTGCTCGTCTCCATCACCTGCACCTCCAGCTCCTCGGCCTCCTCCCACCGGCCCTGGTTCCAAAATGTCGACGCTAGGTTGGCCATGCTCGTAAGTGTAGAGGGATGGTCCGCCCCGAGCTTCGTCTTGCGAGTCTCCATCACCTGCACGTCCAGCTCCTCGGCCTCCTCCCACCGGCCCTGGTTCCAAAACGTCGACGCTAGGTTGGCCATGCTCGTAAGTGTAGAGGGATGGTCCGCCCCGAGCTTCGTCTTGCTCGTCTCCATCACCTGCACGTCCAGCTCCTCGGCCTCCTCCCACCGGCCCTGGTTCCTGTACGTCGACGCTAGGTTGGCCATGCTCGTAAGTGTATCGGGATGGTCCGCCCCGAGCTTCGTCTTGCTCGTCTCCATCACCTGCAAAAACAGCTCCTCGGCCTCCTCCCACCGGCCCTGGTTCCAAAACGTCGACGCTAGGTTGGCCATGCTCGTAAGTGTAGAGGGATGGTCCGCCCCGAGCTTCGTCTTGCTCGTCTCCATCACCTGCACGTCCAGCTCCTCGGCCTCCTCCCACCGGCCCTGGTTCCTGTACGTCGACGCTAGGTTGGCCATGCTCGTAAGTGTATCGGGATGGTCCGCCCCGAGCTTCGTCTTGCTCGTCTCCATCACCTGCAAAAACAGCTCCTCGGCCTCCTCCCACCGGCCCTGGTTCCAAAACGTCGACGCTAGGTTGGCCATGCTCGTAAGTGTAGAGGGATGGTCCGCCCCGAGCTTCGTCTTGCTCGTCTCCATCACCTGCACCTCCAGCTCCTCGGCCTCCTCCCACCGGCCCTGGTTCCTGTACGTCGACGCTAGGTTGGCCATGCTCGTAAGTGTATCGGGATGGTCCGCCCCGAGCTTCGTCTTGCTCGTCTCCATCACCTGCACCTCCAGCTCCTCGGCCTCCTCCCACCGGCCCTGGTTCCTGTACGTCGACGCTAGGTTGGCCATGCTCGTAAGTGTAGAGGGATGGTCCGCCCCGAGCTTCGTCTTGCGAGTCTCCATCACCTGCAAAAACAGCTCCTCGGCCTCCTCCCACCGGCCCTGGTTCCTGTACGTCGACGCTAGGTTGGCCATGCTCGTAAGTGTATCGGGATGGTCCGCCCCGAGCTTCGTCTTGCGAGTCTCCATCACCTGCACGTCCAGCTCCTCGGCCTCCTCCCACCGGCCCTGGTTCCTGTACGTCGACGCTAGGTTGGCCATACTCGTAAGTGTATCGGGATGGTCCGCCCCGAGCTTCGTCTTGCTCGTCTCCATCACCTGCACGTCCAGCTCCTCGGCCTCCTCCCACCGGCCCTGGTTCCTGTACGTCGACGCTAGGTTGGCCATGCTCGTAAGTGTATCGGGATGGTCCGCCCCGAGCTTCGTCTTGCTCGTCTCCATCACCTGCAAAAACAGCTCCTCGGCCTCCTCCCACCGGCCCTGGTTCCAAAACGTCGACGCTAGGTTGGCCATGCTCGTAAGTGTAGAGGGATGGTCCGCCCCGAGCTTCGTCTTGCTCGTCTCCATCACCTGCACCTCCAGCTCCTCGGCCTCCTCCCACCGGCCCTGGTTCCTGTACGTCGACGCTAGGTTGGCCATGCTCGTAAGTGTATCGGGATGGTCCGCCCCGAGCTTCGTCTTGCGAGTCTCCATCACCTGCACGTCCAGCTCCTCGGCCTCCTCCCACCGGCCTTCACTATATAAAACCCTACTCAACGTGCTCCGTATAAAATCATGTTGCCTCTCCGAATCTACACCATCATTACCGCGAATTTCGGAAATATGTGGGAGATGCACTATCAAATGTCGACAGAACTCGGGCTGGCGTTCGTCCTCGCTAAGTTGTTGGCACGCTGCTAGTATAAACACTATATACCACCAACCCCATCCTCGACTTTGTTCGCTTTGTAGTGCCCGCCACTGAACCAGCCTGTGCATGATGACGCCACGCCATTCACCGTCCACAAGCTGCAGCAGGCTATAGCGGAGTAGTACGTCGCGGCTCTGCCGGTACGGAAAACTGTCCCATTCACCGCTTTTAGATAAGAAAAGTTTTCGAAGCTCTGTAGGTATTCCTTCGACGAGCTCATCATCGACGAAAGCGCAGCCAAGAGCTGCTAGTCGAAACATCTCATCCTGAATAATAGTGCCCTTGAAGTGTGCAAGAAACGTTAAAAGCAAATTAGGCTGTACTATTGGCTTCTCTCTCGTAATTCTTTGGAGTGTCGTGTCCCATACCGTCCACACTGTCTTCTCCGTTGGCAAAAGTCCCCGAAAACTATCCATTTGCAAGAGCTCGTCGCAATGCGTGTCGTAGTCTGCTAGATACTGCGTCAGAGCACCCTCACGATCAGGGTCGTTGCCAATATAGGCGCCTGCAAGGTCAATAGCAAGTGCTAGGTATCCAAGCTTTTGCGCCATCTTATCGCAGCTGTTTTGGATTTCTCCGGGTGCTGAGAATACATCCAGCTCGAGATGTTGGAGAAGAAGTCTCCTTCCTTCTAGCGGCGACATGATATCGACTTTAAGCTGCTCGCACCCCCCGGAAACTAGCTTTTGGCTCAAGGTGTTCTGACTAGTAATAATAATTTTTCCTCTTCCCCCTTTTGGCATTATCTTCTGAATTCCCCAGCGGAGGTCATCGGCATTATCAACGATACACAGCCATTCATCATCCGGCTCCATTCTGTCGCGGAGCCATCGGAGCACCGCCTGGACAGCCTCCGCATCAGCGAGAGCAGAGCCTTGCCTCTTATTCTGCTCTTCTGGGAGACCCAGCTCTGCAGCACATCTTTTGAAGCTCGATCGGACCGCCTCCTCATCTGTCGCATCAATCCACAAAATTGGGTTATAACGATCTCGATAATGTTCCGCGTACTTTAGCGCCAGCTGGGATTTACCAGCACCACCTAGTCCGTGAATGGTAACCCCATACGGAACACTTGCTTTCTCATGTCGTATCTGCAGCTTTTCCTCAAGTTGTTTCCATAACTCGTCTCGCTGGGTAAACGTTGATACGGTCTCGAGCGGGACGGCGTAGTGGTGCTTTACCGACCGAGCTGAAGATGCCGTGATGTTGCGAAGCTTCGATAGGATCATCTTATAGCTTTCGTTTCTCGAACCAAACTTGTTAAGCCCAGAGTGGTCCACGGACAGGCCGATGTTTTCAACATGTGGTCCATCATACGTTGCAGATGACTCACGAACACACTAGATCTCCTGTTAGAATGCTTTCTTCAGCTTAGTAACCTACTTACGAATTGTTGCCATTGGATGAACCATAGTCGAAGAAGTTGCGTCGATCGTTGCTCAAAAAAGTTGAACACCCATAAATCATGTCGAACGATACCGACAAATGTCCTGTGCAAGTCTAGCAATAAAGTCGAATCGTACTCTATTTCGGCTAGGATTGAAGGGTTGGAACCGCGCGGCTGGAGAGCTTGCGCCGCCAGCCGTCCCCATACACTGAAGCTAGACCCACGATGCGGCGTACCTAAGAAGAGGATCGCTTTGATATGTTCGGTAACGTGGCTTGGGCCCCGACGTGCATAGCTTTGAACAAGGGCCTACCATGGTCAGATTTCGCGACTAGAGAAGAGCATTTGCCCACTTACCTGCTTGATCACTAGACCCCCATAACTGTATCCCACGAAAATCAGGTCCCGGCTTCGCTCCTGGAGGCCGGGCCGTCAGCAGCAATCCAAAGTCGTATACATTGTCATTACTCACCTGCTCGGACTCCCGGATCTGCTTGACGTGCTCAAGGAGAACATGGGCAAGATGCGAGAGCCGCGTGTGTATTGCATCCCTCTTCCAGTATGAATCATAGTTATAGAAGAACATGCGGATATCTCGGGTCGCTGTATGCAAATCGTTGGGAAGGAAGTCGCTAACCCAGGTCACATATCGCTCATTATCCGGCAGGGCTTCTTCGGGTGCATCAGACCTCGCTCGCCACGTCGTGTCGGGGTTAGATCCAAGGCCATGGACGAAAACGATACTAGGCGTGTCAGAAATGTTCCAATTAACTAGCGAGGAATCACGCCTACTCTATCCCTCCGGCACGGACAGGTGAACTATGCGGCCCTGCCGGGACGAGCCCAAATCTCGATTTTGGGGCTTGACGGGGGTCGACCCGGGTCGGAATCTTCTTCGTGAGCTGGTCATAAAGGAACGCGATCACAAGAAGAGAGACGAAAAGGTACGTGATCATGTCATAGAATAATGCCATTGAGAGGAAGAGGATGGAGAAAATCGCAGTTGTTTCTTTAGATCCGTCAGCCCCACTTCACTAGAGGGGTCGGTCCGGTCAATTGTTGTAAAGGACCAGGTGGGAACAGAGGAGCAGATACGCATAAAATGTACAGAAACAGTTTGTCGATAATCGTGCGATGCAGTTGCAGTACATTAAAGCAAAGTGTAGTACTGTCACTCATTGTTCTCGATGTCGAGGCTGTACCGGCTGCAGCTGACCTGTTGTAGCCTAAGGCAGCCACATACCCGGCTCCGTCCGAAGTGTTGCCTCTTCGTGCCTTGTCGAACACCAATGGGCTCGAAATACAAGGCACCTGCTGTTCACACCCTTACGTTCGCCAACTTCACTGTCGTGCCTGACACACGATGGCTATTTCTACAGGCTCTCAGGCTCCGTTCCCGCAGTCATGTGCTCCGAACAAAGAACTTTTGAAGCCTTCTGATATCAGCATACCAACCCCTACACATCTACATGAGAACGATGCACATTATATAGCACATATACCTGGAGATCCCGCAGTTAATCTTCTACTCAACGAGGTCCGCGACTATTTGTCCAATCAACTGGAAACTCCACTCCTGGACGAACTTTACGATCATCTTTGGCTAGTTGCCAGGAAATCCGGCCAAAACATTGACGCGCTCCATAGGCAAAGAGTCAAGGGCCGAAGCATTGTCCCTGTGGAAGACCCTAGACTTCATCTCGTCTGGGGCGGCGGCAAAATCTACATAAAGCCCATTCCAGTTTTCCTCCTCAACCATGATTTTTGGACTATGTATCTACATCCTAGGATGGGGGAAACTTCTGCGCCGTATTCCCAAGGACATTCCCAAGGACATTCCCAAGCTTCTACTTCAGCCTTCGACCGCTCGGTTGCACTAGGGTTTTTGCGGTCATATGCGCTGCTCGTACCGCATCGCGTCGACTTCATGTTGGCGAAGGAGTCTTATCTGATCCCTGAGGATGTCGACTGGCTCCTGTGGTCAAGTTTCATCCGCCACTTTCGCGACCTCGGAGACGAGAGTGTTGCAAAGCGATACCACTACGGACAGCTACGTCTCTCGCGACTGGACTGGGCCGTCCGAATATTTCGTCCCCAGCACACCAGCACGATCTGGTTCTACGAAATTCCTCAGTGGTCTCACACCGATTTCGTGGCGAGAGCGACCCTGCCTTTGCTGTTCGTGTTTGCCAGTGTTTCCCTCGCTCTTTCGTCGATGCAAGTTGCTCTCTCTGTGCCAGGAGATGAGCTATGGCCTCAAGGACTCAGCGAATCTGGAAAACGAGATATGCAACGGGCGTTTTGGATGTTCTCCGTTGTCGTGGTACTATTGTGGGTAGTGGTTTGCACCCTCCTCGTTGGCATCCCACTTATCGGCTTGATTTGGCAAGTTTTATGGGGGTATAGAAATCGGGAAAGGAAATGAAACACAGACGCATCTTAATGCTTTACGGATTTTGAGGTGACTAACGCCTTCCTGTCTCATCATGTTTGCGCCTGAGTAGGCTCGATTTATGGGACAGTGAGAGGTCTGGAAGTCGATGGCTCTGAGTGGCCATGTAGCTAGCTATTCGGCGACGGATTAGGAGGATTAGCGTTAAGCTATAGTAAAGGTTGAAAATCCCCTTCGTTAGTAATTACTAGAATAGTGATACGTGACCCCATGGGGGGTTGCCCTATAGCTAGAGATAAGATAGATAAGAGCTATAAAAGAGCTCTGCCAGGCCAGAATAGCTGACCTGGCCATCCTTTTCCAATACAACAATTCACACCCCATATGCACACGCATCAAATAGCCTACGTATTTGTAGGTATTGCTTGTTCGTTTGGTCTTCGGCTAAGAGCATCTACTCTTCTGTTTTCGCTACCTTTGTAATAGATAATCTTAAAGTTATATTCTGTTAAGGACTCTGCCCATTTATTGTATCGTGTATCTAGATTCTCAGTTATTGTAAATACTCTGATGGGCTGGGGAAACTACAAGCTAAACGGGCTATCAAATGGCTCAGCCACTGGTGACAATAGGCCTCAGCTTTCTGTGGCTTAATCACTACACGAGACTCGCAACTTAGAACATGGAACTGCGGAAAGAAGAATGGTGTTTTCCATGCTCACTAAGCTATCATAGAAACCTAGTATCACTTTTCCCTAGCGATCTGATCTCTCAAGACCCTAACAGTATAATTCATCCCACACACCTCAAACTCCAGTCACACGCCTTTTGCAGGTTACTGTACCCTATTTCCATCCTCATCCTCAGAATTCTGCCTCCGTTTCAAACCAGATTAGACACTCTACTTGTCCCATTCCTTTACCTCAGCCCCCTCCGGCGGCTCCGTCTTATACTTCGTCTTCGACGCGCTCGCCCAGTCAGTGCTCAGCGACGTCCCATTGCTCTCAGTGAAACTCTTCATCATGGCACGCTTAGCGTCCGGGTCGGCTCCTGCGTAGATCTTCTTGAAGAAGTCATTGACGTCGCCCGATTCTTTCTCTTCGTCCGAGTCATCTTCCTCGGCTGCAACGCTGTCCCAGTTCTTAGGACCCGACTTGGACGAGGTTGGGTAGGCAGGTGGGGCGTTCTTGGCCGCGGGGACAGGCATTCTTGGTGGCAATGCATCGTTCGACAGCGATGGGAGGTCGGGCCTTGTAGTTGCTTTGATAGAGGGTAGGTGGGATGATCTTTCTGGTTCCACAGGTTTGGCAGGTTTTTGGGGCTCGGGTTTGGATTCTTTGGAGGCTTTGGGCGCTTGCAGCTTCGCCACCACGTGGTTGTACCAAACCTGATTATACCCACCGAATCCAGCAGCAGAAAGGTCACTTGCATTAGGACATTCGCGCTCCTCTAGGTGGTGATAGAATCTGCCAACTGTGTTGAGTCGGCTGAGAGTCTCATCTCCTGCCTTGAGGGCACCCCACTTTCCCGGTGTGGCTTTCTGCATGACTAGCTCAATCTTCATCGACTTGACAGTGTATTGCGTCTCAGAGGGTTTGATCTTGTCAAATAGGTTCAGAGTGACGGATCCAGATGGAACGCTTGGAATGGGACTGAGGGTGATGCTCTGCTCAGTGGAGTCCACCTTCAGGTCATCCTTGGAGACGTTCTTGACGAAGATGCTTGCTGTGAGCGCGGTATCAGTCTGATAGAAGTCGGTTCGTAAATTGTTCTTGTTTCTGCAGTCTTGAAAGTTCTTGAAGATGACCCTCCAAGCCTCGTCCTCGTGATTCTTGCCTAGAGCGTGATTCAGGATTGCCTCCGGGATCTCAGGCTTCGTTGCCTCCTGTTCACCGTCGCTTTCAATCTCCACGACCTTATCAGTTGATTGCGCGGGTTTTGTTGTCGGCGGTTCTGCTGAAGGCGTCGGATACTTGACCACTTCGACCTTTCGACCTGGTGCTCGAGCTGGCAACTTCTCCATCGCGGTCAAAGCTTGGAGACGCCACGTCGAGGCTTGGTTTCGCAGACTGGTGCCCTTGGATCGATTGTCTGTATTGCCCATGGCAGCATTCATACCCTCCTTTTTCTTCAGTTCATACTCGGCTTGATTGGCAGCTTCGACTTGCCCTAGCGTCACTTTGTAGTCCCCATTTGCGTCAACCAGATTCTGCTGGCCATCGTCTGCGGTTGCCTTGGCGCCATCTACCAGGCTAATCGCCCAATATGCGCAGACATCAGCATCGGCATAGCGCTCCATTCTGAAGAGGGTGATTGCCCGTCGGAGCTGTGCTTCGATCATGTGGTCGCGATTGGCTCGCTTGAAGGCAACGGAGAGGGCCGTCTCGGCATCATGAAGGGCGAGGTCAAGCTCCTTGGTTCTCAGGTAGGCCTTCGATCGCTCGAGCAGCCAGAGCGGTGCAGGACGGTCTTTCAGAGCTTGGGTGAGCTTCTCAATGCCCTGGGCATACTTGCCGGCCGTGACGAGCTGCACGCCGTCATTGGCCAGTCGGTTCGACATGTTAGACTAGTTATGTCGGGTATAGTTTGATCTACTGCGTGACGATAGAGATGGAAGTGAATATTATGAACCAAAACGTGAAATGCCTTCATTTGGCTAGAAGTCAAGAATGGTTGGTGCATTCAGGTGCCTAAGATATTGGTTGATCGCTAATAGGCAGCTACAAGGGACCGCGGGGCATTCTAGAAGCTACCCAAGGTGTTTCTGCCGGTGTTATCGGATCCACCAAAGGCGGTCATAACCCGACCGCCTTTAGTCCACCTCAGACTTGTGCCTTTTCAGTGTCTGACTGCTCAACAAGGCAATGAATGGCACGATGCAACATGTCATGAGTGGGGATATATTATTTTGAGATGATCTTATAACTGCAGAGGATGCTCGTTTAACTAATTATACGAACACCCTGGTTTGTTACATGCCAATCACCAGACTGAACTCCAGCCTGATCCTTTGAAGCCCCTAAACCTAGTGATGTGATAATTAGCATTAGAATTGATGTGTATATCTATGTATCCTCAGATTGAATGGCTGGAGTGTGGTTTGGCGCTTTCGGGATCTATTCACTGTGGACCTGGTCTTTTTAACCCACCCGCAAATGCTTCTTCTCTTTTGTTGGTGTTTGCCGTCCAGGCATGCTCAAACAACCGTCTCATTTGGATATTTCTTGGCAAACATGCCCAGCGCTTTCATCGTGAAGGTAAATTTGTAGTTGGGGTAGCTGATCATGCAGCTCTTGTTGAACACACCCTCAATGGCTTCTTGCAGCCACTCCCCATTTGGCTGCTGCCTGTCCATGATGAGCTTGATCCCCCTTTTAATAGGCTCAATGTCAGGGTAATCGGCTCTGATAAGTGCAATCACTGCCCATGCTGTCATGACTACCTGCGAACCTGAGGGGTGCTCGGTGTATTCATCTCGCTCGCATGACTACACAAGTTATTATTAGGAACAAAAATGACGGATAATGGACTGTTCATCAAGTCAAGACTTACACGGTAGCTCTCTGACCATCCACCATCCTCCCTCTGCCTTGCGATGAGGAAGTCGCATCCCTTCTTGGCATAGGAACTGTTCTCGTATGTCTCACCGACGCTGGCCAGACTTTCGAGTGCAAACATGGTGGCGTAGGTGAAGCAGATGGCCCAGGAGCCGTACCAACCACCGTGTGGGTACTGAGACCTCTTGATGAAAGCAAGAACTCCGGTCTTGATGCGCTTAATCTCATCAGTTCTGTAATCGGGCCAGTGTTGACTGAAGAGCGACAGGGCAGTAATCACCGCCGTTGAGCACTCGACGTATTCATACTCGACCATGATCTTGCCAAAGACCTCCGCCGCATTGAGCGCCTCCATCCACTCGCCACCTCGAGTGGGTTCGTAGGAGGAGCATGCCCCCGAAGAGTTTTGGTACGTCAGGAGTGTATCAATTGCATCAAAAATTCGCTGATCGTCCAAACGCTTGGGGTAGCCAGGCGTGCTTTGTAGTAGGATGACCGACCTCACGCCCTCGGCAACACAGTCACACACGGCGTATCCTTGGACCTTGTTGCTGAAACCCCAGGCGCCCTTTCGGCGACTGCGGTAACACACTTCTGCATCCTTGCAGTCCTCCCGGATCTGCTGATCATCCAAAAACCCCAGAGCTTTGGTCAGCATTGGCCGCCACCGCGGATCCTCTGCAAGTCCAGCTTCCATGACGGCCTGGATGGCAAACGCCGTATCCCAGTTCTGAACACCATTGGTGCCATTGCAGAGCATGCCGTCTTTGTTGACCCATAGAGCATCCTCAAGACGTTCAACATGCCTACGTACGGTATACGATCCGGGTCCGTCGCGAATGTAACAGACAACTGTGTTCATTGCCGCGTTGACAGGCGCAAGATCGGCAAAATCGGTGTTCTCGTCCTCCATATCAACCAGCTTGCTCACCCAGGCTTCCGCTTTCTCTACAATGGCCTCCGCACGCAAGTAGGGATTCCAGATGTTGACCAGAAACCAATTAGCCGTATTCAGCAGCCAGGACTTTGGATGGTAGTTGTCGATTTCTGCGATGTTATTCCGATTGCCCACCCAGTCAATTGACTCCCATGGCTCCACGAACAATTCTTGTCTCAAGGCCCGGATCACATCGGTCTCCTCGCAAGTCCACTTCTTGGACCATGTATAGCTCATGGAGAGGAAGACCTGGCGCATGTGGATCCACCATCTCCAGGGTGCAATGGGTACCCAATCCGGGAGAAGCCATACTTCTGGGGGTACCGGGTTGACGATATCCCACTTACAGACACCCAGCACGCTGAGCCAGAACTTGGCCCAATGGGGCCCTCTTACAGCCCCTCCGAGCTTGTGGAGGGTCGCTCGAGCCTTGATCATGAAGGGCTCGTCCGCATCGACGCCGATTAAGCGTAGTACTGTATAGTTCAGGGATGTGCCAAAGACAGTGCTCTCCCCCTCGATGTGCAATCCCCATCCACCATCATCAGGATTTGCTCGGGCACGCAGGTAGTTCTTGATCTCGGTCGCCTTGTACCAGGGAATGGGTGTCTTTGTCACATACCAGGCGAAGACGACGCCAGGCATGAGGAACATTGGACCGCCGTACTCGCATCCCCACTCTCCCGACGGTAGTTGGAGCTTCTCGAAAAATGTGAGGCCGTTGCGGACAGCATCGAGTGGTTTTTCGGGCTTGGGGAGTTCGGGCATTCCCTGCAATGAGAATTGCCAATTAGTTGTGCTATTGGACGGCATCCGGGGTTCCAATCGTAGACTCACAAGATCAAGACCTAAGTACCACTTGTCCGCGTCGCTCTGCGGCCATTCCGCAGCGGCCTCGTCATTTTCGAGGTAGTGCCATGTGAGGCGCCCCTTCTCGTCGAGGCAGCGCCAGCGTGTAATATCGGTCTCTCTCATCTTTTGTCTTTTCGAGCTTTCGATACTAGGGTTGACGTCGCTTTTGCGCTTTCTCGGCGAGGCAGACTTTCTGTTGGCGGCGCCGTTCGGAAGATCGAAGTGAAGCGCGCTGGCGCTGTATCGAGTTGTCACCATCGTGTCGTCGTCCACGGCTTCCGTAGCAGTTGCAAGACCGATGGGAAGAAGGAGGCGGGCAATTGAGAGGGCTTGCCTCAATTTGTTCCTACCACCCACGTCAGGACGAGCTTCTAAACAGGTACGATTGGCTGTTGTGGGGGTGTGGGGATAATCCTTGAACGCCAAGACTGCCGAGCAGCAGAAATTCATTGGGTGGGTCCCCTGACTATTCTCTAACCTTAGTTCTTGAGGTTCCGTCTTCCACGGCTACCTCCACTCCCTCCACTTGCGTATTTGGTTGTGAGTTGGCAAGGTGCCGCACTCACGCACCAAAGACGGCACGTCATCCATGATCAAGTACGCGGCGCTGGATCCGACTGCGGCGTGCTAGCCCAATGTCAGCAATGCACTGAGGTGCGAACTCCGGTCTCTCACGGATGTGTAATTCGACTTGGCATGCTTATAACACAGGCAGACGCCATGGAACACATCGGATCAAGCTGGGCTACTACTCCATCCAGTCACCGAGTACTGAGTACCATTTCATCTCCGACCTCATCAACCAGGGCTCCGACAGAGGAGGGTGGGCATTCTGTGCAGAGAACTAGTGTCTTGCCATCTCAGGATTCTGCTCGGAATTCGGATTCAGGAACCGCATCATATACGTCAGATCCAGTATGCGAGCAATGCCACGCGAAGCGTGTCAGATGCGACCGCGTCAAGCCTTGTTGCGGTGCCTGCTCTCGCCGCGGTCGCGATTGCTCCTTTGGCCGGCGCCAAGGACAATCTACCCAGGAAACATCTGTTCAAAGCACCCCAGTATCTCTAAACAACAGCGCTGGAATCACCACCCAAATCTCCAGCAGCAATGGCCCTTTCACTCAGGCTACTCCCGCGGAGCGACATCCAGTATTACAAGACGGCATATACGTCTTCGAAGAGGGTGATTCCCAGCCCGCTGCCATCATTGCAAAGATTGAAGGTATCTTGGAGGATATCGTTGATGCACTGAGTTTAAACCGTGTCCTGATGATTCCACTCCGCAGCCGCCAGTCTGGGAATGAGGTAATGATTAGATTCCCATCAGACAGGATCGCTGGCGCCAAGAAGTTCAGTGAGTTCTTGCGCAAACGGACATTTCCTAGCATGTCACAGTACTCATATTTCTTATTTATCCGCAGCCGCGCTTCTTCAAATTCTCCATTGCATCCATGAAGCTCTTGTTTCTGGTCGTATTGTCACGAAGAGGTTTGTATTCTGCCTGCGACAGGCAGGTTTCATTTATATGGTACTAACGCCTCTAGAAACATATACTACCATAACCCAGATTTGTTTTGCAGTCAAGCATACGTCGACCAACTCGTGGATGACATTGCCTTTACTTTTGGAGTTGGTAGAGACGCTTTGAATGTGGTGCGTTTCGGCCCACTTCTTCATACAGCACGGGCTTACTCTGGCACATAGCGTGCTGCTTCCAAAGGCCTCGTTGCTGGAGGCAACTTTGATATTATCGGCCAGGATCATCATGTTAGGAAACTCCAAGCTCCTTGCAGTGTCTCGGGCGATCAACTGATTGATCCTTAGGGCGTTCCTATACCGCACACCAGCAGCCTCGATGGTGTGGACTTCCATTCATCTCGGTGGATTCTGGTCATTGAGAAAGAGGTATGATGTTGACATTGGATTTAGAAGTATGCGCTGACCTATTTCAGGCCACATTCCGCAGTCTTGTTGCCTCCAGGTACTTTGAGTTATCGGCTGCCGGTCCTGGCATCCTGATCACTGTAATGCAAACACTTTGGCTCAAGATTGTCAACTGAACTGACATGTATCCAAAACCAGGCCAAGGGTTATCCAGACCTTGCAACGCGCCAGTTCCTACACTTGGTACAATCCTCTTATCCACATATCCCAATTCATGCTCTTGTGGATTTCGACCCAGATGGTTTGGCGATCATGCGCACTTACAAGCACGGTAGCCGCAGCCTCGACCACGAGGAAAATGTCACACTCCCAGGTCTCTACTGGCTGGGTGTCAAGAGCAGCGACGTTTTAGATCCCCAGCGGCACTTGGCGGCTTCACCATTGCAGCAATTGAGCCAACAATCAGGCAACATGCCCCCGTCATGTCAACTTTCAGCCTCATCGAACGTCCATCCCCCGAACCAGCTGAACATGGAAACGCTCTGTACTCTTACTTCAAATGATCGCAAGAAGGCAGTAAACCTCCTCCGCAGCCTCAATAATCAGCATGACCAAGACACCGAGGAAATGATGTTGACGCGAGAGCTGCAGCTCATGTTGATGCTTAACAAGAAAGCAGAGATTCAAGCATTGGATGACAGCATGACTGCATGGTTGAATGAGCATTTATGCGCATGATTCTCCCTGGCTTCCCACTGCGGGGGTTCGGAACATGTCTGTTGAGAGCGTAAGATCGTCACTTGGGGAAGCTGGAGATGGATCTTGACATTGGGTGGATCTGCTGCCGACATGGTTTTTGTTACGAAGGTCTACGGAATGCAGCGGGTATCATGGTTTATTTACGAACTTCAAAGTCCATCTGGCTTACTATCTGATGGGTGCTTCTCCTGCTAAAGATGTGTTCAGAGAGATCTTGCGTCCACGAACCTTCACTGGGAGTCACGTGACCGAATCCACCTACTTCATGCCGAACCTGACGAGTTCGCATTAAGCGTGAATATTTCTAACAATATTCACACCGAACTGAATTTAATCCAAATACCAGATAAGAACAGTTGTCTTCGAATCTGAGTCTGAAATTCTGTTGTCTCAAATTTGCTACTTTAGTCAAGTGAGTCCTCTGCTGCTTTTCCCGCAGACACGAATGAAAAATTTCGTTCGACCCCACGATTCAAATTTGGTGAGTTGAATGCCGAGAGAGGCACGAGCCATCACAGCGCAAGGATGAAATTGAAATGCTTACACTTCATGCAGGCCTCATTCTTTGTATATTTGTATATTGTCACCACGACTGCCTTTTTGCGACATTGAAGGTTATCGGTGACATCGTCAGGCAGTTGCAGATTTCTACCTGAGCACGCCCCAAAATGGCGCCTAAGCTATCGGGACATGAGATCGATGACCTCATATTCTTTGCTCGCGCTGGCGAGGAGACGGATCTCACACAGCTTCTGAAAGAGCTGTCGGAAAGAGAATCAGTGACCGTCGCGGACATCCTGGAGGCGGCTAAGGACGACGGGAAGGCGACTTGTTTACACATGGCAGCTGCAAATGGCCACTCAAGTGAGTATCATACCCTCTCCCGCTTTGCAGAAGACATATTCACATCTAAGCAGAAACTGTCACACACATCCTCTCCCACCTACCCCCCAAACCCAGCAAACCACAACAAAACCCATCCCCACCGCAACAAGAAGGTGATGCAGAGCAACAGCCACCACCCAGTTACATCAACGCAGCCAATTTGTTCGGCAACACGGCCCTGCACTGGGCCTGTCTGGGCGGGCATCTCGACGTGGTGAGGCTATTACTGTCACGGGGTGCTTCTCCCGCTCTCCCTAATGACAAGGATCAGATCCCGTTGGACCTGGCCGCGTTCAATAACCATATGGCGGTGGTGGAGTACTTCTTGGACCAGAGCAGGAATTTGGAGGGGGATAATGCGAAGGAAGGGGGCTTGGACAGCGCAGTGGGGGATGTAGAGATGAAGGATGAGGATGAAGAGAAGACGACAGAGGGGGAAAAGGCGTCTACTTCTGCATGATAGGGAGGGGGTGTTAGAGTCGTAGAGAGAGTTTGATGAGGTAAAGGAGAAGGCGCCACAGGCAAAGAGACGTCTGGGTCTGCATGATGCGAAGGAGATGGATGAAGTGGAAAGCCTGTAAGCCATTATATATGAGTGCTGGGTGCAGAGATGGCATTGCATTCGCATGCATGTTTTGCCTGAAATCTAGGAGTGCTTAGGTGAATTGGCCATTCTGATTATGTCCCTGTTCTTGTAAATTCAATATTGTAGCCTAGGGTAATAACCAGGATTAAAGTACGATTTTGTGGGTGCACACAGCCTAGAGACTGACCGAAAATATCCGCAGACTTTTTCAATTGCATGGCTTGGTTTTCCGTCGGCGACTCAGATATTTAACTGCAACCTTCTTTCTTCTCTCCTAAGCAATGAACGAGATTCCTAATTGCGCTGTACAGGAGAACTGTATTCGGGTGGCAACCTAGGCTCGCGATGTCAGTGGATACGTTTTGTGATCTTTTGAAGGCTGTGGTCTTTTGAAGGCTGTGGTCTTTCGAAGGCCATGGTCCTGGGCAGGGCATAAGACATTAAGGTTTTAATGATCTAATGCATGGCACAAGTCTTATTGCCGTGAAGGGATATTTATATTTGGCCGAATTTTAGATCATTTTTAACTTAATATCGAATAAGAAAAAGGCTAAACGGGCTAATGTACGTCAAAGTGATATGTAGTGCAAGGAGTGCCTTATTATTAATTCTCGCCTGCCTCCTAACCCTCCTCCCGACGATTTTGAAGTCGCTGCCCTTAGAGAAGCACTGAATTACGAATCGGACGATAATGGATCAAAACATGGCATACGGCGAGAATGGTTTTTGATCCCTGACCAATAACCCCTTACTGAATTCCCTAAGTTCGGAAGACTTCCTCCAGAACTTCGCGACATGGTCTGGCCAGAAGCCCTCGAACGTCGCCATTTCCGATTTAGTGAACTCCACTTCCGGGATCTCAACATCCTGCTCAAGAACGAGAAGGAGTTTCCACGACCCCCAGCGATCCTCTGGGCCTGTCGAGCCTCCAGAATGGTCACCTTCAAGCATGGGCATTGGCATCAATTTCTTCAACTTATATGGGAGAACCGGCACTTATGGGTGTACAGAGATATGCAAACGCTGTATGTGCCTCGTCCTGACAAACTCAATGTTGTCTGGTCTCCTGTTGGGCCTCAGGTTCGAGCTATTGCGACGGACTTGTATGAGTGGTTCAACTGGTCGCACCAAGCGACTTCGCGTGCGAATGAGTTCTTCTTTGAGATGCGACCGGTTAGGGGGGATGGGAGAGGGGCTGAGTTTGTACTTGCGCCGGCAGAGATGCCGTCTGAAGAGCAGTATTCTGCGGGGGATGAATCTACCACATAGTTACCTGGAACAGAGCAGCCTCCTGCAGAGATCCTACGAACAGACCAACTAGCACGCACGAAGTTGTTCTTATTCGTCATGGCCACGGTGGCGGATCCCGAAATGCCGGGGAAGTGGTTAAAGACAGCGGCTACCGAGGTTCTCAGCCTTTGTGACCCCATGGCCAGGAGGAAGTTGGAATTTGTTGCTCAAAGATGCATAAATGCTGGCGTTGAGCCGCAACTGCAAGACGGTGCACAGGCGTTCATCAAAAAACTACAGAACGACTGGAAATACCGCGAGAAGCGATTAGTTGAGGAGTACTACCTCCGACCTCCGTGGGCGAGTCTCCGACCTAGATCTTGATAAAGACGATGACAAACTATACATTGATAAACAGCTCCCAGTGTCAGGGTACGGCTAGGCCGAAGGCAATAGTACAGAGTGATGGGGAGTAACGGGCGTCCCTCCTACGTAATACCGGGTGGTCACTGGCGGTCTCAGGTAGGGGTGCCCACGGTGATGCATTGATCTCTACTCTCCCTCTATCTTCTTCCCGGGCCTCCGCCCCTTACATAGATAGCTAGAACCCGACGTCGGAGCCGCGGAGCACTAGTTTCCCCGATTGTTCCGCAAACCAAGACTTCCATATCGTCATGACTCGCACATTCCTACACCAGAGCCCCACCGGTGTCCCACCGGTGCCTATGGCATTCTGTTCTCTGACACGACGACCTCCCCTGACAAGGCCCTGCCCTCAGGGCCTCAACGCTCGTCCCGTAGAACACCGGCCCTTCCTATTCCCACATCCTCCGATGCCGCGCCGGTGCCCTCCGGTGTATACCCCGTAACTCTTCACGCGCAACAGCGTATACACTTGTGGCCTAACCACAGTGCTCCGCGCTGTCACCCGCACACACACGTCATGACATCGGTCCAGCCATTGCTCGAAAACCTTTGCCTGACAATCGCTCACGACAACGTATACACTTGTGGCCTAACCACAGTGCTTCGCGCTATCGCTCGCCTTCCGAAGCTATAGGTGCCTACCGGAACAGCACCGGTGGCCCTACGCTCCCAATCGTCGGAACATTGGCCCAGTAAAACGCTCGCAAGCCAATGTTCGACACACACGCGCAACAGCGTATACACTGGTGGCCCAACCACAGTGCTTCGCGCTGTCGCTCGCTCTCACACGTCACAGCATCGGTCCAGCCATTGCTCGAAAACCTTTGGCTGACAGTCGCGCACGACAACGTATACACTTGTGGCCTAACCCCAGTGCTTCGCGCTGTCGCCCGCTCTCACACGTCACAGCATCGGTCCAGCCATTGCTCGAAAACCTTTGCCTGACAATCGCTCACGACAACGTATACACCTGTGGCCTAACCACAGTGCTTCGCGCTGTCGCCCGCTCTCACACGTCACAGCATCGGTCCAGCCATTGCTCGAAAACCTTTGCCTGAAAATCGCTCACGACAACGTATACACTTGTGGCCTAACCACAGTGCTTCCCGCCATCTTCTGCCATAGAGAGACCCTGCTTGTTACCGGCTTCCCAACGGTGTACCGTTGCCCTCGTAGTTATGTAGATGTGATAATAGGTGACTTACCTGTGATCTTTGTTCCGTTCATGCCCCCTCCCTGAGTGCCGCTCCTGAGGCACTGGTGCTAACCTGTTCTATTCCTAGGCCACCCTCAAGACGGTCGCTGCGGCCACGACCCTCAAGGAGTTGATTGCCCTTGTTGCCGCCGGCCCCATAGAGGGCAATAGTTTCTCTTGTATACAATAAGGACTTGTTTGGCCGGCGTGCCCTTGATACAACTATTGCAGTCCGAGTTGTCACCCGGTGATACGTCGTGCCACCGAGTCTTCGTATTCTTTTCGTAGCTCTCGTGACAAGTGTCGTTGCGGCTCCCACGTATCTTCTGACTCGTCGTAGCCCTTCCACCGGACTAAGTATCGCCTGCTCTTCAGCGGTCCCTTGTGTGCTACAATGTGATCGACCTCGTATTCTAAGGTGTCGTCGCTTTCCACTGGTATAACCTGGTGCTCAACCGGTTCTCCTTTGTAGGGCTCGAGCTGTGACGGGGAGAAGACGTTATGGATGCGGTAACTCTGTGGTAGATCCAGCTCATAGGCTCTCCCACCGTTGATCACCCGGTGCACCTTGAATGGTCCTAGGAACTTGTCCGACAGCTTCTTACACGGTCTGCGCTGCCTCACGTTCTTCGTCGATATCATCACCAGGTCCCCTATGGCGAGGGACATGGTCTCTCGTCGCCTGTTATACCACTTCTCATAGTCCTTGTTCGTCCTCTCAAGGAGCTGTGCAATGGTATCCCTATGGCTCTGGAGCTCTTGGACCCTTTCATCCGCTGCAATAGCTCGGATCGGCCCAGTACCGTCCTTTTCGATATCATGTGGCCCCCTTGGCATATAGCCAAACAGCGCCTCTGCTGGTGCCATGTTGATGGCCGAATGCCACGCCACGTTGTACACGAACTGTGCCATCGGTAGTAGCGATGCCCAGTCATCTTGATCAAAATTACAGAACGCCCTTAGGAAGTTTTCCACGTTCTGATTCTGTCGCTCTGTCTGCCCGTCGGTCTGCGGGTGGTATGCGGTACTCAGCTTCCTCTTGATAGCCAGTAGGTGGCACACCGTTGCCCAGAACTTGCTTGTGAACAGGGAACCCCTATCGGATACCATAGTCACTGGGATCCCGAACACAGTGAAGACGTAGTGCACCAGCAGCGTAGCGAGTCCATCAGCGGTAAGGCTCTTCTTCGTCGGTATATATAGTGCGTATTTCGTGAAGCGGTCCACTATTACCAAGAGGCTGTCCTTCATCTTCCCATTGGTGTCCTGCGAAGATGGAAGCCCTGTAATAAAGTCGAGAGAGATCTGCTCCCATGGTCGGTTTGGTACCGGCAGACTAGCTAGCTGTCCGTAGGGCAGATGGTGTCGCGCCTTTATTCGCTGGCAGACTGCACACCCCCTAAGTCCTTCGCATCTCTTGTCAGCGATTTCCAAAAGTACGACCTACTGATTCTCTTGACTGTCTTAGTGACCCCCAGGTGGCCACTAGTCTGCTCGTTATGGAAGGCCATCAGTATCTCCCGCTGGATCGGATGGTTATCTGGTACGAAGACGCGGCCCTTATAGCAAAGCAGCCCGTCCTCCTGGTACCACGCACCCGGTACGCGGCTGAGCGACTTCCACGCTCCGCTACTGACGAATTCGTCTTCTGCCTGGGCTTTCCTGACATCTTCAAGTAATGTCGGAGCCAACTCTTCCGGCATAGGGACACCAGCTGTAGCACCGCTTGCGCGCTGTGTCTCCATTACTCGCACTCTGATACTCCTAAATCGTTGTAGGAAGTCTGGCAAGAACGCTACTTGCGCCTCCTGTTTCTCACCCGCTGTCGCGCGGTGGTCAGGCCGTCTTGACAACCCATCGGCAGGATTCTTCGTGCCTGGTCGATATATGATCTCGAAGTCATAGTTCGCAAGGTCCTGTAGCCATCTACCTTGTCTAGCGCTGAGCTGCGGCTTACTGGCTAAGTAGCGGTGGTTCAAGTGATCCGTGAGAATCTCAATCGTCTGTTGACTGTACAGCAGATAGTGCCGCCATCGTTGTGTTGCCTCAATAATCGCGAGCAGCTCCGCATCGGGTGTCCCGTAGCGTAGCTCAGCGCCTTTCAATTTCTTGGACATAAAAGCCACTGGGTGCCACCTGTCTCCGTGCAGCTGGCTAAGTACTGCGCCAATTGCGAAGTCTGATGCGTCAGTCTCTACACGTATAGGTAGTCCAGGCTCGAAATGCTTCAAGATAGGTGCTCGTGTGAAGGCCAGGCGTAGCTTGTAGAACGCCTCGTGTGCTACATTATCGAGCTGCAGCGCTCCAGATGATCCTCCCTTGAGTAGGTCTGTCAGGGGTGCTACTATCTTCGAGTAGTTCTTGATAAACCGGCGATAGAACCCAGTAAATCCGAGGAAAACCTGTATATCATGGATACTAGCCGGGGCTGGCCATTGCGCGATAGCATCCACCCTGTCGGTTTCCATGCGGATCCCCTCCGGTGACACCACGAACCCTAGGAACTCGACTTCTTGCGTGTGGAAGACGCATTTGTCTTGATTAGCGTACAGGCCAGCGGCGTCCAACCGGCGGAGGACCTCCCGGACATGCTCTGGGTGTGACTCTCTGTCCTTAGAGAATATAAGGATGTCGTCCAAGTAGACGATACAGATCACGTCCACAAGTCCAGCTAGTGCGTCGTTGATGTAGCTCTGGAAGGTCGCCGGCGCATTAGCTAGTCCGAACGGCATGACCAGATACTCAAAATGACCGTATCTCGTCCGAAACGCCGTCTTCCATTCGTCTCCTTCGCTGATCCGGACCCGGTGGTATGCATCCTTCAGATCCAGCTTCGTATACCACTTCGCGGAAGCTAGCCTATCCAAGATCTCACCGATCAGTGGTAGTGGCGCTCTGTTCTTCACAGTGATCTTGTTAAGGCCTCTGTAGTCCACACATAGCCTCAACTTTCCTCCTTTCTTCGGTACGAATAGGATCGGCGCCCCAGCTGGGCTCTGCGAGGGCCGAATCCATTTCTTGCTCAAGGCCATTTTCAAATATTCTCGTAGTTCCTCGAGCTCTTTCTCCGCTAGTGGATAGATGGGCCCGTGCGGCGGCTCGGCACCTGGCTCTAGCTCGATCTTGTGTGACCGAAACCTTCCATCTGGCAATTTCCCTGCTAACTGCGCGTCGAATAGATGGAGGAATTCTGCGTATTCCGACGGCACGGTGGCACACTTGGTCTGCGGCTCTGCTCCGGCTCCTCTGTCCTTGCTAGCTTCGACCCTTGCTACCGCGGGCACTGCTATCATACTGTACTTTGCCTCGTGGTACGCATTCCGTATATCCTTCTTGCTGGCCACCAGTTGTAGACTGTCCACGTCGAGAGGGTACGTCCATCCTAACGAGGACCATCGAAATATAGGCTCAACGGCACGGCACCAGGGGAGCCCAAGGATTGCAACCCAGTCTTCTGCGTCTGAGACTCGGAATTCGTGAGCCTTCGTCTTCGTCACCCCGAAGCCGTCCGTCATCTTTGTATGTAATACCCTCTTGCCATAGTTGGGACCTTTGCTTCCCCACATGCCCCGCAGCGTCTCACCGGAGTCTTGTAACGTACCCGGCTCGATGCCAAGCACTCTTGAGTCCACGACATTCTCGTCGGCTCCGGTGTCAATCAAGGCTTTTCCAATGCGCCAGCAGCCGCCAACCCGGAGACGGATGGTGGTTTCCAGACGGAGCGGCTGCTCGTACCCCTATTGAGGCTCGGTGTGGCGGACCCCCAGCGGCGCTGTTTTGGGTTCCGGTCCTCAGGACAAGGTCCGTCATGTTTGGTTCTACCGCAGGTCCTGCAGTTAGGGCATTGTCGAGAGTAATGTCCCGTCTGTCCGCACGAGTAGCACTGGCCGTAAGCCACATCCCTCCTGGGCGCCTGTTGGCCTGCATTCCCGTCTGATGTTTCTTCCCTTGCTGGTGCTGGGGTCGAGGACGATGTTGCGTTGGTCCTCGGGCCAGGCTGTTGGTACACCGGTGGCCTGCTGCTTATTTCAATCGCCTCGGCTTGCTTAGCTACGTCGTCAAGCTCATACCGAGTCGAGGGAAGTCCTCGGGTCATGACTTGTCGCTTCAACTCCGGTCGTAAGCGGTTGAGTACGTTGACGACCCGTATCCGTTCCGGTAGTTGATCAGGGCACTCTGTCTCTATAGCATCGTATACGTCGATGAACTGCTGGTAGCTCTGGTTGGGGCGCTGGGTGATACTATCGAGTCTCTGCATCACGCTGATCACTCGCGTATCGTCGCTAGCCACACTCCTCTCCAGCCACTTCTCCATAGCGTCCCACCGGACGTTCCCCAAGTCGTTTTTGTAAGTAGTAGCAACGTGGCTGGTCCACCGTCGTTGCACCGCCCCATCAAGGCATCCGGTGGTGTGCAGTACACGCGCCGCATCAGTGTCGAAGTCCTCCGCGTACATCATGAATCTCCCCTTTAGGTTTAACATGAACGAGGTAAGTTCCGACCAGTTGGTTCCCCGGTACTTGAGTGTCGGCAAGTGGCCTCTCCCTCCTAGATCAAGCCGAGGTCGCTTTGGGCTTGGTCCGATAGGTTCAACCTGGGTCCCACCGGCGGTACTATTATGCGGCTCTCCCCTTCTTAAAGCTTCCAATTCTTCAATCCTTTCTCGTTTCTTCTTCCTCACTACTTCTTCTTCTACTAGACGGTCAAGCTCTTCTAGCTCGAGCTCCTCTAGTTGGGGCCGGCTCAGTTGCCTCATCGTCGCTGTTGTCGTCGTAGCGTCGACAGTGCCATTGTTCGTCTGCGTCGCTGTCGTCGTCGTTGCACTACTCGATGTAGCTCCTCCGGTGTCACCCAGCGTGGCTGCGGATGTGGTCTGGCTTCGCATCAGGGCTCTTCGCATCGCCATTTTCTCCCCAACGGTCCGTACGCCCGGAGACGGGTGGAGAGATCAACGTGTCAGGGTACGGCTAGGCCGAAGGCAATAGTACAGAGTGATGGGGAGTAACGGGCGTCCCTCCTACGTAGCACCGGGTGGTCACTGGCGGTCTCAGGTAGGGGTGCCCACGGTGATGCATTGATCTCTGCTCCTTCCCTATCCTACTTCAAGATGGTCCTTATATAGATAGCTAGGCCGCCGCTTGGACCCGGCATAACAGCAGGGTCGGCGATGCCAAGGATCTTGACTCTCGTCATCCCAAAGCTTCACATAGATTGTAATCATGACTCGGGAGTCTTTTGTCCGAAACACCCCTCCGGCGCCCCACCGGTGTCTTGCGTTCAGTGTCCTGACACCCACTGGTGCCTATGGCATTCTGTTCTCTGACATAAATGATGGTCGTTCCGAGACTGCTGCAGTGAGTGCGCTCTCGAAGTCTATCATACAGGAAGTGATTAATAAGTTCAATTGTCGCAGAGTCCGGGAATCTACCAAAAATAACGCGCTGTAATACCAGGAATTTTTCTATATATAAGTGTACTTGCGATTTCCAGATTTTAACCAATGTATCATTTATTCATGGCACATGATCGATTAGTATATCCCAGTAGTGACCAGCCCAATGTACATACAGCTAGGTCACAGTTACAATTGCGGCAAAGGGAACAAAGCATCCAGATGGAATAGTACTATGCAAGCTGAGCTGTTGTGAGCGCCTAGGTCTTATCCTTGTAGCCAGGAAACTCACGAAGGGTTGGTCGACTTTGCATGAGGAATTCGAAGTGGCAGAATCCGCTGATGGAGTATGGCTGAGTATCACCTACTCGCATCAATTTCCGGCGAATATCAGCAGAAAAATCGCCATATGATCGAATCACTGAGTTTTAACCTCAAAGCCATATGTAGGCGTTGAAGGTTAAGACCGGAGCTGCACTGCAGAATAACTCCCGTTCCTCCAGGAGCAGTGACTCCTGTTCTGCTGCGGAGTATGCGGGTGAATGATTGAGTGCACAGTCCTTGTAGTGCACCAACCTTCTATCTGCTTTGGGATGTAAAAACCAGGCCAGTTTATATACGGATTCATACATGTTCAGTTAATCCTCAGTCTTTGGAGATGACCGTGCGTCTAATCCTATCTGTACAGACATGTCTGCTGTTGTCTACCTTTGAGTCTTCAAAGCCAATATTGATTCCAAATATGGATCAGGCGTTCATATCATAATGCCTTGAAACTCTCAAATATACCCATATGCGTGGGAGACTGAATCTGCAGGAAAAACTTCTAGGTCTACAAGTTGAAAGGTGATATGAACCAAGTAGTATCGCGGAACCAACGGTCAGATTGGTCTGACTAACGAACCCCGTCGTTCTAACCAATTTTGGATTCTGATCCCGGTTGTATGAACTTGTGGTGACACATTCGTGTGTTACGAGATTATCTCATGGCAAGTTCTGTCAGAACACCAGATAGGGGCCCTAACATAACGTTGTTGCGCAAAAGACCAGAGGTACCTGATGGCTCTCAAGGAGCCTTATATACATTAACAGGTCCTTTCTTCCTCAAGAGGGCCCTTTATACGCAGAGAGGATAATTCTGACTCTGTGCATGAGTGGTGTGGTAAGAAAGGGCTATTCATAACAACGTTTCCATTTTCGAGCCTCCCATGCCACTGTCTCCGTTTTCTTTCAGACATCCTTCGAAACCATGCCCCAAGCAGTACCCCAAGCCACAACAGCAGCCGCAGCTTGGAGATAGAATGTGTAATCCAAGCTCATTGAGAACGCGACCAGTCCTCCGGGCAGATCCCGAGCACTCACGATGCTACGAAACTTAGTAGCACCAGCGGCACTGCATGCCTGGTCATCAACTTTTGGCCCGTATTCATATATCTGTGGCCGAAGACTTGCGTCGAATACGATATTGTATAGATTCAGAAAGACGGCACGTCTAATATGTCGACACCATACGCTGTGTTGCCACCGCTGAGAACATTTCTTCTGGTGAGACAGCTGACTGTATGGCAAGGAGGGACAGCTTGTTAGCGTAGGAAGCATGGTGCCGAGACGGACAATAGCTTACCATCTGCAGACTAACGCCACGGACAAGCCCGGTAATGATCGAGAACCAAAGCCTATTCGCCCGTTGGTGTGTGGGGTTGAAAGAAGGAGAACTAGCTGCTTCCGATGAACGAGAGCGCCCCTCCCACGAAAGCAAAAGGGGGTGCATAGCCGAATTTCGTTACTATGCTTTATATCAGTATGCTGAATTGTCGGGTAGAGGGATCGTTGAAATCCTCACCTAACGAACCACCAATGACCGCTGATAATAGTTCAGACACGATTATTAGCAAGAGATACACCCCAATCGTGATAGCGTTGACTCCCTCCACAGTCTACAAGTAAATGGGCAGAAAGTATGTAGATCCATAGATGTTTGACATCATGAATGTAGTCCACGCCGCTCTTCCCAACTGCTTTGCGCTCTTCATGCCCCATCGTTATATCAATATAAGAAGCCATCAACTTCTGCCCGCTTCAGTATCCCTGAGCGCGACAACCCCCCAAGCGAACGAAAGCGCCCACGCGCCGAGCGTGGAGCGTAGTGGCGACGAAAACGCAACGAAGAAGCAAATCGACAGCGAACGAGCGAGCGTCAAACGAAAGATTACCGACTTAGTACCTTCCGAGAAGATCGAGGTTGATAATATCGATCTTCTCAGGGGGACTTTGTTAGTAGGGTGAGAACTAACATAGTATTGTGGTGGACGTAACGCAGTCGCTAATAGAGCGAACCTACGTAGCAGCGTATGTATTTAGTCCAGCCATTAGGGCACGGTTTGACATACGGGAGCACTTGTAGAGGTACCGGGGTCTTCGAGCCTACGGCGTATTTAATAATAATAATAATGTAAAACTTTAATTGCAGATGCATGCAGAACGAACATAGGACACAAAAGCCAGGGGATGCATCGAGTACAGGTTTCTTCTTTTCTGATGTATTGTAGTCAAATACTTTGATATTACATATTATATTATGCCTCAGTAGTTGAGCAGTTCCTACTAATCTATTGGTTAAACTCTAATATAATCTAAAGCAGCTTCTTGAGGAGAGCATCAGTAGAAGCCAGGGTGATGGCTGTGGCCACCTCCAGGGGCATGCTCAGGAAAGGCGAGTGGCTGCTGTTGAAGGTCTGGGAGAAGTACCCAGAGGGGAACTGCGAGGCCATGGCGACTTGGGTGGCATAGGGGATAGCTTGGTCCTCGAGGGTGAAGAAGAAGCCGACCTCCACGTCGTTGTTCCAGGGTTCGAAGGTGGCGTCGTCGGTGAAGATGCGGGCGGGCTCCTGCTTCAGGCCAGCGATGGCCTCGGCAGAGAGCGCGTCATCGACGTCGGCGTAGAAGATGGTCTTGGGGTCGGTAGGGGTGACGAAGTTGCCATCATCCTGGAGTCGGTGTTAGTGAAGAGAACAGAACAGAGCGGAATATTCCAGACTCCGGGTCGAAGGGTATGCTCACAGAGTAATCGAACCACGGCAAGGCAACGCCACCTAGGGCATCGAGCAGGCTGGCATCGGCGGGCGAAGCAAAGGCAGTCATGTAGATAAGCATGATGACACCGCCACTCTCACCGGCAGCGGCACGGGTGGCGTAGTCCAGACCCTCGACGGCGTTGGATCCGACGAGGCCACCGTACGAGTGGACGACCATAACGATGTCCTTGCCGGCATCGGCGAGAGTAGTTAGCTCGGCGCGGAGAGCAGCAGTGTCTTCAGCGAGGCCAACGGAGGCGTTGGTGCTGCCGACGGATGGGAGAGCAACGGCCTCAGTGGGGAAGCCAAGCACCGAAAGGTTGCCGCGGACCATATCGAAGGCCCACGTCTCATGCCAAGCACCGGGGGTGAAGACAATAGTGGGCAGGAGATCGCGGGGCGTCGAGGGCAGAGCCGAGACGGTGGAGGCTACGAGGCCGAAAGCGAAGGTTGAGAAGCGCATCGTGAGAAAAAGGATGACGACCTGGTTGCTAGTACAAGCGAAAAACAGAAACAGGGCTAGGGAGTCGACTGTAAAGACTGTAAGGACCGTAAAGACCGTAAAGACTGTAAAGACTGACTGTAAAGACTGTACCCTAATACTGCGTGACTGTGACTGAACAACAGGCGCCCATGACAAAGGCTCAACTGGAGAGAAGTGGTGCACCGGCTTGCATAAATATAGTCGACTCCTACCTTGTCGACCCTACCTTGTCGACTTCATCAATCACACGGACTGTATCCCAAAAGGGGCCTCATTCATCACTTCGTCCTTTGCCCGTTCGGGAAACGGGTTAGGCGTGATAGTCCCCCTTGAACGTCCCACGCAAAGCATATCGCGACTAACAAACCTGGTTGAAATCGTGGATAGTCTGTATTGTGGGGTGAACACGCAACGCGCTAGAATCTTGCCAACGTTGGCCTTGCCTTATTAAGTGAAATATCCGGAACTGCACTGGGGTAATCCCATTTGAGACTCCCGGTAATCCGACGCAGGTACGACAGCTCACCTTTCAGCATGATGATATTGCAAATCACGCGATGGAAAAGCAACCTATTCTTCCAGCCATTCGGGGAAAAAAACAGCGATTTGGTTTTCTGGATGTGACGAGAGAAGGCTACTACAATAAAAGGTCCATGATCAACCCGATCTCATCTGTCGGTCGACACTGACTGTCAGCTTGAAGGTGTCAATTGTGGGAACCTGGATGGGGAAACCCAAGACAGTCATGAGGCTATGGTGTGACTCAAGGAGAAGACTCACCGTCAACGCACCGAAAAGATATTCTCAGCTGGCATCATCAGAGCAGCCGTAACTCATTTGGCAAATTAATGTAACTAAGCTTCCGTTAGCACGACTCCATACGAGCAAGAAAATACTAGAAATCTAGTAGATGGCCCCTGACAACGGGCGAAAGTCTGCAGAAAAGTGCACAAAAGCGGTTTCGTCCTATTTCGATCCACGGGAGCTCTGCTTTCACCTCATGGACCAGGTGGCTTTCGTCAGTCTCCCAGCGATCGCGAGTACTTCACCTCATGCACGAGATGTTACATACCAGCAATTCGCTGCAAGGGCATACCACGTCTTTGGGACGATCAACGGCAGTGCGCAAGGTAGTGGAAATACTACGTAGTAGCTATGATGAATGATAAGCAACACGTCAGTTGTGACGAGATCTGGTTGACCACGTACGACGGAGGCCATAATATCCATAATGCCCCCCATCGTCGGTGATTGCTTGAGCAAAGCGTCCGTATAGCTCAAATGCGCAACCCTGCCAGCCACAGGTTGAATCCTGGTAATACATATTAAGCACGGTTGCTGCGCCATTTCCTAGCCCATTGGGGTGGATGTCGCAAGGCGATGGGTCCTGTACCCCAGGGACCAGGATTTTAAGAATTTGTAGAATGATCCACAGATCATCTGCATATGTAAGGGGGGTTGCGATGACCCACTCCACGTGGAACCCTGGCCTGTGTCATCGCAATATGTAGGCACTCTCATCCTCATCCGAACACCTGGTGCATAGCATACTCCGGCTGGGATATCCCATCATGGCAGTTATGAGGGAGCAACTACCGCTGTCCAGAAACTGTGCAAACTTCGCCGCAAGCTGTCGCGCAGATCAAGTAGAAAGTGTCTCATTACATAGGAGAGCTGGCTGACTTAAGCTTTCGGTATGTATTCAAGTTCCGTGGAGCGACTGGACGAGTTCCAACCTCCGAAGATTGTGAGGCCAAATTTTGGCTCAGCGTCTTCCAATAAACTTTGCGTAAACCCCTTTATTCGCTCTGCTAGTCGCCACAGCCTACCTTCTTGAAGTGGTTGTCTTCTTGCAGAGAAAACTTATACCTTTTCATTAGAATCTTATACCCACCGCGACGTTGTTGTAATCTCTACAACATCGACCCAGTACTCACTCCAATGAGGGTCACTCCTCGCTACGATGGCGGACTCCAGGCCGACCGCGGCCCAGAACTCACTGGAACCACAACAGCACTGTTGGTCCTCGCGACCGTTTTTGTCGGGTTGCGCTTCTGGGCCCGTTATACGGTGAGGTACGAGCTCGGCCTCGACGATTTGACTGTCATGCTCGCCCTCGTCTTTGCCTTCATCACTGGAGCTATCAACTATAGCAGTAAGTTATATCGAACCACCTCGCTTAGATCGGCTCCCTGGTTCCCTGATAACCCATGATGAATGGCTCAAGGCTCACTACTTCTGAACCCTCGCAGTGATAACCCAAGGGCTCGGTCGCCATGCGTCGACGCTGCCGTTGGATCAGCTCACGCTGTTTTTCAAGCTACTCTTGGCGTTCGAGTGTATATATGTCACGAGCATTACGCTTGTTAAGCTATCGCTGCTGGTCATGTACAAACGCATTTTCCCCGGCCGCACTTTTCGACTCGCTTCCATTGCGCTCGGCTCCGTTATTATCGGGTGGTGGATTTCCATCGTAGCCGTGTCGGTGTTCCAGTGTAAACCCATTTCCAAGGCCTGGCTGCCTTCGATCGAGGGTACATGTATTAATCTCAAGGCCTCATTCATTGGCAATGCGGTCCCCAATATCCTGACCGATATTGGCATCCTTTGCCTGCCGATGACTCAAGTCTGGCACTTGAAGGTTACGTGGGCCCAAAGAATATCTCTCTGTGCTATGTTCTTACTAGGAGGATTGTAAGATATACCCCATTCCCTCAGACGTGTCTTGAAATGAACATTACCAACGATGACTGGATCACAGCGTTCTCTTCGCGAGCATATATCGCTTCACAACCATTATGCAATTCTCCACAGCTGATACGACATGTAAGTCGACTACCCACAAACACGTCGCATACCACCACAAGTATACTAACCCACAACCCCAGGGACCCTCGCCACCGCCTGTACATGGTGCGTCGTCGAAGTAGCCTGCGGTGTCATTAGCGCTTGTCTACCAACCCTCCGCCCACTCATGATGAAGATCTCAACACAATTCGGCAGCATATCGCGCAAGACGGGTCTCTACTCAGGCGCCCGCAGCGGTCTACAAGGGAGCCAGGCCATTACTGAGCTCAGGACTTTGGGAGGCGGAACAGGTGTGGCTAGTGGGACTAAGCAATCCAAGCAGTTCACGCGCATCGAAGATGAGGAAAAGTACGGCGTCACGACGGTAGCTAAGGCTGAAGGGGGCCCGCGACCAAGCTATCTGGATAAGTCTGGGTCGGTCACGCCAAATAGTGGGATAAGGATACAGGTTGATAGGCAGTTGCAGTGGTCAGAAAAGGTGGTGGACCAGGGACCCCATTGATAAAGAGATATATGAAGGGACTTATAACGAGATAACTAACTCATTTGTTAATTATCGCAGTCGGCTGGTGTAGTTGGTCACTTCACTGGTATGGGTCGGTGACGAGTCGCGGGTTCGAATCCCGCAGCTGACACGCAAGGGGGTTTAGTCAACCCTTACGGCGCGCTGCCCACCTTGTTGACTTCGCCTACCTAGCGATAATATGGAGATTGGTGCAGTTTAGGATTACGAGCATCCTAGCCAGTCGACCGTCACGCACTACGTCGGCGGAATATAACTCGACAGCCGGTCCAGAATTCGAATCGTTAATCCGACCCCTTATAGGACCCCCTCTCGCCGCAATTCTTGCGAGCGTCTAGACCACGTTACGGTCTATCAACTTGAGCGTATGGTTGAGATGTATACGCTCGACGAGAACCCCAATTAGCAGATACTACGACTTGTCGCGACAAAAAATAGTCGAGCATCTTCTGCACATCAGCAGCATCCCACCCCTGAGGACGAATTTAAGTGCCACATTACCACACTTATCGGTAGTTCAGGCAGGGGTTGTAGCACAGACTTAGGGAGGGACAGGAGGTTTAGTAGTCGTTTGGCTACAAGTTTACCTGTATAACCGCCCGACGTGGCTTAAGGGCCCGCTATATCATCTATAGCCCCTTAAGGGAGTACTTGTAGAGGTACCGAGGGTTAACACCTACGGCGTATTTAATATTTTTTTAATTATCGCATTATAATTCCCTTCATTCACATGAAATGTAGTACTGTAAGAGATGTACTTTACCCCTTATGACCGAGGCTATTGCTAACTAATGCTGATAAGAAAAATGTTATGAGTTCAGAATCACGAATAAAGATGTACTTTATAAATCGAACGACATTGCCGGGTATACTGTGTGATATTTAAGGCTATATATAGTCCTGATACGCACTTACTGGGCTGTCCATTCGCATTCACTTCTCTATTGGCCGTTGCACAATTGAACACAGTCCCAGGCAGGATCTTTGGAAATTTAGGGGTTCAGAACCGAGATGGGGATAGCGAAAGATAGGAGACAACAAGGCAGAAGTTTGCTCTCGCTCCTCGGCCCTAGTCAAATCCAAGCAACAAAAGACAGGGCAGGATTGGCATCATGTCTCGCGTTGTCTGCGTCAAGGTCTTCTCGTCCGGCTGCAAACAAGAGAATCCAATCACTCGCGCAAAGGCTAAACTCTTCCAGAAGGGCCGTCCATTCATCAAACATGTCCCATGCCAGGGGCGGGCTGTATAGTGCAGCGGCGAGATGGGAGACTCACAGCAGGAGCTGGAGAAGGAGAACGAGGCTATGGAGGAAGATGAGACGACTTGTATGACTCCCAGCACGTGTCCATGTATCAGAACAGGGCAAGAGTTAATGAACACAAGGCTACCTTTAAACAGACCTTGGTGTCCTTCGAATCTTCCGCTTAGACAGTGCTTCACTAATACGACACTCCATGTTAAACCGTGAGTTACCGGCAGACTTCCTCGATATCAAGGTTCCCAGGGCACAAAGACAACAAAACATAGGCAGGGTTTGGCCGAACCAAGTCCAACTAGCTTGAGTAGAGTGCGAGCTATATGTGCGGCACTGCTGACAACTTCGATAGTCAGTTGGATCGCACCGCACCGAGTTGTGAAATGTATACACCTTGTATGGACCTACCTATACCAAGCTCTTTGCCTTACATGACACGCACCTCTAAGCACCAATTATAACCAACACTATATCCCCAAACCAGCTGAATTACTAGTGTTAGGTGCAGTACCTCTGTCCCCAACGTGTTTTCAGCGCACCGTAGCGCATCTACAAAGTGCTGGTGTTCCTAGGCGCCGGGAATACTGAAAGTGACGCAAACAACTCTGTAATAATCCCTTCTGACAATTGCTTCTGTGAGTACCCTCCTAATTTTTCCTTCTTGCCTTTTCGAGGGGAGTTGGCTTTCGCTTCAGGGTTAAGGAACATATGGGACCTTGGAGAAATACTTAATTCCACCGTCACAGCCAGCTGCACTACTATAACACTACTATAGCTATTTGCTCGTTTTCCATTGCTTACATACTAGGGTATCTAAAACTAATCCCGGGTTATTATTGCGCACGCAGTAGAAGACCGCTAGGATGATAACGAAGATTCCTATAGGGCTAGTTACGGCCTCTAGCACGTGCAAATTACTAATAGTAAGCCCTTAGCTTAGTAACCACTTAGCAAACAAGTCACTAACTAAGTCTCCAAATCGATATAGCTTGGTACCCAAAACTAGAGAATTGGTGGGTTGGGTTAGCTGGTCAACGCCAACCCTTGGCAACCAGGTTGAAGTGGTTAGGTTGTCTCGAGAGTGGATGATGAATCCGCGAATTTTGCCGTCCATCTTTATTTGGGCCAACGCGTCACAAAGCATGGTCTTTCTGGCACCAGAATAACTTATTAAGGCACCAAGTTGTCTGGCTTGACCTAACCTTGGACGTTGTTGAGCAATACCCTATGCCCAGACGCAGTCTTAACGGTGTACGATAGGTTCTTCCATGTGAAGACCGATACATTCCTAATAAGATCTCCTTCCGTGTTGTCGTCCGAGTTTTTGGCAGTTTCACCCCCAAACCCGAACCGCGGCCAGCCCAGCACCAGCAGTATCTTCCCAGGGCTTGACGCATACATGAGTGTTGTCGAGAGTGGGTTTCAAGGATGGCTCATGGCGGGATTGCTGGACCAGCTTGGGGATTTTGAACTGAGCGACCACATTCTCGTGGATGGCTTGCATCATGAGTTTCTTCCAGGTGATACCGAGCTCGCGGGGTGGAAAGCCGGACTCGCAATCTCGATCCTGTATAGCCTCAATTATTAGCTTTAATGCCCATATGTTGTCTGGTTGAGGTTCACTATAAGAGTATTAATCGCTGTCCGTCAGCGTGCTGTCGGTTTCGATTTCGCAGTCACTCCTGCTCACAAGGCTATAGGCAGTGGTTGAGCTAAAGGGAACGGAACTTGCAAAATAAGTTTATAGTGAGATATATTAGATGACCCTGCTAACCTGTTAGTGGAGGCTGTCTTTGCTGTATCCTTCTTAACCGGGACTTGACATTTCACACAATTTGTATGCATTGGTCAGTTGCTTGAGTTGGGGTATCTCATCCGCTATCAATTTGCATGCCTGGAGAGGTGTGGGACATTCGGTGGTAACCTGGCATCGGCCACGCTGGAAGTCGGTGACTCCGCGGAGGGAGTTGAAGTCGGACATTTTTCCCATTTCCGAGTGAAATGCGGCCTGGGGTGGACCCTGGTTGCTGTGTGGAGATCTTGGTTCTAGCCTCTTTTCCAATGCGATAGTTGACTTTGCCGGATACCGAATCTAGTCACTCTTGCTCTTGTTGACCAACCAGCAACTGCAGCCCCCTATAGCACCATATACTGACTTGGCCTAGCGCTGGTAGAAAACTTCAATGCCTGTTTCATCCACAGCTCAACTCCGCTTAGTCAGCGGCAGGTGGCCGAGGTGGTCACGTCCACCGCCAGAGGCAGGCCGAAACCTTGGATAATTCACCTGAAGTAATGCTTGGATTGACGAGTTGTCCACACAACCCGATATTTGGACCGGCAGTCCTGCCTCTCTTGGACTGACCGAGCGCACCAAACCACCACTCGTCATGGGATCTAATGCAACATCGAGGAAGCGCGCCTGTGATTCCTGCCACCGACGGAAGGCATGTCAAACCGTCAATCTCGAACAGAAAGTTAGAGCTGACTGCATGCACAGATACAGTGTGACGCAGCGGCGCCACAATGCAATTGGTGCGAACACCACGGCCTGACATGCACCTTCACTCGCATCACCCGCCCCAGGAAACAGTCTGGGGCTAAGAGCACGCGGTGAGTCCACTGTCGGCAGTCGTTCCCGATACTCTTGGACGTGGGGCTGAAAGTGAGCCAACCCCAGAGAACGTATTGAACGCCTGGAACAGCTCTTGGCCGGAAGGAAAGCGAGCGTTGACCGCCCAGCAGCATCTGGCACATCCCCGTCAACAGGCAGTGGTCAAGGCGCTGCCGCACCCATTCAAGCACAGAACGCCCTTCCATTGGCACCGCCGGCTCGCTCCCCGGGTGCTTCCTTTGGCAAGCTTCATTTTGCTGGATATCATCTGGGCGGCATATGCTCCCACAACGGCATTCCTTTTTTCTCAACCGACGGCCAGGAATGGATCAAAACTCGCACTGGTACCAGCCCCGCCTTCTCGACGTTGTGCGCCCTTGGACCGCCATGGCAAAACCAACAACATGTACAACAAGCCCTCTTGTCTTCGGCCTCGAGCTTGGAACTACCAGATCGGCATATCGTGGACGAGTACTTCGCCGTGTTCCGCTCCTCACCCTTCCGATTGGTGTTTCCTGTTGTTGACATAGTCCTTTTTCGAGACACCATCGAGCTTGCTTATGAGCCGTGCGAGGGACACCTCTCGGCCGAGCCAATTATCGCCAAAGCCTGCGTTTTCTCCTTTCTTGCAATCATGACCCTCTTGGAAGCTACAGCCGAATCAACTGCGAAAGTTAACAGCGACGCATGCGCAGCGAAAGCGCAATTCCTGATGCCTCAGATTGTCTATGACACAAACATGACATGCCTCGAGATTTGCTTTATGCAGGTACCAGTCCTGACCTCCGGAGCTCTGTCTACTTGTTGACCATCTTTGCAGTGTATGTACCACCTCTTCACGGGCAAAATGCAGATAGCCGCCATGTTCCACTCGCTCGCGTGCCGGATCGTCTTCATGCTCGGAGCGCACACTCCGTCAACCACATCTTTCCGCGTCGACACACCTGAGAGAATGGGCCGAGAGTGGCGAATCAAGACCCACCTTCGTAAGCTCTTCTGGATTTGTTACACTTTCGACAAGGACATATCATTGCGTACGGGACAACCTCCGGCATTGGACGACCAGTACTGCGACCTGACGCTGCCCCCGATGTATATGGACGTACGGTACTGTGCGGACAAATGGGATATGCTATGTCAGGGCGACAGTGAAGTTCCTCTGCTCCCAGGCGACTTGCGACTAAGCATAATCAGCTCCAAGACGAGCAAACTGCTGTATTCGGCTGAGGCTCTCCATAAATCCGATGCAGAGCTTCTCAGAGATATCCGCGAGCTCGACGACGAGCTAGAGCGCTGGCGGGTCTTGATTCCGGCTGATTACCGGCCAACGCTATCCTGCTCGCGGCAATTCGAGCCGGATTCCGTTGCCAACACGCCAAAGATGATGCACATCATCGCCATCCACTTCGAGTATCACTTCCTGATGGCAACGATCCATCACGCAAGCTGTCGTTGTCGTGCGTGGGCCAGCTGCGAGAGTGGTGAGATGGAGGGTATAAGTTCCAGCTTGGCGTTGTCGGTGGAAGCGAGTCGATCGACGCTGATCTACCTTCGCGCCGCTGTGCACGCCCTGTACAGCGAGGCGTTCTGGTGCGTGGGGCATTGTCCTCCCAGCTGTCTTGCTGGCGCCTGTGCTAATGATTCGAGAAACAGGATGATCGTATTTTACCCCATGTCTGCCATTCTGACGATCTTCTGCAACATTTTGCTGAACCCACTCGATCCCAAAGCCAAGGACGACTTGGAGCTGCTTGCGTCGGCGCCACAGCTCATCAATGCCATGCGCATGCGTCGATTGACGCCAAATGAAGTTATCCACATGAAGATGACAGAGGAGTTTGTCTCCGAGCTGACGCGATTGGGGCGTTGTGCCGTCAACAAAGCTTCTTCTGATGCGAACGAAATGGCAACTCATCAAACTGGCTAAGAGATAGGAGGTCTGGAGATCTCGGCAGGGGCTCCGCTTTATTGCACATGTGGCGTTTCCAATGTGCCAGTCGTCGGTCAGTCGCCTGTACAGCCACAGAGCTGCCCAGTGGCTTTGGGATCTCGCCTTGAGCTGGAAGGACTCGCTTGCTCCGTCTCAGAAGACACAAGCAGTACATTAGACCACTACTTGAATAAGTAAAGTAGTCAACTAATGGTCAGGCTACACCTCGAGATAATGTCCCAAATCCAAGTTTGCAGATCCAGATGGAATTTACGTGCCTTCTCTGTCGATATGTCTGACGACGCAATGCCAATTCTGCCTCGTTGGCTCTATTAACCTCCATTACAGTCACACCCAGATTACCCCTGCACCTCTGTCCATGTATCGTGCAGCCCGAAGTCTATTACCCCTGAGAGTCAATCGACTTCTCAACCATTATTGCCATCCCTTCCCCGTGATCAATTTGACGTCGTCCCATCTCCACCAGCAGCGTGCCATTTCTGATTCCACACCGTAATCGTCCGACTCGCGTCCGGGGGTGGCGCCGGTATCCCCTGCGCCCTCTTCTCAAAGCCCTGGTCTTGCCGTTGATAGTGTGTCATGTTGGATGTGAAGGGAACCTGTGCGAGGTTCGTGGAAGTCAGGGGTGTTTGGGGTTGGTAGTATGACTGTTGGCTGTGTGGACATGTTAGTCTTGATTCACGCAGACTGCTGATGAGATGACGAGGTACTTGCCCAGCGCCGGAAGTTGCAGAGCTCATGATAGGCAAGTTGCGGATGAGGTTTTATGCAGGTGCAAGTCTGTGGTGTCGGTTATGAGTGAGCCCTTTCTGCGTACTTGCGATGCTTGAAGATGTATGGTGTCGTGATGGCGAGTTCTTCAAACGCCAATGAAGCTTATATACTCCAGAAACCCTTATCCAAGAGACAACCTGTCCCTCCGTCGACGGTACATGTCGACCCTCGCCACCAGGCCGATTGACTTACATGAACTACGCAGAACCTCGAACTGCATATGCACTCCTCATATTGCACAGGGGTCAAGAGAATGCGAGATAATCATCTGGTCGAGTTGTAACAATTGGCAAAACGCCATTAGGACCAGCAGGCCTCAAAATAGACCCTCTAATTTGGGGAACCGCACTAGTAGAACACATGCTCCTGCTTTGAAGCCAACCCGCAAATATATGCCCAAGTGTAGAGAGGCAACCACAGGTGGCGTGGGGTGGTATGTATACCCTGAGACATGTTATTGGACCAAATGGTGGTCAAAAGACGAGGGACCCACTCGCTGCAGAATATGGGCAGCCGAGTAGCTGTAAGGTCTGAAGCGCGTGCGTGGCATGAAAGAGCCTCTTGGTGACCCTCCCGACGTGGGTGGTGGTTGACGACGCAAGCAGGCGCCAGGCGATTGGAGAAATCTTGGAGTACACTAATAAGCCGATGCGAGAAGACGTTTCTGTACACCGACGCTTGCTTGCTTGAGGGCTTCATCGGGCATGTTCAGTGCGGACCCAACAGCATCCTTACGACCCTCAACATCGAGAGAGGATGTCAACAAGTAGGTCAATGCGGGTCGTAGGACCAGGTTCAATCCATTCCATAGCTTCCGGTTCTGTGTTAGGTGACGCGTAAATCGGAGCTCCTGTGGACTTGCAGGCCTCCTCCTCCGCAAGTTGATTGGAGGGGACTAACCTAGACGGTATTGAAAGCTAACGTATCCTGGCGCTAGACGACTAACGTGACCCTCGCCACCTCGGTGTAATACACTTGTGATGAGGCTCAAATGGCTATTTTTGGCGGGACCCTTTACCGGACCTGTCACATGGAGCTCATTGAGCTCTAGACTGTCAACTCTTCTCCAAACCTTGACTTAATTTCAACATCGCGACACTCGGCAAAGTGGGCAATGCATGAGAGGCCCTGATAGCTCTTATCAGTGCGATTCACTTTTCGGTCTCTTTTCGATTTACATTTGATCTACTTATGTTGTTTGGAGTCGTCATAATCTACGCGACGTCGTCGACAGTCAGGATCTGTCTTCTTCTGTGGGTGTTGTGGGATGATAATTCTCACTGCAGACAAGCCTAATGTTCACATCCCGACATCCGACTATACATAGTTGATGGGCACTTCACATTGATATATGTACATGTCCCTTAGTTAGGAGAGCCGGCTCGTACTATTTCGCTCCTGACTTCGCCCCGCAAACGGGATGAGAGCTGCTTCCAACTCAAGACCAACCCGGCCCCGCGTGTTCAGCCGAGGCCGTTTGGTCACAATCATTCCACTGTCAGTCGCATCAAATTCCTCACCGCGCCTCTTCATATTGGAAGAAATGACCAAATTGGGGTGTTTGAGTCTTTGATGCCTCTGCAAGTTATCAAACCGGCTGTAACTCGCCCCACATGAACAGAGGTGCCGACGAGAACCGCTGCGATGTTTACGGTTCCAATGCTTCGCGAGATTTTTTCGCGGGTCGCCTTTCTCCGTGGAGAAGTAGGCACAGTCGGGCGCAGGACACTTCCCCATATCTTGATTCATGCCTAGAAGCATACTGTGACCGGGAGATGAACTCAACGGCTTCAACGGTCGTATCTCGGGCATCGGTCTGAAGATGGCCATGAGTTCATCTTCGTGTGAATCCGTGGAGTCACTCCTTGTCGTACTGGAATCGACTAGAGTGGAGCTAGAGTCCCCAGAGGATTGTCGAGTTTGTGGGTGCTTTGGGCGAACCGGAGTTGGCAGAGCCATCACATCGTTCTCATCTTCTTGAAAAGCTTTCCAATGCGGCAAACTTGGGCTTATCCACCACTCATCTAAATCGATGGATCTAGAAGGTGCCGCCGCTTGACTTGGAAGGGATGACTCCGGAGAAATGACGCAATTGACGTCATCTTGAGGCAGCCCAGCCGAGAGATTTCGCGGTTGGGTCTTCTCCAATGGTCTCTGGATCACCGATTGTGGAAGTGTTGGGAATGTCATCTGATTACTGAAATCCAGGCTCTCAGGTGAAGCGGCGAAGCCTTGATCGACAGCAAATAGAGGCCCTCGTGGGACCCTGCCATTTATGCGAGCTTGTACATCGGGAAGATTCGTTTGTTTAGAAATGTTCAACTTAGATGACACGTTGGTGTGTTCTGACATAGTCGACAGGGATGAAATGGTGGATGGGGCTTGTCGGGTAGGGTCAACTGTGTTGATAGAGGATGGGAATTCATGAGCACTGTGGGTCGCATTTTGTATCGGAAAGTCGTGCAGATTCCACGTGCCCCAAGGGGACCTTTGCGACTGTGATTGCACATGCGAAGGAGAGCTCAATGTCACTTGCGATTCCTGAGCTGGCCTTGGTGGGATTATAGCAGTATTGGGGACATGACGTGGTACGTTTGATGGATAGAGCTGGGGCGGATCTGAGTCCAGATCTGCACTAGACCAGTTCCCATGTTGTGGCGTGGATTCTTTGCAAGTAGCTGGTCCAACGTTAGGAGTGCATAACTCTGGAAGTTCAGGTGTGAAAAGCGACCCTGGCAGCTCGGGTCTGTAAGATGGAACTAGTAGCTCATGCGTGTAAGATGACGCTGGTAGCTCATGCGTGTAAGATGGCACTGGCAGCTCAGCGGAACACGAGTTGCGGAGCTCGAAGGTGGAGGACCCCTTGGCATATGGTGGCGATGGTAGAGATGGTGGAGACAAGGGGGGGCGCGTCATTTCGCAGTCGTGTTGGTCGAGTCCATGGGCGCTGCGTCTCGAGATGCTGCCCAACTTGGATCGGGAACATCGTCCGGTGATGGAGGAGCTCATCTTGCGAAGACCATGGCCAACCTTCTGCCATTGGGATAATAAGTTCGCCTTTTTCCAAGAACAATGTGCCTTGTCGACAACTGTGAATTGCTCAATACGATTGCATGATGGACACAATATCTTGCCTTCTTTGAAACGATCGCAAGCCTTTAGATGCTTGATCAAAGAAGCAGCGTCCGGGCATGCCTCTCTACATGTATACAGAGGACATTTGCACTCTGAAGGATCCACACCTTCAGTAAGGAAATAGTGCTGTAATATGATGAGAATCAGGCGGCTTTTGGAGCAATTATCCACCAAGTTCATTTTCATTCTGCCTGCCAGTCAGTCGTAAGCACTCGAGGTCTCATTCCTCACTTACGCGCAACCACTCCAGGGCTCCTGAGAATTGCGGTTGTCGACGCTCATTTGGGACTTGCTCGGGAAGTCGTCGCTATTGTGAATGCAAAACGCAGAGCCCATAGTGACTAACAGCAGTGAAGACAGGTGAATCCAACCGGTAAAAAAGAGGAGTTCGAAGAGCGCGCGGAGTTCTGGGCTTGTCTCCAAGGGAAAGACGGCATGGGGGGGGATAAATATGGTAGAGTATTCCAGGCTGGCCACACTCAACCATCTTCTAGGTCCTCAACTCGCACTTCGCCGTTTCCCCCATGCGGTGACCTCCGTCTGGAGGGCTAGAGGACCTCGCCAGTTCTTTGGCATGTTTTCTCATGCCCCTGGGCGTGTATGTCGAATATCCACTCCCGTCGACAACAACGAGCTAATGGTATCCTCATCGGAACGATGATCCCAATCGCAGGGAGGACCGATAGCACCGAATGACGTGTCGCTACTATTTGAGGAGGTCCGATAAAGGTGCACGTGTCTCGTTGTCGGTTGCCTCGCTGATTGAGCTCCTAATTGGCTCATAATCGGAAGAGGCGGCCAGCTAGAATCGTCCTCGCGAGCGCATCGGACCCTGGTGAACACAGTGCGCAATGAAGGGATCCCTGAATAACTGGGAGGGAAGAGTACAGCAGGTCAGAGGGTTTCTCGGTCCAGTTGACTCTTGGCAGGCAAGAGGGCCACATTGTTCCTCATCTGCGGGTGAGCTGGCCGTCAAGCCAAAAGAAAATGCTTGACGGAGGGCCTGACGCGAGGCCCCTGTCCATGATGGAAGCCGGAATAGGATGGAGCGGTAGGTGTCGCAGGAGGAAACGAAAATCTTCGCTGGGAGTTTTTGAAATGGCAAGCCTCTCGAAAGATTGCTAAATTCCACAAACTTGGGAGAGCGCTTCAAAGATATAGCAGTCCAACATCGAGGCAGTGCTGTTCAGCCGCAAATCAGGGGGAAACTTTGCGACACAACGGCCCCCATTGCACCCACACAGCCTTCTCCATCGAAGATTCGAAAATTGCCAAAGTGCGGGCGATGTGTGCCGTCGTCGAGGCTGTGTCTGTATCGGGATGGCTGACGGATTCTGTCACACCTTTGCTGGTGGTCTCGGACGTGTTGATGCAACTGCAGGGGATTGGGCGTCAGTGAGGGACATAAATTCAAGGCAGTCAAGAGGCGTCCATGAGAATACCTTGTGACCCTGATCCGACAAGAATTGGGCGCGAACCACGGTGCCAAAGTACTACGGAGCCTCGTTGCTCACCGAAGAGTGATGGGAGGCAGTAGATTAGACATAAGCTCTTATCAGTGAGTGGGGAACTCTTATCAGCTACAGCTTGCTGCGACATGATGTGGGGGCGGGAACGCTATACAAATAACCGGGAGCAAGTGGGGCAGACATCATCCGCAGAAGCTGCATTCAGCGGTCTGTGAGCCAAAGTTGTATCCGTCAAGCACTCGAGCACTTGCACCTAACTTGACTATCAGCTCGAACACTGTGAAAGAGGCCAACCCGAGAAGTCTTCAGAGGTATAATTGCTTTCACGCTTATCTGTATTATTGGCCCAAGACCGTGTTGTATGAATTGTGATACTTGCAGGATTTTGCAAAGCATCAAGCGGCCGGGGTCCAAATTCGAAATCACTACTGCGCAAATTGCAACGCCCTTTATGCATATTTCTGGGCAAGATATCGTGTGGCCAAAATGAAAAGGGCCGGGCCAGATGTCTCCAGGACCATGATGCTTTTCATTGTCAATCTGGGTCGTTTGATCTGATGCAAGACTTGCTGAAAGAGAATTAGTGTATAATTCCAGCGCTGCATGGAGGAGACGGATGTAGGGCAATCGTGCTTGAGCATCATCTTGAACCCTAGCCCGAAACTTAGCTTGATCGCAGTCAAAAACGGTTATGGTTCCTGGCTCCTGGCTTACGGGATCCAGAAGCTTCCTTGAACAAGAACAATATGATCACAGGTAACAAATCGCCAAAGGGTTTCCAGATTTAGACACGACGTAGCATGTATCTCCATTACTGGTGCGTCGGCGAAAGGGGGCTTGAAGTCCTCCAAGTCCTTCCCATGTTTGACAAACATGCAATTGTGAACATGACGAGTGAAGCTGAGGCGGTTAAGTGTTTTTTTCCGTTGTAAGATAATAACAGAGGGCCGCCTTTTCTTTGAGGCCGGTTGGTTGTACTTTCACCTTGATCTTCTTTAGTTGAGTCTCTGATACATCGAAGTTGTGTCAGTTCGTTTCGATCGGGTTTTGACACATGACAGATCAAGAGTCGAAGAACACCTCCATATCCATGGGTTCCTATCCATTCAGTATCAGTTGGATGTTGTGTAGATGTGATGAGCAGGTACTTACACAGTTGGTTGTCGGTAATGTGCTACATGATCGAAGACTCAAATACCGAGATTTTCGAATGGCCAATCCATAGATGACAACTTCACCATCGTCTTTACATTGGTAGTATTTCCTAGGATAAGAACTTGAGCATTTCAGCATGGTTTCGACTGCCATACCAAGACCAGAACCAGTGTGAAATCCCTGCAAAGAATCTGATATGAACCCATGGGTGGTTATGTTTCGCATACCGTTAGTGCCAAGATCGCATGTAGCAGACTTGAAACTTCAGGCTTGCCATGCCGGCATTGTCGGAAACAAACTAATATTCATCGGTCTTGTTTGCATGAACGCAATGTCATCTGGCTGTGTCGTGATTTGAAAGGATGTGAATAAGTTCGGCGTGGGTTCCGTGACGTCAAATCATTGACAGTACCACGTTGAGTGCGCATTGGAATAATGTATCAAGCAAATTGATGGCATTGCTCGCCCGTGATAAAATCGATCCTATAAACATAACAAACAGAGGTAGGGAAGATTTGGGGAATTCCATCTAATATTTATCCCCTTACCGGATGCGCCCCACTGATGAGGCGGTTGGGCATTTATTATATGACGATAGTCTGCCTGAAACCCATTGTTATTCGCAAGGCCTAGCCAGTTATTAGCCACCACAAAGCTGAAGCCTGGTTACTCACTGTTAAGGGGTATTTTCCCATTGGCAGGTAGTGTGCGTCATTGAATCATTGTGATCCTACTGCACGACAGGGGATGCAACACGTGTGTGAATTTCCATTGAACGCATCGTGTGACCACGTGGTGGTTCTGCCATTGCATTTCATGCCTTGACACCTATATTTGCCAAAATTTGGGCACAACTGCCGAAATCATGTCATTAGTATCCCGCAAGTTCATATACATCTTACGGTGAGAGGGGACTAGGCAGAAACTTGTTGATTTATTAGGCACATCGCTAGCGTATGTTTGTTGGTTTACAATTCATCCATCATCTGCATGTAAGCTAAGAAAGTTTAAAAAGATTAAAAGAATGTGATTGACGAAGGTGCAGGTTGTCGATCAAGCTCAGTACTACTGTACGCCAGGCAATTCCAGTACTCGATTAATCGCTCCTCTATTCTCTATAGCGGTCGCATTATTCCTGAAAGGCCCTCAAGCTTGAGATCTATGGAGTCTCTAGTCGAGGTCTCGGGACAGATGGCCGCCGCACAGAGTTACAGGCGCGAGGTTACGGACGGGGGCTGGGGCATACCGCCCTGCCCCGAGAGCAAGGTCCACCATGAGACCCCTACCATTGCCGCTAATGGGCGCTTATCTTGGTAAAAGAAGCCTTGAGAGGAATTAAATAAGGAATTCAAATATCGAAGGATCCGGTTGTTGGCCAATCCTTGAGAAGTCCAATGGCTTGGACAGCTGTATCGATTGCTGTAGCTCCCTCGGCCAAGTTTTACATGGCAGTCATGCCGCAACCATGACTCCCAGACTTATTATTCCGGCCCTTGGCGTCAAGAACCTCCGTGAGGATGCAATTTAATCTCGTATCATTGTTCCCCGTGTCTCTGAAGAGATCCACTGGACCTTTCGCCACCACACGCCACGACAGAGCTTGGCCGACTACCACCAAGGCGACCATTCTTGTAGCCATATACTTTAACAATAATCCTCCATTCACCAGTTATATGTGAACCTCCCGCGGAAGCTTAACAATATCCCTTGATGTTGTGCACAAGCCTCCCGCGACGCGCTACGGGAAATGATGCCAGTGTGGAGCTGCCGTAAAGCCGTTCAGGTATGGCACTGCCGTGTACGAATGCTTTCTCTCTGTGGTGCCCAAGCAAATCTCTGTCATCTACAGTGGGCTCAGGACCAAGTCGTGACCCAACTTGGCGAACGGTATCGAAGTGATGTTCTCCAAAGCAAGATGCAGCCAGACGGAAGCTCCACTCGACTGGCGATAATATCGACCTGGCAGGCCTTTCACCTTGCTTATCATTGTGTCCTCAGGATACTTGTCCAGAGCCAAATCTTTTGCAGTGGGAGAGTCACTCGGATAACCAGGATGCCTTCATACTGACAACCCTGGCATCTGTGTTAGGATGATCTCAATTTTGATCTCGTTTACAACATGGTACGACTCGAGAGAAGCTACAATGTACTTGACGTGCTTATAATGGGGTGTTGATGTGGTCGTTGACTAGGTACAAGTAGTGAGCCCCAATTCTACCCCATCCTTGAAAATCGCGACAGATACCGAAGGCGTGCCCAGCGAAGCGATGAACTGAATTCTATCAACATTTGGGTATTCTTGGTAGACCGGAATTCCAGAAATATCATCCAAGAATGGCATAATGGACGTTTTATAGTTCAAATATCGCCAAGTTGACGTGATGAAGAACTCGACTTTCGTTGAAGTAGTGATGTACTGGGGAGCAGTTACTACATGTAATCATGCAGTTAATGGGCATCTATCACTTGAATTTGAGCTATGATCACTTCGTACTGTTTGGTGAAACCCCAATCCTTCCCTTTCCCTCCCGCAAAAAATTCAGATTACGCCGAAGGAAACAACCTTCTGAAATTCCATTGAGACTCGCAGCTTGTCCGCAGATGGATCTCGTCATGCAAGACGGAAGATGAAGATTGAATTTCTCTCAACCTCAAGATTTCTTACTCTTGGTGAAGAATCGGAGCGAATGGTACTGGCTCGAGTCCTCGCAGATTTTATCATCCTCGCAACACGCTGCCTTAAGCATCCGTGCCCTGGGGAAGCTGGTTTATCGTGATAGGAATGTCAAGGTAAGAAGTCTGACTAGGAGTATGGCAGTATTTTCGAGTCTTTGCTAGATTAAGTGCAAACGGAGGATAGGACAATGGGTGTGAGTCTGGTAAGTCAGTATTTGGAGTCGTGGCTGCTAAACTTCATGAAAAACCCGGATGAAACCAATATTACTATTTGCTATATCCTCAATAACATCGAAACCACCGTTACAACCAGCACGCACGCTGTTCATCTGTTGTTCATTGCTTTTAAGGAGCTGAACAACACGTTGATGACTTGATCGCACAATAAGGCATGGAATGAAATGAATATGCGCAGAAACCATTACACAGCAACATAACCACTTCCTATACTCATATTCACCATGGAGGCAAAATGAAACCTAAACTGTGGGCAATACAAGCAAGAGTTGTATTGGTAATGTTGATGATGATGGGACTAACTCCCAAAGGCTGCATCTATCAAGATCAGTTGACTTTCAGAGCTATGTGCTAGAGGGAGGAGAAGACCCCACATCCTATAAACACTATCTATAAATGTCAACTTAGGACTCAAAAGTCCCGGGTCTATGACCTTAGATCGTGGACTCATGGTGAAAAGGTCCACGGGTACGAATCTTCCTCGATCTTGTCCTTAACCTCTCTGTTTCCGTAGGAGCTCAATTCTGGGCCCGCTTTAACGATGTCGTTGTCGTCCTTGGGTTGTTATTTTTTCTACCTCATGAGGCGTGCACCTGAGGCTACCAAACTCCTATAGCTCTCGTATGCAACAGCGCTTTGGTGGTGCTGTTGGCGTGTTAAAACATTTCATGAATCATTACCCGTTGCCTCAGGGTATCTCCCCTCTTTCCCACCGTCCACCCATTTCAAACAGGCTGCTTAGCCTTCAACTCCAACCCACACCCACTATCCTCATACCCAACCACCATCCGCTCCGCCGTTCTGACCCCATGCCCCCTCCTCTCCGCAAACCTCAACTGCGCCCTTGTTTCAGCATCCAACGCATGCGCCAACGTAGCAATGACATCCGTCTTCCAAGGCTTCAACCCCAGCCTCCTCGTCTCCAGCATGGACAACAACATAAAAAGACACCCCGCCATCACCGTGGCCAGCGGACACGCCAGATACCACCACTGGACCTGGATGTGAATGACCCATTCCTCCTGCACGCCCCGCTGCGTCGCATTGCTGTAGTCCCGAATCCACTTTGTCATGCTCTGGGCGACCTTCTCAAACGTCTTCGTCAAATTAGTACTTTCGTAGAACGCCTGTGCAGCAGGCGTCTGGGAGAAACCCTGGCTTCCGCGCTGGGGCCAGACGGCTTGAGGGTTGACGGAGGTTTGGAAGAAGTTGGTATTGAGGAAGGCGATGGTGCTGCCGATGGTGTCCTGGCTGACGTTGAAGCGCAGCGTGGCATTTTCGGGGACGAGGCCGAGCGTTTGAGCCTCGGACTCGGGCACCTGTAGCTGTAGATCATAGCGGTCCGTGTTGCCGAAGTAACTGTACAGCGAGTCGTTGTTGTAACTCTCGAAGTCGGAGAAGTTGGATGGGCCGAGGGGGCCGCCCGGCATGGCGGAGAAGGAGCCCGGGACGCGCTCGGTCCACGTCCCGATGACGGTCTCTTGGAGCCGACCGTGCTGGACGCTGGAGTTGTAGGCGTTGGTGCAGAAGTAAAGGGCGCATTCGGTGGCGGTGATGGAAGTTTTACTCCATATAGTTTTGTTGAGGCGGTACGTGTCGTCGGCTTTGATGACGCCGACGACACTGAGCAGGAGGTGGTTATTCTTGAATTTGATGGACCGGCCTGGGTTGGTGATGGTGGCAGCCGCCATCCAGGCCGAAAATTGGTCATCTTTTTGTTGGGCCATGTTGCTGAGACTAATGTAGGGTAGGGAGAAACGCGTGTAGTTGGTCTCGAAATTCGTGGCGGTCGCGGTGATGGTGCCCAGGTCGGTGCCAAATAGTTCCTCGCGTTTAACGTCGGCCATTACGTCGTAGCATTTGCCGCAGACGGCCAGTGATGCAAAGGGGGCCCAAGTGCAATTCCCGCTGGGGCAAAGAAATGACACCGTCTGATCGTTGGTCGATGAGCTGTTATAAAAGCCGCTGTATACCGACGCCGCCATGCCCAAGTCCGGCTGGCTCGCGTGCGGATACACACTCCACGTCCTATTATTCGCCGGATTGATGATAGCCGAGATTGGGCTGCCGGGAGAGGTGTAGTATTTTCCCGAATCCAGGCGAATGCCGGCTCCGATAATGGGCGGCGTTACGCCTTCGATGGAGTCTATCCGGCCCTCAAAGTCGATGACGGCTTGCAGAAACGGCTCAAAGCCGAGCAGCACGATGGTCACCACGGCGCCCAGTGCCGTCCAATGTCTACCTTGACATTAGTGCGTTCCCGAATCCAATAATATAATAAGACCAGAAACAAGACTAAAGCGAAATAGGACAAACAAATCAAAGAGACAAACTGAAACAAAACATGGAATCGTCTACCAAGACTTACCGCAACTTAAGCCACAAAAGCAACCACATACTTCCCCAAGGCCCCCGACTGGCCTCCTCAAACTTCTCAAACGCAATCAACCTATCCGACCTCATCTTAAACCAATTCCACTTGCCCTGCCCCAAACACGAGCCAATGGCAAAACCCAGCGAAGCCCGCGACACAGCCCCCAAGATCGAAATGACCGTATTGAACGAGATGAACCAATCGAATTTCGCCAAGGGCCGGTCGTGGGCCGAGATCAGGAGGATGACGGACACGGCGACGGCGCAGAGGCTTAGCAGCACGGCGCTGATTTCCAGACGCCAGGTGTGGTGTTGGGGTATGCCGTCTTTTTTGATGCCGAAGCTGTATTTGGATCTCGGGGTTGCACTGTTCGCGTAGTTGGCTTTGCATTCGGTCTGGATGGTTGCGTTGGGGTGAAGCTTCTTCCGTGTTATCGGTGAGCTCACGAGGGATGATGCCGAGACGGGGTTCCATGGCGGCGGTGGAGCGTGAGATGGAGAATCATGGGGTGTGTTTTGATGTCTCGACGGACTTGGAGTTGATGGACGAGAAGGTAGCGGACTGATCAGACTCGATGGGTTCCTGTCAAGGGCTTCCGAGGTCCGAGGTGATGGGTCAATCAAAGGCACAACTGGGATTTCAGAACCGTCTCTGTGGTGAGCCGCCGTTCGAGGTCCAAGGGTGTTCCAGTAGTTGTTGCCACCGTGGACGAACCCTTCGTCGGGTGACATATCTTGGTGATGCCGCATAGTGTGAGTCTTAGCCCTTGATCCCTTCCTGTGGCGGCTCGTCCGTATCCTTCTCCAATGTGACGAACCTGAACGAACTTCAAATACAACTTTCCAACACTTAGACGAATCCAGCTACGGCTACGACTTCTTGGCCGGATAGCAGTTGCGTGGTATTGTTGGGACTGCAACAAATTTATCGTGCACCACCGTTGCTGCACGGTCAGACGTCACGCACATTTTGACGTTGGGTAAAAAATATTGCTTATAGAACATTCAGGTCAACGTTAGCTCCTCATGAGTTGGGGGCTGAGTTGAGTTGGGGGCAATGCAGCCACGTTTGAACTTTAGTACATCGTTCGGTGTCTGCATCGGAATGTTTTACTCGCTTGGCAGTCGGGCCTATAGGAGTGTCCAACAGCCGCTTTTTGGCCCAGTGGTCAGGGGCCAGGTCATCGCGGGTGGGGGACATTTGAGGTAGGTGCCATGGCAGAAAAGGCGCTGGAGCGTTTAGCCCGTTCAATGAGTCGGCGGCAGCGAGATTGGATTGCGCCTTTCATGGTGGTGAGAGCGTGTTTAGCGCGAGAGACGCACTTACAGAAGACAAAACACGGAAACAGTACCTCCACAGGGTGATTGACATGTTAACTTAGCAAGCTGCCTGAAGCCAATATCCCTTTCCACCCTTGCGTTGTGAAGCAGACACAGCGGAGGCGCGGGGCTATGCGCTAATGATAAGCGGGTGCGGCTGTGCCGCTTGACTAGTCACTCACGACGATCGTTTGCTACAACAGCCTTCTATTATTAGCATGCCAAACCACCGCGGTTTGCAAAGTGGGGAGATAGTCCATCGCTATCTTGACCTTGCAGATTAGTCGCAGACGAGTTCTGTCCACTCTACTACTGAACTGTCTGCGAGTCACCATCTAGATTTAGATGAAGGCACGGCGTTCCGTGGCTTCTTATACGATCGGTGCCATCTCTGAATGCTAAACATAAGGAAATCCCAATCGGTATGAAGTGACGCATGACTATGAAAGGTATAGTACCAAGATCCCCGGCTCACATTCCAGTGGACTATGCAGAGACAGGGGTATAGTGAGCCTGCGGAGCAATCAACATAACGCGTCAGCCGCATTCCAGTGAATTACCAACACCCAACAGCACGTAGATCTAGAAATTCACCGGATCCAACTTGCACAATAAAAATCAATTGGCTGTGAAGAAATTCAAAGCCTTCCGTGTCGATGTGTACATCCGCTAATGATGGCAAAACGGCGACCTATATTCCCGTTAGAGATGATGGAAAAGGAGCTCGGGTTTAAAGCAGAGTCTCTAGCCCACTCGTCATGTAAACATGAAGATGCAATTCGATTATTCTATTCCGATCTAAGCCCTGTCTCAAATTCTCCATTGGAAAGGACCGCGAAGGAATTTGAAAGCTACCAGATGAGGAAAGCCCTCAGGACCTCTAACAAGTGTGGCCAACCCCTGACCCGCCAAATCCCACGTTCTGAGAAAAGAAGGGTAAGACATCGATTTCCTTCAATGTCGTTTGTTGGAGGAATTACGTCTCATGCAGAATATACAGGAGATCATTTGCGATAGGAAAACCATTGCACTCGTCCAGGAAAACGAGGCTGGCACCTACAGGTTCCAGGTCGATGTCCATCTCGATTTTGGACTTGAACTCAATCTTCTATTAACAGAAGCGGAGTTTTCGAGAATGGTGGCTGTTTCGAAGGTCAAGCATAGACAGGCATATACTCGATAGCGGCAGCGCTGACATGTACAATAGCCCCGGGGTCCTTCAATTCGAAGCATGATGACCTCCTTTCTCAAGTTGCCGAGGGAGCTTCGCCAAATTGTTTACAACTTCACCATCCCAACCACAAAATACAAACTTCCCGGCCCAGAGGGCGCAGAAGGAGTCAACCTGGCCCACACGATGGCGGACGCTCAAGGGTTTTACTTTCCACACAGGCCTGATCTCGCCCTTCTTCGCGTCAACAGGCAGATGCGCGAAGAGGCCCTACCTCTAGCCTACCGCAAAACCACTCTGCAGTTGGAGGACGTGAGTGAAGCCGTGAAGATCCTAATCGCCATTGGAACCATTGGCCGTGAAAATATAGAGGTCTTGGAGATTTCTTGGGATAGCAGGGAATGTCTGGAGTGCGGTATAGACAGCAACGCCCCTAGTCAGGACAAGATCTTGTGGGGGTTGCCGCAACTGCATGTCGGAAGCTTGGTCAAGTTGCTCCAACAATGTCGAAGACTTTGTATGTTGCGAGTGTGCTTTGAGGAGGAGTTGATACGGGAGATTCCCCCTGGGGATTTCAAGTCCGACCTCGGAATCAATGGACTTGCTTCTGTTCGTGGACTTGAGAAGGTGGAGTTTGGGGATCGAGATGGGGAGCCTCTGGGTCATTGTGGCCTTCTGGACTGGTTGAACGGAGCTATGACACAGCCTCGAGTGGAACTAACAGAATTAAATGAGTTATAACTATAATGATTCGAGCACGGGCGATGGTGTTAACACGCCGTTGCTGATCTATACTAGCATAATCTTAAACTGTGATAATTTCCATCTAGTAGTCTGGGGTGATACGCGCGGCGATCTTGCAGTGGGTAACGATATCAATCTCGACGATTTCTATCGTTGGAAACCAGGCGTCGGGTCCGACTGCCAATAACTCGCGTTTGACGATTGTGTGCGTGTGTGGGTGTCCTGGCCTCCAATAGCATTAGGCATCATGGCCGCGACCAGGCCGACGACGACCAGCATTAGCACGGGCATCTTGACGCCGTCGTCCGATCAGACTGACATGGTTTCGGACTTTGACGAGTTCTATCTGGTCCAATCCGGGGATGGCTTCTGGGCTATCACGCAGGAATACGATACTACGGTGGCTGGTTTCTACGCCTGGAATCCGGCAGTAGGGTCGCATTGTAAAGTACCTTAGTCTGGGTGGTTAGGTACCTATGCGTCGAGGTTAAATCTTTGAGATTGAGGAGGAAGGGTGGCAGGAAGTACAAGTACGATATCGCCGCTTCGGCACAAATTTCTCACATCTGCTATCGTTTCTGCGTGAAATCAAATTAGGAGTTAACTTGCGTGGGTTTAGTCTCATTCCTTCACACGCATACATTAACGAGCTCACCAAATAACACTCAACACACTACCTGACGGTGAATAGACCATTTACACAATCCAAACCGTCCATACGTATTTTATGCTAGGTCATTAACGGCCTTCTTCTCTATTGAGGCGGATCGAGGGCCGGACGAAATGGGTCCCCCACGACTCTGCCCAAATCCGGCCTATTCCTACTACCGCGCACATCCCTTGACGAAACAGAGTTTTCGCGTCAACGTAGAGAAAATCGTTGATCGCATCCCTCATCCAGATGTATCGCCAGGGCAACGCGGCCCCGGAGTTCTCGCATAATATCGTGACTGTAGGTCTCTCATCACGGGCCGATTATGCCAGTCAAGTCTGTCATGGCATGAAACATCCATATATCGCATAGGAAAACCAGAAGGCCCAGCTCCACGGATCGTATCGATCTTTGTAGAGGAGCAAGCAGGGAAAGCAGGTTATTCTCCTTCGCGAGGAAACTCGATGGTCAAAGTGTCAGAGCTTGTGCCACTTTTCCATGGAAAACACACGAAATTCTCGTCAGATTTAGGATCCATAAAGAGGCCGTGCTCAACCTGACTTTGTAGGTTGATGTGCAGTAGATCTGTCGCTTTGCTCAGTGCACACTTCACGTCGCTACTGCGGAGAGATAATCAGCCCTCGTCTCATTGACCCTTGGCAAGAAGAGAAGGCCCAATATGGCTACAACCTGGCCGTCGAAGTATTTGAACCAGGTGGTTGTATTCAGGCTTACTCGGTTGATTGAAGACGTGGTAATTAAGTCCAGTGTTTAGGTAGTGTACGTCAACGATCAGCCCCGTGACGCCGTGGTTGTCCTCTGCATTTACGAGCTCCTGCGTGTTGACACAAAAGCCCCTCCACTTGTTCGTTCCCCCTCGTTATTCCATAGGCGCACGTAATACGGCTAGTCTCCGCGCCATGGAGTCGGCCAGCCACTCGGGATAGTATCATTGAAGCCATCCGGGAAGGCACGGATTATGGGGTCTCGTACTGCGGTGCAAAAGCTTCTAGTGCGCTGGCGGCGTCATAATGACTTTCCTTAGTGCAGGAGTGCAGCAAAGCGCTAAAGGCCATACTTTGATGCCTGGCTCGGACGCTAGCAAATTCTCCTGTTGTACAAGGAGTTCTTGGTAGCAGTTCCATGAGGCCTCTAGCGGCAGCTGCATACCCGCCTTCTGCCTTGCCACGAGATTTTTTTGTGTGATCTGTTCTTGGGACGCTAGGGTTACCGCGTCCTAGACTATCAATATTCTTGTGACAAGTTCTTGCAAAGAAACCAGGGTACCCTTGTGGAGGCCAACTCCCATGGCAGCCGGCCTTCACCGGGTCGTCTGGCTGTGATCATGAGGCCCGGGAGGTAGTCGACTAACCGCGAATCGTCCCCGATAATTTCGATGATTCCCCGACTGAACGTCTCGTGATCTGCAACTGCACTGATAGTTTCCACGTTGCGCGGATTAGCCGACATATAGATGAAGAGACTTGACAGCGCAATTGGGCGCCTAAGATATCACAGCAGTAAAGAGCTCTATGGGAAGGTCCACCAAAGATTTATACGATGGCCCAAACAGGATGTTTTTTCTTTCTTTTTTATGATGGTTACTTCTGGTTTGAAGGGGTTTTGTAGCCCTGTACTTGGCCGTACCTTCCCATAGCTAGTTAACGTTTTGACGAACAAGAGAGAGTTGAACCATCTTTTCCCATCTACCAGATCTGGCGATCCATGCTTTGGAGAAGACATTGTGTTGAAGCCGAGCCCAATCGCAGGCTTAGGTTCCTACGCTACACTACAATAAGGGGTTGGTGAAATAGAGACCGATTATGCACACTTGAGAATTTGATGTATATACCCGTAGTGGGCAATTTGGAAGAGCAGAAGTGCAACCACTTAAAGTTATAGTGTGGTTGACGAAGGCTAGACAGCCAGAAATTCTAGCCGCTGAGTTACAGCTTGGCAGGCACGACGCACTAACCCGCAGCGGAATATCCCGATGTATCGCAACCTCCAAACGGCTGGCATTGTCACATGAGCAGTCAGTAATCAATCCTCTGGCATGGACTATACGAACAAGAGGGCTGTATTGGCGATGGTGATGATGCTGATGAAACTGACTTCCAGAGGCTGCAGCTGCGGAAGATGGCCCCAGCGGTACATGTGCCGGAGCCAACGCAACACTTTCGCGCCTTCAAACTCCATTCCCGCATGACCAATTGCCATACGAAATACCTTAAGCATGAAGACGTCAACCCCCGCTCCACTGCCCGCAATAAGGAACTCCCCTGTGTGCCGTCTCCATTCAGCCCTTTGAGAGGAGCTTCTCATCCGAAAACAGTGCCACCCCTGCACCCTGGACAAGCAATTGCCAAGTTCCGCCAAGTTTTTGGCCGTCATGACGTGGGCTGGGGACGAGCCGAAATTGTGGGGGAACTGGGATGAAACACCACGCGGCTGGACGGCCGGCAGATCGCGATTGAACAGCAGCAAAACGCCCGCTAGCAACCGTCATTGGCCCCTGAATTAAGCTATGACATGACAGCTCTGGGCCTCGGAGTCTGCCACTGCAGCACGGCTATCCAGTGCTAATGCTGGTCGTCTTTTTAGAGCCTGCCATGAAACTGCGTCTCATTGGGGCCTCGTGGCGGTGGAGCAGTTGGGAATTGAGATATGTGACGTCAAGAATGATAAATTCTATCCTGGTTACTCGTGACAAACAAGATTGCATGGTGAGTAAGTTGCCAATTATCTAGTGGCTCTGCCTTTCAATATTAATATGTTGAGCTCTTCCGTCGGTCTGCCTATTTCAGCCCTATCTCTCCACAACATATCACACCGCGTCTCTCCCGCTCTCAGGTTCCTCACATCTGTCCCTCCAGCCTCGAAGCTAGGCGACGAGCTTGACTATTTGCACCGGCAGACGACCAAACACCATCAGCAGAAGGTCATCTGAAACACATCACGATGGGATTATTCAATAAGCGCAAAGAGCCAAACAACGCCACCGCAACCAGCGGTGGCGCCGTTTCGCCAAAGCAGCGCAGTGTCGCCCAGCCTTACTCCATGTCCACCAAACCCAGTTTTGGTCAATGGTTGAAGCTTACGTGGCTCGACATTCTTACCATGGCCATCTTTGGTGCCATTGGTCTCGGAGTAAGTGCGCCACCAGTCTCATACCAGGGCAATATTGATTCTGACTATACACAGGTCTACATGGCTCATCCAGCACCCAACCGATCCTTCGCGGTTACCTTCTCCGACCGTGAGGTTGTGTACCCGGAATTCGCCTACCCACTCCGGAAGGAAATTGTTCCCATATGGGCCGCCGCTTTGCTCGCAGCTTTGGTCCCCATCGTCGTCATCCTCTTCATGCAGATTCGCATCCGCTCGTTTTGGGACGTGAACAACGGCATTATCGGCCTTCTCTACTCCCTCATCGGCGCTGCGGTCTTCCAGGTTTTTGTGAAGTGGCTCATCGGTGGACTTCGACCTCACTTTCTGGATGTCTGCAAGCCAGATATCTCGCTTGCCACCTCCCAAGCTGCGAGGAAAGGATACAACGCGGCAGGGTTCAATAGCATCTACTTCACCCGCGAGATTTGCACAGGGGATATAAACGAGATCGATGACTCGCTCGAGTCTATGCCGTCTGGCCACACCACCGCTGCTTTCGCCGGCTTCGTCTACCTGTATCTGTACCTCAATGCTAAGATGAAGGTTTTCGCCAACTACCACCCGGCAATGTGGAAGCTGATCGCCCTCTACGCTCCCATCCTCGGCGCTGTGCTTATCGGAGGAGCATTGACCATCGATGAATATCACAATTGGTACGACGTGTTCGCCGGCGCCGCCATTGGCACCGTATTTGCGTTTTCGGCGTATCGCATGGTGTACTGTGCCATTTGGGACTTCCGCTTCAATCACATTCCCTTGAACCGTGGACAACCTGCCTTGTTCAACGACGGCATGGAGTTGTCTCACGCCGTTTGGACCCGCAAGGTCGGCTGGGGTGTCGACCATGGTATGGGCGGAAAGCATGGTCATGGCCATGGACATAGCGGTGCCGGCAATGGCTACGACACTGGGTACGGCGCCGGTCCCGGTACTGGAGTTCCGCGCAGACCTGTTGGATCCAACGGTGCTGACCACATGGTATAATATCGGTGCAGCGGTTGAAGCGGTTAGCATTGTCTAGTATTTCACATCCTGGACTTGTACTATGACGTATACGATGCCATGATACAATTGATTAAGGAGTTCAACTGAGCATGATGAAGGCGCATCAGGTATCCGGTCTTGTGATACCCAAATAATATAATATATGCTGATTTCCACATATTTTGATTCTCTTATATCTGTGTTTCACATTGTTTTCCACTACCGCAACGGTATTGTACCTGTCGGTGGTTTAACAGATCATGCCTTTAAACGAGCTATGCCAATATCCACAAGTGGTACCCACCACACACTGACGCAGACCAACTGTTCGTGCCAAATTGACATTCTGACTCGCACACTCGACCCATATAGCAGCCCGTAACGTCAACATCTCAATTCCAACAGTCCTCGATAAAATCACATAATGGCAGAGCATCCTTCATTCACCCTCGCCGGCCTTCGTAAGAATTGCCGTCTCTAGCCGTACAATTTTGTAACACTAATGCTTCAAACAGTAGCCGTAGGCGGAACAATGGGCTACGTCAGGACTCGCTCAACGCCCTCTCTGGTCGCCGGTGTTGGGCTGGGTGTCTCTTATGCGTATGCAGGTATGAAATCTCATCAAATCTCCCCTCAGCGTCTGCCCCAACCTCCGCCTTGATCATACCAGCCATTCCGGCGCGAATCTACCTTGGTTGACCTCATCGGATTTTGCTTCCATTACCCTTGGTTATTCTTCAGGCCCATCACATTTTCCCACGCTATAGTCTCTCTCCTCGTATATAACCTCTCGTTCTTCCCGCCTCCTCTCCATCTCTACCTCACCCCGGCCCCGCGCAACCACCCCCTTTGCATCCCAACACCACCATGTCTCCTCTCGACCGACTCTAACGCTCAACCCAGGCTACCTCATCAAGCAAAACCGCGACTACGGCACCGAGCTCGCTCTAGCCAACAGCACCGTCCTTCTCGGTTCGGCCGTCCCGCGTATCGCCAAGACGGGCGGCCGGGCGCCCATCCCGCTTGTTCTGGGCGCGTTGGGGCTGTTGTCGGGGGGTTACTATGCCTATAAAGTGAAGGAGTTTCGGTATGGGGTCTAAGTGAGTCGCTAACTGAATCATGACTGTCTGGCTGTGTAAGAACGGTACTGGGGGTGTACGATGGTGGAGGGAGATAGTGGTCGGTGCAAAAGCCATCCAGAATGCGCAGCTTCACATCTCATGTACATATTTACTGAAGTTTTGTTGTGTACTATTTGTTTTGATCATGACAAGATAGCCATTATGAATACACCCCTTCCCAGTCTGGTAAGGTCATGAGACCATTTACGATGGATTTTCGAATGCATGACCGGGGCTACATTTGGGTACACTTAGTCTTCCTGGAAGCAGACAGTTACTAGCAAATACCTTGCGAAATGGTTCCTACAGACTAGCTCTATTGGCTTATTGAGATGCAAGAAAATCAAAAATTCTTCTATACCGTGCACCGTGACCTCTGATATCCCACATCAGCTTAAAATATGTTGGTCGGGATAACAATCCTCGATAGGTATGGGCGACACTCACTACGTAGTTATCGTGGGCGTATTACCACTTCCACAGTTGCGGTGTCATCATATTAAAGCCACGCGAATCTATCGTTCCATGGGACAATTGTAGAACCACCATATTTACCGAGTAGGATCACAGTAAGAGAACAGCATTTGCACACTACCCACGATTCTGGCGGTGATATCCCTGGATTGCAGGTGTCCGAGATATGTCGCGGCCTGAAGTATTAAAACAGCTTGCATGGCAGTATGCGTGTGTCATTGCAGAAAAAACATTCCATCTCGTTCAGGCTGCTAAACCATTTGTGTGCATAGCCGTATTCCAATTATAGTTATCGCCCGGGATATCGAGAAGACGAACAGTTGATATATGCATTTCTGTCGTGCCGTGCTGCTTTAACATGTCAAGGAAATAAGCAGACACTAGATACGCAACTACGGTGTCGTACCACACAACAAAATCTTCCGTCCAGTGACTTTGTCAGACATTCCAACTTCAGGGGTCGGGACAGTCGGGACTATGATGTATATCGTGGATCTCTTGGAATCTTCTACGTTAGCACGCATATTAGTATATAAAACCACTTCTTCTCTGTGACAGTCAAGATGTCAGCATAAGGCGACATTCACTATGCAATTGCGACTCCTGACCTCTTCATCCCTTTGCTGTCAGATCGTGCTTACCCCTTATTCACATTGATCGGTCAGGGCTGAAGTGGATTTGTCTCTAGATTGGCTCCGCGGCTTCAAGGTCCTGCACCTAACCTTGCAACTGGTGACACATATACCAGTCTTCATCGCAAGCTGTCAAATATATCGAGACCCCGCTACTGCAGAGAGCGAAAGCATGGACAAACCAGCCCCAATTACCTCTTTCCAGCACTCGGCCGTGCCAAGGACACACCTCCTCTTGATCACCACGCCGCTTACTTTATTTATTCTTATTCTTCGTCTTGTGCCTCCAACCATGCTGCCATCTCAAAGCTCGAGCAGAACCAGTAGTGCGTAACCATTGCCAATATTTTCATTTCCTTTGCCTGGCCTGTCTTTGTCTTGATGGTAGTTTTCGGTGAAGCCTGCCCTGTCCGTCACTACACCTGTCTATTGTTGATGACGGCGCGCCTCCCAGTCTTTGATGGCAACCGTACTTCAACGTAACCCAGCATGCATCCATCCAATGCAACACGCGTTAAAACACAACCTTCCTCCTCCGTACCCCTGTCCCTCGTCATTCATGTCCGGGAGACTTGGGACTTTAGAATACCGTTCCGTCCGAATCAATCAAGATCGGAGGCTCCTTGGTATTCGGCCGGCTAACCTCTGCGATTTCTCGTCCTCCCTATTGTTGCTTGTTAGTGATGGTACGCTCCCTCGCAGAATCCAGCATGGAATGACGTTACCTTCCAACTTCCCGCTTCCAACAACTGCGCCAACGTCAGCTCACCCCCCTGGAGCTCCTTCCTCAACGCAATATTAACTTCCGCACACAACCGGTCCAAAAACCCGACCGTGACACCCCGCCACTCCACCACGACGTCGTCGCTCGGCGCAAACATGGGCGCGACCTCCACGCCCTTCTCGCTCTTTCGTCGGCAATACTCGTTATAATTTTCCAGCCCCCGCTCCATGTCCAGCTGTTTGAGCGTGAGCACACCCAGATCGATAAACAGCCCACCGTTGCGGTACTCGGGAAGTCCAGTCAGCAGCTCGGTTCCCGCGAACTGCACTTTGAGGAGTGATTGCATGGGCTGCATCAGGGAGTAGGTGAGCCACTGGGTGAGCTTGTGAAAGGGGAGGATGGACTCCCAGGGTGCAGGCTTTTCAGCTTGGGAGGTGTGCGGGAAGGGGGAGAAGGTGGCAGATGTCGGGGAGCGGGTTTTGCCGGCTTGGGGCATGGAAGAACAGGGCCAGGCGTCGCCGAGGGAGACGCCATCTATGGCTGTTCGGGAGGCGGGCCAGATGGGTGCCAGGCCTGACATTAAGACATTCCAGAGGACGGGGAGGATGACTACTGGGTTTGATGATGCCTGTGTCGTAGGATGGGAGAGGAGGTAGTCTGAATAAAAATGTTACTTAGATGCACAAAGCGGTGGGTTGTGTATCCCAGAAATTCAACTTACCAACCAGGTTTCCGGGTCTTCCATCCTCGCCAAAGAAATCTGCCTTCTGGTCCAAAGCCTCGCTCAGCCGTATTAAGAGCTGTGATCGGCCCTCCAACCCCGCTACTTCATTCCCCGGCCGTGATTGCATACCCTTCTCCAGTTGCTCAACTGTCAAACTTTGGAGGCCTTTCTTGTCAACTTGGAATTTGTTGTTCGGGTCGCCGGAGAAAAGTCCCGTCTTGAACATCTCCAGACTTGCAATGGCCAGGCCCTCACTTCGTTTATACACGCGTCCGTTTTCCGCACTCTGGAAACTCCACGTGGTGCCCGCACCCGCATCAAGCAGCACGCTGACGAGGAACAGGTCGATCAACCGACGACATTGCTCTGTCTTGTCGACGGACTGGTCGAATGTGGAGAGTAGATTCGCGATGCGGTCCCGGCCTCCGACGCAGAAGTGCTGGTGGCGGCCGTGGCCCGGGATGCTCGTGAATGGTGCATCGTAATCCCTCTGAGGCAGAACAATAGCCGATTAGCCGATGGTGCACTCTCTCAACAGGGTAATTGACAGCGGGTAAGAGCCAATCGATCGGCTCGATTTCATTGGAAAGATCCCAACCGACTCTCTCTCCCTCTCTCTGCTCTTGCAGGAAAAGTCGCGAGGTGGGTGAAGCATATGGAACGCACCTTGATAATTCCACAAACAAAAGTAACCACATCGGGGAACTTGGTCATGTCGACATCGAAATGATTCAACTTATTCCGCAATGCCTTGTCCGTGACGATCCTGCTCCTCTCTCTGACGGCGCCCAAACTACGCAGATAGGCAGCGGGATCCAAGTTGGGGTCGGGAGGTTTGGGCAAGTCGACTCTGGGCAAGCGGGGCGAGAAGGGCGTCAAGGGCGTCGTGGGCACCGAGTTACCATCGTTTCCATTTGCACCACCATTACCACCACCTGACGTTCGATTGTTGGCCATCATGCGCAAGGGCGATTTGAGGTTGCTGTGATCCGAGTTGAAGCTCGCGGTGGAATGTGTGTCGCTGACACTGACCGTCTTGGGCTGTTTGGGTTTCTTGGAGAAGAGACCCATGTTTATCGTCCCTTCTTTACACCGTAACTTGACTAGTACTTCTGGAAAACGTCGGGGCGTTATCGTCTGATCTGATTCGCTGCTATCCCGGGCTTGCGCTAAAGTCCAGTTCGGTTTTGGTGTAAGACCCGGCTTGATTCCGACTCGCCTAGGTGCTCAGTGGGAAGCTAAATGATGTGGAGTAAAGTCGTCTGATTCGGGCGACACAGAAGCTGCAGTGGATCGTGGGAAATCGGACTCTGCGGAGACCGGCGGGTGAAGGAAAAGAGTTCAGATGGCTGGTTGGCCGGCTCCAAGTTTACAACAACCAAAGGTGGAATGGAGTATTAATGCACCGCAATAATAAGCCAGGGTCCGAGCGAGTATGGTCGAGTATAAGACAGTTAAGTATGCCCGGGGTGAACTCGACGGAAACACTTGGTGCAGAGGAGTAATTAGCTGCTGCTCGTAAGGTTCTGTGCAGGTGAAAGGGTCGGGTAAGACAACAACAACAACGACAACAACAAATGACAACCGCCAAACAAGAAGCACAGGAGGCGACGGATGATGGGGTCCTTACCTGGATATTTGAATGATATTACCAGGCGCAGGCTGGACTTGTTCGACAGGAAACTGCTGGGAAGGTGGTTAAGGACCATTTAATTTCAGCGTCCTGTCCCCTGGTCCGGGCGGGAAAATCGCCGACTTGAGCCAAGCCGTGGTCCCGGCTGTCCCTGCCAACGATCCTGGAACTGTTGCAATTGCGCACCGTGCTCCAGGAAACCAGACAGGATCGTCAGGAACCAGTGAGCCGGAGCCCAGGGTATGCACCGATCACGATTGGTTTTGGTTGATTTTTTCTTTCCTCTTGGTTTTTTTGTCAGGGGGAGTCGTGACAGCCAGGAAGTTCGAGACAACGGGATCAAAGTGTCAACAACAGGCCCGTGTCTGCAGCAAGATGCGAGTGTCAGTAATTTGGGTTCAATACCAACGGGCTATTACCCCCCCAAGTGGTATCGTTTTATGTAACGCCAATTGCGCAAACGTACGAATGGTGTCTCGAGATAGATGAACTGATCGACACACCTTAGGAGTAGTGGTTGTTACTGCTTTTTCCACCGGTCCAGTCCGGCCTGCCAAACGTGACAACCCACTATCACCCGTTCCCCCCAGTCGCAACAGGTAGCTCGCTTCCGGCAAAGATCCCATCAATTTCCGCAAATGGGACAAGGAATTCTGTGGTTGAGGTGTTTTTCCGATGATGATACCTTCAATGTTCCAGGTCGGGACCTCGTTTACGACCGCAAGCTCAATCGGAAGAGAAGTTTGGTCTGGCAACGGAGCCGCAAGTATAATGGCTCTGCAATTCCTCCCAGCTCTGCCCAGCTCAGCTCCCTGGCTCAATGTCTGGCCCTAGACGCTAGCCGCGGGGTCTCTTCAGAGTTTAGCACGGTCGAGGTTCCCCGAAGCACTTTGCACCGCCGCCCTGGCGAGAGGAGTACTTCAATGTTATCAATTTTGCCAAGTTGTCGCAAAATCTTTGCTCCCAATCTCGCTTGCACTTCCGATAGCCTGGGATGAAGAGTCGGGCAACTGGGGGTGGCGTTTCGAAGGGCCGAAAGAATACGGCAGGTCATAGAAGCCAAGAATATCTATGTATAATTACAACAGTGCCGTGGTTTTGAAAAGTCAAATGGATCTTCGGAGCGTCTTCTAATTTAAGAAGAAAGCGAATTTGCGAAAATGGCAACGGTAGATCGCTCGCAGTGGCGATGCTGTAACATGGGGAAAGTTGAACTCATATGTATTGAGCCAAGTGCAACCTCATAATAAAACTGAGTTTAGCGACAAAACTAACTGCCTTCAGGCCGCCGGCCGACAATCCCATGTGTAGGTAGTGCGCATACGATGTCAATAATTTCTCTACGTCTAGATTACGAAAATGAAGTACAGGACAGCCCAGGGATAAATGAGCCGAAAGTCAAACTATCCATCATCCCGTTGGGCTGTCCAAGTGAAAACCCTACGTGAGTAGTCCCTCTCCTTCTACCCCGAGTGGCTCGAGCTCCGACCTTGACCGGGTTCTCGGGTCCTCGGATCAGTCAACCGGGCGCAAGCGCAGGTGTCACTCATGTCAAAAATGGAGTCGGTCAAAAAGTTAGATGGCCTCCGGTCTCAGGTTGTGATTGTGCTCCTGGGCGTGCGGCGAGGCAAATGTCCATTTCTATCACCGAGCGCTGGGCCGTGGATGGAGCCTCGTTGCCGTTCTGGACCTCTGGTCCATTTCCATTCTGCGGACTACGCGGAGAGTCCGCTTCGAGGGGATATCCCTGGCCCATCACGCAATAGTGGGGTAAATAGTACGCGGGATATTTCTCACGACTAGCTAGGCCTAGCACAAACAGGGATTCTGTTAGTCTTTTTCATACGAAGTTAGTTGGAAGTGAACATGAGAGGATGCTCATATAAACGCAAGGGACGAAGACGATGGAAACCCGCTCTAGCGCAACTCTACTTTCCCATTGACAGCTTGACAGCGTTTTAATAGGTCTAGTGCCGAGTCTCAAGCCAAGCTAGGACGAAAACTATGATGCCAACATCAGATGAAGAAGCGATGAAGCGATAATTTAACGATTGTCAGATCAGACGAAAGCCTCGGTGGCTAATCATAGTACGCCGTGGGTAAAGTTGCTCGATGACCATTCTCACGTGTGCATGGAGTCCAGACCCCTTGGCTTCGGTCTGTTTGCAAGCAGATATGGCCCATGCCTGTAAATCTGACTGGTCCGAGAACCTTTGCCTAAGCTGCCTAGATAGAACACTATGGCTGCGCCGCGCTCTTGCCCAGGGTGTGAACGAACCACTAGGTGATGTACGGAGTACGGAGTACATGCGTTGCATCCCCAGGCAGGACAAGGTTGGGCGCTATATCCTGCAGCAGTTCTACTGCAAGGAGGTTATCCAGCGCATCGCCGTTCGATTTCGTGTCCTGACCTATCCAATCCAACCCGATCCAATTCAATCCAATTGTACCCTTGTTGAACGGCCCATCTGTTCTGTCTCTCTGTGCAGGCGATGATGATTGGGTTGGACAGCCGTGCTATCAATAGAATCATATGATCGTGTGATGCATAACATGTCCCGTTGCGTTAACGCAGCTATCGACACGCGAACATGCCCATGCGCCTCTTCTTATCCCCTTTGCTTGCCTTGCTTATTGGATATGACATCACACAGTCGGCAGCTAAGTGACCCATCCTTCCCGTGTTTCTTGGGAATTCCAACGGCCCGAAACCCGCCAACAAACCCGTCCGTCTGGAGTTCTAGCGTTCGCTCATCTTATTGAAAAGTTGTGATCACATGATGAGATGATAAGCATGTGAACCTGCAATGAGGGGCACGGCGCGCATGTGGCCAGATGGACATGAGAAACAGGGGAAACATTGCTGAAGCTGTAGTCTATGTCCAGAGCGGATAGTTACAAGCCCGACAAGCCCGACATGCCTTCCATGTGTGGTGATGGTACAATTGTCGGCTTACCTCCGTGCCAGGCAACCTACTTTGCGATTCTATGATACATATATCCTGCCTAGTACATGCTACACGAGCGTGTCTGCATTATTGCTCACCCCGTTCCTTCAGCATCTTGCGTCTTCTGCGGTCCTCGTCCCGGCGCAGTCTCTTTTCCTGATCTTCCTTGGCCCGCTTCTCCTCATACTCCATGGCCTTGCGCTTGCTGGCAGCGGCAGAGCCACCGGTGTACTTGCTCATGCTCTCGTTCAGACCCTCCATCATGTCCGTGATGCCTCCTTTGCTGGGAGCCGGCGCCTGGTATTGGGCACCGGCAGCCCCGGGAATCTTGACCCCCTTCGCCGCGGGAAGCATGGGCTTTTCCTTCAACGGCGGCAGCTGGGCCCAGCGACGGACGGTGGGGTTTAAGGTGGCGGTGGTCTGAATGGCCTGACCGGCACCGAAGCACAAGAAGAACCACTGGAGGACGGCCGGGAGCCACATGGTGCACAGCAACATAACTGGAGTCATGACGTACATCAACATCTGCCCCATCTTCCGCTGGTTCGGGTCCATGTTCACATTGGCAGCCTGGCTCTGTTTAATGCTCCATGCGGTGACAGCAGCAGAGACGAGGGGAAGTATGTAGGTCGGATCGTGGACGGACAGATCGGCAAACCAAAGAACACCGCCATTCTCAAGCGAAGGGACGGGCAAGGCGGCCATGGCTCTCAAGACGCGGAACATACCAATGGTAAAGGGGAAAGATATGAGCATGGGGACTAACGACTTCCAACTAGAAGCGCCAGTCTGCTTCTGAATGCGAATCATCTGCGACCGAGCTACCATGGTTGCCGCATAATCGTTGGTGTGTCGGGCGTCCCACATCTTGGTCTCGGCTGCCTTGAACTCGGGGTTTTGCCGGCACTCTTGCAGTTTGGCCTGGTGCCAGGATCCTCGCAGGGTGGGTACGAAGAGGGCGATACGCCACCCAACAGCGATGATAGCAACGGTCCCCCACCAGGGCAGGCCTGTATAGATGTAGGTGTGTTCGAGTGCCCATTCCACCAAGGAGCTAGGACCCCAGCCAAACTCGAGACCCAAGTCCTTCAGGTAGCCGATTCGCTCTTGGATGTCAAGAATCGATGTTGGGTCCATGTCACCGAATGTGTTGGGCAGGTCAGATGCCATAGGAATGTCTGGGGTGAGGGGGCTCTGTGTTGCCGCTTGCTCTCGGAACTGCAAGGTCGGGTCGGAAGCAGGAGTTGCAAAGGTCGCCGGCGTCTCTGGCAACGAAGTAGCTGGCTCGGCTGGAAGGGTCTCCGCTGGTTTCGGGGGTGCTTTGGATCCAAATGGCCATAACGACAAAGCCCGCGACGCGCCAGCTCCTTGGGAAAAAACGCCGGGCCCTCTCAGAGCTGGTGCACCGAATGGGCCTCTGTGAAGTGAGCCAAGCCGAAGCAATTGGCTGCCTTGGCCACGCAGAGCCGATGAGTTTCTGCTCCATTGTTGCGATGGTGTGTTCGGCCGGGCCAGGGAGAATTGGCGAGTTGTCGCTGACCAAGATCGAATTGTCTGTCGGTCAAGGTTAGCGATGGAGTTCAAGCCAGCTCCTCGTAGTTATTTGTGTACCTGTCTTGGTGTGGGTATGCAATGCCGCAGCGCAATGGCTGGGCGAGAGCTGCAGACACCTCTACTTGGAAGCATCATGACGGCGGGCTCAGTCTCGAGTCTTGAGCTACAGACCCAAAGCTCAATATTCATGACATGCGACGGGATCCCCAAAAAAATTGGCCATGATTGGCAAAGTCGCGACTTGCAATTATCCGTAATAGACGCGGCAACTTCCGCGGCAGATTCATACCAACTCAACTTCATTGCTTATCGCACCTGCCTTACTGTAGACCACGGGGCTCCTCTCAATTCTATCTGTCTACTCTGGTGATCAATTAAGACCTGCTGTTTTTGTTGATGTGATTGTCTCATAGTCTGAGACTACCACGTAGCTCGGGAAAGTTGATTCCAGCAGTGCCTTGGACTACGCAGTACTTTGAATCATTCTCCTTCAAAGTCTCCCAAGCAGAAACTCTTAACGTTCAGAGCGTACAGACTAATTGTTATCTGAGTAGCCGTGAGTAGCCAAGAAGAGGATGCTTGTTTCCGTTCATACAGAACACAGTACTAGAAAACTTCCGATCTTTGATATAGGTACCTAGGTGTTGCGTCGAGCAACCAGGCATCAACATTCTGTGTGTACATCCAACCAGGCTCTATGGTCTGATCTGCGATTTATCTCTAGGGTATTTGTACAGATTCATGATACTCAGAGTCGCCCTTTAGGTCTTCAACTGTTGGCAAAGGACACAACCTGTCTCCCATGACTGGCTGCTTTGGGGACAGGCATCTCGCTTGATACATCGAGTGTATAAGCCCAGTCGCCAACGTTAGTTGGCGTCATTCCAGACTTGTCAGGTCTTGCAACTCAGGTCTCGGCCTCGTCGGCTTGTCTCGAATCTCGACACCGGGGCCGATGGCGTGTGCCGTGCGCCTTGAAAGTGGGAAAACCTGCAACATAGTTAGTACTTGCATCGTTAAACCACACCAACTCTCCATAGCTCATCAGCCGCATCAATGCAGATCATACCTTTGTGCCACCCCAGCCCAGTCTGTATGCAGCCTCGTGTGCGAACAGCTCTCCGAACCCCAACATCATGCCGTTGATGAACGGCAGAAACAGGTTGATGGCGGCGCCCCGTACCAGACCCCATAATGTCGGTGGCTGATAGAGGATGATGGGGCTTGAGGAATCGTTGGAGTCGGGTGATGTAGAGAGCTCCTCGCCGGCCGAGTATTGCTCACTATCGGAGTGCATAGTGACGCCGGATTCGGCAAGATGTGCGGAAGATTCGTCAGTGGTAGACATGGTTGTCAACGGTTACGAGAGGTCTTGGAATAGTGAATGGATTATAACCGCGGCATTTGATGGTAATGTCTGGTTCTAAAAGTGGAGGAACGAGAGAGCTGGACAGTGGTTGCATCAAATCTGGAAGCTACCTCCACTGCTACGATACACTAAAGGTTCGGGCGACGTCTTGATTGCCTTGGAAAGCGCACGGCTCAACACGGTGTAACGTCCTAACGGGGTCCCAGCGGGCAGTGCGGGAACGGGAAATCGGTGGCCTGATAATCCGGCTTTTGGAGGGGCACCTTAGCCCACTGCGGGGAGCTTGACGTCGTTGGAGCTGCCTGAACCTAGCCTTGGATTTTATCCTATCAAACGACTTCGACTTGAGATTAGCAACAACTCTGTCTCGAATTACTGCTCTGGAATAGCCATTGCACTTCTTCAGATCCCAAAAGCATCTGAGCAATCGAGAAGTGATTTTGGTCTCTGTAAATCAACAACACTCGCTTTGAGGTTTGGGCGGATTGACGTAAGCTCACTTCACCACGTCATTCTATCTCGCCACGCGAATCGACCGCCGACGAAACACCAGCAACATGGCGGGCAACTCGGATCACGAAGCGCTTGCCCTTCAGCTCCTGGAGTTCGTTCCCAGCGCCACTCCCGAACAAGCAACCCGATACCTGTCAGCCAATAACTGGGATCTTGACGCAGCTGCTGCATCTCTGATGGCAGACATGGAGGAGGCTGAAGAAGATGCCGACGCCGTTGCCGCAGCTCCCTCAGCATCCGCATCGGCCTCACAACCCACTCCGCCCGGCTACACTGGCCCGCGAACTCTCGATGGCCGACCTGCGCCCCAGTCCGCGACATCCAGCAGCGCCTCCAAAAAACCCCAGAAGAAGACGGGCCTAGCAACCTTAAGCTCGCTTGGTGGTGGTGGTGGTGGTGGTGGTGGTGGTGGTGGAGGGCACGCCCATGATCACGATGATGACGAGAGCGAGGAAGAATATGATGATGACAAGGGACCGCGTGACACGTATGCTGGGGGTGAGCGAAGTGGTCTTGCGATTCAGGACCGTCCCACGGGTCAGCGACCGACTGATCCTCGCAAGTTGATTAACGACATTGTCGCTAAGGCGAAGGCGTAAGTTTTCCCTACATACGGACCGAGTTTCATTCTACCTCACTACTGCGTATCCCATGCAAATCTCAGTGGCGTCATTGTATTGCTCCGCTGGATGTTCTGAGGGATACGAGACAACCCCCGGCCACGATCGGTTCATTCGTTTACACCAGTATCTTGTTGTTAGCAATCATTGCTGACTCGTTTTGTACAGGCAAGCAGAGGAAGGTGGCCCACCTGCTTCATCCGCTGGCCCATCAGAGCCAACACCAACTTTCCGTGGCGCAGGCCAAACTCTCGGAGGCGATGGCGTAGAGAGTCGCTCTATCCCCGACCCTCGAGCTTCCCAGAATCAGGCTCAGCCCCGCGGCGGCCAGCCTGTAGAGCGAGTCCTTCACATCTGGCGCGATGGCTTCAGCATTGATGATGGCCCGAACCACCGCTTCGAAGACCCTGCCAACGCTGCTGATTTGGCCATGATCCGCTCGGGCCGAGCCCCTGTTCATCTCATGAACGTGCGATTTGATGAGGAGCTCGATGTCAAGCTCGAACAACACGAGGAGCCCTACCACCAGGTCCCTAAGAAGTACAAGCCCTTCTCGGGTGAAGGAAGACGACTAGGAAGCCCCGTTCCCGGAGATGGCAGTGCTGGCGTTGCCGCCGCCGCTGCTGCTGCCCCATCCGGGCCTTCGTCACTGTCTACCTCTTCTGCTGCCGGAACGCCTACACCCACAAATGTGGATGTCTCGCAACCTACTGTCATGATTCGCATTCAAATGCACGATGGTACCCGCTTGCCTGCTCGCTTCAACACGACGCAAACCGTCGGTGACATCTACGACTTCATCAACCGCTCATCTAACACCCTGCCTGCCAACTGGGTCCTCGCCACTACGTTCCCCAACAAGGATCACACAGATAAGAGTGTGGTGCTCGAGGAGATGCCCGAGTTTAAGAAGGGAGGCACGGCGATGGTGAAGCGCAACTAGAGAGGCTTCGAGGTGCATGGCGCGCTTCTGGAAGGATTTGTGTATGAGAGGTGAATAGACTGGGTCTCCTCCCATTGACTGAGTGTAGGAATAGACAAGCCTCCCGGGTGCAGGGAAATCAGACCGTCTTGAGACGGGATGTACCCCCGGAGCTCAATGAAGTGAAGTAAGCTGAACTGAAATTGTATCATGCGAAGTGCATGTGTCGGGTCTATGTCCTATGAAGCAGCAGCTGAATAATCTCATATATAGTCGCCTTCGTAGTATGTAAAACCAAGCCAAGAATGGGACAGGGTTCATCCGTAAGAGCTTTTCCTCTCGACGTCCCAGGCTTTCAAGTACATGTACCTACACCTATACCTATTTACATTGCCGAGCACTTCATGCCTGGTATAAAACATTATCTGTTGCTGTCGGCAACCGTTTCCCATTATAATTGTAAGACAGCCAAAGCACCAGCGAAAGCCCGGCCGCAATGTGGTTCTTGAAATATCATTATACCTGGTTCAATTCGGGACACGAAATGAATGTTGCTATGTTTAAACTCAACTGGAGCAAATATATACAAGAAAACTCTCCCAGTCGACCCAATACTTTCTCATCCATTATATTTCTTCCAATGTCACCCAAGCTAGATTTAGCAAGTATTCAGCATACTAGTCAAAGCCGTCTTTTCCGCCGAAGTAACCGTCAACTCCCAGTAACTCTTCACTCCAACCCAAGCACGCGCATAGACGCAGTAGAAGCTGGCCAAGGGCGGCTTCCAGCTGTCGGGGGACTTATCCCCCTTGGATGAGTTGACGTTGTCCGTCACGGCCCACAGCTGGGGCCGCGTCACGTCGTTGGCGAACTGTTGGCGTTTGGCGGTGGTCCAGGAGGCTGCACCGGACTTTTGCGGGGTTGTGCTTGTTAGTACGAGTTTATAGCTATGGGATTGTACAGGGGAGGCGGTCGTTGGGGTAAGGAGGGAAAGGAGGATTGGGGACTAGGAAGGACAGGAGGGGTGAAACTCACAACCCAAGCATTCTTCAACGGCACCATATGATCAATGTCCAAATCTGACGCCAACGTCCAAGTGGCGGCATCGTAAGGAGATGTCCAAGTTCCCGAGGTTGCAACGCAGGCAGAGTCGACCACGATGGAGGTCGCGTCCCGCTTCAGAACGTACTCGCGCGTATTGCAGGTCCCCGAGATAGTAATCCAGGTCGGAAACAGGTCCCGGTCGTATGTGTCGGTGTTCGTCCAGGCCGCCACGGTCAAGGCGGCTAGTTGGGTTTTGGCGGAGGCGGCAGTGGGGATGCCGGTCTGTGGGGCGTGGGTGTAAGTCAATTGAGTTCTGTTTATCCGTGGATAAAGGGGCAATCAGGAGGCATATGGAAGAGGTTGTCATAAAGCAGAATGACCGCCAACGAAGGTTGTGTCGTACCGAATCTGAAGGGAGAGTTTCAACAACATACCGGGCTAGGCAATGGCATGGGTGCCGGATCGGCCACGGGAGCCGGGGCAGGAGCAGCCTCGCGCTCGATCACTGGAGCGGCGACGGCGACACCGGCGGAGAGGACGCCGCCGAGGACAAGAGAGAACTTCATCTTGATAGTGGAAAGTATCAACTGTCAAAGCAGGGAAACTTGGAGTTCAGGGGGTGGGAAGACCAGATTGAGGTTGCGTCGATGCTCTGATCGTTCGGGGTTTTCGAGGCGGGATGCGCAGTCGTTATATATATCCGTGGCTTGGTCTCATGCTAATTTCTGTCGTCGACGGCTACTATCCTTCCTGTCGTAATGAGGACTTAAGCGCTTGCTTGCGTACGTGATGAGTGTCAAACTTGACTTCAACACCAATCCACCGTCAACGTGAGCCGCAAAGGTGAGGGAACCGACGGAGATCGAGAGCCAGGAGGGGAAGTCTACGTAAATATGCAACCCAAGGTCGCCCTCCCACGACACTGCTATGTTATTGATGGAAAAGTGTAGGCCAGCAATGTATGCAGGTCTAGATAGTCACGGCCCCATGACCTGAACGGACGGAAATTCTAAAAAAAGGCTATATACATCTTGTCCTGTTCCACGTACTGGGGTGGAAGGCACGTGGTGGATGACAGTGGTGGTGCAAGTGGAAGCACGACGGACGAGCTGTCATGTCCAGGTAGTACTAGGAACCAGTTATAGTTTAGCTTGAGATAGCTATAGCTTGTTTATCAGTAGATCAGCGGAAAGAGAAGATGAAGTGAGCACAACGGCATCCCAGTGCCGGAACATCGGACAGGAATGAGTGGGTAACACAATGGGAGTCGCGTGGAAGTAACTGGGAAGCTGTCTCTTATCGCCGCATGCCCTGGCAAAACATCAAGATTGCAATAACCCATTGCGACTTAAGCATAATTGCCCGGTGGAGCTGCCTATAAGGTCGTAGACGACCGGCAGATAGTGTAGCGATTGTGGGTTCAACCAATCATCGTCGTCTTTTCCGAGGCCATGATTCCGCTCCGTCAAAAGTAAACGCTGGCATCTGGCGGTGCACTCCCAGCTTTGTCAGGCGAACCTGCCTAATCTGGGGATCTGCGCCGATCGGCAGGAGAAATGTCCAGCATGTCGTCGGGTTTGGCGATTCAGGTTGCTGGACCCTGAGTGGGTTTTGCTATCAATCAAGCATGGTGATTGATAACCGTCTGTCTTGGCGGCTGCGCTCGGGGTCCCACGTGTGGCAGTTTGGACAACACGTTCTGAAGTTTGGACTCGGTTCGCGAAAGCTGCAATAGCTCGTGGCCATTGTTCCATTTATCATTGGTCGGACTGGTTCACTACAAGGGGGTTCGGCACCTTTGGCGTGCTATTGCTGGCGCTGCACGGCATCCACCACTTTGATTCAGCATTTGAGTGGTTCTCCACCACGGTGCCCGCGAAGATCCGAATGAGATCTCGCGACGTTGGTCATGTCAAGCGCTGTCCGATTTAAGTCTCGGTTAAAGTGTAGCACGAAGGCGCCACTGGCTGAACAGTAGACACACACGACAAACGACGAACTTATTAAACAACTCGTCCATAACCAGACCCTAGCTCTGGGGACGTAGAATCCGTCATGCATCTCTCACCCCTCAGAAGCCGCGCGCATGATCCAAAGTCGGAAGGCAGCGGTGTAATCCACGCCAGAGCCATGAATATCAACGTACTCGTCAGTCATGAGTAACCCACATTAGGTTGGCTCAATCCCGGCCCTGCGCATTGGCTGCGACAGGACCGTCCAAGAACTTGAAGCTCTCCCTGGCGATCTGGCAGTTGAGCTTCGCTGAGTTAAAGCGTGCCTCGCCAGGTGGGAGAATGACCATCAAGTAGGTATTCGTGGTGAACTAAGATATTGTCAGTCGGGATCACGCGGGTTAGTTATTGATGATGGAATCCACCCACCTTGAGGCAGAATATGGAGAAACGACCACCGCATTTGTGCTCCATTAGTAAAAACTGCTCGGCATTACGGGGTGTCCCGGTGAAGCGGCTTATGCTCTGCTTGAAATGCTTTAGGATGTTGGAGATGCGTTCTTGGCGGTCTAAGGTCGGGTTGTTCTGGCCCTCGTCAGACGTCCAATTGGATACAACTAGGAAGCTGGTTCGCTCAAAGAGTAGCAACTCCTCTGCCTCGATCAAGATGCCCAAAGACTCGAGTTGTGACTCAATAACTGACAGGTTCGGCACCAGGTCATGAATAATGCTTGCCCAGGCCTTGTAGAGCGACTGATCCCATATCGACGTCGCGAACGGCGTGAGGTCGACCTCGCCCGTGAATCCCGTGGATTGCACAAACTCGGTTGTCTTCTGTCGTACCAACCTGACGCGTTCCATAAACACCTGCTCGCGCGCTTGTGGTGGGCTCAGGTCCATCTTGTGAATGAGTACGTAGATCTTCGCAGTGGGCGAGAACTGGCAGAGCGCTGATATTATCGAGACGTAGGTGGCCATGTCCCTGTCCACATCCCGAGACTCTATATCGAAGACATAGATGAGAACGCCCACATTGGAGAAGACGTGTACGCGTTGCTGGGAGAGGTAGTTCTCCATGAATGCCTCCTGACCCCCACAATCCCACAGATTGAGGGTCAAGTTGCCGAGAAACTTGACATGGGACAGGTCGATATCGATAGTTGCACCACTGCATTGAGCCGCTTGTCAGCGAATATCCAATTTTGTGGCCGCTGATGACCACCGATAAACTATGGGCGAGGAAGGACGCGAGGGCGCGGGGGCGCGGGGGCGCGGGGCTGCGGGTGTATCGCGTAGATATCAGTTCAAACTCACAGTCGGCGCGTGTCCCTTGCAATGTAGTTGCTGAAAATGATGCTTCGCATGCTGGATTTGCCAGAGCCGCTCTTGCCCATGAGGAGGACTTTCTTCTTCTTAGGTTTCCTGACCTCGCTCCGGACGTCGCTACTCATCGCACTCGGCGAAGGGGTCGAAGCCTCCATTTCCGACATTTCGCCTGTCGCAACTCTAGATTGACTACTAAGGCTGTGGGTATTTGTCTCTCGTCGTGTAGATCGCGTCGCGTTCTCTTGCAACTGCGAAAGATAGTCGGCCGGGTCGAGTCCATGCAGTGAGGTAGTCGCGTTGCTTCGAAAACGGCGTGCGCAGTCAATAGTCCTCAATAGCGGAGCATGATCAATTGGGGACGTCGTCCTCGTCCTACCACAGCCCTAGATAAGCTGCTAGTACGAAAACTTCTCGTGGCTTGGTTGGTAATAGCCCGTTGAATCGCAGGGCGCTTTTCGACAAGATGGACGAGGGGCAGGGTGAGCTGCAATGGTGGGGTCGGTGAACGAAGACAGCTGTGTCTCGCAGCTTGAGCTCCAGTGCTCGGTGCTCCAAGTTGTCTTACCTCTTCTGTTAGTTGCATATGATATCATCGGACCGTTTACACTCCACCTATTGCATACACGAACATCATACCTCATTCACATTCAAGTGCATGAATTTTAGTATTATTTTACCTCCATGCTATCCTTCTCTTTTCGTAAAGCATGTGGAATCAAGCTTCAAGTATCTGGGCTTAAAAGTTCCTGATGTCGGTGGCCTAGGTGTGAAGGGAACTTGTGCACAGACTCGGGTATAGGTCGAGTGGCTGGCAGCTAGCGTAGGCCAAGATGGTGAGCCTCGGTTAACTATAATTCGGCCATCTTTTACTCTTAATGGTGCTATATGTAGAAAGCTTTCATGGCGCAGCGGCATCTCTAGTTCACAGGGTCTAGGTACATGATACCGAAGACATACGTGGGTGCATCAAAACAAAACCGACTATCAATGTATAGAGTATTCTTCAGGAAGAAGTTTGGGTTCTGTATGGGTTACGAATCGGGGAAACCTGAACGAAGAAGTTCTGCTTTATAAGGGATTGGGAGTGGGCAAACACGTCGCTATTGGTGTGAGGGATCGAGGAACCAAATAAACAACACAGTGACCAGGCGGATAAATAGGATAACCCAATGTCCTAGTGTAGTAAATTGGCATTGAAAATAGACCACGACCACATCAAAGACGTCAAACTAACCGACATTGGAACATTATCGTTCGTAATGACATCATTCGCGTCCCTCGCCTCGAGTGTCTCATGATCTTTCTCACTCGCCTTTCACTGCTAATAGTAGTTACTCCCTGTGATCTCTTCAACGAAACGCTGAGAACATATGCACATATAGATTTTGAAGGGCATCAATACGCACGACGCTTATCGTATGGTGGGCGGCAGGGAATCTGACCGAAAGGGATCGAAGGTAACGTCGGTCCCGGAAGTAGTGGACGCCCTCCCTTGCCATGTTGTAGGCCTCGAGAGCTACGCATAACTTTTTGCCGGGCGTCCTGATACTGAACGATCAACAGGGCGAAATTAATACCTAGCTTGAATCGCGAGGACCCGGCGACAAAGCGATGAGACCGCAAAAATAGCGGGTGGCGAAAGATACCGATTTTGCCGACGAGTGGTAGGTATATGATAGATACCATAGACCCCTCTATAGGACTTGCAATAACAGCATTCAGATGCAAGCAGGAAAAGGGAGTGTTGGGTAAGGGGTGGGGGGAGGAATAAGCGAAATGCCTCTGAGGTTGTTTGTCATTATGTCAGCACCGCACCGCCTACCAGCAGACTGTGGCATCCGGCCTACCAAAATGTTTCCTTGTTTCCGAAGATTAGTAGAAATCGATCCCTGGGTAGGTATATGCCCTCCCATTGAGATCTTAGACATGTTTGCGACAAAATGTTCCGCGGTGAGAATGAACCAACACTGCTTATGTACCCAGGTATCTTCTCGTATCTGGACAAATCGCACAGTATGGTCTCCCTTAAATCGATCTATCGAGATGATGGCACATTCCTTTCCAACTGCCAACCAATAGCGGTTAGTCCAAGGAAAAGAATGTCGGCATGGGAAATTGGAAGCATAGAACCCGCCGCGCAATTTATTCTTTTTCAAACCGAGTCGTGATGATGAAATACTGATGGCGCGATCGCTCAGCTGGCTTGCGAAATACAGACTGTATGACCGAGCTCTGTGGCTTTCTTTCTTCATTCGAGCATGCAAATCTATCACGCGCAGTATGGTGGAAAATCTCGCGAGCATTATATCGCTTGTCGTGGTTACGGACGGAAGTCGAAATGTGGGGTTTTGACGATGGGCGGGAGTCATTGTCGAAGTATAAGACCCTGACAACATCAAGTGTGCGACTACAAGTTTCTCTGTCTTATCACTCACCTTCCAAGCCATCATACGAGCTCATAATTATATTGCATACTCTCCAACAGTTTTCTTAGCTCCACTTGGATTTTATGTTCCCGTTGAAGGAGCAAAAGGAGGGCACATATGCCTAACCTGTATGTATTGTAGCTAACTCTGGTCCTCTCTTCGAGGGTCTATGTATGGAAACAAAAGGGTTCTTATATAGTCAATGAATGGTAGACTTGCTGATTAATTCAGACAAGTTGTAGAAGCATATAGATAAGTAGGGAATGTTCTATCCTCGCCACATTTCTCGTAATAGAGGTATGTGGGGATGGTCGCCGTTCTAGGTGGCGATAGTGGCAAGTATAGGACCCACATGGCCCACAGGGCCCATATTGTCCAACTGCTCCTCTTCAACATGCCCGATTCAGGACCTGATCCTGAGCCGGGTGCAGTGATCGCAGACGTCGTGTTATACGTGTAATGGACACTTCGAAAAATCCTTCGCCAGATTGATTAGAGAGTACTATTAAAAACAAGGATCCTTCTTCATCGAGAACGTAATGGCATTTGTTTCGATATTTGAACAGAGACAACCAGCAGGTGAACCACTGGACCAGCCCTAGTTGGAAGAAGTTCTATATCGAATGCTCCAAACGAAAAGCTCCACGTCAAAAGAACCTACAGGAAAAGAGATTATTTTGTTTGAAGGCTGAATGAAGCAAAATATGATAAATGACTGCAGGAGGAAACTAGCTAATAGTCATATTGGAAGGGCCGACTAAGAAGTTCTCGCTGACATATGATATCTCGGTAAACATTCTAGGCGTAATAGAAAACACCCCCGAGTTAGTATAGTTCACATTTAAGAACGAAAAAAAACATCCTTACAAACGAAAAAGGATTCAATGCCATAACGCGGTTTGATAAGGTTAAGGATGGCGAGGTTCAATTCATGTTCATGCACTTCAAGGAGCTGTGCCCACACACCATCCGCTACAAGGAGGTAACGGAAATGAATAGAATCCTGGAAGAGATAAAACAAAGTTTGCTTGAATTAATCAATATGAGCCGCAAGAATGATGGGGATATTAGGAAAGCAGACGGTGTTAAGTATGCTCGTCGCGACGGCTTCGGCAGGTTTGACGAACCCCGAGAAAGCATGCAAAATATCGAAAAGTTCGAACCTATCACTTCCCCATGGTCGGAATTTGCCCTTTAGTCATCGAAAAGAAATATCGAATCAAAAGTAATTTTCGGGCGAACTTCTGCCATGTGTGTATCCGCGGAAACCCGAGGAAATTTGATCTAACTTTTACTGAGAATCCCCCTGGCGAATAAGTTCAAGTCGCTCAGTACCACTGAGAATTGCATACTCAGCCTTGACGACATCCATTAGGGTCTCCATCGCGCTCTTGCAACTACCATTGACGTATCGTAACCTCAACCGCAGCCGATTGAAAACACCACCACCACCACCAGAAGCTCCGTCGACTGTTTGGGCCACTAGCTTCAGAAAGTTCTAGAGTCTAACACTGGAAGATCCTTGTTGGTGAGTTCTATCCGACTTGGTGACTTTTTGATCTTGAGGAGATCGAGCTCTTCCCTGCAAAGGATCATGAATTTGAGCGAATTTTGGTCCAAATATAGCCAACATTTCAGGATGAAGAATTGCATTAGATCAATTTCACTCATGAACAGCTGCAAAATTGTAGAATGACTACCCTCCTTATGTCGACCAGACAATAGAACTGGTAGGAAAACTGCGGTACAGGTCCTCAGCAAAGCTGAATCATCCACAGCTGCAGAATGCCGACCAGGCACCATTTTGGCTTGTCTCTCAGCTCTGCTTACATTTCGGTGTTTTTCTGTTTATTGTTTCTTATATCTCTTATAGTATGGCATTTAAGCGCCGACCTCAGTTGTTGCTTTTCTCTCATTCTTACAATCACTACTTGCTGGTTCATAGGATTTCTTAGTCGATATTGGGGAAGACTGCAATATGTGTTTGGTCTTGGCCGAATCGAGTTTTCCAGCTCTTAATGGTTGAACCACTCTTGGTTAGCTCATAGCAACTCGTTCATTGGCTAAGTCTCCTAGTTGAGACAATACGTCCACTCGTCGCTTGTTTGATAGCTGCTATCAACAAATGAAAGCTGAATTACTACCTTTTAATATAATATTAAAAAAAGTTATAACAAGCGTTATCGCAGGGAAGGGCTTATTTCCTCGCTAACTTCAGATTTCTGACTACTTTCTCCATTAACGTACCATCCCCCACCACCCCACCGGTAACCAAATTAGCAGCACCTACACTATAATTACTTCAACTTCAATTATACGGATCTTAATAGAAATTGAAGCTATTTACAAGCCGATTGCACGAATAAATAGCGAATTGAATAAAGTTTTCAATTTAGCATTTTTAGAAAGGTTACACGATACTCCACATCGGTACTACGGAGTTCCGGCAGCCGTAAAATTCTGATTCTATTACTTTTGAGGCCACGATGCCCCTTTGACTATTATTCTATAAGTACTACGCTTCAGTACACCAAAATGCCGCGCCGTAGCTGGACAGAGGACCAGATAGCTGAGGCTATTCTAGATGTTACCGATAATGGCCTGTCGCAGTACAAATCCGCCCAGAAGCATGGAGTGCCGCAGCAGACCCTTTCCGACAGAATCAAAGGCAAAGGGTGGCCAGACAACCCTATACCGACCAGAAAGCGGGTTTCTATAGCCCAAGAAAGCTGTATAGTTGACTGGATTATCAGGAAAGAGTCCTTGGGATATGCCCCTACGCACAATCACGTACGCGCTTGCGTTTCTACACTTCTGGCTCAACAGGGGGATACCAACGAATTAGGGAAGAATTGGCTCAACCGATTTGTCTCTAGATATCCAGAAATTCGTACCAAGATGGGTAGAAAGCAGGAGACAGCTCGATTCAACTCGTTTACACCAAAAGCCGTACATTGGTACTTTGATATCCGTGAGAGAGAATACGGCTGGATTAAGCCAGAAAATACAGTTTATGTCGATAAGGGAGGCATAATGGCTGGCTTTGGTAACTATCTATTAGTCTCTTAGGCAATTATCTATGCTAATTACTATACTATAGGCCTTGAAGGGCTCGTATTGGGGAGTTCTGACGCCCAACAGAAGGCTATAATTAAGAGCTCACAGGGCCGTAGTTGGACTACCTTTATTGAAGCCACTATAGCCGATGACCGCCTTCTAGAGCCAGGTATAGTGTTCAAGGGCAAAGAGCTCCAAAAACAGTGGTTCATTGACCAATTCTGAGAGATCTGTCCCCACTGGCGCTATATAACGTCACCAAATGGCTGGACAGACAACCATATAGGCCATCAGTGGCTTATTGACGTATACTTGCCTCAGACGCAGCCAGCAGATCCCTCTGATGCTAGGCTAATTATACTAGATGGCCATGGATCCCACGCCTCTGTAAGTCTTCTAGTTATTGCAGTATAACTGTACTAACTGGGCTATATAGGATGAGTGGATGACTACGTGCTTTATGTACAATGTATACTGTTGTTACTTACCGGCACACACTTCCCATGGCTTACAGCCAAATGAAAATGGCCCCTTTAACGTATTGAAGTCGGCCTATAGGGCGGAAGTCAATAAATTGGATAGAATGACGGATGCGGCGCCAGTTGATAAAGCAGGGTTAGCCATCGATCGAGCGCTCGCCGATCCCCTCGGCGAGCCTTGGCGCCAAGAACGAGCGTATCGCCGAGTGGGTCTGGCATACTCAAGATCTCGACGAGTGATAATGGCTTTGCAAATTCTCGCGGCGAGAGGTATTGACCTGGATCACTCGCTAAGTCTCGGCGAGAGTAGGGCGCCCCTGGAAGTTACTAGGGGTCGGGCCCTGTTGACAGGGGTTGAAGCTAAGAAAGTGGAGCTAGAGTGGTATCGTGACCCTATTTTGATGTTTAGGACCGTTAGAGTCCCCTAACTAATTGCCAATAAAGCCAATGCCTCGCAATCTCCAATTCCGACCGATTTACAGGATAACGTTGACCTGTTCTTCGATGATAATGTTAGCCTGATTAGATCTTCAAGTATGGCCTTACTACCAATGATTGGCGCGTGATCCGGGCTATTCAGCTCGTATTAAGGGACTTCGCAGTTATCTCAAAAAGCCTGCAATCGCGCGCTGTTGTCAACGATGACGAGGAGGGCAAGGCCGGCGGCATGTGGGATTACTTCCCTTCATTCGAGATCTTGCTTGACCATCTCGAGCGCTCTGCCAATGAGGGCGTTGTCTATATAGAAAAGAGGTCTCACAATGGTCAGTTAAATGGTGAAGATATACCAATCTTTGAAGGTATGGCGCTTAACTTTTCCCTTAGCTAGTACTAATACGCGATTTCTTTACAGGACTTGACCTTAAAACGCGCCGCACACTCCAGGTTTTTTTGCGTCTTGGTTGGAAAAAGCTCGACGAGTTCTATACCAAGATGACGGGGCTCGCGTACTATGCTGCCGTAATGGGCAAGCTAAGGATGGAGTGGGTTAATAACTATAGTACCAAGTAAGTTAGCGTGCTCTTGTGCGATAATGACTAATTAGAGATGTGCCATAGGGACGTAATTACCAGCGAGCGTCCATCTGAGCAGAGCGTGGCCTCGATGAGCTTTGCTCAAAGACGTCTATTCTTTAGGCAACGTAGTAACAACTCCACGATACCCGACCCCGGTACGCAAAGCATACAGAATACCCAGGCGACAAGAAGGACGAAGATATACAAGTCTAGGGCGAAGCGTCCGGCCCAAGTTACCCAACCGCTGCCGCCAATCGAAGATGAGCTCGATCTATACCTCGCCGAGCCAGTCTGCGACATCGCAGTATACAAGGATAACCCAATACGATGGTGGAGGGATGTTGGTCAGCGACGTTTTCCTCGGCTTAGCTATATGGCTATAGATTACCTTACTATACCTCCGTCAACATGCGAGACTGAGCGTCAATTCAACAGCGCAGGGCATATGTTGAGTCCGTTGAGGAATCGCCTAAGCCGATGGATCGTATCACAGGCCCAGAGCATACGGTCTTAGAGTCTGAATGGCGTGTACACACCACACATTCCCCTCCATTTGGTGGATAACAATGATTGGCGGCTTGTTGTAAGAGCAGCTGGCCTCTCAGGGCTGGACGACGAGGTTATGTAGTAATACCAAAACACCAAAAACTATCACCATTCTCGCCGAGCGACCCACCTAGCGATACGTCAACGCTCGACAAGCGTCCTTAAGGCCGCTCGCTGGTCAGCGAGCGAGAGTGGGTCAAAATGCCAGCGATACGATCGATGGCTAACCCTGTGATAAAGTCAACTTTATCCGGTGTTATAGTACTGCACGCAAGGCTATAACCGATAAGGTCATTAAACCTGGCTGGAGAACTACTGGAAATTGGCCAATTTCAAGGGCCAAGGCACTACGGCATCCAGAAATCCAGGTAGATGTTGATAAAAGGGGCACTCCACCGCCGCCACAAGCCCCTGGACTTGACAGTGATTCTATACCCCGTACGAGCCGTCAAATCCGCAACTTTGCGAACAAGTCAAGCCCACATAGCCGCTATAGGCTACAGAAGGTTGCCAAGGGGGTTGAAGCCTTAGAGGCAGAGTTGGTAGCCGAACGCACTAAGGCTACGGCATTACAGGAGGAACTAGACCGCTTGAAAAGGGATAAAAAGCGCAAGTCACTGCCAAATCCGAATCGCCGTTTTGTAACAGTATCAGAAGCACTAGCTACAGGGGAGCCTATACCCCCTAATAACCGTCAAGAACCAGCCAATAATGGGAAAGTTGTGGAAGTTGAGGATGAAGGGGTTGATTCATCAGAATCAAAGGCTACGGCCGATGATTTGCCGGCCGCTGTAGTCACACGAAGTGGTTGTACAGTCAAGAGGTGGCAATATTCTTAAACCCCATAACAATAGCTACATAATGGTATAACTACGGTATAAATAGCTTCAATATGTACGGAATTATGTGTACGTAAAAATGTAGTGTTTTTGCAGTATTGTGCTCAATTAACGTTACCGGTGGGGTGGTGTTACCGGTGGGGTGGTGGGGGATGGTATACAGTCAGGCTTCTCTGCAACTGGAATATACCCATTAGATCCATCGTGACCTCAGCCGACGATAGCCCCCCTGTCAGAACGACCAACTACACCACCAACAGCTGGTAATTGGCTTGGTCCGATAATAATAGCGACGCCAGTGACTAGCTTAGTAGCTAGGGAGAGTCTGGCAGCGATTACGCCATTGCGATCGTCGCAACGGCTATTGTTTCGGAAGCTGACTCGTCGGCTAGATGTACAGAGCGTCGAGGTCACTACTTTGACCCAACGTGTACACGCATTAGAAGCCGAGATAACTTCGTTACGCCCCAAACCACGTAAGAAGGTACGATTAGGGCCTAATGAACGATTTGGTAACATTGTACAGATTAAGGAAGCGATGGATCGAGCCCTTGAAGTAGAACGGCAACGAGACCAGGTACAACGTCGGAATCAGGTAATACTGGACCCAGCTAAGTCGTCAGAATCTATCAGATCTATACCTCAGGAAGCCCTAGAGCACAGCTTTCTATTAGAGCTGGTTGTACCTGAATAGCTATAACGTAGTCCACGGTCCAATTGCACACTTCGGCAGATTTTCGTACGCTACCACTTTGACCTGCGGTTTTTCACCACATAACTATGGTTGGTTCTTGGAATGAAAGTGATATGATTCTAGCATTACATGCGCTTCAATCTGATCCAAAATTAAGTGTACGTCGCGCTGGTCAGATCTATAACATACCTTTTAGAACCCTTGCGTATCGACGCGACGGTAAAACCGCTCGAGCGATTACGCGATCGCCAACGCAAAAGTTGACTCCTTCCGAAGAAGAGGCAATCGTACGACATATAACCGACCTAGATTCGCGGGCATTTCCTCCCCGATTGAGTGGTGTTGAAGATATGGCCAACCGATTACTTCGAAGTCGCGACGCGGACGCGTCGGCGTCAACTGGGCCTCGAGCTTCGTAAGACGACAACCAGACCTCCGGACGCGTTTAAATCGAAGGATCGACTATCAGAGAGTCCTCTGCGAAATACGCGATCCAGGAGGAGGATATCTACAACTTCGACGAGACCGGTTTTGTGATGGGCCAAATCTCGTCCGAAATGGTCGTGACGACTTCTGATCGGCGCGGAAGGCCTAGAGCAGCCCAGCAAGGAAATCGGGAATGGGTTACAGTTATTCAAGGCGTTGGGTCGTCCGGTTATGCCCTCCCTCCGTACATCATTTTCGCTGGCAAAACCCACCTCTCTTCATGGTACGAAAACAGCCCATTACCGCCTGATTGGGTTATCGCAGTTACTAAAAATGGCTGGACTACGAACGAGAGAGGCGAAGATTGGATAAAACACTTCGATCATCACACCAAGTGTCGTACGAAAGGTACTCATCGCCTATTGATCCTCGACGGTCACGAAAGCCATCACTCGACCGATTTCGAGGTATATTGCAAAGCTAACAATATCGTCACGCTTTGTATGCCTCCTCATTCGTCGCATAAGCTCCAGCCTCTTGATGTTGGTTGTTTTCGCGGGTTAAAAAGAGCGTACGGAAAAGAAATCGAAGATCTCATGCGAGCACATATAAGTCCTATCTCGAAAGAAGACTTTTTACCGGCGTTTTTAAACACGTACAAGGCAAATGAGACCTTAAGTCGACGTCGCCGTGCGAAGAAAAAACAGCTACAGAGTGGAGGGTCACTTCGTATACAAGCTGGACAGGACCTACAGTCTCAACGAGAGGTTGATGGGCAGTTACATGACGAATTTCGTCAAATTGGTGGTCGTACGAGGCGGCGAATTGCGCGTGTACGGCGCTTTAGAATCTGCGGCGAGCCCGGACATAATGCGCGCACTTGTGGAAATGATGTAGAGACGTCTGAAGATAACGATTCTGAGTAGTTTCAATTGATGATAGGCGTTGTGGTTGAATTCACTTATACATTGTCGTATAAGGTCTGCCAAAGTGTGCAATTGGACCGTGGACTACGTTAATAGTACGTTGAATACACTGTTTCGAATACCTTCAATTGGATTGCAATATGTGGCCGGAAAGGTGGGTGGCCGGAAAGGTGGGTGGCCGGAAAGGTGGGGTTGTACGTTATTCCCATTTCCTTTACTGTTATCATTTGTATAAGAAAATATGTTATCTCGCCAAGGCGGCAATTGGACCAGTGCCGTGCTTGAGCTGTTCGCGCATTTCTCGTATCCCGGGTTTATGCGCAGAAGAAGCAGGTTAGAGTCGTTTAAAGTGACATCGCCAGTAAGCTTGGCACAACGGTTCCAGAGCTGAAAAAATGGACCTTCCCAGTTAAGCATCTAACTCCCGAGACATCGCGGCAGCCAAGAAACGGATCCGCGTCTTGGAATGAAGCTTATCAAGTAAAACATCGTGCCTTGCGACAAATTTAGTTGGCCGAACACAAGGTCGAAGCTTATGTTGACTTAGCATCCACAGAAATGATAGGTAACCGTGTACAGACCTACAGCCTAATATCAATGGTTGCATTGCATTGCATTGCAGGACCTCGAAAGTAACTCAAAGTCAGAGCAGCGACGTCTAGTACAATTCCAGACCCAGGTGCAAACAATATTATACAAAAGATATATGAATCTAAACCGAGGAACTAACACTAAGACCTCATGCAGTTACCTATATCCTGTATTATAACATGATGTAAGACATCTCACCCTAGAATTGATTTTCGAGAGTATGTCATTATTTGACCCCTCCCGGCGCGTGCTCATTTGCTGCATTGGGAACTTGGGCCCACGGTATAAGAATTGTCAGTGCCGAGCGGGATGCCTACCCACTGTCTCTTTGCTATTCATCCACCCCGGACCGCCAAGACTGCAGATATGCAAGCGAACCAGCCGGAAGCCGCAGGCTTCCATGCGTGTGCGGTTGCGGCTTGTAATTCATAGAATACGGGCATCCAACTTCCTTTCCCTTTTGAGAATCATGCATCCATACTCAGTGGCTTGGTCCGCCTCGGGCCAAGGACTGCTAGAGGTGTTTAGGAAGCTTGAACTGATCTCACGGGAACGTATTTCTTGGCTATAATCACGCAAGTAAGAGCAATAAGTTAGCTTCACGATATTGATGACGGCTTCATCGGCATCTTCTATGCTCCGCCGGAACAAATACGGTGGCTATATAAGTGTAGAGAACGCCATCTCTTGTCAACGAACAGAAGCACCACCAACAGCCTCAAGCCTCTCAATTAGTCTCACCATCATTCCAACCTTCCACAATGGCCAGCATCCTCCGTCTTGCTCTCTTTGTCGGAGCTCTTCTCCCGGCTGCCCTCACTGCTCCCACAGCTGCTCCCGCTGCCGCTCAACAGAAGCGTGAGGTTATCCCTGGAAAATACCTCGTTACTCTCAAGACCGGCGCCACCGTCAGCGATGTCGAGTCTCACTTGACCTGGGTCAGCGACGTCCACCGACGCAGCCTGAGCAAGCGTGACACGGCCGGCGTGGAGAAGACTTATAACATCAGCTCTTGGAGTGCTTACGCCGGTGAATTTGACGATGAGACCATCGCGGAGATCAAGAACAGCCCAGAGGTATATCTACCCATTCTTGAAACACCCTCAAGGATACCTATACTAATACAAATTGCAGGTTGCCGAAGTTGAGGAAGACCAAGTCTGGTATCTCTGGGATGCCGTGGAGGATAAGGTCTCCGACAGAGCATTGACTACCCAATCTGGTGCTCCCTGGGGGCTCGGAACGATCTCCCACAGAACTAGTGGCTCGACTAGTTACGTCTATGACACCTCTGCAGGTGCCGGTACTTACGGCTACGTGGTCGACAGCGGCATCCAGGTTGCGCACAGCCAATTTGGCGGCAGGGCAACCCTTGGATACAACGCCGTCGGCGGCTCCCACGTTGATACTCTGGGCCATGGAACACACGTTGCTGGCACTATCGGGGGCTCGACCTATGGTATTGCTAAGCAGGTTAGTCATGTCTTCAGAACTGATGTTGTCGGAAAATCCATACCGCACCAATGCCCCATTTTGGCGTGCCGAAAGCAGTGGCTGACTATGTGTATCCCAGGCCAACCTCATCTCCGTCAAGGTATTCGCAGGTAGAGAGGGCACCACATCGACTATTCTTGCCGGGTACAACTGGGCCGTCAACGACATTATCTCTAAGAGCCGCCAAAAACGCTCTGCCATCAACCTGTCGCTCGGTACTTCTCAAATTTCCTTTCCCCATGATACAGAACCCCCGCGGTGCAACAATGTGCTGACTTAAAGAATTTCAGGCGGAGGTGCCTCTTCGGCATGGACTAACGCAGTTCAGGCTGCTTACACCTCGGGCGTCCTCACGGTTGCCGCAGCGGGTAACGGAGACGAATTCGGCAACCCCCTTCCCGTATCCTCCCAGTCTCCTGCCAACGCCCCTAACGCCATCACTGTTGGAGCGATTGACTCGAGCTGGCGGCCCGCTTCTTTCTCCAACTACGGTACGTTTTCACAAACCGACTTTTCCTATTCTAACACCGATTACTAATATGCTTTGTTTTGAATAGGTGCTGGTGTCGACATTATGGCCCCTGGTGTAAGCGTTCTGTCCTCGTGGATTGGATCCAACACGGCTACTTCAACCATCAGCGGAACTTCCATGGCGTGTCCCCATGTCGTGGGACTCGCTCTGTACCTCCAGGCTTTGGAGAACCTCAGCACACCTGCCGCTGTAACCAGCCGTATCAAGGCTCTGGGGACTTCTGGCAAAATTACCGGCACCTTGAGGGGCAGTCCCAACCTTGTTGCGTACAACGGCAACGGTGGTTAAGTCAACTTAATTGTTTGTGGTGTGAGAGCTTGTCGAGGAGCTTGCTGATTTGGTGGGTCGATATAAGAAGGGTGAGAAGGGTGGAATGTGGATGTTCTTGTATATGACGAGTAATGTCACGTACTGAATTGTGTATGTCAACTCGCCTGAGCCATAATGAAGTGAAAGGCTCAGAAGCTTTGCGTACAGACAGCTTCTGAAATGTCAACTATCTACTATATGTAAAACTGCTACATCATCAAATGTGTATTTTGTTTCTGTCTATTTTGAGAAATGAACCTCAAATGATGGCAGCATATGCCTAGAGAGACATGTCACGCACAATATATATGTCCATACCATTTTGTATACTTCTGTCAAGTGGCTATTCTCAGCATCGGCATGATGTAGGAAGAAAGTGAAATCCAGTGAAAAGGCGCTGCTCCAAAGCATCCCAACGATTTGCAGGTTACTGGATGGAGCCATATTGTTGAAGTTTCAATTGGCTGGGCAATTAGATGATCAGAACAAGGGCTAAATTAGGACTCTATCATGAAGGTGTACCTTTCCAGCCGACTTGTAAAGTTCACTACTTGTCAGGGGCTGACCGATAGGCTTCAGGGTTAGGGTTAAGCTTAGCTTGGCTCGCTTTGGGCTCTGGCCAGGGTTGGGGCTGGGTTAGGCAATCCGACAGGACATCGGAGAAACCCAAGCTCCTACCCCACGTTTTAGCAGGATCCACCCAGCAAGGTTCCACCATGATTTGGTCAACTGCGAACTTGGGAACATTGATCGCCACGGCTATCTTTATACATACAGGATACGACAATTTGGATTTGCGACGGCACCTCGCCGCCCACTTCCATCATGGTTCTTCAAGATCTAGGGCGGCGCATCAGCACCGCCTTGAATGATGTCACGCGCGCGCCGAATCTCGACGAGAAGGTATGTTCTTTCCAATGCGCTCGACGACAATACAAATCGCCCCACCACCGTCCCTCCGCTGACGTCGTTTCTGTCCATGTCTAGGCTTTCAAGACCATGCTCAATGAGATCTCGGCCGCCCTCCTAGAAGCCGATGTAAACGTGCGACTTGTCAGTCGACTCCAGACCTCGATACGGAGCGCCGTAAACTTCAAAGACCTACCGCCGGGGGTCAACAAGAAACGCCTGATTCAGAAGGCCGTCTTCGACGAACTCGTCAAGCTCGTGGATCCACATGCCGAGCCCTTCAAGCCTAAGAAAGGCAAGTCTAATGTCATCATGTTTGTCGGTTTGCAGGGTGCCGGAAAAACGACAACGTGTACCAAGCTTGCGCGACATTATATGGCTAGGGGGTTCAAGGCCTGTCTTGTGTGCGCCGACACCTTCCGTGCCGGTGCTTTTGACCAGCTCAAGCAGAATGCTGTCAAGGCCAAAATCCCGTACTATGGTTCTCTGACGGAGACGGATCCCGCTGTTGTCGCGAGGGACGGTGTGGCCCAGTTCAAGAAAGAGAAGTTCGAGATTATCATCGTCGATACGTCAGGTCGGCATCGCCAGGAAGCGGCCCTGTTCCAAGAGATGACGGATATCCAAAGGGCGGTCAAACCAGACGAGACCATCATGGTGCTCGACTCTTCCATCGGTCAACAAGCTGAAGCACAAGCCAAGGCCTTCAAAGATGCTGCGGACTTTGGGGCCATTATCATCACGAAAACAGACGGCCACGCAAGTGGTGGTGGCGCCATCTCCGCCGTTGCAGCCACACATACACCAATCGTCTTCATAGGTACCGGTGAACACATGCTGGATCTCGAGCGTTTCTCGCCGCAACAATTTGTCAACAAGCTATTGGGAATGGGCGACATGGCTGGACTCGTGGAGCACGTCCAGTCATTAAAACTCGACCAAAAGGACACAATCAAGCACATCACCGAAGGAATCTTTACTATCCGCGATCTACGCGATCAGCTGGGCAACATAATGAAGATGGGCCCACTTTCCAAGATCAGCGGCATGATCCCGGGGATGGCCAACATGCCAGGCATGGACCAGATGGATAACGAAGAAAGCAGCGCGAAGCTCAAGCGCATGATCTACATCTGTGACAGCATGACGGAGAAGGAGCTCGACAGCGATGGCAAGATGTTCGTCGACCAGCCCACGCGTATGACACGTGTTGCCTGCGGCGCTGGCGTCAGTGTCCGCGAGGTCGAGGACTTGCTCACGCAGCAGCGCATGATGGCGGGTATGGCCAAGAAGATGGGCGGTAGTATGAAGAATATGCAGCGTGCGCAACAGGCTATGGGCGGCGGGAACAAGGCCCAGCAAATGGCGGCTATGCAGAAGCGGTTGCAGAGTATGGGTGGTGCCGGCGCTGGAGGCATGCCTGACATGGCGGCCCTCGCTCGTATGATGGGCGGCGGCGCTGGTGGTGGCATGCCTGGAGGGATGGATATCCAGAACATGATGAAGAGCATGGGCATGGGAGGTATGATGGGTGGTGGTGGTGGTGGCCGGGGTGGCAGGAGGTGATCAGCGACAAGTTGTACGAATACAGCTTCTTACCATTGGCACTTTCGGGTTGCTGAATAGTTGGCAATTCGTGCCGTAGACGTCGACGATTTGGGCCATTGCACATCCCACGGACCCTCTTTGAAGGCCCAAAGCCTCTACTAAAGTCCCGAATCGAACCAAAGTTTGCGGCATAGGCCGGCGTTAGATTACTGGTCCAACAATGCCACCAGCTTACACCAGATGTCTCATGTAGCGACTGTAGTGGCTGTATCGCCCGTATTATGGCTTGGCAGCACACAGTCCTTCTATAGTCAAAATCGAACTGCTCAGTTACCAAATGAAAGGAACTTCCAACGTCATGAAGGCCGCTGATTAATGAAGCGAAGTAACTTACGACAACAAAGGCTTACTGTCTAACCCAACGAGAGCAGCCCGTACTTAATCTGAACTAATTTAACTCTGGTATGTCGCATGTCACTTAGGCACACGAGTGTATCATATGTCCAACAATGTCGACCACGCTGAACTTGCAGAACCGTTGGGCAGTGCGGTATCTAAACCTCCCCAAAGCTCGCCCCGGTGCTGTTGTGGATGCTATCTACGTGTTCGTTCCCAGAATCAAGTAAATCCAATTTGTAATCATCAGCATAGGGGTTAGGAGGCCGTCCAGTTTTGTTCCTCCGTTGGAAGATCAGGTTTGGCCCAAGTCGTCGAGCCCTGCGTCACTGCAGCCTGTCTTCTCGTCTCGTGGTTGCTAGACGGCGATGATGGAACTTTCGTGTCTTCGGATAGGAGGTCCCCTTTTGACTCTGCAGATCGGTCATCTTCTTCGTCCGGTCGTGCGATGATCTGCGGTTCTCACCAGATTCTCCGTCCTATCTCCCAAGTGGCATGGCCGCCCTAGAGTTGCACATGAGCCCGTGGCGGTCGTCTGTACTCGCAATGAACTCGTCAACGGACAGGAAAGCTACCTTGAGATCGTCATGACATGAAATCGCATTGAAAATGATTCGTACCTACACCATGAGTAGCTGCCAGTCCTAGTTTCCTCTTTTGGGGTCGATGGGTTTTATGCTGGTCTGCTGTGAGATTTCACTGAACAGTCTCCCACAGACACGAAAGGTGGCGAGATAGTGGAAAGACACACCCGCGGTTTCCGAATCAAGACCTCAGAGGAGATCTCTTAGAAGGTCCGTGGTATTGGTCTTGCTATTTGCATTTCGTCGAACGTTGGCTCTAATCCTGGGCGAACAGAAGCCATTCCATTCTTTCACCTGGAGCAGGACCTTCTTTACCTTGAAGGTTATCTCGACGTCTTGGTCGGTCAGGTTGGCATGATGGAAAGCACGAACAAAGCGGCTTTTGGATATGTCAAACGTGGGACAGAGGAATCCCCCAGACTTCAGAATCAATGCTTTGATATGCTCATCGCCGGTCTTAGGACAACAACACAGGGGAAGAACGCTGAAATTCCCTGAAAAGTCCCCGCGACGGCGTGTTGGTGTACTCAAGTGCCTTGAAGGCATCCCCCTTGCTTTCACAGATTGGACAAATGGCTCGTGAAGGTGATGGCGAGAATTGTGGACTCCGCATGAAAACATAGCAAACTTGGATGGATTACATCGTCTACGATCTCATTGGTAGGAAACCCTGCGGATTGCCGAATGGCCGATATGGCTGGGGCGAAAGGTTGATGTTTTCGTAGTGTAGAGCCAAGCGACATTGCACAGTGTACAGACGGGTGGCCGCGGAAACCGAAACCTGAGAAATCAATCTTCCACTCAGCTTCGGATAATTGCTATACAAAGTTGCGATGCTCAGTCGTCTAATGTTAAATTGTCTTCATCAGCTCAACTATACTTTCAACTATACGATAGATCAACCGCCAACCAAGATGTCTTCATCTAACCCAGTTAACCACTTACACGACATCATACTCACACCGACTGCCATGACCACAGCAGCCCTTTTCACGGGCGCTATCGTTGTTCTTATCTACCTCCTCTACCAATGCTCCCTCCCCAAGCCTATTCCCGGAATTCCACACAACCAGACCTCTCTCGATAGCCCCCTAGGCGACTTCCCCAAAATGCTGCAATACATGCACGAAATGGGCAACTCGCTCTGCTTCTGCTTCTCTTCTCACGTGCAGAAACACAACTCCCCCATAACGCAAATATTAATTCGCCCCTTCACCCGTCCTATGGTCCTACTAGCCGACTTCCGTGAGTCCCAGGACATCCTTATGCGTCGGGGTAAGGAACTCGACCGGTCACCCATCATGGGGGATTTGTTTGGCGGGTTTCTGCCTGATCATCATATACATTCGGAGGTTGTTGCAGGATCTGATGTCGCCAGGGTTTTTGCACCGGGTGGCTGGGCCGGCGATTGATGTTAATGCCTCGAGACTCATTGAATTGTGGAAGGTGAAATCCGGAATGGCGGCTGGGAGTCCGTTCAGCGCAAATGTTGATGTGTACCAGGCTGCTTTGGATGCCGTCTTTGGGTTTGCGTTCGGGAAGGACTTTCCACACAGTGCTACAAGGCCTAAGCTGGAGTTACTCAAGGGCTTGGATGCAGAGTCAGTGGAACGGATTCGTCGTAAAGGGGAGAAGGGTGATGATGAGCCGATAGAATTTTCAGGGGCTGAGACGGATGAGGTTATTACCGCAACGCTCGACCTAGCCATCATGCTCGGCACTGGTCCCAGCCTGTTGAGCCCCGCGATTGACATCCCTGAGGACTTGAGGAGAGAAACCAGCCAACTTGCGAAGAAAGAGGGAAAGGGTCGAGCTTGGGATCCGGAAGATATTGGGGTGTTCAAACCGGAGCGATGGCTGGTCTCTGCACCGAAGGGCCATCGAGAGCAGAGTGGTTTCGAAGTTGAGTTTGACGCCGCGGCGGGACCACAGCTTTCGTTCTCGCTTGGCACGAGGGGGTATTTCGGCAAGAGATTGGCATACCTTGAGTTGAGGATTTTGATCACGTTGATTGTGTGGAATTTTGAGTTGCTGCCGTGCCCGAAAGAGTTGTCTAGTTATAACTCAACTTTAGGTATCACCAATAAGCCGAACCAGTGTTATGTAAGGTTAAGGAAGGTGGACCATACCCTATGATCAGAACCGTCCCATACTGTTTCGAAGAGCTCACTACAGGTATTAGACCCAACGCTACACCTAGCACATAGACGGTGTGCCAACGTATACAATCATGAGCATTGAATGGTACCATAATCTGGAAAATATTATCTGGAGACACTATGCGGTGTTTCTTTCAAAGGGTCTTCAAGTATCAGATTTGCTGACTTTTATAACAGTAGAGGAAAATAGCAAAGGCACTCCAGACACGTTGTTTGTGAGTGGTGGAAAACAAAACAATAAGCAAACAGGCATAGCTACAATGTTTTTTCAATGTCACTCAAAGCGTTGACTGAGACTATGTCTGTTTAAGAACAAAAATTTAGTATGTTATAACAATACTTGATCGTCTTATTGACCGGAACATGGGTTGTCCATGATAAACACCGTAATTGGTTATAGACACTACCCACTAATTCCTGAGTATCCTCTCTTGCCGTTCGTCTAACTATATATACATGGAGGCCCTCGCAGTGTTCTATTGTAACCAAATTAACAGCAATCCCAATCACCCTTGACGAACACAACGAACCCATACAAAACTAGTATAACGGTGTCAGAAAATATGGACCTGCGTGCCAGCAAACGACGAAAAACTGATGCCTACCCCACGAAACAGCAACGGTGCCACCTAGACTTCGAGATCTACGAGGAAGACCCCGAGGGCAGCGCTGTCACACACAATGAGTCCCCCCTACAGCGAGGCTTCGTGTCCCCCCATCCTCCAGCGGGTATTTCCTCGCGCCGCGCAACTCCAACGAGACGTGGCCCGGTAGATGCCGACCCAAATACGGAGGCGTACAACTTTTTTGTTGTGCGTAGATCCTCTGCTGACATTACTGACAACCGACCAGCAGATGGCCCATCCACGACCCAAACTCGCACGCCTCGCCCCCGCAGCTTCTATGTAACGACGCCTACTCGCCAATCCAGTTCAGCGACTGGAGGACGTCTTGATGCCTACAACAGACGCCAGGATTCCGAGCGCCCCAGCGAAGAAGTTCTGGGTAGCTCACTGCATAGAGCCGAGTTTCTGCGCGATGAAGCTGGATGCGGACGTGAAAGCGGGAATCAGAATGCACCGTATTCAGGAGAACTCGTGCGCCGGCTCAGCCTGCGAGTTTCGCAGGCGGGTCGACGCATCTCGGCTACTGCGCAGAGGGCAGGGAGGAATATAATAGAGGCGATTCTAGTGTTGAGACCGGGGAGACGGGGTGATAAGGACGGTGCGGACAAGGAAGAGAGGAGAGACTAGTATCCTATCATGTGGGTTTGAGATCCTCGCCGAGGGCGAGTGGATGTTTGTGTCGGGTGAATGGTTGACATGGTAAGTGAATACCTGTACACTTGGAATTAGTATTAGCCTCGCTTTGCGATACGTTATGTAAAGCTTACATATGTATATGAATTGACGAGCTAGTACCAAAAGCTAGGTAAATCATTCAATGTGACTATTAGGCCCATGCAAATTCAACTTGTACCGTGCATTGTAAATGCGATTGTTTCTCAGGTCCGCCAGTGTAATCTCATGTGATAACCAACTTCGATATCTCCATCAACAACAACCATTTGGCTCATTCATAGCCAGCACTGGGAACGAGCTGACCTTCCCTGTCAAATCTAGTAATCGACCTAGCAACTCTGCTCTGCCTTTCAATTTTATACCATCTGCCTCCCTCCCACGCAGCACTTCCAGCAGTTGCAGTCGCGATAATGTGACCTCCAAGTCCGCATCTCCCCCTTCATAACTACTACTCAAGCGACGATGATGCAACACCCCATTACTCACAGTATGCCTCCACCTCATTTCCTCATCCGCAATATCAAAATCAATCACAAATCCCTCTCCGTCCGCAGCCCTTTCACCGTCAATCTCTACTGAAATGATATCAAACCATTGATCAATCGACATATTCGGCCCAATTGGACCCCTTCCGCCCGCCGGCACTTTGCTTCCTGTTCTCAGCTCCCGTGCTCCGACAAGGTAGAAGTTCCGCCATGTAGCGTTTTCAGCCCTATAGGCCAATTGCTCGAAGGTCGAAGCCAGGAGAAGTTTACATTTCTTGTGCTCTGGGAAGGCAGCCACCGCGTGTCCCAGAAGCGTGGCGGCGAATCGGAGGTCATTTTTTGCAATGTACATCTCCGCTTTAATACAGAGATTGTCGAGGCCACCTAGGCATTCAACGTACCGGGCTCCTTCGGCGGCGGGAGTGTGTTCCCAGAGATGGGCGGGGTTGCCGTCAAACCATGTCATGTATTTCTGGTAAATACCCTGGGAGTGTGTGAATTTTCATAATGTCTGCTTCAGCAAGAAATTGTCATACCTTCACATTGTGGCTCACTGAACCATAGAACCCTTGGCAATGCCACTCACTTTGCAACTTTGGTGGGAGACTGATCTTTTCAGCGATTTCAATGCCCGTCATACCTGCCGGATGTTAATATTGTCTCACAATGGTGGAACCTCGTGCTTACCAAGATTCATCATGCGGACAGTTTGGTCGTGCAAATATCCGTACAGATCTCTCTGCTTCTCAATGCGAGTAATGAGATCCTTGCGCCCCCAAGTAGGCCAGTTGTGACTCCCAAAGACGACATCAGAGTTTTCTCCAAATAGCACAATCGCCTCGTCAAGATACCGAGACCACGCTTTGGCATCTCGAACTTGGGCACCTCGTAATGTAACCTGATTTGGTGAGAATGGAAACCAAGTGTCAGAGTCAACTTTCTGCTTACAATATTATGCAAACAGTTCGTCGCCGTCTCCGGAAGACACAGAGCCTTGAAGTCAGGAAAATGGAAGTTGATCTCAGCAGGCGCTTCAGAGCCCGGCACCATCTGGAACACAATCCTAACTCCATCAACCAAAATTTCTTCCCCAGTACGCTGAATCAACTTGTTCGGCGAAATCAGCGACTGTGTCCCCAAACTCAACGCCATCCCTAAGCCCACTCCAACCTGCCCCTCCGGCCCCCTCGGCAGACCCCGCCCATACATAAACGCAGCCCTCTGCCTCATCGCGGGACCAGCAAGAATGCTTTCACTCATAACCGCTTCCATGAACCCTTCCGGCGCAATTATGGGTATATCATGCTTCTCCCTATCCATGGGCACAATCCCACCAGCGCCCATATAATGATCCACATGTGAATGCGAATATAGCATCCCCGTCACCTTTCTCCCCTTCCCCCGATGCTTCTGGTACAGCTCCAACGCCGCAGCAGCGCACTCGCACGATATTAGTGGGTCGATGACGATAACTCCCTCTTGCCCTCGACGAGAGTCATGTTGGAGATGTCGAAACCGCGTACTTGGCAGATGCCGGGGACGATCTCGTAGAGGCCTTGTTTGAGATTTAGTTGGCCTTGGCGCCAGAGTTTGGGGTTGGCAGTGGGGGGACATTCCTGGTCGAGCATAAAGTTGAACTCCTCGAGGTCCCAGACGACTTGGCCTGCGCCGTTTTTGATGATGCAGGGTTCGAGCTTGGCGATGAAGCCGCGGGAGGCGTCGGTGAAGTCACGCCTGTCTTCGAATGATGGTTCGGGAGCCATCATTGTGCTTACTTTTTAGATGGTTGAGTAAGGGCAAGGGTGACAAGAAAGAGTCCACACTGGGGGTAGTTGACGATTGACAATCAAGCGACACTATCAGATCCGACGAGGGGCGCTTTATAGACGACGATTACCCCAGAACAAATAACTATTTGAGCCATGCCCAAACAGCATAGTCCAGCCGAGCACGTAGCTATCAACCTACTGGCCCGAAGGGAATTGTGGGCATATCTTTGGTTAACCCCGAGAGCCGAGTCGGAGCCGTCCTGCGTGGCGGCGTGGTTGCGGGGTGGGTTGCGATCACGGCGACAACAGTGATGTTTCGGAACAGGGTGAACTCATAATGGACTTATTCTGAAGCCTTCTCGTGAAATTTTAGAATCAAGTAAGCTTTAATATGTAATTTAACAACAATATGTTTAGTGACACAATCTGACGAATAATCGACTTTGAGACTTTCTTTCACCATCGGACGACTTGAACAGACCCTTTGAAGTTTTTAGTTTATTCTATTTTATTTTCAATTATACGGCTTAACCACCAAAAAACACCAGCTTAACCCATAAAGTCCAACTCGCAGTACAAATTATCACCTTTATTTATATATTCTTCACACTTGCCACAATGGCATTCCTCTTTGAAGTCGCTGCCCCTTAGCAGATTGTTATCATCTGTGCCGTTGTTTGGCTCGTCCAACGTGCCTAACTTCCGGAACGGCATGCACTGGTTAGGACAAGGCTTAGGTGTAATTCTTCGGACAGCTCTGATGTTATGGTAAGGGTCGTGGCCGCGTGTGAGTTCTTCCCACTGACAGTCGGGACACCACTTGTAGCCGCGGCTTACTTCGTGGCCACAGATGTAGTGCTTGTTTAATTCCATGCAATTCTTTTTCTATGCATATTGGGTCGGGGAAGGCAGTAGATTAATCGTAGTAAGCAACGAAGAGTAATATTCGGGGAGGGTTCATTATGTAGAGTGAAGGATGGGAACGAGATTATATAATTATATCCGCCAATGCCGATTTAAGACACCTAGACAAGTCACCCAAGACGTCCGGCGGCGACTAAGTCAATAAAACCAGCAATTTCTACGCTTTGGTATAGCTGTGTATTATCCAATCCATCATTTACGATTTCAACAAGTGATTCCATGTACACTGAATCGCCCCTTCACGGGCACAGTTTTCCAGCCTTCGCTTTCCTCAACATGAAACACTCCGTATGCCCTTTCAACGTCCAGACCTCGATATCCTCAAAGCCGTACCTCCGATAGATCGGCGCCCCCGACGGACTGGCAACCAGATACGCCTCAAGTCCATCTGCATCGGCCCTATCCAACCCCCACTTCACCAACATTCCTCCCGCTCCCCTCCCCTGCACCTCCGTCTTCACCCCAATAAGCCCCAAACACCAATGTCTCCGCATCCCCATATGCTCCTCCTGCTTCTGAGCTATCGTCTCGAAGAACTCCTTAGCGAGTTCCGTATCCCCGTCCTCGGGAAACGGTAGCTGTGCTGGTTTCTGGTAATTTGAATCAGATCCAGGTTTGGGGTCAGGACCGTTCCATTTGGCGAATGCGATGATCTTCTCTGGCGTTGGTGAGGAAGAATCGGTGATGACATGGAAATACGCCCGCGGGTTCGAGATCTCGGCACTGAGGGTGTTGAAAATGAAGGATTGCGCATGTGGCGAGGAGGCGGGGAAGATGCGCGTGTTAGTGCCGTGATTCTGGAACGCATCGAAGAAGACTGCGCACATGGCGGGGGTATCGGCGCTGGTGGCCGGGCGCATTGTAAGACCCATGTTGATATTTTTGAATTTGGATATCGGCTGTGGAAATGTGGATAACACTGCGGCTGTAACGATAGAGGTATCTCAGGAGTTCACAGACGGCTAGGTCATTGAAACATCATTTTGCAAAACATTTTGTCGAGATCTCAGTATGACTCACTCGAAATCCTTCGCGTGTGTGGTACCCAAGCAAACGTTTCATTGGTGTCTACTATTGGGTTTTCGGGGCGGCCGGATCCCGGGCGGCGTAACGTCAGATGTCAAGTGAAGCGGGAACAAATGATGAGTCCGGTCAACGCGAGCATAGTCTAGTACAATGAGAGTTCCCGATTTACCAGCGTTACATTTGTCTGGGTTATGCGAGATGAAATATATAAAGGATTCCAACTTGACGGCGACTCCGATGCCTATTTCATTTATTTCTTCTTGTCGTTTAGCGTCCCGCACAACTACCGACCAAACCATATTTAGAACCCCATACTAACTTGCGTCAGGTAACTCCATCCCATCATCTAATGTCTCACTGACAGTCCGCCTTGAAGCTCTTCCAAGGTCCAGGGTTAATGGGGTGTTCTCCAGCAGGATAGCACGGTCCAACGGACGCATCGCCATTAGGCGGGTTGATAGACCAGAACTGGTCGTCATCGTCGCACGTAAGACTGTTGGCATACAGGTCAAAGGAACAGTAGTGGTCCTCCTCCCACCACAGGCTGTACATGTCGGTGCCGCCGTTCCAGATGTACAGCTCACCTGTGCAGTCGCGGCTATAGGGATAGGCGTGGACTTCGGTGCCGGTGCGTTTAGTCAAGGAGTCGGTACTGGGAGGTTGAGTGTTAGTGATGTTTGATAGAAGGGCCTCTGGGTGGTCGGGTAGTGAGATCTACCTGTTGTACGGAGGCTCATCGTAGCGGGCGACTCGAGGCTCAGGGAGTGGCTTGGCGGTCATGGCGAAGGCGAGCTCAGCGCCGAGGTAGGCCGGGGCGAGGGAAGATTTGACGAACAGCATTTTGAAGAGATGAATATTTGACGGAAGTAGTGAGAATGGTAGGACGGTGTACCTGTTTGATGTTCTGCTGGGGGCCTCGTATGATGAGCAGGTCTGAGAATATCTTGATTTCGGAAGCGTGAGCCTTCTTATACTTAATTTCCTCCTCTCGGGGGGAGGGGAGATGTTAATTTGGGCCTCCAATCTCGCAAAGCCTTGCCCTGTTGACATATACAGGTTCGGTTTGTCAAGGTCACATCGTGGCTATAACAACTTAAGCGATCGTCATTGGAGATCCTGGCTAGAATAGCTCCATTTCATTTTCCCAGCGGGTTTCTCGAAATACTCCTTGTATGTACTACTAAACGCCCTGGCGTATCTTGTAGCTACATAATATCGAGTTCTATGTACAACTACAGCGGGCTGTCGCAATAAAATATGCCAACTTTAGCCAATATCAGGTATAAAAGGGGTGGGCAATGCCCAGGGGTCTGTAACCTTTTTGATGGAGCTACAGGTTGTCCTTTAGCTACTTACTTATCCCCGTCTGTCTGTGTGCTGAATGCACCCATCCATAGCAGTTAATGCCACCATTTCCTTAATGTAGATAGCGGTCCAGTTGGACGAGAGGTGTGGTGACGCCATCTTCTGGACCTCCAAGAATAAGCAGCCAATGATTACTTCCTCAAACTCGAAGCTGCAATCTATGATTTGCAGTGATTGGCGTTTACGTAGGCCAATAAAAAATGGCACATCTCGAATCACTACACTACGTAGAGCGACGTTTCTGTAATTCCGGTCCTGAGTCTGCACTACTCGACAACCATGGGCAGGCTGAACCCCAATTGGCCTCATTTCCTGCTTCATCGCTGCCGGTTCTAGCTAAAAAAGTCAACCCGTGATGGGAATACGGAATATCCGCCCTACATGACACATCGCATGCATGTCTATTGTTCAGCTCGCCGATCTATTCTCTTCATTAGTAAGGAACAAGACCAGATGAGGCAGCTGTGTGCACATTTACGTAAATAAGTTAAAACTCAGTGTACTATTCAGGCAACTACTATCAAAAGTCATGAACAGATGCCACCGAAAATATCATTGAATGGTTATTTAGGCAACTGGTGTTCAGCAACGGCACTTTTTCTCGTTTAGTGGGCCACCCGCTATACCCGCCCTGGTGTAGGGCATCCCCGGGATCAGTCAATCACCTATATATAGAATCAGGTGCCACATAGCGAGCCGCCTTTGCGAATAATCAGCCACGTGACCAGCAATAGGGTTGGGTTATAGGTTAGACCGGCTGATATGAATTCATGGGGGTCCTTGCTAGCCTAACACACTCACACCTGCGACACGGTCTTTTAACGTTGCTGAATTTCAGAGACGTCGTAACGTCACCCACAGGTCAATGCCCCACACGGGTCTTTGCCCAACTTTTCACGACCTCCCAACCTTTAATCTTAGATAGATCAACAACAACCCGTATTCATCCAAGAAATTAATCAGAATTCTTTTCATTATCTGTTTCTACATCTGCCTGACAAGTTCGCGCATTATGTCCAGTTCCTCCGCAAATGCCACAGCGCCTAGCACCCGTTGCCCTCCTCCTTGTAGGACGACTACTTTCACCCTCTTCCTCACTTTCCAAACCCGTATCACCCCTAATAGCCCGTAGAACTTGTGCATCTTCTATATTAAGTGGCCCACCATACTGGATTTGCTTGTTTTTGGTTCTGCGACGTTTGCTTAGCACATGGTTAGTCTCACGAAGCTCTTCGTTCTCGCGACGCAAGATAACATTCTCTTGCATCATTGCATGCGTAGCCTTTGCAATCGAGTCAATTGAATGAATACTATGCGTCTGAGAGCTGTCTTGGTGCCTCTGAACGCTACTCTTAATCAACGTTGACTGCGATTCGGCTTCAAGGGTGGTAGTAGGTGTCTTAGAAGTCCAAATAGGGGGTAGGAGTTCTGGGTCGGCAGAGGGTGTACGCGCGACTTCTGCGATATCCAGGGCAGATATAATCCTGTCGGGGTCAAAAGGGACAATTCCAGCTGCTTCGAAACCAGATCTGATGTTTTGTTCAGTAAAAGCAGCGCCAAACGCCTCCAAAAAACCGGCAAGGAAATCCTCCTTCGCAACGTGGGTATGATGCCGTCGCATCAAACCCTCAACAAACACACCGTACGCCCGTTTCAAAACACTAAAAGGCACCAAGTCGAGAGGCTGGAGCTTATGGGACGAATGGGCAGGCATAGGAAGGGTAATGATGCCATGGTCCTTGCAGTATTGTTCGAAATCCATCGAGTGATGGCTTTCGTGACCGTCAAGGATCAGGAGGCGTTTGGCACCCTTCGTACAATCGCGTGTGTGCAAATCGAAGTGAGCTGCCCAGCTGAGACCAATATCATTCGTTGTCCATCCGTTGTGGGATAGATCAACGACCCAATTGCCCGGTAATGTGGGTGTCGCGATACCACGAAGCGAGGTGAACTTTGGCCGCGAAGATGATGTACGGCGGCACCGCCCAGCCTTGGTAATTGGCCGCCTGAATGACAGTAACCCATTCCCTATTGCCTTACTGGGCTTTCCTAGGCCTTCCACGTCTTTCGGTACTCGTAACGACCATGCCGGTTGAGATCATGCCCATTAAAAAGCCCGTCTCGTCAAAGTTGTAGATATCCTCCGGCTGGATGCCGTGCTTCGCTATTGTGTCCGCAACACGCTTAAAATAACCGCGATACGCGACAGGATCTTCGCAGAATGCCCGCTAGTAATCTATTCGACGATTTAAACGCGTCCGGAGGTCTGGTTGTCGCCGTACGAAGCTCGAGGCCCGGTTCTTGCCAACGGGTGACGCTTCGCGGTCGCGTCGGAGGATATTCGCCATTTCTTCAACGTATCGAAGCCGGGGAGGGAAAGTTCGCGAATCTAGCTCAATTACGCGTCGGGTAATCGTATTCTCTTCGGTTTCGGTCATTTTCCGTTTGGACATGTTAGTAATGTGTAATGGTTGTACGCCTTCGTAACGGCGCTTCAATGTCTTATGGTCGACTTTGAAGATTTTACCAAGCTTGTTCCAACTTAGTTGAGGATCGCGTCGTTTAGTTTGGATGGCTAATTGAAGATTAGCTTCACTAGATTTGCGTGCCATGTTGTGGAAGGGAAGAATTGTATAAGTAAAGATGGAAAGTCAAGATTTCTTGAAAAGTTGGGCAAAGACCCGTGTGGGGCAATGACCTGTGGGTGACGTTATATGATTGTGTTTTCCGTTTAGCGCGGACTTCAGGAACTGGGTTGAGGACATTGATCGTTCTATATCCAACGTACGCAGGGAGTATTTAGTTGTAGATGGTCAGTCTTGAGACTAAACTACTAAACCACGGCGTCGCCCATAAAAGCTCAAACCACCTCCACCTTTTGCTATTATAACAGGGTCAGGGATCCTAGAACGGGGTATCACACCGTCGAATTAGACACGCTCACTATAGTCCCAACCTGGAGACTGAATTACTGCACTTTGTATTTGCACTTCAAACACTATTTGTCAAAGCTTGCTCCGGCGAAGCCAACCCTTCTATCGAAGCAAACATGTGAAAGAAACAGAAAGGCCTTATACAGATCCTCAACCCCACGCGATGCTATTAAGTATACTCCCCAAATAACCCATCACGCAACACATATATGTACACAAATGTTTTAAGCTCATCAGCCGCCCGTGCCTGGATCACCTAGCTGTCCGGTTATCTGTCGCCTTCTCTTCTAAAAGTATCTTACGTAGCTTTGGAACCTTGCAACTCCTGTCGTGCGCGCCTCGCTTTGGTTTCACGCAGCATGCTGGTGGCTCGAGACCGTCCATATACTCCTGCAAGCTGGTCAGCCGGGACATGGGGATAGGACAAAGAGATGGATGGGTTACCTGAAGCAATTGTAGAAACCTCTTCCTGTCCTCGTCAGGCAACCACCTGAGTCCAACGACCATCCTCCTCCACATGCGAGCTGCTTGAATCATGCAGTTCGCGTACTCCATTGCGGGTTCTTCGTTTGTAATATTTGGGTGTTTTGTCTCGAGAACTGATAGCTCAGCGCTTTTCACTAAGCCTCGAGTATCAATGTGCATAGTCCCCGAGCAGAGGACGTTCGTCGGTGAGTAGGGCGCATGCAGCGTCCCCGGCGGTTGAATCAGTAGGCCGCCTCTCCTCAAATACAGTGCAGTCCACCGCCCTTCCTCTTGCACGTCCAGGTTCCCGTTCTCCGGCCCATCCCCTTTCTGACTTTGCATATCTTCATCGGATGTATTTCCATTGGTATATCCATTGTCCTTTCCGTTCCTGTTCCTATTCCCGTTCCCATTGCCAGTCTTATTTTGACTAAGAATGTACTCGTCGTGTTGTTCTATCCAGCTTTCCAGTGCCTGCGCACTGTTGCGTGAGTATATAGGCCAGAGCTTTTCCCCTGCCTGTACAGTAATAGTAGTGGTCACCCCGTGGTGATCGATGTGAGGTTCCGAAAAGACGCCCTTCTGACCACATATTTGGAACGACCAAGATAAATCGGCCGCTTTGGCCTTGACCTTATCGGCTCCCGTGACGTCGGGTAATGACCTAAGGTCTCGCATGAGCTTGAAGTCGCTCAACTCAGCCAGACATGGAGAAACTGGATTGTCGTCGCGGGAGCGAATCTCCAGCAAGTTGATGGGACCCATGGCCTTGTCAAAGACCTGGCGCTTGAACAATGCCTCGATGTCGTTTGGAGGCATCTTCTCCGGGAGTTGAAATTCATCGGTTGCCTGGGCAAAAGGGTTTGTAACGTCCATGGGCTGATCGAGGACTTTGACCCACGAGAAGAACTTCTCAAAAAGATCGCTGTCGCTGGGTTCGTTGCGGGTGCCGCCCTCGAACCAGCCGTGGGATATGTTCCATTCTGGAGGAACAAGGATAGGGACCCTGGGTGGGCCCAGGTCATCGATCAAGCTTCGGGCGTCCCGTGCGGTGCACAAGACATAATCGCCGCCAACCGAGTCAGCGGGGCCGATGGACTGCAGATTCTCTCGGTATTCGGCTGCAGTGATGGGAATGCCCGGCTCGCATTGGTCGAGCAGATCCAAATAGTCGGGTGCTTTGAGGCCGGCCCAGCTTCCCTCGGGGGCGACTTTCATGAGTTGGGAGACTCCGTCGACGGCAGTGCACAGGGCGTCGTGGGCGGCGGTGATGAGCCGGTTCTTCATCCATTCCCAGGCCAGAGTCTCGCGACCGAACGAGGCGATTGCTTCTTTCATTCCTGAGCTCTTCGGCGGCGTGGCGCGGCGACTGCCATGATGCTCATCTCCGCCTGCAGTTTGAAGTTGGTCGTGTGCCAGGCTGGCCAGTCTCAATTTCTGTCTCCGTCTCCGTCTCACTACTTTCTGGTGAGGGGCAGGGAAAAGTATCGTGACAACTCTGCGCCTTCTAGCACAGTACAGTCCTTTAAAATGCCGGTATCCTCTTCTTTGCAACTTTGGCGATTTTTTGAGCCTGTAATGGGACCTGCCACAGCGGTAGTCGGCGAGTTACGAAGGGTTATTGCTATTGCCTGCTTAGCCAGTCAGATGTCTCTGAAGGCCCGTGTTGTTGGTGAACACCTTTCGGCAATCGCGACCTAAGGTCCGTCCTGGAGCTGTCAACTTGGTTCGTGAGCGGGTTTTTCTCGGCCCAAGGAAATTCCGACCGAGCTGCCCTGTTGGAAACTTTGCCACTCTGGTCACAACTCGGTCGTTTAAGTCTCAAATCCACTGGTGGCATCCAAGCTCCAAACTCACGGGTATACAAACTGAAGATTCTGGTGAGTTTGTGTAAAGTAAAAAAGTGCCTCTCATTGAAACACCAGGGAATTCATGTCGATTCAACGCATCATTGCTGAAAACAGGATAATGTAACAAACACAGATCCACAAGCGTAACGCCGTAACGCTACTGAAAGCAGACATGACAAAGACCGCCTCAAACAAGACAGTAACTATCTAGGGTTTTACTCATCGCTGTTGTGATGATGAATGTTACATTACTTGAAAGCATCTAGGATATTATGCAGTTCCTATACACTCTACTTATTGGACCACTTCAGCGCAGAAACATATTTAGACATTGAAGTCTGCCACTGTCAAAGTTGATGATGCTCCAGCCACCACCGCCACGTTAGTAGTATAGTCTGACAATCGTCGCACCAGTAAAAATGATTTGTACCACAAAAATGCGAATGATCCTCAACGGATTTTTCCCCGTTGATTTCCTTTGTGGGTTAGGTGGCCGCTCATTCCGGATTGGTGCATTAGTTATTCGTCGTCATTGACTGTAGCACTTTTTTGCCCTAGTAAACGAGTTGAGACTCAGGCCTCTAAGACCAACGATTAATTTTGAAGAGCCCGGAGCAAGCTACGTAAACTTTTTAGAATAATTTGGTTCTAGTTTTGGCACAGAATGGGATTAATGCTGACACGACCGTCCCCCGAGCCGTATGTTGCGCTTCAACTGGTAATGCCTTTCTGCCTTTTAGTTAAGCAACTACTTCGAATAGCCTCTGTCACGACCTGGGTTGCATCGCATTGGTATAGACCTCGATTAGGTGCTATCGACGAAGATTCTACTCTAAGGAGCGAAGGAAAGAAGATGACAACTTAGGTTTGAGGGAGCGCGATTAAGTCATCCACGCTTGGCGGGGCTCCTACAAGGGTTATGATTGGCTTCCCATCTGACACTGCCACGGCAGGTGTTCCAGCTGTAAGTCACCTGGTTGTAGTGAGTCTGCGAGGGTTGACCGTCACAGCCTCCTCCTAGGTCTGCCGATATATCTGCTCGGCCTCCTCGTACTTCCCCTGGCTGTCCAGGACGAGTGCCAGGTTATTCGTGCTAGTAAGTGTAGAGGGATGCTCGCGGCCTAGCACCTTCTCCCTTAGCTCGAGGGTTTGCCGATATATCTGCTCGGCCTCCTTATATTTCCCAAGTATTGACGTGGGGTTAGGGTTTTGGGGTGCTCGTTTTCGTTTTTTCCGGTTTCAGACGAGTTATGTAAGCGCGTTCTTGAAGGGTATTTAAGACCTTATGTACATAGTCACTCTCTTGAGAAAAAGATAGGAATTCAAGCGGCCTTTTCCACAGTAATCTGAACCAATTTCTCTTTACTTGGACAGGCATTCAATGTCTGACGTACCTGTTGAAGTACTTTTGTTGCCCCTATAGATCTGATTGTGCCTGCTGAGGCCATTGTTCCCACCTTTCACCCGTTGATGTGATTGTTCAAGGACCTGTTGAGGTTCCTTTTCTTCCCCAGCCTGCTGAGGCTACAGTTGTTAGTACCTGTTGAGGTACTTGTCTTTCCCATCAGGGCAATGAGCTCTTGATCTTGTTATTTCTTTCCACCTCCCGGATAGTAAGGTCTTGTTGAGGATCTTGTTATTCGTTGCCATCATCTTACACCTTAAACCTGCGGGTAGTTTCACTGCCCGTCATCAGTATATAATTACTCTCCCCAATATTATATAGAAGAATTCCTTCAGATATCTTATTAGAACAGTCCTTTCGAAACTCTAGTACCGACTGCCCATGCGGTAGATACCTTATCCAGATCTCCCTATTATCGTACTTAGGGAAGGGGCATACCCTTGATAAGTATTTTATAACATACGTAGTCCATTCTTGCCACTCGCCTTTCACCTGTAGCCAGTTACGCGTAGCTAGTCGAACGAGCCGATGGATATCGAACGGCTCGGAGTCGCCCCGTTGGGTAATAAATGCATACCCTTTTAAAGTGCCGATAGCTTCGACTACTTTAGGATTATCCTCTCTTAGGGGAAGTAGAAATTCCGGAATGTCTTTCTCTGCGAGGAAGCATATAAATTTTAGGTACTTTGCTGCAAGTGGTTGATCCCGCGTAATGTGATCGAACAAAATTAGCAAGTTGTCGCTACCGGATTCTTTGTCACCTCGTAGCGTCCGCGATCCTGAAACTCCTCGCCGAGCAAATTAATTAAAATCTCGTTGCTCGATAGGCAATATTCAAGGTATTTTCCAGTCGATATCCCCGTTTTAGCTATAAATGCACAGGCCTGCTTAATAGCCAGGGGTAGATACGCCAGAAGTTTTAGTAGGGTTTCGGTGCTTTTAATATCTTGCGTCTGGTTCTCATTTAAGCCATTCCGTAGCATCTCAAGAGCTTCGGTCTTATTCATCTTCTCTACGATCACGATATTTCTCCAAACTATATCAAGCTCTACCGTAGCTTGGTGGTTTCGTGTCGTAAAAAGGATCGAGCCCTTCCAGTTGAACGGAAGAGAGCTAGAGAGTTCTTTTACTGACTTAAGATCATCAGCATTATTGATGATTAAAAGCCAGTTGCCAGCGCTCTCGTCTTCGAGGGCGGCCTTCACAAGGAGCTTGACGTCTACCTTGTCGTCGTCGAGCCCTTTGACATCGAGTGCTTTACCGATTTGGCGATAGGCGTTCTCAAAGCTGTTAATATCTACGGTCGGTACCCAGAAGATAGAGCAGTTGTCGTAGGCATCGCGAATACGATACGCCGCCTCGAGGGCTATCTGGGTTTTGCCAACGCCTCCAAGGCCCTCGATAGCAGTCCTCTGGCAGTCGTCCTTGTTCGTACCGGGGATTATTCTCTCAAGAAGCTGCTCCAAGGTAGATTCGCGCCCGGTGAAGGCCCCGTTCCGTCCAAATAAGCCAATATAGTGGGATTCCTGGATAACTTAGCTGTATTAGCTCCGCTTCGCTTCTAAATGACTCGAGACTTACTCATTTATCTTCGTTCAAGCACACTCTTCGCTTCTCTACACATCTTCTGTATCTCTTCTGAGACGCTTAAGAAGGAACGGTCATTTGGGCCTTCGAACTTGTTGAGATTGAAGTGATCCGTTTTAAGGAATACCCGAGCCCAGCCGGGTATGTGAGCAGATTCCTCTTCTACCACCTAGATGCGGCTAAGTCAGGGAGGTTCTTATACTTGTACATTAGGGCCACGTACCATTCTTCCAGCCAGTCCTGGTAGTTTAACCTTCTTTCCATAGTTGGAAACATATAACTCAATTAAGCAACATGTAGGTATGGCTAGCTTCCCCCGAAGCACGCCAAAATCGTGGACCTTGTCTTCTAGATGCTTTCCGTCTTGTTCTAGGTGAGAACCGGTTGGGTCCAAGATCCATGCAACCTTTTTGGCCAGACTCTGCATCTGTGTGCCCCTGAAAGGGGTACCGAGGGCAGCGAAACCGACCGTCTGTGTCGATAGGTACTTGAAATCTTCGGTACAGTCAGCGTATAGCAACGCCTATTATATTTCGAGGTCAGCACCATTTGAAACTGGAAAGGGACGCAGGGGTCTACGGTCGACTTACGTATAAGATGACCAAGCCGCAAAGGCTATGCCCTACGAAGATAATTGGACGGCGACGCGTGTTATCTTGACCGCGAAAGCGATGCAGTTCTGCCACCAATCCCTCACCGCAGAGCTGGAGGCGATTTTGTGGAGCGTCGGAGTGCCATCGTGAATCGTAGTTGTAGACTATAATTCGAGCATTAGGCACCACAATAGGAAGCATGTCCGGATCCTTTAACCAGTGAACAGGTTTAGCTCCATGTTTGGAGATCCACGACCAATCCACATTAGCCCCGAGACCATGGACAGCGACAACACTACGCGGACTTAGTAATCGGATCGACCGCGTATTAACAATTTGGGAAACACCTACTCCACCTCGACCTCTCGGGTGGTTGTAATACTCGGACTGGCATAGAGGACCTCCAGCGACGGTCGATTACGAGAAGTCTAGCCTATATCAGTATTATGCCATGTTGATAATTTGCTCACGGCGTGCGGACTAGATTCTAGCTTACTTGGTGACTTTGATCAGCCGGGATCTGCCGTCCTAAAGCAGATACCACTCTTTTATCGAACTTGTTCTTGAGCCATATGATCGTAGCGCCAAGGAGGACGAGGATCGTGACAGCAATGGACTGATCGATGGCCACGGGCGTCGGCAGGTGAGGAAAATCCATAGCCCAGTCGGAAGAAGAGGCTCGAATGCGGAATGTGCAATATGCGAGTCTCGGGACGCCGCTGTTCTGCCAGCTACGGTGTTAGCGGGGTTCTCATCAAAGTAGAAGCCTTCGTCAACCTACCGCAACACAATTGGCCAAGAGAGCAAGATGCTGCAGAATATGAGTAATTAACAAGCCCTAGTCGCCTTCAGAGTACGAAGTTGGTCTTGCCCCGGTCGGCGAAATGAACCAAGCTGACAAGGCCGCCACGCGTCAGCACGGTGCCTCTGTAGCCTATCATTGCCCTTGTTGGCTCGGCTGCCACAGCCCTGCGACTCGATGTATCGTCTGGCCGTTGAATATTTCTCAAATAGCAAGCTAGCTGATTGATATCTGGATTTTGGTTCAACGCGCAGAAGCATTGGACTTATTAACTCGTACAGTCGCTAAGACATGGGTTTGCCACCTTGCCCCGCACAGTCCTATTCGAGTCGGCTCCAAAACGGTTGCGTTATGGAGCCACTACGAAGCCAAGTACAGGCACCTCATGCCTGTGTCAGGGCTCGCCGGCCGTGCTAAATGGTAAACGCTCCCATACCGATCGCTCCTGCTCACGACGTACCGTACCGAGGCCGACGAGCTGGCCACTCCACAACTCGACGATATCACCTAGAGAAAAAAAGAGGTGGATGTATGAAGATTGCACATACTTCGGGCGTGGCTGTGGATAGTGGGACGGTCCATGCCGCCGCGCCCATTCCAATACCACCTAGTGCCTGTGGTAACAATAAGGGCCTTAAGTACAAAAAAGGGTGCGTCTTAGCTGCGCACATGAGTTAGTTGTTGATACACCAGAGGTTTGGATCCTGAAGTTCTAACAGTTAGCGGTTGCCAAGGTTCTGGTGCTCAAGATCCATCTATCATCAGTTAACTAGCTATCGTAGCGGTAAAACGGAGAAGACAGCCTTTGGGATTCGAAGGCTGGTGCTGCCATGGAATTACGTTAGACTCTACGTCCTGAATATTTAGAGCGATAATTAGTAAATGATTCGGCTCGTCATTACCGACGTAGCTACTCTGCAGAATAATTTACGACATACGGATATCCATAATCACTAGCTTAGAAAGGCCATAGATACTAAGTTGATTACTGTCGTCTATATATTTACTAAGGATATTCTTACTGACGGCTTGACCAAGGTGTTACTAGCTGAGAGTTTTGGGGAGTCTATAAGACGGGTCGGATTAGTTGTATTCTTGGAACTCCATATTTAACAGCTAACGCAGTCACCCGAAGGTGTGTGTTAGATACAAGGACCATGGTTAAATGGTCATTAGTGTAGAGTGGCTAAGATTAGCAGTCACTTGGACACGTAGCTCTTTGGAAGAACAGCTCAAGTAAAAACAGTACAGTACAACACATTTAACCATCATATGAAGATACGTCACTATCTGGCATTGAGTACATTCCACGTCCGTCAACTATTAGCTCAACTCGGATTTGACGACGAATAATAGCTTGGAAACACGATGCGAATCTACCAACGCATGTTTTCATCGTGTTAAGCTGCGACTTAAGAACCTTTATGAAATCTGTTAAATTTGGGATCGTTCTAGTAGTTATGGACCTGCGGTATCGTTTACGTTGTCAAACTAACCACTTTAAGTCGAACGCAGCAGAGCCCAGAAGAGAAACAACAACAAATGAGAAAAGAAAATAAAAGAAAATGTATTATTTGAATGGGATGGACCATTCAAACGATGCAATTGAAATCGATCGACGGAATATCACAGCGGTTCCCCAAACACGTGGGGGCAGACCAAAGCTGAAGATACTACTGCCCACGCTCCCTTCAGCTGGGGTTCATGGGTTCACAACAGGGGCGGTCTGACATGCGGCGGCGGTTGCTCATCGCCGGCTGCAGGTATTTGGAGAGCTTGCATCTCGTCAATTCAGCATTGAAAAGAAGCCCACACACGTGGTCTCAACCCACAGAGAATTTTCGCATCATGTCTCGCTTTTCGTCAGCCTCATCCGACGTATCGAGTCGGTCTGTTGGAAGCAGCTCTTCCTCAACAGGGATCGATGTACCCGACCTGTGTGAGGAGCTTGAGTATGCCCGCCCACGTAGTGCGACCCTTGACAACATTGACAACCACGACTGACAAGTGTAGCATTGTCTTTATCCATGGTCTTGCCGGTGAAGATTTTCCCACCTGGCAGCCTGAGAATGGTCGACACCTCAGCGATCTACTGCGTGGCCGTCTCCCGCAATACAGAAATGTAATCTTCTTCAAGTACAATCCCGACATTGTCTTTCGAAGGGACGTGTCGGAACACCATCTGGAGAATTGTGCAAACTCACTTCTCGAGCGGATCTTGAAATATTTAAGGGCACGTATTCATATGCTCCTGTGCAGATATAAATCCTAATCGTTCAAAGCGTGATAAAGTTGTTCCCATCGCCATCATCGCCCATGATCTGGGCGGTATCATCGCCAAAGAGGTAGGTGCCCCTTTCTGCTTTTTATAGCGTAGAGTGATGCTAAAAGCCCAGGCTTTGATGCGAGCGAGGCGCTCGGCCAAGTTTCGTCCCATAGAAATCTGCGTCCAACTCCTGGTGAGTTTTACCCATCATCTTGAGCCACCTTGCTGACGTGCAAGCGAGGTCTTTATTGGAACACCACATCGTGCCGGCCCTGATGACTACGATGATTTTGATTACGTCCTATGGAGATTCGACTTAAAATTACGCAAGACCCTCCAGAGAGGGCCGCTTACTGAGATCACCAACGGCACTTTGATGGACGATGTGACAAAATACTTTCGTCATTACGCATCTCAATATGCCATCCTGAACATTTACCGGCATGAGGATGCACAGCCCAATGCAGAGGATAATCCAGACCCGGTATATCCCGGTTACGTTTCGTATCTGGGGATGTCCATCACTCTACAATGATGGTGTAGCCAAAACTCCTAGTCTTCTTTGCTTACATGACCATTTAGGCATTCAAGAAAGAGATCGCCATGTTTGGCCTCCCCACCGAGAAGGGGTTGGCGCGACAACGACCTCACCTTGAACTATGCCACTTCTCGGCAGAGGACGAAGACCTTAAAATCTTGGCGAGGGCCATCAAGATATTCTTAAACCTCGCGCCTTCGACCGTTACTATGCGGGATATATTATACTCCTCCACGAGTTGGTGCCACAGTCCATTAAGCGAACTTTCAACCCGGCAATTGAGGACGAAAGCCATTCTTTTGACTGGATCCTGCACCATCCCATCTACGAGTCTTGGTCGAAAGATGACAAGCCAAGCATTTTGCATCTCAATGGCATGGAGGGTTCAGGAAAGACCAGCGTATCCAAATTCCTTGCATACAAGGTGCGTGAGAGACATGGGATGAACGACACGATTATTTCATACACTTCTTTCAACGGTACAGACGATCGCTGCAACAACCTTCATTTTCTCTTTTGCTCGACTCTCCTCCGACTCCTATTGGCCGACCCTGGCTTGTTTCGGTTTCTTGCCGACTTCGAGTCAGACATCGTTCCCCTGTATACCCCAGTTGAAAGTCGAGAGCCGGCCGTGTATCGCCACTGGCGACTATTGAGGACCATTTTGTCTTCCTGCAACGGAAAACAGTACCTATGTATCATCAACGCCTTACAGGATTGCCAATCTGATTATTCTGCTTTCATGGCGGATTTGTTGTCTCTTCTCGAGGTATCTTCCAACAATTTAAAGGTCATTATCACCAGTACCTTTGAGGACAACCAGCTTTCGATCCCACTTACCATCTCGTTGACCAAGGGAGAATCCATGAAAGAACACATGAGAACAAACGTGGCAGAGTTGGTGGCTGATCTTGTCAACGTTCGACCAGGGCTGAAGGAGTTCAAGGAAGAGATCGTATCGGGATTAGCTGACATTGTGGGGATTCGCTCGTGGCTCAGCAGACTGTGTCTCAAGTACTTGGAGATGGCCATGATGCAGACAACGCCAAGATCCGTTAGACACACGATAAAATCATTACAGCATCAGCCAGTGGAGACCACTCTGGATTACATGCTGGAAAGGCTCTCCGCAGAAAATCGCCATTGGGTCTTGGAGATGCTTGCCTGGGTTTTACACACCTTTCAGCCGCTTAGATTAGTGGAACTGTCTACTGCCATGGAGTTGACAGATGGCGCGACGGAAGGCGAACCGTCGGACGACTTCTACTCGCGCGACATTACCGCCGATATCAAGCGGACCGTGGACGGGATTTTGCACATACAGAACGATGAAGTGCTCATCAATCATCAACTTAGGAAAGCCGTGAGAAGCCATATCGAAATGGTTGACCGTTCGGGAATGCCCACTGGTGTCAACCATCTCACTATTGCGCAGTCATTTCTTGAGTATCTTGCCATCGAACGCATGGAGAGAGTGGTCGAGATTTGGAATCAACCAGCAAACCAGCCATGGTACTCATGGAAGGATGCCCTCTGTGCTTATGCCGCACGACATTGGCACACGCATCATCATCGGGCCGAGAACCTTTCCCAAGCTGCCACGCAGAGGGTATACGCGCGGCTGCACGATAGACCATGGCTGACAGCCTGGATGGCCGTTGATAAATGGTCACATAATTCTGTGCTCGAGGGGATGGACTCGACGTCCAGTGTGTCACAACTAAGTGCACATCTTGGTTTGAAGGACGTCCTAGAGCTGATGATAAATGACTCTGAGTATGAGAAGGATCCTGAAGACGCAATTATGTGTCTGAAACTAGCAGCTGAGGCAGGAAATTTGCATGTCATCCGGTTTCTTTTGTCGCTTCGCGAATATCAAGGCGGAGATATCTCTCAAGCACTATTAGGGGCGCTTGCTGGTAATCATGGGCCGGTCATCTCGGAGCTTATGCCACATTTCCGTGTGGAACATGATTGCAAAACTATGTCCGAGCTAATAGAGCAGGCCACATTTGCTCGGAAATGGGACATTGTGCGGATGATCCTGGACTCATTCGAGGGCCAGAGCTGCTCGCCACTTTACATGAAACCTGCGCTACGGGCAGCCATCATCATAGGCAGCGAGGAGATGGCGAGGACCTTCTTACATTTCGACCGAACTGCAACGAAAGAATCGCCGCCGTCTCCCAGTGAAGAAAAAGAAACGGAGCCGATTCCGTGGGACGTTTTGCACCTTGCCATCGTTCATGGCAATCCTTCTTTAATTTCGGTCCTATCGGACGATCACTGGGCGATAAACAGCCGGGACAAGGACTTACGGAGTCCGCTACACCTTGCTGTTGTCCTGGGCTATTCCGGCATCGTCGAGCAGCTGCTGGCTGTCGACGGCATTGACGTCAACGCTAAGGACAAGTATAAACAGACACCCCTACACGATGCTGCTCTCATGAGGCATAAAGAAATTGTCACGATTTTACTGGCACGCAAGGACATCAAAATTGACGAGAAGGACTTCTCCGGAAACACCCCCTTGATGGTCGCTGCGTTACGCTCACATCCGGAAATAGTGAAGCAGCTCCTGGATAATGGGGCTTCTCCCTCGAAGCGCAACAAGGGCCTCGCCTCGGTTCTACATATTGCCGTTCGTAATGGGAACCTAGAGATGGTCAAGTTACTAGCCACAGTGGAAAATCCCGAGTTAGAAGCCAGAACACGAGGGTCGATTACGCCTCTCCTCCTCAGTGCGAAACTTGGCCAGGTGGAGATATTAAAGTATTTGGCCGAACGCAATGCCAAGCTTGACATTACGGAACATAATGGGTTGACTCCCCTGCACTGGGCAGCCGCACAGGGGTTCGACGAAATGACCCGTTTCCTTTTGGACCACCATGCAGATCTCCATGCGCCCGACAGAAGCAACTTCCAACCTCTTCACCTCGCAGCTGAGGAGGGTCATCCAACAATGATCGAGATGCTACTCAATGCCGTTGTCAGTATTGAAATCAAGACCCCTCGATTCAAGACTCCATTCTTCATCGCTACGGAGAATGGGAACCAGGAGACGGTGAAGTATCTGATCGGTCGCGGGGCCAACGTGAGACAAACGGACTGGTTAAACAAGACGGCACTTGAAGTTGCCATCAGTTCAGGCTTTTCGGGTATTGCCGGGATGATACTGGATGCAACCGAGTCGCAGCCCGGCGGAGACGCGACACTAGACCGCGACCTCATCAACAGAGCCTTCCACATGGCCATTCAAACGAACCATTTGCCCCTCGTCCGCCGTCTGCTGCAAGCCAAAGCATAAATATCCAGTTTGGACCCGGATGGCGATACGGTCTTGTTTGGTGCTGTGTGTTCAAGGTCCATTGAACTCGTTCGCATATTGCTTGAAGCTGGCGCCGATGTGAATCAGCCCTGTGATGATAGGACACCGCTTCAATACTCCATTTTCTGCGCCTATCTCGAGATTGCGCACTTTCTCATAGAAAATGGAGCTGATTTACATACTTCTGTCAGAATGTCTGGCACTCCCCTATTCTGTGCGGCACGATATGGCAACCTAGATCTTGTCAAAACTCTACTGGGAAAAGGAGCAGATGCTAAGGTGCGAGGGTTCAATAACTCGGGCATTCTCTACGTGGTTGCCCTCGGCGTGACAAATGAGACCACAGCGATCATCGACTTCCTTGTTAAGGAGGGTGCCGACATCCGGGATCGTGGAGGGCTATGGGGATCCCCTTTAAACGCCGCTGTTGCAAGGCGCCATGAATATGATGGCCTCGATATCGTAAATCATCTAGTCAAGCTAGGTGTTTCGGTTGCCGACCAAGACGACCAAGGCCGCTGTGCAATCCACATCACAGCGACAAATGAAGGGACCCAGGAAAGCTTTGCCACGCTCCTAGAGAAGGACCCGGATGGTTTGACGCGTCATGATAAGCAAGGAAGGACAGTCGTACATCATGCGGCCACCTGGGGCAACATTAAAGCTTTGCGACATATAGTAGAGCTTGTCAACTTGGAAGATCGCATAAAGGAGATGTTTTCACAGCCGGATAACCACGGGTGGACGCCTCTTATGTGGGCCGGGAAACAAGAACACGATACCGTTGTCATGTTTCTTATGGATAACGGAGCCTCTAACGTATCAAGAGCGCATAATAACTGGACGGCGGACGATGTCGCCCGGTTCCATCGCCAGAAGAACGTGAACTCGCGAGTGGCGGCCGCGAGGAGACGACGCACCAGCAGACGCCGCACTGCTGCTTCTGCTAGCAGTTTTGATTCACTGAATTCGTACTACCTGTCCACTGACTCAATTCGTACCTCTGAGTCGAGCGCAGAGAGCGATATCGAGTCAGCCAGGAAGCTCCCGCTGTTTAAGGATGGCAAGCCTACTCGTGGGGGCACTCGCACGGCTTGGGCCTGTGATGGGTGTATAACCGTAAGTTGTCCATTTTCAAGTTTGGGCGTTTTATGGGGCTGACCAGTTGCCAGAGTGTATATGGCTCAGTGTCCAAGTGTCAGCAGTGTGAAAACTTCGACTTCTGCTTCAAATGTGCCTGAACTCAGGACATTACTCATCCTGGTCACACGTTTGTTATTCTTAATGAGCATGAGACGGTGGGTGAGATGCCGCCAGGTCCATCGACTCGAGCTGTGGTGGAATCTGAACAATCAGAACCTGATCCGGTGGAAACCGGGGTAGCCCAAGTGGTTGATGGCTGATGGCTTATCTGTATACTGGGGATATTTTCTACTAATTTATGGTGAAACTCGGAATGGGATTTCTTCCATACCTGCTATACCAGGTTTCTCATTTCGTAACCAATTGAAATGGACAACAGGGCGTTACACTTCATCTCATGTTTATGGCTGCCAGTTTTTGCGTCACATTTAAGCCTGTTTTCGCGAATATTTATATATATTGACTCCTCTTCCCAACTTCTGTGAAAACTACCCTTCAAGCCTTCACCTGAACGTCATTGCGCATATTAGTGCTCAGAATAACGTCCAACTGCTCCAGTTTGACACTCTGGAGCTCACTGACCGTGATCACCTCATCATCCACCCAAGCCGAGTTGCGAGGCTGCCTGGCAGGCTCCGGGTCAAAGTTCTCTGGGTCATCCTCCTCATCCTTGGAGAACAAGCTCCGGATCTTCTTGGATAGAGATAGACATATACTGACATCAACGTCAATAGTGACGACCGCCGTGAATTCATCCATGTCATTTCGTTTCAGCAGGACCAGGGCACGAAGAAAAGTTGGGATCCCCGCCTTCTTTTGCGGGTTTTCTGACAACACCCACCTCATGGCATTCTTCCTCCTCCCTTGCGGCCCTCGAAGCGGATGCTGCCCTCCAGTGTTGTGTGAGCTTCTTGGTTCTCGGCCATGAAGCGCTCCCATCCCAATCCGCCGGAAATATTTGCTGAACCTGTCCCGACAGTAACGGATGTGTTGGCGCTTTGCTTGACTTCCACGTGCCTAGTTGTTGGTCGCATGGAGAAGTGGCCCTTGGGTGAGATATCCATCACATCGGGGCCACCTTTGAAGTTTTGGAACTCGTCGCCGAATTTGACGTCAATTGTTGGTTTTTCAAAGCGGGTGGGCGGTCCACAAGGCAAGAACTTATGGACGGCATGTTAGTCCCAGAACCTGACATAGATCACTTTCATCTAGGGCATAAGTTAAGCCACAGAAAGCTGAGGCCTATTGTCACCAGTGGCTGAGCCATTTGATAGCCCGTTTAGCTTGTAGTTTCCCCAGCCCATCAGAGTATTTACAATAACTGAGAATCTAGATACACGATACAATAAATGGGTAGAGTCCTTAACAGAATATAACTTTAAGATTATCTATTACAAAGGTAGCGAAAACAGAAGAGTAGATGCTCTTAGCCGAAGACCAAACGAACAAGCAATACCTACAAATACGTAGGCTATTTGATGCGTGTGCATATGGGGTGTGAATTGTTGTATTGGAAAAGGATGGCCAGGTCAGCTATTCTGGCCTGGCAGAGCTCTTTTATAGCTCTTATCTATCTTATCTCTAGCTATAGGGCAACCCCCCATGGGGTCACGTATCACTATTCTAGTAATTACTAACGAAGGGGATTTTCAACCTTTACTATAGCTTAACGCTAATCCTCCTAATCCGTCGCCGAATAGCTAGCTACATGGCCACTCAGAGCCATCGACTTCCAGACCTCTCACTGTCCCATAAATCGAGCCTACTCAGGCGCAAACATGATGAGACAGGAAGGCGTTAGTCACCTCAAAATCCGTAAAGCATTAAGATGCGTCTGTGTTTCATTTCCTTTCCCGATTTCTATACCCCCATAAAACTTGCCAAATCAAGCCGATAAGTGGGATGCCAACGAGGAGGGTGCAAACCACTACCCACAATAGTACCACGACAACGGAGAACATCCAAAACGCCCGTTGCATATCTCGTTTTCCAGATTCGCTGAGTCCTTGAGGCCATAGCTCATCTCCTGGCACAGAGAGAGCAACTTGCATCGACGAAAGAGCGAGGGAAACACTGGCAAACACGAACAGCAAAGGCAGGGTCGCTCTCGCCACGAAATCGGTGTGAGACCACTGAGGAATTTCGTAGAACCAGATCGTGCTGGTGTGCTGGGGACGAAATATTCGGACGGCCCAGTCCAGTCGCGAGAGACGTAGCTGTCCGTAGTGGTATCGCTTTGCAACACTCTCGTCTCCGAGGTCGCGAAAGTGGCGGATGAAACTTGACCACAGGAGCCAGTCGACATCCTCAGGGATCAGATAAGACTCCTTCGCCAACATGAAGTCGAGGCGATGCGGTACGAGCAGCGCATATGACCGCAAAAACCCTAGTGCAACCGAGCGGTCGAAGGCTGAAGTAGAAGCTTGGGAATGTCCTTGGGAATGTCCTTGGGAATACGGCGCAGAAGTTTCCCCCATCCTAGGATGTAGATACATAGTCCAAAAATCATGGTTGAGGAGGAAAACTGGAATGGGCTTTATGTAGATTTTGCCGCCGCCCCAGACGAGATGAAGTCTAGGGTCTTCCGCAGGGACAATGCTTCGGCCCTTGACTCTTTGCCTATGGAGCGCGTCAATGTTTTGGCCGGATTTCCTGGCAACTAGCCAAAGATGATCGTAAAGTTCGTCCAGGAGTGGAGTTTCCAGTTGATTGGACAAATAGTCGCGGACCTCGTTGAGTAGAAGATTAACTGCGGGATCTCCAGGTATATGTGCTATATAATGTGCATCGTTCTCATGTAGATGTGTAGGGGTTGGTATGCTGATATCAGAAGGCTTCAAAAGTTCTTTGTTCGGAGCACATGACTGCGGGAACGGAGCCTGAGAGCCTGTAGAAATAGCCATCGTGTGTCAGGCACGACAGCGAAGTTGGCGAACGTAAGGGTGTGAACAGCAGGTGCCTTGTATTTCGAGCCCATTGGTGTTCGACAAGGCACGAAGCGGCAACACCTCGGACGGAGCCGGGTATGTGGCTGCCTTAGGCTACAACAGGTCAGCTGCAGCCGGTACAGCCTCGACATCGAGAACAATGAGTGACAGTACTACACTTTGCTTTAATGTACTGCAACTGCATCGCACGATTATCGACAAACTGTTTCTGTACATTTTATGCGTATCTGCTCCTCTGTTCCCACCTGGTCCTTTACAACAATTGACCGGACCGACCCCTCTAGTGAAGTGGGGCTGACGGATCTAAAGAAACAACTGCGATTTTCTCCATCCTCTTCCTCTCAATGGCATTATTCTATGACATGATCACGTACCTTTTCGTCTCTCTTCTTGTGATCGCGTTCCTTTATGACCAGCTCACGAAGAAGATTCCGACCCGGGTCGACCCCCGTCAAGCCCCAAAATCGAGATTTGGGCTCGTCCCGGCAGGGCCGCATAGTTCACCTGTCCGTGCCGGAGGGATAGAGTAGGCGTGATTCCTCGCTAGTTAATTGGAACATTTCTGACACGCCTAGTATCGTTTTCGTCCATGGCCTTGGATCTAACCCCGACACGACGTGGCGAGCGAGGTCTGATGCACCCGAAGAAGCCCTGCCGGATAGTGAGCGGTATGTGACCTGGGTTAGCGACTTCCTTCCCACCGATTTGCATACAGCGACCCGAGATATCCGCATGTTCTTCTATAACTATGATTCATACTGGAAGAGGGATGCAATACACACGCGGCTCTCGCATCTTGCCCATGTTCTCCTTGAGCACGTCAAGCAGATCCGGGAGTCCGAGCAGGTGAGTAATGACAATGTATACGACTTTGGATTGCTGCTGACGGCCCGGCCTCCAGGAGCGAAGCCGGGACCTGATTTTCGTGGGATACAGTTATGGGGGTCTAGTGATCAAGCAGGTAAGTGGGCAAATGCTCTTCTCTAGTCGCGAAATCTGACCATGGTAGGCCCTTGTTCAAAGCTATGCACGTCGGGGCCCAAGCCACGTTACCGAACATATCAAAGCGATCCTCTTCTTAGGTACGCCGCATCGTGGGTCTAGCTTCAGTGTATGGGGACGGCTGGCGGCGCAAGCTCTCCAGCCGCGCGGTTCCAACCCTTCAATCCTAGCCGAAATAGAGTACGATTCGACTTTATTGCTAGACTTGCACAGGACATTTGTCGGTATCGTTCGACATGATTTATGGGTGTTCAACTTTTTTGAGCAACGATCGACGCAACTTCTTCGACTATGGTTCATCCAATGGCAACAATTCGTAAGTAGGTTACTAAGCTGAAGAAAGCATTCTAACAGGAGATCTAGTGTGTTCGTGAGTCATCTGCAACGTATGATGGACCACATGTTGAAAACATCGGCCTGTCCGTGGACCACTCTGGGCTTAACAAGTTTGGTTCGAGAAACGAAAGCTATAAGATGATCCTATCGAAGCTTCGCAACATCACGGCATCTTCAGCTCGGTCGGTAAAGCACCACTACGCCGTCCCGCTCGAGACCGTATCAACGTTTACCCAGCGAGACGAGTTATGGAAACAACTTGAGGAAAAGCTGCAGATACGACATGAGAAAGCAAGTGTTCCGTATGGGGTTACCATTCACGGACTAGGTGGTGCTGGTAAATCCCAGCTGGCGCTAAAGTACGCGGAACATTATCGAGATCGTTATAACCCAATTTTGTGGATTGATGCGACAGATGAGGAGGCGGTCCGATCGAGCTTCAAAAGATGTGCTGCAGAGCTGGGTCTCCCAGAAGAGCAGAATAAGAGGCAAGGCTCTGCTCTCGCTGATGCGGAGGCTGTCCAGGCGGTGCTCCGATGGCTCCGCGACAGAATGGAGCCGGATGATGAATGGCTGTGTATCGTTGATAATGCCGATGACCTCCGCTGGGGAATTCAGAAGATAATGCCAAAAGGGGGAAGAGGAAAAATTATTATTACTAGTCAGAACACCTTGAGCCAAAAGCTAGTTTCCGGGGGGTGCGAGCAGCTTAAAGTCGATATCATGTCGCCGCTAGAAGGAAGGAGACTTCTTCTCCAACATCTCGAGCTGGATGTAGTCTCAGCACCCGGAGAAATCCAAAACAGCTGCGATAAGATGGCGCAAAAGCTTGGATACCTAGCACTTGCTATTGACCTTGCAGGCGCCTATATTGGCAACGACCCTGATCGTGAGGGTGCTCTGACGCAGTATCTAGCAGACTACGACACGCATTGCGACGAGCTCTTGCAAATGGATAGTTTTCGGGGACTTTTGCCAACGGAGAAGACAGTGTGGACGGTATGGGACACGACACTCCAAAGAATTACGAGAGAGAAGCCAATAGTACAGCCTAATTTGCTTTTAACGTTTCTTGCACACTTCAAGGGCACTATTATTCAGGATGAGATGTTTCGACTAGCAGCTCTTGGCTGCGCTTTCGTCGATGATGAGCTCGTCGAAGGAATACCTACAGAGCTTCGAAAACTTTTCTTATCTAAAAGCGGTGAATGGGACAGTTTTCCATACCGGCAGAGCCGCGACGTACTACTCCGCTATAGCCTGCTGCAGCTTGTGGACGGTGAATGGCGTGGCGTCATCATGCACAGGCTGGTTCAGTGGCGGGCACTACAAAGCGAACAAAGTCGAGGATGGGGTTGGTGGTATATAGTGTTTATACTAGCAGCGTGCCAACAACTTAGCGAGGACGAACGCCAGCCCGAGTTCCGTCGACATTTGATAGTGCATCTCCCACATATTTCCGAAATTCGCGGTAATGATGGTGTAGATTCGGAGAGGCAACATGATTTTATACGGAGCACGTTGAGTAGGGTTTTTTATAGTGAAGGCCGGTGGGAGGAGGCCGAGGAGCTGGAGGTGCAGGTGATGGAGACGAGCAAGACGAAGCTCGGGGCGGACCATCCCGATACACTTACGAGCATGGCCAACCTAGCGTCGACGTACAGGAACCAGGGCCGGTGGGAGCAGGCCGAGGAGCTGTTTTTGCAGGTGATGGAGACTCGCAAGACGAAGCTCGGGGCGGACCATCCCGATACACTTACGAGCATGGCCAACCTAGCGTCGACGTACAGGAACCAGGGCCGGTGGGAGGAGGCCGAGGAGCTGGACGTGCAGGTGATGGAGACGAGCAAGACGAAGCTCGGGGCGGACCATCCCTCTACACTTACGAGCATGGCCAACCTAGCGTCGACGTACAGGAACCAGGGCCGGTGGGAGGAGGCCGAGGAGCTGGAGGTGCAGGTGATGGAGACTCGCAAGACGAAGCTCGGGGCGGACCATCCCTCTACACTTACGAGCATGGCCAACCTAGCGTCGACGTACAGGAACCAGGGCCGGTGGGAGGAGGCCGAGGAGCTGGACGTGCAGGTGATGGAGACGAGCAAGACGAAGCTCGGGGCGGACCATCCCTCTACACTTACGAGCATGGCCAACCTAGCGTCGACGTACAGGAACCAGGGCCGGTGGGAGGAGGCCGAGGAGCTGGAGGTGCAGGTGATGGAGACTCGCAAGACGAAGCTCGGGGCGGACCATCCCGATACACTTACGAGCATGGCCAACCTAGCGTCGACGTACAGGAACCAGGGCCGGTGGGAGGAGGCCGAGGAGCTGTTTTTGCAGGTAATGGAGACGAGCAAGACGAAGCTCGGGGCGGACCATCCCGATACACTTACGAGCATGGCCAACCTAGCGTCGACGTACAGGAACCAGGGCCGGTGGGAGCAGGCCGAGGAGCTGTTTTTGCAGGTGATGGAGACGAGCAAGACGAAGCTCGGGGCGGACCATCCCTCTACACTTACGAGCATGGCCAACCTAGCGTCGACGTACAGGAACCAGGGCCGGTGGGAGGAGGCCGAGGAGCTGGAGGTGCAGGTGATGGAGACGAGCAAGACGAAGCTCGGGGCGGACCATCCCTCTACACTTACGAGCATGGCCAACCTAGCGTCGACGTTTTGGAACCAGGGCCGGTGGGAGGAGGCCGAGGAGCTGGAGGTGCAGGTGATGGAGACGAGCAAGACGAAGCTCGGGGCGGACCATCCCTCTACACTTACGAGCATGGCCAACCTAGCGTCGACGTTTTGGAACCAGGGCCGGTGGGAGGAGGCCGAGGAGCTGGAGGTGCAGGTGATGGAGACGAGCAAGACGAAGCTCGGGGCGGACCATCCCTCTACACTTACGAGCATGGCCAACCTAGCGTCGACGTACAGGAACCAGGGCCGGTGGGAGGAGGCCGAGGAGCTGTTTTTGCAGGTGATGGAGACGAGCAAGACGAAGCTCGGGGCGGACCATCCCGATACACTTACGATCATGGCCAACCTCGCTTTAACTTGGAAAGTTCAAGGTCGACAGGCAGATGCTTTAGTGTTAATGCAGGGCTGTGCGCAGGCTCAGCAACGAGTCCTAGGGCCAGAGCATCCAAATACTTTGTCGACTCAAGCCATCATAGAAGATTGGAGCATCTAGAATGCATGTCCTTTTGCTCTGTAATTATGAGCTGTTGGACTTTCTTTACTTGTGTTTTGGTTAACCCGTTATCACTCAACTTGTTGGTCTTGAATTTTCCTTATAGCCTACATTTATCGTGCATTTTCTCGGGCGTTGAGATTCAACACCGGCTCGGTTTAGATGGTGACCACATCACCTTAATCAGACCATATATTTATTACACGCCACTGGCACATTCATACTCTGTGAGTCGGCACAGTCTCTCCTTAGTGCAGTAGCTATTTGAAGGGCTAAGTCCCCTGATATCTAGAGTGTCTATGTGCTGGTGTTTTTATTAGCTGCTAGCATGATATGCTTGGACCACGTACCATGATGATACGTAAACACATTAATCATCTTAGGGGTAGCGGTGCCTAGGTACCCTTGAGATAGTATCTCGTCCAGGCTTCTTGGTGATCCTGGACTGCAGACTTGCTGCAGCCAAAATGGTGGTAGATAATGACAGTACTTCTAATTACATTATGCCTTTTATTTGCACGGTGTTGGTGCCAAAATGACTGATATGGTCTATGCTTGCAATTGTTTTGGGGTGACAAGACGAAAGCAGTTTGTAAGTGACTATTACATACAGTAACACTGTATTTCTTTCATGGCCAAACCGTGACTAGGTCGAATAGTTTGAATAACAAAGATGCGGCGTGCCAGCGCCGAAATGTCTTAAGTAGTCCGTGCTCTCAGTTTTGGAAATGCGGAGAGTGGAGTGACACCGATTTTGCAAGCGACTATAGTATATTTCGAGTTTCCGTACCCACACTGTATTCCGAGACAGCAGTTTTGGACCTCTCAATTCCAGCCTAATGCTGGGCGGATGGAAACCTTCACACAACTAATACATAGTAAACCTGAGATGCATACATTCCCCGTTATATCATCATTTGGGCCAGAGAAGGAGGTCAACCGGCCCAACGGCTTGGAAAAGTTGGAAAAGGAGGAAATAACGGTAAGTGGTGATGACGCTCACAATAAGTAAAATCCTTTCGTTTGTGAGCTGAGGCGCTCTGCTAAGGTCTACGATGCACAATAAAAAAGTCCGTAACTGAAGACTAAGAAATCCTCTACAGATTGATATATTATACGTCTTAATTGCTTACATAGCGGCTGCTTTCTTTTACACACAAATTAACTGATTTGTATGCGGTGCCCCATAAGGTAGTGGAGGCTAGTAGCGGTGTGTTCATTGATGGAAGTGAGGTGAAGCAAGGTAAGCTTGCCGGATTCGAATCGATATGGACATCTAGTTCGTGATAATGACCCACTACAGCCTCCGACTTACCTCAAATATGGGTACGCGATGCATGCTGACGTCGTAGTGGTGACGGTTGGTCCCAGTTGCCACGAGTTGTATACTACGTCAACCCGGTTTTGATGGCAGTGGCTAAGCCGCGCGACTGAACTATAGAAGTTATGACCTGTCATTATAGGGCCCGTAACCTCTGGAAAGAAATGGGTCGTGGAATTGAATTGACATCATTATACCTGACCATTTTACCAAACAAAACAAGACGGCATATGTTTTTAACGAATGCATCTCGATGCGGGTTTTCATTTACCCTGAATCATATATCCAACCCGTCATGGTCACATACATGGCTACATATCGTGACCCTCGGCTCCGGATTGCAAATCTCTAGGCTACGCTCCGTACCCCGCACGTCCCCAAACACGTAAATATAGCCCACTCAACTGAATTCCCGACCCTCCCGTCAAAACAACCGGCAGTTCCACAATTGGCCCTCGTGTCACTGAAGGTGTGGTTAGTAATACGTGAGTAATGATGCGAAGTGTGTAAAGGATCCACGCGTGCAGCGCGGGATTCCATGATGATCCCGCTGCAGAGATACGTGCGGGTGGATAAGGCAGTGGGTAATGGTGAAGTGGGTTGGATCAATTTACCCTGGCGGTTTATGTGAGCTGACAGGCAGTGCATTCGCGTTCTCGCTATTTGTTGAGGGTCAGGAGAGGCCAGGATGGCATTGGTAGATACCGAACCCCCGACGAATGGTCGGTTCGTGGATAGGGTTTGGGGTGAGGCGTGCACATATGGATAATAAGGTGGCTGTCTAGGCCTGGGCGTCTGGACCCCTTAGGAAGATAAAGGTAAGCAACATAAGGATTGGCCTGTTGCATTCAAGAGGCGGGTATATGCCGAAGATACATGGAATAAAGTCTTCCCTCCGAGGTAAAAATCCTAGTCACCAGGTGACTGAGCTCTCCAACAGTACTCAAATTCCTGGTGCTTCTTTCTCGGGTTCTGCTGCGACTGTACTTCGACTTCAACGTCAGTTTCCTCGCAACATATACGCCTCGAAAGTCCAAGCATCACTACATCACTATGAAGGAACCTCGGAACGAATCTACGACGTCCCCCGTCTCCATCGCCCTCTCCTCCATCCTCCCTTTCCTAACCTCGCACCCCTTCCTCCTCCTCTTCTGTGCCCTCACTCTCCGCATCCTCACCAAACGCTACCTCTCCCCGCTCCGCTCCATCCCGGGCCCCTTCGTGGCCTCCTTCACCCGCCTCTGGAAAGTCTACTCCACAGCCCGGGGCCGTACAAATCTCGAGCACATCGCCCTACACCGTAAATACGGCCCCCTCGTGCGCATCGCCCCCAACGAGGTTTCTTTGTCATCTCCACACGCCGCGCGGCTCCTCCTCAGCGCCGGCAAAAGATTCTACAAGACAGACTTTTATGGCGTGTTCCCGCCGCCCGAAAATCCGGATATATTCACCGAGACGCGTGAGGATGTGCACGCTATGAAGAAGAAGGTGGCTAATGTGCCGTATAGCATGGCGGCTATGCGGCAGTTGAACGGGTTTATTGATGATACGATTGACGTCCTAGCCAGCAGATTGGATGAGTATGCTGCACCGGAGGGGGAGGATCTACAACGTGAGAAAGCACAAATAGGGGCAGAAAACGTAAAGAAACACCAAGTAGACCTGGGAGCTTGGCTGCACTACTTCGCCTTCGACGTCCTGGGGGAAGTGGCGTTTGGCCGCTCGTTCGGATTCCTGGCTGCGGGGGTTGATGTTGAGGGAGCGATCAAAACCATCGACGATTCGCAGTGGTACAACGGCCTCGTGGGTCAGATTCCCGAGCTGGACCACGTTTTACGTCGCAACCCGCTATGGAAGTTTATCCCTGCCCTAGACCCGGGAAATGCCCTAGTGACTCGGATTGCGCGCGAGGAAATGGCGAAACGAAGGCCGTTTGCCGCCGAAAAAGAGGGCAAGGGAGTAAGTGGCGATGGCAGGGAGGATCTGTTGGCTAGTTTGATAAAGGGGCATTTGAAGGATCCAAGTCGGTTTGGAGAGGGGGATGTATTTGCCGTTGCGCATGGGGCTATGTGAGTTCGTTTCCTATATACTTCACTCTTGGCCTGCAGTTTAGGGTCAAAGGGGAAAACTGACAAAAGAAAACACAAACAGCTTCGCAGGCTCCGACTCCACCGCCTCAACCATGCAATCCTTCTTCTGGCACATCCTATCCTCCCCACGCATCCACGCCACGCTAACGTCGGAAATTGACCTGGCCGTGCGCAAGGGCAGCATCCCGTCCACAGGCAACATTGAATGGAATGCCTCCCAGACCCTCTCCTACTTCCAAGCCTGCCTAAAAGAAGCCATGCGTGTGCGGCCCGCGGTAGGCGTAAATATCACGCGTTACGTCCCACCCGAGGGTGCCGAGCTTGACGGGCATTTCTTCCGCGGCGGGACTAGGATCGCGGTGAATGGGTGGGTGTTGCATAGAGACAAAGGGGTATTTGGGCAGGATGCGGATGTGTATCGGCCTGAAAGGTGGTTGGAGGATGTGGAGAAGACGAGGATTATGGAAAGATTTATGTTTCAGGTGAGTTTCCGCTTGTGTTTTGGGAGTATAGGTTTTGGGGGTAGCTTGCTAACAGGGATACAGTTTGGTGGAGGGAGCCACGTCTGCATTGGCCGGAATCTCGCACTGTTGGAGATCAACAAGGTCATTCCGAGACTACTTCGTGACTTCAAGTTCGAGCTTGTTCATCCTAACCGGGAGCTCAAGGCCAAGGCGACGTTCTTCGTTGTCCAGGAGGGACTGGAGGTCTACATCGAGAGAAAGAATGTGGCGAACGCCTGACCAACGCGGGACGGGTAGTAGTTACTGCGTGGTGTGTTGAAACATGTTACTGTCAAGCCATTCATAATCGCTTTCTGAAATGCACCGAAGTTATAGAGCTCTGCTTTTTGAATATGGGGCGATATTTACTTCAACTAGCAGTTCATAATTGAGTGTATACAAACAACCAAACAAATAATTATTTTATTTAATTACTGCCGCCATAGCGGTCTTTTAAGAATGTCCAAGACACTGCTTTAGTTTGACAGGGAGCATTCCGGCCTGCCTATCCAGTAGCTTTCCCCTCGGTATGGGCCTAGATGCTAAGTAAGCATACTATTATATTTCAGATTCGTGAGATATTACAGATAAAATCAATCCATCTGTCACACCGACTCATCAACAAACCTACGCACCAACCCCAACCAAATATAATGATCCCCAGAACGTCCGGATCCCCAACCCACCGCAGCACACTGACAAAACAACTGTTATCCCATCCCAGAGATTTATATGAAGGCCAAAAAAGGATGTTTCTTTTTCTTATTCTATGATGATTACTTCTGGTTTTGGGGCGGGGTTTTGTAGCCCTGTACTTGACCGTACCTTCCCACCTAGTCCTTTCAACATAATGACCGCCCTCGGTCATTTTACCAAGAACCTTGTAGTAAATCTCATCCTCACGCTTCCGATCTCTTCACCTCTAGATATCTCATCCTGACAGCTTATCTTCCGAGTCTTTCATCCACAACGTACACAGCAGGTGACTCCACCTCCCTGATGCCGGGCTCACAATTACCACGGCCCTAGGCTATCCATAGCCTACGAGAGTTCCCGCCTAGTCTCCAAAGTGCTTCTTCAATGTGACTGTCGACATGACGTATTCTGAGTGAGGTGGAGAAGGGCTGAGGTATTTGCCTCTAGGTATTGGCCTGACGTGACGGTGGTATAGAGCGCCGGCATGAGGGATCTGAGGTCGACAGCAACGACCCTCCGCTGTAGAATCATGCTGTAAATAACGATAGTGAGGTCCTAAATTGATAAAACGAGTGGGTTGAATAAGTGACAACGCCTTAGAAGGCTAATGATATTTCGCCTCATACTGAGCACCAGATTTATATGAAGGCCAAAAAAGGATGTTTTTTTTCTTTCTCTATAATGGTTACTTCTGGTTTTGGGGCGGGGTTTTGTAGCCCTGTACTTGGCCGTACCTTCCCACCTCCCAGGATCATAAATCGATCCATCCGCAGCCTTAATGCTCATTCCTACTCCAATAGGCCAGACATTCGACGAAGACGGTATGAGCCCCGATATATTAGCCAGCGTTCCATATGACGGGAACCCGAAAACCTGTCCTTTCAGTTTTGTCCTCGAGATGGAATAGTTGTATTCAATCGACGTGAAAAATTCTTAATTGTAGGCATTTATACTCGTATTAGCTGGGAGCATCCTGTTTCCGACTAACACTCGATGATTATGATATCGTGGCGTTAACAGTGATGCTATTTTTGACGATAAAATTGGTTCCATTGGGGAGTTTGTAGATGATGCGGGGAAGGGGGCTGGCGGGGTCGAAGTAGAAGTGGTCTATATTGAAGAGCGAATATGGTGGACCAACGTAGGGGGTGCTTTGCTATTCTTCGTTGGCTTCGGAAGTAGAAGTGACTTCGATGTATCCCCCCGAAAACGGGCCGTTTGTGAGGTATGGCACCGTCAGGGGGTGAGATGGTGAATAGAACCACTCGGAAGAGCCTGGGGATAGTTGGGGTAGTAAAATAGGCGGTGCCGTAGAGGGGAGTTTGACTGGTTCCAAGTAATACTGGAGATAGTCCGAATAGGGGGCGCCTTGGTGAGATGGAGTACGTCTTGGGGGAATCAGAGTCATTCTAGATGGTTATATTCACAAGCCCATAGACGTCATGCGTAGTATCCGAGACAAGCAGTTGTCCAGGCGAGACTCCTGTTTGTGAAACAATGGCATCATATGCATTAACTAGTCGTGCCTCTTTCTGGAAGGTGGCGGAACGCATGGTCTTGTCCCACATCTATGGAATGGGCTTCGATTTGGTTTGGAGGAGTGCTATGATTTCGGCAACTGAAATCCCAGGAACCTGGGATTTACCTAATGCGTAGCATCCCGTAACGTACGGCGAAGCCATGGACGTGTCCGAGAGTATGGTGCACCCACCCAAGGATCCCAGAAGCCACGTTGGCAGCTTATATCCTCCAGGTGCAGTGATTTGTGGCTTCAAGGTGTAATTAGTCTGACCGGTCCATAGGCGGAATAGTAGTCGGTCAAACAACCCACGAATTGCGGCGAGCTTGAATAAGTGCTATCATCTAAAAACAGCTTATATGCTCTGTATCCACCATCCATCTCGTAGTTTTCAAAAGTGGCCACCGCATCGGAGTAGGTATCGATTATATAAACCAGCGACTTTGCACTAGTGCAACTCGAAACAGCACCCGTAGTTGTCAGAAACCCGACACTCGGAACCTAATAACTGTCTTATTTCGCTTCCCTTCATGGCTAAGAAACGCAACTGTGCATTCTTACAGCCCCTGGGAACAGCCAGCGTCGAGCATATATAAACCCGCGCCCTCGGCAGCCCAACAGGCCACAGCGACGCATACGAAACCGTACTCACGCTCGAGTCCGTCACCATTCAGCAAGCAGGACCCCAATATTAGCCGCCTCAGTAACGGCAATAGCCCCTGGGCTCTCGCTCACCTGCGTGGTAGAGTATAGATCGCCAGCATATTTGTTGTCGCTGCCGGGATTTCTCACCGCCATGTCCACCAGTATAACAAGTAGCCAGTGGATCCGGACTCTTAACCTGGCTCCCATTGTCTGCTTTGCACGAGTAGCCGCTGACAATTTTATAACCGGGCCGAAGCTTCCGCCTAACTCTTGGTGACGGTAGTCAACACCCGTGTTCACGATGCCGATTTTGATACCCTTCCCCTTATACTGAGTGAGTGTAGCTTGTAGAATCCACCCATTTTAGGGCAGAGTTAAGATTGCCGTCGGGTTTCGGGACGACGGCATGCAGCTGCTGTGATGATTTATCGAAGGATGGGGATGGGTCTCTTATCATGGAGAAATTTCCCAGGTTGGGGTTTGGGTCGGTAATTTTGTAGATGGGAGACATGGCGCTGACGCCAGGGAGGATTTTGAGCTGGAAATGGAGGTCTATGGAGCTTGAGCCACTGTGGAATCGGATGGAGAAGCCGATATGAGTTCCAGTTGAGTTGAATGTGTGCCGGACAATGTAGTTGAGGGACGCTTCGAAGGCCAGCTTGTGGAAGTTGTCATAATGGTGTAGAGTGGATCGCCGCCAGCGATGGAATCAGAGCCTGTCGACAATTTGATGATGGAAGCTCTGCCTAATATCTATGAAGCTGCTGCACCGCATAGCCCCAACTCCATGGCAACAGCGAGTGCGAATGACTGATGCATATTGTACACAGAATGGAAGTGTATCGGCTCTAAGAAGCGCAATTCTGCCATTTAGAAGCTTTTGAGTAGAGAACACTTAAGCAATTAATATTCATTCCATGTAAGCAACCCGTCAACTCACGCGGATGATGTACGCTATACAAACAGCCTAATGTCACCCAATCTAAAAGCTTTAGATGTAAACATTGGGCGTCAGGGCCAAAAATAGCGAAAATGGCACCATGCGGAAGGAAGACTGTTGAAACTATCGATTTTCATATTGGGAAGATCGAATCAACCCAGGTCTACTGAGAGCAGTTTCCCTATCAGAAAGGTGTCGGGTGTCCCGACAGGGTGGCTCGGCCTATAGGGGCAAGGCTAACTGCATCCAAATTTGCAGTTTTAGGGATGTCAATCCTGTCTACGGATTCGGATGTCGCTACAAGATTATGTTAGTCAGTGACCAATTGGTTTCTAATAGCGACATAGTGTACCATCTGATTCCTGGAGTTATATCGTGACTTCCATGTCGTAAACAAGGGGCAGTGGTCCGACGGGATTTGATATATTCAACCTGCCATCCCACCCTTGGCTTGGTAAGCCAAGCGAGACCTCCGTTCTCTTCAATCCAATGTCTGGGGCGGAGGTTGAGTTAGTGACAGGACTCCGCCCTGACCGGCCATGGAACAGGGGGAAAGTATCAGCGCGAAACCGGGAAATGCCTCGTCTCAAAAATAAGAGCTCGCGTTATATATTTGACAAACCAGTAAGTCATGTGTGTCGAACTTGTTTGCAACTAATTGCCAGACCCTACGGTGGGTATGAACCTTAGGGTTGATTTAGGGTGAGTTCATCAGTTGCTCGTAGCAGGTGCACATAAATATCTACTCACCGGAGCAGAGCATCACGATCGCCAGCGACGCGCTATCGCTGAGGAACCGGAGGGCCCTTCGATGCAGATACCGAAAGGGGGCAAGTATTTCGGCCTGAACCGACTGGAGGCGTCTACGCTGTGCCAGATCAGGACGGAAAAAATAGGACTAGCAGCCTTCTTATTCAAGACAGGGGCTTTTGGCGTGTACTCGCCGCTATGCCGCTGTGGCGACACCCCTGAGACGGCAGAGCACGTAATCCTCTTTTGCGGGCTGTTGGAAGGACCGAGGGAACGATTACGGGCCGCCATCGCACCACGGCCACTATACTCTCGCAGAGACCTCGCAACGGCAACAGGAGAACCAGTAGTTAGTGGGACTATTGTAAGATGGCTGCTAGGGACGGGTCGGACAGCTTCAAGGCCCAGATAGCATCGATCTTCTCAGGGGGGACTTTGTTGGTAGGTTGAGAACCAACGTAGTATGGTAGTGAACGCAACGCAGTCGCCAATAGGGCGAACCGACGACGCAGCGTATGTATTTAGTCCAGCCATTAGGGCACGGTTTGACATACGGGAGTACTAGTAGAGGTACCGGGGGCTTTGAGCCTACGGCGTATTTAATAATAATAATAATAATAAATATCTACCTGCATATCTCATGCGTAGATAAGATATATTAGATAAAGAGACCTAGTTAAGGCTCTTAGCGGAAGCTTCCCCCTAGCCTTGGTGTCTTAATATGTGCAATTGCACCCTATATTAACCAATGTAGCTATACGCACGATACAGGGTTTGGCCTGGTGTGACGCTACTGAACTTGATTCACCTGCGGTATCTCCCGTCTCAATAGATAACCTCGCGGTATCTTATCTGCAATAGTTTTGATAATTCTATGTAGTTGCGATTCCGTGGATACTCCATACGCCATCCTTACTGCTCAGCTATACTATCCATCTATCCAAGACAAGAGAACCAGTGAACGTGCAATGTCATCCCACCGAGCATAGTATTGGTAGTATGCTTTAGTTTATATCAAAGTTGTGTTGCCCGGTGTTGTACCTGCTCTTGATGGCCACCTCCATTAACTCGACAAAGCGCGCCTCGTCGAGGGCAACGTTCTCGGTCTGCCAGTCCGCCCTCCTACTTGGACCCTTACCATCACCCCGACCATCAGTGGGCACAATGGAGCCATGCGTGCTGAAGTAGTCGTTCCCCAAAGCGCCAGCCAAGTTCCGAAATCCCTTGTGCATGAATCCCTTGGGCAGGATCTCGACGACAGCGGAGGGCTCGCGCAGCCAGAGTGCGTGCGTCAGGCCTGCGCCGTGCACGCCCGCCAGCACGTCTGAGTCGCGCACCATCTGGACCTGCTGTGCGAACGGGATAGCGGCCATGTCGACGATGTTGAGCTCGAGGCGGACGGGCGCGTTGATGTATCGCTTCTCCAGCGCCGCCATGAGGTTGTCCTGGTCCACCAGCTTGCGGGAGCCCTTACGGTCGATGAAAGTCACGACAATCTTGTCTCCGTCTTTGTTATCGGCGTCGGCCTCGTCAGAAATGCCGACATGACGCTGCACGCGCTTCGAGAATGTGCGCAGTAGCTGCGAGTGTGCGCAGTTGTTGGGTTCCCAATCGTCCTGCCAGACGGGGTTGCTGGCGCCCGGCAGGGGGATGATGAGGGTGCCCATGTCTGCGCCGGCGGGAACTTCGGCAAGCCGGACGGTGGGCCGCTGCGCGAAGAGGCGCCACAGGTCGAAGTATGGGCCTTCTTTACTATGTTCATCTTCGAGCAAGACAACTTGGGTGTTGGCTGCGTCTTCTGGGCTGAGTATGGCGTCGGCCGAATGTTGCTTCCGTGTTATCTGCAGCACGTCAAGTGTTATGCTGAGGGCCATAATCTCCATTAAACTATGCCAGAGGTTGTCTGGTCCCTCGCGCTTAAGAAGTATTGAGAATCCGCTCGAGTTCTTCGCAGTTAAGGTCGACGGGGCAAGCTCTTTATTCTCGAGGCGGATAAATCGGTCGAAGATGATTCGGGGCCCGGTTTCGTACCAGTATGGCTGAAAGTTATCTAGTTTGCGGGAAGTCTCGTTTGTCTCGATGGTGTACGGCTCTACCTCATCGCAGAAGAGTTGGAACTTCGCCTTCATGCCTAGAACGGCGGGTTGCCCGACGCAGAACGAGTCGATGCCGCCGCCTGCTTTCTGGCTGTGGAAACATGTTAATTGCGACGGCGATTCCGATGAGCAGTACGCTGCCCGGCTTTGACGGAGCTCTTCGAGGTACGGTATCCCGAGACGCCCTGGGCAGGACAGTGGGTTGGTGACGGTATCTTGGTAGTCTGCGGGTGCTTTCAAGGGTTGCAGTGGTATGAGGGTGCTGGTGTTATTATGGCATCCATCAAGAGGTCCCGATTTATCGCTTGCTAGGGACCAGGTTGGCCATATTGAGCCTGTGGACTGAGTAGACCAAACGTTGGTCACGCCGCCGATGACCAAGAAAAGAATAAGCAGACTCAGCAGGATCGTGATGGCGCGCCGTCTCCTGTGCATCATCTTTGTGCATGTTCACAGGGTCAAGGTTGTTGATGTTTTACACAGGCTGGGACTGGTAGAATAGACTAGGTAGACACGAGGAGCGGCGTGACGTGTCTGGTATTTTGGATCAACCCGATATCCCGCTTGTAGTAATCAGTACTAACAAACCTAACTCCAAGTGGTTATTCCACCTGGGTGCGCTGTTTTTTAAGAAAAGAAATAAAAGTGCCAACGGCCTGACTACAGGGCATGTCACACTCCTGTTTGCTAGCCTTGTCGTACTTGTACCACCAACCAATATGCGCAGCCCAATATCAAGCGAGGAGCAGCTGAAAAAGAAACGACCTGGTTCCACCGGGCTGGCCGCCATATCTTCTGATAGGCCCATGGCTCATAGCGCCGATCTGGGGATTGTTAGGATGAGATGACACTGACCGGGTTTTTCCTAAAATCTTCAGATCCATGCCATGAATATATGGGACCGGGACCATGCAATAGGTGGTAGGCTAATTTATTTCAGCCCCAAACCTGTCCTCGTGCGGCACCACCTCTGCATTACGTATCATGTCCCAATCATAATCGAAACAGCGGGATCCCTCGAGGAGTTTCTAAAAAGAAAAAGAAAAAACACCGTTGTACAAAAACGGATAAAAAGGATACCAGCTCAACCGTATCTGGTAGTAAGGAGATGCTGTCGTACCGATAGAACGTTTCTCGGCATGGCGTATCTCGACGTTGTCGTTCGACATTAGCACTGCGATAGGTTGCACCACGCCTCAAGCACCTCTCCAGTCACGCAGAATTTCCGCATATTACGAACCCCATAACAAGTATTCTCCTAGCCGAAAGTTCCATCCCATACAGTTCCATAGATGTTGTTTGGTGGCTGAATTTAGGGCAATTTACACGCTGACATTCCGCATGCCTGGAGAGGCGTATTGACGGAGATTACTGATAAAATATCCCCAATACCTGAGTGTTTGTAGGATCCTTCTGAGTCCTAATGCTGGTTCGATGTGTAGCGGCGCTTTATTACCCATGGAGTATCCAGGCTTTCTGTCAGCAGTGGGAAGATGGAGAACCCCGTTCATTAAAATCCCTGGTCTGGCCTTTGCAAGAATCCCACCTAGATTCAGCAGCTGGGCAGACACTAGCAAAGGTACTTGAACAGTCGAAGGAAAAGGCCAGTGGATTCCCAAAAGGGCTTAACTAACTTCTGATTATGTATATACCTAAATGGAAGGCAAAGGATACGAGGCGAAGTCGCACGGAGAGAGACGGAAGGAAAGCGTGAGCATGGGTGGCACGGTGGGAATCGGGGTTCCATGCTTCTTCGGGGTCGCCTTGGTTGCTGCAGACTGGCCTGCGTCGTGTGGGATCCTCGCAACTCGTCCCAAGTCTCGGAAGTCAGGCTGAGGCAGCAAACTGCTTCAACATTGCTTGGAATCCACAACTCACCGTTGCCTACATTGTTCTCAGTCACGATTATCACCTGATAGAATCGTGCTCATAGCATCCAAGAATCTGTCGGAAGACCGATATATGAGTTGATTGCCAGTCTCGCCAGTGCATTATGATGGCTCCGCCAATCGGCATCTGTGGGAAGCACAAACTCGGGATGGCGGCCTTGTTCTTCGTTCTCTTTTCCCCCTTAGTCGCTTCCCAATCAACGAGCTCTGCATCATGTGTCGCTAGTCCTGTCTCTGTTCCAATAACCAATTTTGCCGTCGCAAACCAACGCAACGGGGCTCTGGCGAGAGGTATATCCGTAGGCATAGGATCGCCACCGCAGAATATCGCCTTCATGCCTGGCTGGTTAGCCACCCTTTGCTTTCGCAGTTGGGCACAAGAGACTAACTTTCTGTCCAGGAACAACAACACTTTTGTTTACGACAAAACGAACCTTTGCCATGCGTCATGGGCTGATTATCCTGACCAGAGTTGCATCACGGCTCGGGGCGGGGCCTACGATGTCGTATCGTCGACGACACACGACCAAGGCGACGGGGCGGCATTTGCCTCCGATTCATCACAGGATTTGCCGCAGCTGACACAATACAGCGACCAGTTCATCTTGAATAGCCATGTCCAGCTCTCCAATTACAACTTTGGCGTGGCCCAGAACAACTCAGGGGAGCAGATGTACTACCCTATGGCCACTCTGGGACTGGGCCGGAACTCGACCTTCCTCAGGGGCCTTAAAGAGCAAGGCCTTATTTCCTCGCTATCTTGGTCCTTCTTCTGGGGACTGGAAGGTCGCAATACCCCGCTCAATGGCAGCATCGTATTTGGAGGCTACGACGAGGCTAAGTTGCACGGCACCAACTACACCCGCAAGCTCAATTATACCCGTTGCAAATCGGGGATGGATGTCACGGTCTCTGGCATCTCCCTTAAATTCCTGGACGGCTCGAAATACCCTATGCTGGAATCCAGTCTTCCGGCCTGTATCGATCCCACGAGTATTGGTGTGGGTGATATGCCGTACCAGGGCAGTTTCGAGAACTTCGTCTCCATGACAAATTGGACTTCGTTTGTGACAAACACTCTAGGAAACACCACCGTTAGGAGCCTGGGTCTGAACTACTACGACCTCAAGTATCTGAATGGCGATTCTCCGTTAGTGCCGTTGCTTTCCTGTTTTTCTGTCTCCTTTTTATTTATGTCGTCGTCTTCCTATGACCCCTTTGTCACGGATTCATCTCCTAATAAAGCAAGGAAGGCTATTGCTGACAAAAGACGTTTGCACAAGGTTCGAAGGCAACCTGCTTGTCACCATCGAGGACGGACCACCCCCCATCGAAGTTTCAAACAGTGAACTGGTCGTACCCCACGTGGACATGGACCTAAACACGGGCGCCTGGACGGAAAGCCAGACCGAAAGCGACCTCCTCATAAACGAGATACCCTATATCACCAACATGAACCTGAACCGGAACTTCCTGTCCTTCATGTACATCATGGTTAACCTCGACGCCGGCGAGTGGACTATGTGGACGGCCGATAACACTGGCCGCGCCGAGCAGCTCGTGGCCGTAGACGAGACCAACCAGGTCGTCAGGAGCAATTTCTGCTCCCCTTCTAAGTGGTCATCTTCGCCGTCATCTTCGCCGTCGGACTCGGACAGCAAAAAGCTCTCGACGGGCTCCATCATCGGCATCGCCATCGGCGTCGCCGCCGCCGTCGTGCTTATCGCAACGGTCGCTTTCTTCCTCCTGCGGTCGCGGAGGAACAAGAAGACTCAAGCCGATCCAGCCCAGACCACGGCCGCGGAAGTCGCGGTGGCCCCAGGTGAGGAGGAGCCCAAGACGTATAATAGTGTGAGCAACACCAACACTATGTACTCGGACCAGGCTAGTACCATGCATCAGCAGCCGTACGCAGACTCCAGCCACATGTCGGGTCAATCGTATGAGCTGCCCGGTGCATTAGCTCAGTGGCCCACTGAACTGGACGGTTCGTCGGGCCACAGATAACGAATGAATGGCGATATATGAATCGGCATGGGGGGAATCGGGAGGACTGCCTATCACATAAGCGTTAATTATTTATCTTTCTAAGCAAGTCTGGAAATCTTGTATCAAATACTCCATGCTTACCTGTTTATTACCTAGCCCTTTGTTCGGAATCTGACCCTTGGGATCGGTCGAGCTACAATTGAATCAAGTTGTCTAGCTGCTAGTTTTTCAATATTCTTACAGTGTATTAATATAACTGCAATTAACTTACGTCTCAAAAGGACGACTGACAATGTCATTAGTGGAGAATAAGCATCTACTGACGCCAATCGTGTCCTAGTGTTCCTTCGTGTCGCAAATGAACGACACAACCATCTGCAGGCGATTGGCCAGGACTATGAGCGAGTTATTTGATGGTCCCAAGCCTTAGCTCAACTCAATAATAACCCACCGTGACCCATTGGTGGGTTGGTGGTCAAATTAGTAAGCAAAATGGCTGGTGGGTTGATGGATGGGGTATCAAAGGAGCGTGCTCGTGGAGTTGAGGGTATTTTAGTGGATATTGTTTTCACATAAGGCTATAGTTAACTTCGTCGTCACTCCCACTGTTGTCACCGGCGCTATCACTGTTATCCTCGCTGGATCCACCACGATGTTTCCCTTTGTGTCAGAGAACAGAATGCTATAGGCACCGGTGGGACACCGGTGGAGCTCTGGTGTAGGGATGTGCGAGTCATGACACGATATGGAAGTCTTGGTTTGCGGAACAATCGGAGAAACTAGTGCTCCGCGGCTCCGACGTCGGGTTCTAGCTATCTATGTAAGGGGCGGAGGCCCGGGAAGAAGATAGAGGGAGAGTAGAGATCAATGCATCATCGTGGGCACCCCTACCTGAGACCGCCAGTGATCGCCAGTGACCACCCGGTGCTACGTAGGAGGGACGCCCGTTACTCCCCATCACTCTGTACTATTGCCTTCGGCCTAGCCGTACCCTGACACTTTGTACCTAATCTGCCTCTATAAGGACCTCCCGGAGTTGAGTTTATCCCTAGCGACTCTAGTCTACTAACTCTATATAGGGTCCCGTCGGTTTACGGAGCTCAATGGGTCGTAGAACTGCTTCTTAGCTAGCGGCGAAGTAACCATATTATTCCGTCCAAAATAATCACGTTGCTACGCTTCTTTAACTATTTTCCTTGCCGTTATTATTTAGGTAGGTCGATAAATCCGTTTTACTTCAAACTAGGCCTAGCTATAGCCTAGTTAGAGGACTAGCGCAGTATAGTAAATCGGCGTATTATAGAGCTCTACAATACGAAATAGTTAGTTGGAGGGTAGACGTTTCGATAAACTTTGTAGAAAATACGTGCGGTCCAGGAGACAGTCCTTAAATCAGGTGACACCAGGGTGGTATGTACCGGTATAATTGTACTGCATCCGACGTTAGTATCCTAATATGGCACTATTGAATATGCAGCCGATTGCACGCTGGCTAGAGTTTATCCCAGGCCTCTGATGAAGCAGCTTCCTGAAAATCGTTCATTGCTTCCTGTCACGGTGAGCACAGTTGAAGAGTCAAAACACTCTAATGCACTGTATTGACTTAACGATTCTCGACAAGGAAAGAAAGAGAAACTAAAATAGGCTGGCTCACATCTGAGGATCTTCAATCCCGCCTTCAGATGGCCAGTGCTCCTACGGGTCCACAGCTAGTGGGTTTCGTGGCATCGTGACACCGGCCGTCACACTTCCTAGGTTGGTGGTGCTAGATAGTTGCCGCGTTGGATGATGATAAGTCGACGTTTGGGGTCCCCGGGGTTCATTGTCAACAGTTTTTCTCGGCCAGGATAGCCAGATAACAACTGCAAACGACCGCTTAAGTATTTAAGTTTGTCCTACTCCATAAATGATGTGGATATTGAAACTAGTTCCAAATGTTATATGAATATATTTTCGAAGTGGGCTTGGTAAATAGGTACATCTCGATGTGATGCTGATGGACAAGTTAATCTTGACGTAGACTTTGTTTCATACCTTGTCGTTCGTCAGTGCCAAAATTCCTAGAAGCAGGGAAGCTGCCGCTGCGTCAGGCACGACGCTATCCCATCTGCTGCTGGCCAACACAGCGAACACCATTATCACTCCTTCCTTCATGTTAGCCAGCAAAATGCAGAACGTTCCAAGGCTTGACTACTAATGTCAAATATATCCCCTCACATTATATACAGAGCGTATAAGATTTGATGCTCATTACTGACCTTTCGGAACTTGGGAGCCATAAACTTCAACTTCGGAACCATCCATGCACTTGGAAGTTTCACAACATAATCTTACGCCACCCACCTTGCATTGCCCCATTTCGTTACAACAGCGTGTTCGTGAATGATATTACCTGTACAATCGTGGTGAGACAAGCAAGTATTCAATTTGTCTAAACTCCCCGCATGCAGGTTCTACATTTTCTGTTGCTCTGGGTTTCCTTTAACATAACAGTTCATCATATCCCCGGTTCTGCCGTCCTGTGGACCGAATGTCACATCGCACCCGGGCCCTGACTCCTACCATGCGTGAAATATATAAAGCGGAACTTTCAGATCGATACGGGCCGTGTGTCAGGCGAGCGCCTTCTCGGCATTGGACTTGCAAACGAACATACGAAATGGTCGTCACTCAGCAATACCAGGCAGTTTACACGTACCGCGAGTCCCCCTTCCGCGTAGTCGCCGACTTGAAGCCCATCAGTTTGCTAGCCAGCATCCCACCGATAGCATTTTCCGCCATGCCCTTCATGCCGCCGCCACCCCGACGTCGCGGATCCTTGTCGATGAATGCATCAATGGCTGCAGCCCCTACAGCGGCCGTAACAACCTTCGCCCCCTTTTCGCCCGTCCAGGGTCCCGGTTCCTTGCGGAGCCGGAATGCAGTTACGCCGCCAGCCTCCAATGCTGCTCGGGCAGCCAGTTGCCACCGATGAGCGCCTTCGGGATGCGGCGTCTTCATGTTCGATCTGTAGGCGTTCATGCTCGAATGCCTCCGGGACGTGGGACCTGTTGTGGTTGAATCGCCATGAGGCTGCGATCGGGGACGTCGTCCACGTGGCCGTGGCGAGGGGGTTAGACTGCTCGACGGGGATCGTCGCCGGCTATGTCTGTGAGATTGACCACGACCACGGTCGTAGCTCGAATCCCGACTGTATCGCCCTGGCGACACGCTATAAGATTTCTGTCTACCATTCAACGAAGGCCGCCTTCTCTTACTGTGTCGGGCGGTTCCCCGGCGTACGGGTGATGGGGATGGACTCGGCGACAGATGGTGAGAGCGGCGATGGGGTCGCATGTCATTATCGAGGAAGTAGTTGTGCGAACTGCCGCGTGGCTTTGAGTAAAACCCGCCGGCAGGATAATCACGATCCACGGATCGGCCCCTGACATCCGCCCCCGCCTGAGCAGCGGCATACGCCTCCACCACGTCGCCGAGTGTGTGCAACCCTTTCCGTCCATACTTATTCAGGTTCTGAACCGCAGGCTTGTCGACGAACTTGCTGCGTCTAGACGTTTTGGTGGTTTGCACCGGGGCGGTAGCGGCACGCGCGGGCCGTCCGCGGGGTGGTGATCGGGTGCGCCTTGAATGCCGTGGTGGAGGTGGTGACCCGTCGAGTCTAGACGATCGTGGAGCTGGTGACACCGCGCGCCTCGATGCTGGAGGAGAGCGTCTGCTTGTCTTTGGTGGTTGCGTCGCGGACCTGTTGGATTTGTGACGCCGCGATGGACTGCCCCGTCTAGGTGGGGGCACGGTATCTGGATCGAACGTATGCGTAGGTGGTTCGGGGAAAGCATCAGGACCAATATATTCATAGGCATCACTGGCTGGTGGTGCACGAGGATCCGGGTACGCTTCTTTGGATATGTACGTGTCGTCGTAGCGAGGGTCGTATCGGGAGGATTTGGACGCCATGATTTGCCGATCTCAAGACGGCACAGCAGAAGACAACCAACTATCCGACTTCAATCAGCCGTCGATATGCACTTTCAAACAGACACGCCTGAGTAGAAAACCCCTAAAGATGGGGTCAAGGTCTCAGTACTTAAGAGATCATGATCTTGCCACAGTACAATATATACGACTAGATACTTCTACAGCACGGCAAGGTGGGTCCCAACGTACACATTCACCTGCAGCTCGACGTAACAAAGCAGATTGTAAGGCCTCTACTCGGGGGGGGGGTGTCTGGCAACAAGCATCGCAGTCTGGTATCGGCCACATTGCGGTCCAGCAAATGATTGGGAGGATAGCATCGAGGGCACTGCAAAAGCGCGCGCGGTCATCTGTCGGGTGACGTCAGGGAGGGTCGAGGCCGTCCGTTGATTGCAAGGTTCGCCGCCCCTACCTACTGTCATGTTGCCACTTTGGTCGGAGCTTACCACCCAACCCCCGCATCATGTCATCAAGCAGTTCTGTCGAGCCAGCACACTAAGTCGTCCGTCCAGTCAAAATAAAGCGTATCTCCGTCGAAACCGAAGAAACAGCGTAATTCGGCTTCGGCAACACCTGATGCGGCGGCATTTTGGGGAGGTTAAGATCTGTCACATCCTTAGCGAAGATTCCAGTGGAATGCAAGACGCGCCGGCCTTACTAGCAGTAGCGTCGATTCTGACTTTTCGGATGGCCTACAATGCAAAGCCGTTGGATTGTTGAGCTAGCGCAACGGTAATTTCTCACAGCCGAATCTCACAGGGCATATCTAGCCATCGCTCCATGCAGTGGCATTCGCATGATCCTGCATCGAATAGCGAGAGAGGAATGTGGGCTCGGGACGCTGTGCAACTTTGACCGTCAAGTCAATACAGGAACACCACATCCCAACTCTTGGAACGTTTGAATGCCACGAAGACAACGATTGGCAAACACCTGTCCGCTACGGGCCTTCATCAAGCGGCGGGTGAGGTACCGGTGTGGACTTCCCGGGTGCGTTCGTGTGTTGGAATGACATCGTTGCGAATTGGTGGTTGGGTGGTTGAGTGCGAGAAGTCGGACGGGGAAATGGGCTACGGGTTGGTCCCACCCAAATGATCAGATTGCTTTCAATTGTACTGTGGACAAACCGTAGAAGTCCAAGATTCATCATGCAACCTCATCCATCATCGCAGTCCTGCTGCCGTTGCAAGTGGTACAAGAAGATTCTGGCCGCCCCTAAGCTGGCTAAGGAGCGAGGTCTTTCCTTGGAAGTGAGTCGCACGAGAAATTTGGCGCTGCTTGCGCTTACAACTTCCTCGCGCAATCACGACATTTGCTCCACGTCCTAGTAGTTGGTGAGCATACGGTAGGTGAGCATGCGAAAGTCCGTCCCGGTGTCCATGCAAGACGGAGTAATTCTCACCGCCACGACCAACTGAGCTGCTGGCTGGCGTCCACGTTTTGAAAGCCATCGCCATTGCTCATTCGCTGACAAGAGTTTTGCGGCGAAAGAGTGCATCTCAGGCTCAGGGGACGTAACGCTAATTTTAGTACGCAGCTTCCCCGCAACTCGCCAAGTCGCAGCTCTGATATTAGGCTATTAGTACGACGTTGCAAGCTAAGGTTGTAATTGATGAAGGGGCTTTCAAGTTGATTTTATACTAGTCCCATTCCACAATCCCCAGTCAGCTGTTGCTTTGCGAAGGCCATGGCATCCCATTGAAGTTTCAACTGGGTTGTCCTGTTGTCCAAATACGGAATCTCTCTAGGAACTAACACCCATAGGGCTCCTCACATTCCGCTAGCCTACTCGTTAGAACCGGGATAAGCGCAGCTGGAGGGACTCAGATATTGTTTGCCTCCCCCGATTTGGTGTTATTGCTGTTAGCCATAAACGGCAAGCGCAGCATAACGCCGAAAGAACGCATTGGACCCTTATTGCAAACTCGCGGGTCTTTAATCTAATCCTCCGATTCGAACTAGGCAAGAGTAAGATATGGGATCAGCAACCCTGATCGGTAGGAAGTCCGCCCGGCGGCTTCTTGGACTACGCCAAGACTATATCTCGTATTTGCGTGAAAGCTGCACTTCCCATGACTCCGGCAAGGTACGAAGTAACGTTGATTGATTGATTGTTGCGTGATGGGTATAAAACACTGGACCAAGTATGTCTACCAGTGACCTAGGCAGTGCCTATCCATTCTCTCTACACAAACAACGTACACTCGCTGCGTAATACACAGCAACTAATATTATCACAATGTTGTTCCACGCCCTCCCCATTCTGGCACTGGTGGCAATCACTGCTGCCGCCCCGCCATGTACAACCACGAGTTCCTACCCGGCCAGCTCGTCAACACCGGTAACGGATGACTGCAGCACTCGCACCGTCTGCGTGGACTACATAAATGACTGCGGCCTGTGGTACGGCGGATGTTTTGCGGACTGCGCGCCGTGGCCTACGTTCACGGCACCGCCTTGCACGGGGACTAGTAGTGTTCCATCCGGACCGGTGACAACCCCGGCGATCTCGACACAACAGACGACATTGCCGTGCTCTTCGACTTTGTGTGTGGATTATTTGAAAACTTGTGGGACAACGGCTGTATTGACTTATGGAGGGTGAGTCCATCTCTAATTAATAAATTCTCGGAAAGTTTGATGCTTATATATTATGTAATTCAATGGTATGGAGACTGACAGTTTGCAGATGTTACCCGGCTTGTTCTCCGTCCCCAACTTACTCGCCGCCTTCTTGCCCCACGGCGACGACAACTATGTCAGCTTGAGGTTTCGAGTTATCATCTGAAGATCATTGTAGCAACTGCGTTTATGGGGTGTTCGATAAACTCAATTGATCTAGAATGTTACCTGCGAACTTGGATATTGCCAATTCTAATGCACTATGGAACACTGATGTAAATGACATGACTGATTTTCTTGTATCCTGCTAACTACAGTATGCAGAGTGATCACTGAGATGGCTGAGAATACATCATGCAAGAGCCGTCCTCTTCCAGGAGCGTTTATAATATTGATTTATTAATCTCAGCAGTAAGAGAGGGGGATAGTGGACTCAAACTGCTCTTCATTAAAATAACATGTACTATCTCTTCAAAATGTATGTCTGGCCTTTTTAATTATATCAATCTAGCTTAACCCCGATCCAAGACAAAGCGGGTACTATTGGACTACATTAGCCCTGAACTGGGCTTTTTTGTGCCTGACGGCTCTATTAGAGTTTTCTTGGCTGTTACAATTAATTCGCCGGACCTTCCGGTATCTCAGCCATGCCTATTATCTGTACTGTCCGCTCCGACACTTTACGTACTCTGGAATTGTTGTGTGTCTTCATATACTTAAAGACCCTTATGGCCCATCACGCTCGTTGGAGGATTGGGTAGGAACGCTCTCAAATTTGTGCCGTCTGAGAATGTGCCATGTCCGACGGATGTGCCTAGATGTGGCTTTGGAAGGGGAAATTTTGATAGTCAAGGCAACGGCATCTGAATTGACATGCGCTGCTACTCGTTCGGATTCCTCGATTATGTTGTGGTACTATGTAATTAAGCAACCAAGGATATCATGCGGTGCCGACTAAGCCCAGCCTAGGCGCAACCAATTGAAATAAAACATACCCTGCAGGGCCGCTACCTTATACGCTTTCTTGCAAATGAACAATTTGATATCACCATAGCAACGCAGCAATCAATCCCGCGACCGCAGCCACGGGAGCCCTCGAATTTACCGCAGCAGCTGCCGTCACGACAGGAGGCCGAGGCGTCATCTGATTCATACCTCCTGCGTCACCACCACCGCCGCCGCCCCCTCCTGCCATAGGAGGCATGGCCGACGTTGTGTTTGACCTACAGGATTCAGGATCCGTTAGTTACAGTCTGTTCCCAGGTTAGATATGAGGCTCCAGGTCGACATTTATTCAAAAATACGCAACAGAATCAACGACAATCTCATAGTGGAAAGGGGTAGTGGCGTAGTGGTGAATAACGACTTCGTTAGGGGCGGAGTGGATATATAGCAATCGTGAGGACGACTTACCCCATGCCACCTCCGCCCATGCCCCCGCCCGTGCCACCTCCACCGCTCCCGCCGCCGCCATTGCTTCCACCACTGCCTCCTCCCCCGCCGTTACTGCCTCCGGACCCTCCACCAGGACTAACGGGGACACAGGGACACGGTATCGTCATGGTGAGAGTCAAGGTTGCCAGGCCCTCTCCCTGACCTTGGCCAGCACCAGCTCCGCTAGGAGGTGTTGGCATGGGCATCGTGGTCATGTTTCCGCCGCCACCTGCGCCGCCAGCTGGGCCTTGAGTGGGTGTAGGAGACTGTATTGTATCGCGTCAGCCGTCCCGTATCACAGATGCATTTAAAACCACAGCATCGAAGGGTCACTCACGGGCGTAGGCATCCCCCCTCCGCCACCACCGCCACCACCTCCCGCCCCTGCCGCCCCTGCGGCATTCGTACAGTTTCCCTGCCCAAAGGATGCCTGCCCACCCTGCAACGTGCTTGTAACCCCACTCGCCAAATTTCCCGCTATTGTCTGCGCCTCCTGCGGCACCTTCTGCACCACCGCATCTATCAACGCCTTGCTCTGGTCGCTCACATCCTTCAGGTTAGTCTGTACCACAGTACACAGACCCGCCTTCTCAATCTGAGATTTCTTGGCCGTGAGTGAATCCAGCAGTGTCTGCCCCTTCGTCTGAAGATCAGTGACGGTGCTTTGAAGGGACAGGGCGTCTTGGAGGGTGAGAGGAGTAGTGCCTTGCACTTTGGTGATGCCTTGCTTGAGTGTGTCGACTAGGGCCGAGGCGTCGGTGGTGAGTTGATTCAAGTTGCTACCATCAAAGGCTTTGACGGTTGTATCTAGTTGGGTTAGGGACGTGCTGACAGACTGGATGACTTGTTGGACTGTTGCTAGGTCGCGGGGGTGGAGAAGGTGCACTTCGTCTGGGAAAGGATCGGCCCAGATGGTGGATGATAGAGTTATAGCGGTGAAAATGGATGTAGTTTTCATTTTGACGATATTGAATTGTCGATATTTGATTTATATGAGTGTCATTCTTCTCGATGGGAAGAATAGATTACGCTCCGCTTACAATGAATTTAATTTGCTAAGTCGTCTTCCATCAGCAATGGCGACGGGATTTTTATAACTTCAGGCCTGAGTGTGCTTGAGTGGTTCAGATCTGTGCTAAGATCCAGACACATCATATGACATCCACCTCCATCGCGATGCCATAGCCACTTCGAGATACCTGAAATGCCGACATGACCCTGCACTCTAGCCAGAGTTTACATTGCATCAATGTGACAGCAAGGTCTGAGGTCATTATGAATATGCTGCTTTCGTCATACGAGCACAAGACCCTATAGCCAGGGAGGGAGCTGTCTCATTTTGATTCGCTAGCACCGTGGCTTCCCAACGCTTGGCAACGGTGGAAATGAAGTTGATCTCAAAAGACAGTTTGCCTCTCTTCCAAATGCAAAAAGTTGAGCTGGCGGCTTGCGTCGTGGTTGGGGAGCGGAGACAGTTGTTCCTTGAGCGGGCATGGATCAGGGACGAAATACAGGGAGGACGAAGGTTGCATAAGGTGCAAGTGGGATGATTATCATTGACAAGGCAAGGCGGGTTTTCAGCGATGTATCCTTGTTGATAGAATGGCACGAGATGGCAGCCTCCGCGCGGAACCTCGGGACCATGGCGAAAATAGACGTCCGGCTCAAAGACTTTCTTTGTCAAGACTCCCCGCAGAAGTTTTTGCGAGTATAGAGCCGTTACTATACCTATGGTCCCTTGCATAGAGGCAAAGTCAAAATAAGGTTGAGTCGTAATTCGCCCGCAAGAGAGAGAGAGATCAACCCCAGGACGCCTTCACGAACGACACTGAAGACGCTAAGAAGACTTGAAACTGGGATTGTCTGCATTGATCCCTGCTTCAGTGTGCGATTGGGGCTTAAGAGATCAGATCTCAAAAATGGGGACTCGGGAGACTCGTCCGCCTGGACAAAGTTCCCGAAACTGGGGTAATGACGCATCGGGCGGATGCACCGGAACGTACCGAACTTTGCGGTAAGTGGCACGAGTAGTCGGCCCTTTTGGGAAGATATGAGGTGGTTCTTCGTGAAGCACTCCCCAAACCCACGCATGTTGGAATAGGACCAGTGACGGCGCTCTATTGTTCACAAACAAGCGATTACTCGCTGCCGTTCAGTCATGTCCTCGAGACTCTGCGCACTATGTTGGGTTCGTTGGTTTGTGTGTGATTCCGACCCCCAAGTATTGACAGGCCAAGTCAATTAGGTGCGTGGGAACGTGACCATAACTTAGCCAAGTTGCAGTGTGTGAGCCTTGTGATCACGAGCCGTCCGATGTCTCCCAGGCGACTGTATGCAGGACCAGGCCGGGGCACCAGGGAATAGGCAGGGTAGCCATGAGCTGACTACTTTGATCTCCCTGCAGATTCTCATTGTTCATATTGGAAACTTGCAAATGGACTTGAGCCGAAATGAGCACAGACACGCTCTTTCAAGCCTGCATTTTGCAGTGATATATCATACCTCATTTATGACAGATCAGGCTTCAGTTCTGCAAGAACCCAAAAACGATGATCGATCATTTCATGTTCAATGATGTATTCTTCTAGAAGCTTCCGAGGCTTGCATGAGACTGAGCTCACGTGTTTAGGCGTTACGAATTGGGTCTTCAGCTCAGGTGTGTCAAGCAACGGTATACCATTTGAGTGAGCCGCAAACGAGGAATGGCGTATCGCGTTCTGTTCTGGGTGCAAATATATTAATTGCCTCTGATATCACGAATTTCATGCTCGAGACAATGCACTCAAGACAAGTCTCTTGCCACTAGCAGAAGCGTTTCTATTCGAGAATGATGCGGCGGAGCCATTCGGGATTGATGTCCCTCTTTGCTGAATACGAATTCTTTTGAGGTGCGATACATTGCAGCAATACGCGATCTGAGCTTGGCCAATGGTCTGCTGAAATCTCAATCGTCACAGAATGCATCGAGATGGAAGATGCGGGAGCATTGGAGCTAAGCACAATGCAGTTAGTCGAGCGCGAGGCGTCCCCTTTGCTCCTGTCGTATGACTCCGAATCTGTTGTCGAGTTGATTGCTCAACATCTACATCTATCTCGTGACCACTGACGATGCAAGCGTACCGGCAATCTCAAAAATCCCAAGGTTTCGTCTCGAAGGGGAATATTGAAGGAGATGAAAACACGAAATTAAAGAAAGTTACGTATGGCACCTTGCTACACCCGGTTCCGTGAAAGATACATATCCTCGCCGAGCGCCAGAAAGAGTAAAGTACAGCGTGGGTTCGTACTAGCTACTTGACCTTTCGCCGATCAAGCACGGCCGAAGGCACTTTGCCTTCGATATCAACATATCGAAACATTCTAAGGAGCACTTTGCGAACAGTCTGGAGACCATTAAAATGGTGCCAGTTTGGAGGCGGATCAGACTTGGAAAAGCTGTACGCACGTTCCCGCCCATCGCGAATTCTTCGATGAATCGCAGATCAAGCAAATACTGGGAAGGCCCCGGGTGTTGTGCTTGCGCCCCATTTGTGGCAAGAGCACCCGATCTTCGCTTCGGAATGCTCCCACCTGGCACCAACCTTGGGCAGCACAACGCCCAGGTGATCCAACCAGACCTCGGGAGCAACTAGGCTACAGATCCTCTTCTTGACGTCTTCCGGTAATTTTGACACGGCTTTCCTACAGCATGTGGAGAGATAGACCTTAGGGTCGCCATGCCCCGTCCCCACCCAAAACAAACATGCAACTTATCATCAACACGGCATGCTAGCCCAACCGGACCAATCCGAAGCTACCCTTCGCTCTCGTCAACACGGTCGGCGAAATCTTGACAACTTCGCCGTCCTGTCAATGATGACCTCGCCGGGTAGATGCTTTCAAGTGGGGCCATGTCACCCCAGGGATCCCAACTCAGTTAGCCCGCGCCGCCGTCCTGATTGAGGCCGCTGCCGCCAGCCTCGATGCTAAATTTAACGTCAGTTGAAAATGTTGACGGGGATACCAATCGTCTGAACCCTTCCATCGTCCTGAATGCCTCGCATCATAGTCGCCCTGAACTGACTCGAATCGTAGTCCCGCCTTCCCAACGGTAATCTCAAAAGACTGACCCCTCTCGCTAACTGGCGTTGGGCCGTTGGAAGTGACGATGGGCGTCGACGCATTTGAAACAAAGCACCAAAGATGTGTCTTGAGACTACTCGTGACATCTATGCGCAGACCCCGCGCCCCCCGAACGCCCGGAAACGTGGTCACGATTTGTCATTGCTCCGATCGATAGGAACTCGAATTCTGCCCTCCCCCTACTGCACCACGACACGACCGCCGTAGGTGCTGTCGGGACAAGGACGTACAAGCTATCGATATGATGAATAGTGATTATGGCTGGTCCCAACTTCATCCGATGACATGCCAGCATGTCGAAATTCACCTCTTTGCAGCCGCGTCGCTCACCGTACGGCCAATCAACGGCATCCGCTTTACACGTCATTGAAACGTCATCATTCCTGTTGCTATATGATGCAGTGTCCTTCGGTGGCAGGTCGATCTTGACGGCCACCCAGGTTGTATGAGAGAAGCTGCAACGATTCGTCTGCCTGAAAATGTCGGTGTTGGGCCTGCATATGTGATACTCCATCGGCCAGTTTATTTTCACCAACGCCGCTGCCATGGGGTATTGCTAGAAACTGTTACATACTTGGGGCAGATCCGTTCAAAACAGTACGCCCCAAACGAGACTCGCGTGCATGAGCCTCGCTGCGCTAAGCTGGAACATGTCATCGACGAGAGGTATAGCATCACAATATTTCTTAGCCTACAAAAAGACACGCTTCTCTACACGCGGGAGTATTCTAGCCTGTACATTTTTCATTCTACTTTGTCTTCAACGCACCGATTCACGCAGTTGATTTTATACATGGGAGGATGCTCGAATTCAATCTCCCACAAATGCGACCCACGTTGTACTACCCTATTCTTCCATCCCATTCGCTTTTGATACTTCCCTCGTTGGAGTCCTATTCGGAAAGCTATGCGATCAGCAATGCCGACTGCAGCCGCCTGAGCTTTGGTAGCAGGTTGCCTATGGATAGATGACATGGCAGCTCCACACCGAGCTGATTGCAACGAGCAACACCTTCTCTTGCTCGAGTACCGAATCAGTACCGATATCTTCTGAGTAAGTGACGAACTCCGGCAAAATCATGCAGAAGTGAGGTGAATCTGAGAGGTCGAGCCCAGCAGCGGTACCGGTGAAGCCCATCAGCCCATACCGGCCGTTCTGTGACGTGTTTAGCCCACACCTGCTCACGTCCGGCTTGCCATCTTCCGTTCTCGCAAAAAAGATCATTTTATATCCGGAAACTCATTGGTAGGCGCGATTAGTCAATGCTTTTCCTGCATCGACCGGTGTGTGCAGCGTCGAGATGTGGATGCAGTCTTGTCGGAAGGAAACGAAAGCCGCAACCATTGCCATTGGCTGGGAACCGGGATTTGAACCTCAGGTTGAATAGCGAGATACCTTGACCCCCACTATCCACTATCTGCTACCAGCACCCGCGCGACATTCCCAAGATCATGATGGAGTCACTCCTAGGACGCCCCGGTCGAGGCCTGCAACTAACACGGTCGACTTATGGAGCCAGCAATGCCTGCAGTTCTTGATAACTGATAAGATGGGGTGGATCGGCGCATCTCGCGACAATTTTTCCGGCGTACACCCAATTCCTCCAACAGTCTGGATGAAGCGTGGGGGAGGGGTTGTGCCTAGGGGATGCGTTTGAGCCCAACGCGGCTCATTGCTCCTTCGGCTCATTCGGCTCATTCGACGTATGTTGGAATAGACCTGGGATGCGCTCGTTCTTCTTTAACGATCGTATGGCTCCGCTTGACCACATTAGAAGCATCAGTTGCTATACCAGAACCCCCCTTCCCGGTATTTACGAATAGCGATTTTGCGACTCACTGCTGTATTTTGGCAATAGCAATCTCATACCGCAAGTGCTCCGTGTGTGGTAATGTCCTGGTCGGGGCCAAAACATAGTTCGGTATGATGTCTCGAGGGTAGGCGAGAATATATGCTGATAGTAACAGCACGCAAAATCTAACTCCAAACCCCACAAATCCCACCACGACCACGATGGCAAATCTTCTAAATCTGACGGGCGATCTTCCAAGACTCAACAATCTTCCAGGGCTTCATCCAGCACGCAAGGAGGTCAAACGAGCGTCAGATTTCTGTTCGTGGTGAATGAAGCAAACATGCTGGAAAACGCCCGTAACGTGGATCAGTATGGGAATGAGATGCCTCCGCTGAGGTACGATGGTTTCGACATCGAGGATGTGGGGACGGTCTTTCAATACCACAACGGGGTCGTTACTGTAGCCGAAGGGTGGTATTGGATTCGAAATGGACCAGGTCAGATAGGCAGAATCACGAGAGATCAGTACGCCACGGACCAAGACGGCAACACCACGACTACATATGCGGTGGCCCCGCAGTATTCCACTCGGACCGTGTATCACTGCGGCCCTTTTCTGCCATGCGTATATGCCCCTTGTGATGCGTCCGCCAACATTGGAGCATTCGACCGCTGGCACGCGCTCCACTTCCATCACGAGCACGGCGTAAGCCGCGCCCTCGCGAACGGCGGGAACAGGTACATTGCTGGGAAACACGCGGACTGGATGGAGAAACACCCGATCATATCCCAGCTGTACAAGAACCCTTACCCAGGTATACCCAGATCGGCCGGCCTAGGCGGGGATTTTGCCATCATCATTGGCCTTATGGCACTCTCCCAACCACGCGGCACCATTGACCGTGCCTTTCAACAGCGCCTGTGGCATATGGGCACGTGGACAGGAGCCCATCCCGACTCGGCTTGTATTGCTGACCCAATACACCACCTCTCGGACTTGGACTGACTCTCATTAGGGCCTCTCACCGCCCACGAGACTCCCCGTGGAGTCATAGTTCACATTGCTATTGAACATGAGGGTCCACTAGGCTGGACAGAGGACGATGTGGAGAGACTGGACGAGGATTTGATAAGGAAGAAAAAGGACCTGAAGATGATGGAATGGTATGGGGTTACAATCGCGGGTTGAAGTGCGCCTCGGATGGATCCCGTTTTAAGGTTGATTAGTGTGGTTTTAGAGTTTGTGATCCACTTGGCAGGTTCTTATTATCTTCAGAACGGGTTTCTGCCAAATGAAGGCAGCTTAGTTATGATTTCCCATCCCAGTCCCCTCTTTCTCATTTCTTTTTTTTAAACTTTTATGTTAGATTTGTGGTTAGTATACTATATGCGCACCCCTGATCTGTGACCTCTGGGCTCGAGTGGCGCATGAAACAGACATCCATTTTGGTAGTCCTATCGTATGTTCGGGATTGTGGTTTCGATACGCGTGTGGTCCAGTTAAATTAATTTTAGGGTCTTATTACTATGTTACGACGAGAGGGCTCTCTCTGGAATCGCTTGTTGGGATCCTTTTACTTTTAAGGCGAAAGACTGATGGGTCGACTATAGGACACTCTGGGTAGTAATCAGAGTGGGACACCTGCGCTGATAGTATCCCCAATCAGCAGACACGCGGTTCTCAATTAGTTGGAATGCCGATACGAAAACTTGTAACATACGGCGTTTTTCTATCTTCGGGATTATGGCTCAGCTCGACTCAGCTGCGGCGGCTGCAGTTCTGGACGAATAGGCCGACCAAAACGTCGCAAATGCTTAGGCTCTGTGGAGCTCGGGAGAAGCAATTTGCACCTGCAAGAACACCGACTTTCTTCGACTACATATTGACGTTGTATCCACTTGCATGAGTCTCTCACCTCATTCTGTAGATGGCTGCGGGGAAAAGCTGCCTGACCTAGTCGCTGAAATGCAATGCAATGCAAGTGGATCACCGCGCGCGGTGTTGATCTCTAGAATTGAAGCTAGCGGTAATAAGGAACACACGTATACATGATTACTTAAGTACCTGTCGCTAAGGCCCGCGATAAAGGCTTGGTAAGCACTCAACCGACGCCCAGGCACTCGCAGAGGAGAATCTGAATATTTTGTTGATGCGATTGGTCCGATATTGGAGGGCGACGAAAACGACAAGCTGTAATTTAAACACACATCGGGAAGGATTCATCTCAAAAACCCCCGCTCAGCCAAGAACACTGCCAATCTATGCAGGTTCCGCTCGTTCGTGTGATCATCCTATTCTAGAGAGCGGGCCTGTGCGGTTCGAATACTAGCGCCAGGGGTAGCGTGACCTCCAATGAACTGGTCTGCTGCATCTACTTTCAGCCGGGACGAGTTACGCTCGATATCTGTTCCGCGACCAATAAATGAGAACTTACACTGCATACCTCTACTTCCCGATCCTGCGAGCCTCTCAGCATCTCGGCCCACAACATCCACATTTCTTCGTATAGCAGTTCTCGCATGGCTGCTCGTGGCTGAACTCACGAAAACTAGTTGCCAAGATACGATTGTGGCTGCGGTACCAGGACGGTGGTTTGCAGCCGCACTGACCCAGAACCATGGGATGACCGCGCCGTCGGGACGCCCGCCAAGTCTATTTTGGGCCAGGCACATCGCCATGCGGATGCCCAGAACACAGCTCGTGCGGCGGGTCTTGGTGCACCTGAGAACATACGATCGAAGGCAGGTCGCCGCAAGTAATATCTCGTGTCTGTTTCCCGCGTTACCGGGTGGGTCTATCGCTGCTGTCCCAGTTATTAGACTATCCAGACGACGCTCGTGGCGTTCGGGGTGGCGTTGCTTCGATCGGTGTTGATGACTTTAGAATGTCACTGGCGGCGGATCAGGGGCGATCCCAGAGATCAATCGTGGAGATGGAAGAGATGTGTTTAAATGAGAGGATCCCCAACGCGTTTGGGTCAATGTGGCATTCTCTCTTCCTTTCTGAATTACATTCGCTTCACCCTCATTCAGTCGCTCACTAATCACGGATAAGTGGTTCTCACTATCCAGCATTTCCTTGTTTGCACAAAAGAAGGCAAAATGCATAGCCTTTCTATTACAAATACTTTACTTGGCCTTCTGGCCGTCGTTGGGGTCCACGCCGCGTATCCCATCACCAGTAATACGGGCGGTTTCAACGTTACGGGACAGGGCGACGTGCCGGATAGGTTGGAGATCAACGTGTTCGCTGCTAGGGGGGGGCCGCAATGGGATTTGTTCGTCCTGTGCATGGCCGAGATCCAGGCACGACCACAGAACCAGATAGACTCGTGGTATCAAATTGCTGGCATCCACGGTCGTCCATATGCCGCGTGGGACGGGGTCGGGTCTGCCCCCGGTAGCCATGCTGGGGGCTACTGCCCCCACTCGAGTGTCTTGTTCCCTACTTGGCATCGACCTTACGTGCAGCTTCTCGAGGTTAGTATGTATCTAAAACTACCCCTTCACGCACTTACACGTGTTCATAGCAAAACATCTGGCAATGCGCCCAAGCCCGCGCAGTCAAATATCCCACCTCGACCCGAACATCCTACGTTAACGCGGCTGAGACCCTGCGGTTCACCTACTGGGATTGGGTCGCCAACCCCGTGCTGCCCCCCATCGTGACGCAACCGTCCATCACCGTCACCGATGTATCCGGCAAGGTCACAATCCCTAACCCGCTGTTCCAATACAGCTTTAAAAACAAAAGGCCCGGCGGCCCGGGGACATCCGACTTCCCGGGCTATACGAGCGCACCGCAGAAATACCAACAAACCGTCCGCCAGCCCAGTAAATCCACCGGAGCCACCAACACGGCGGCCGCCAATGCCGCCTTGCAGCGCCAGGCGGGCTATCTGCACGACACGACGTACCTCATCCTGACGCAGACAACCTCGTACGCCGAGATGTCCAACAACGGGTACCAGGGTTCCACCACAGGCTACGGCTCTATCGAAAACCCCCACGGGACTGTCCACAGCGCCGTCGGCGGCGTCGGGGGTCACATGAGCTACCTGGACTATTCGTCCTTCGACCCCATCTTCTGGCTACACCACTGCAACGTCGACCGCATCTTTAGCCTTTGGCAAGCGGTGCATTACGACCAATGGGACATCAACCAGAGGACCAGCGCGGGCAGCTTCGCCGTCACCGCCAACACAGTCGAAACCGAGACCACGAAACTATACCCCTTCTCCCAGGACAAGGCGGGTAACTTGTACACTTCAGTCGACGCGCGCTATACCGTCGAGGACTTCGGCTACACATACCCTGAGATCCGCCCCTGGGGCAAGGAGCCCGAGGAGTTGGCTGCAGAAGTGCGGGCTAACATCCGGGCCCTGTACGATCCGAGCGGTAACCTCGACCGTCGGCGGCGCAGCAAGAATGCCAAGCGCGCTGCCGCCGGTGTCGGTAATGATCTCGAGACCCGTGCCACTGACCCAATCGACCCTTCCAATGCCCTTGTGAACGGGAAATACAAGTCGTGGTCTCTGAATCTCGAAGTCGATAAGTTCTCCCTTGAAAAGAGCTTCAACGTCTTCTTCTTCATGGGTTCCCCTACGACCCACTCCTCGCAATGGCTCTTTGACAACAGCCTCGTAGCCCAATACCCCGTCAACCGGCCACAGGCGGAGGGGCTGACCACTCTAACCATCTACGGCACGATCCCGCTGACGCGGTCGATGCTGCATGCCGTCGACAACGGAGTGATCGACAACCTGGAAGTAGACCAGGCGACGCCATACTTAAAGAAGAACTTGGTTTGGCGACTGGCCGATTACGATGGCAATGAGATTGAGGTTGCTAAGGTGCCGAGTTTGAAGGTGTTTGTTGTAGATCAGGAGGTCACCCCGCCCAAGGGGGCGTCAGACTTCCCGGATTATGGGGTCGTGACACCGCATTTGAATGTCACCCTGGGAAAGCTGGGGAGTGTGATAGGCGGGGATGGGATTTTAGCGAAGATTGGATTTAAGGAGTTTGTGAAGTCGGTTAAGGGAACTGTGGGAGGTCGATAGATTGGGCATGGTTGGTTCGGATAGAAGGGAAATATGGAGGAAACAAAAACAAAACAAAACGATACTAGTGTCTAATCATAAACGTAGAAAGGTACATACCTGTCATTCATTCTTCAATTCGACAGTAACCAAGCTCTAGCATCATGACTGTCTTGCGTGCTAAAATCCTCGGGCAAGTCTGCGAGGAAAAGCACCCCCGTCCTCCCCCCCCCCCCCCCCCCCCCAATCCTCGGGTGGAGGGTAGCTCCGCCCAGATCAGAGGTTTAGCGAGGTGCAACGAATAACCGCAACACTACTGCATATTGATGTCATCGGTCGAGGATCACCTGCACGAATCTATGGCGCGTCTCTACAACTTCGCTATTTCATTTCGAAAGACATTGATTTTTGAGAATCAGAACGGAAACGAAAGGAGTGACAACTACTTACACTTGCGACAAACACAACGATGGCGGAAGTAGATATTTCCCTCCCCGCGCATCCCACAGGCGCAGCCGCCAAATTAGCAGAAGCTCATTCGGCCCTTCGGCCCCTACGTCTCTACGGCGGCTGGTTCTGCCCCTTCGTCCAACGCAGCTGGATTGTCCTCCATGAGAAGCGCATCCCGCATCAGTATGTCGAGATCAACCCCTACAAAAAAGCTTCCGACTTTCTGGCTCTCAATCCGCGGGGTCTGGTGCCCACTTTAGCCGTGCCCGTGGACCCGAGCGGTGGCGGTAAAGAGCAGAAACCACTGTATGAGAGCAGTATCATCTGCGAGTACCTCAATGAGGAGTACGCGGATGAGGGGAAGCACGGGCGGAATCTATTCCCGGAGAGCGGGTATGAAAGGGCGAGGTGCAGATTATGGATTGATCATATCAGTAAAAACATTATCCCCGGGTTCTACAAGTGGATCCAGCATACACCCGAGAAGGAGTACAGCATCGAGGAGGCACGGCAAGAGTTCTTCAAGAACGTCTTGACGCTCGTCAAGGAAATGAACGCTGACAATGAAGAGCAAGGCGGCGGCTCGTGGTTCCTAGGCGACAGGTTCAGCATGGTAGACGTGATGCTGGCGCCGTGGGCCATGCGGCTGTTTCTTATTGAACACTACAAACCGGGTGGTCTGGGGATGCCGGCTGAGGGCCAGGGGGGCGAGGATGAGAAGCTTTGGGGGAGGTGGAGGAGGTGGTTTGGGGCGACTACGGAGAGAAAGAGTGTGAAGGAGACCTGGAGCGAGGATGAGTATTATGTGCGGGCGTACAAGAGGTACGCGGAGGATACTACGCAGTCGGAGGTTGGCCAGGCTACAAGGAAGGGGAAGAAGTTGCCGTGAAACGGGGCATGTTGCCAATTGGCGCAGAGGATGTAGAATGAAAAGATGTGTCTGTTTCAAAGCCTCGGGTGGTACTGAAGATAAGGTGCTCAGCGCCTATTAAAACGGTTGGTGATAATGGCATAGTTGTGGCTGTGACCAGTTGAGAAGCGCGACAAGACACCATACGCCTGCAGTGCGCTGGGATTGCGATGAAGGTCGCGCAGTACACCTAGCTGTGAACAACTGGGCGGTCTCTAAGAGCTGATTGTGAGTGCACAAATCCCACAAACAACGTGTGCACTTGAGAAAACAAATCACATCGTAAGATACGAAACAGTGACGCAACTTCGACATGCGGCTCAAACTTGGTGAATTGCCGGTAGAAGTCGTCGGAGCTCCGTAAATTACATGAGGTCAGCTGTCGACAGCCGCAATGGCGTATCTTCAAAATTTCTAGCTTCATATAGTTTCAGCCCCGATATCATTGCCAAGGAGCCCTTGAAGCTGAAATTTTCGTCCTTTCTTTGCAGTGTAGTAGGAAACAGACGCGCCACCCAGATATGATGGCACAGTCTGAGTTCGAAGCGAGATCGCAGGCGTTTTTGCATTGGTTCAAGGCCTGGCCTGGTGCAACCTTTCATCCCGCCATCCAAATCCAGGATCTGCGGGATCGCGACGCCGGCAGGGGAATCAGTACGTTCCGCCACGGTCCCGATTGACTACATATTGCTAACTTCCATGCAGTCGCAACCTCAGATATACCTGAGGACACCGTCTTGTTCACAATTCCCAGGGACGCGATAATTAGTACGCAGAGCTCTGACTTGCCCAAGAAAATTCCCTCAATCTTTGAGGAGTCGACAACAGGCTTGGAAGATGCCGACAACGAAGCCGATGAGGACGGCGATGCCAGTGGTGCGCCCGACTCCTGGGTTTCGCTCATTCTCGTCATGATTTATGAGTACCTGCAAGGCGACAGCTCGCGGTGGAAGCCGTACTTTGATATCCTGCCCGAGAGTTTCGACACGCTCATGTTCTGGTCCGATAAGGAACTGCAAGACCTCCAAGCAAGCGCCATCACGGCCAAAATCGGCAAGGATGAGGCGGACAATATGTTTCGCGCCAAAGTTTTGCCAGTCATCGAGCAGCACGCCAGCATATTTTATCCGCCGGGATCTGACAGGCTGAGCGAAGACCTGCTAATGGTATTGGCGCATCGTATGGGAAGCACCATCATGGCCTACGCGTTCGACATGGAGAACGACGAAGAGGAGCCCGACGAGGAGAATGAAGATGAGTGGATGGAGGATAAGGATGGCCGACTTTTGATGGGCATGGTGCCCATGGCAGACATTTTGAACGCTGACGCCCAGTTCAACGTACGTAAGCTCCCGTCATGCGACGCCCTGGGTTCACATTCTAACTTGTCATAGGCTCATGTCAACCATGAAGATAAGAGCCTGACTGTAACCTCGTTGAAGCCCATCAAGACTGGTGAAGAGGTACTCAACTACTACGGCCCATTATCCAATGGGGAGCTTCTAAGACGCTACGGCTACGTGACGTTCAACCATGCGCGATATGATGTCGTGGAGCTGTCATGGGCATCAGTACTTTCTGTACTCAAGGAGCAGCTTAACTTAAGTGAAGCGGCATGGGGCAATGTAGTAAGTATATCGATGATGCCTCACTGCGTGGGTGCAATGGCAGCATGGCATTGCTAACCATCTGCAGATGAATGAGATAGAGGAAGAAGAAATTGAAGACTCCTTTGTCATCGACAGAGACCTGGAGGAGCCAGATTCAAAAGGTGACATCAATCCTGAGTACGAGTTGAGAGCCCTCCCCGCAGACCTCGAAGAACAGGTAAAGCTCTTCCTCAACGCCGTACGGAAGGTCGCCCGGGACACGGTCCCGGACAAGCGGAAGCGTGACGAGATCTCCCAGTTCGCCATACTTAACGCGCTTCAGGCTAGGCTCAAAGACTACTCTACCTCTGAGGCTGAGGACATGAGACTCGTCCCAAATACCAAGCGCCAGCACATGGCCATGACGGTGCGGATTGGGGAGAAAAGGCTGTTGGCCGAGGCGATCAAGCTCGTTCGGGCCAACATCGACCAGCAGGGCGGGCAGGACATCGAAATGTCAGAGCCGCCGGCGAAAAAACAGAGGTCGAGATGAATGCCGAGCGTGGTACCACCCTCATTACCGCCCAGGTGTTGCCCAATAGCCGACGGTGGTGGGCATCAATCTGACGCCGCGGAACACAGTCCCGAAACGAAAGGGTAACGTGTAGATGTCGTCGTCGAATCAATGGATTGAGTACCCCTCCTTGCTGCGCAAAGCTGGATTTAGTTGGGTAGTAGGCGATGACCTTTCCGCCTTTGTATCTCGAATCTGACAGCGCATCCCAACTTGGGAGAAAACATCGGGTAGCCGCGCATAGGGAATAGGGAAAGGGAAAAGGGCATTGAATACCATGCATTGGCAGGGCTAATGATAGAGGCTGACTAGATGCACAGGGGCTGGAGTATCCTAATCTACATTGCTAAAGTTAGACACCAGGTACGAATGGCTACGCGCTATTTATAGAGAGGATAATGGCGCTGTTATGTGTTCTTGGAATTGCAAATGTGACAATGACGCGCAAAGGGGATTTATGCGTCCCAACGACGATGAGAGGGGAACGAACTTTTAGATGCTATTTTGCCACTGTAATGAGTAAGTGCCCAGGTGCACTATAATAAGATTGCGCGATGATATCCGCCGCAGGACACTCTAGATTTTACACTTTACTCTCAACCTGATGACTAGCTCGTACCACTGTGAACCTTCCCCTCACAATGGCGTTGTCTCGTTCGTGCGCCCGCCTGCCTTTGGATAAAGCAATCCAATCGACTGCACTTTGCTTGTTGGTGAACCTGAAAGAGCGAGCAAGATAAAAACCACCACGAACAATTGGTTGGACTTATCGTCCCTGACTCGAAGGTCCATACCTAAGTAATTCATCATTCGGACTTCGCTTCCACAACTTTCAACTGAGAGTTTTCCGATTGTTGCAGTCATCAGACGATATCCGTTGGCCAGATCTAGTTACGATTGCCGTGCAAACACCGTTGTCTTTCCTCCAAACTCGAGCCCAGCTCCTTCCTGAGCTATCTGCATTGTGGAAGTAAAAGGGGACAAGCACCTTCGTACCTGGACATGCACGCAGCGAAGCAGCGATAGCAAAAACAATGGAGTACCCTTGGGACGTCGTGGCCATTGTCTGTTTATGCACGTTGGGGGTTCTAGTCATATTAGCAGTGTAAGTGACCGTCGGCAAGTCACGACCACAAATCGAGTCGACTCGACTGAATCGCAATTCTGACGATAATGTTGATGTGCAGTTGGTTCAGAGTACACCTGTTCTTGAACCTGTTGTCGTTTAAGCAAAAGAATAAGGCGAACATTGTGTTGCCTAAGTCCCTACAGCGGGCTTTGACAACGTTGGAGGAGGTGACGGATAAGAGGGGACACAGGAGCGAGAGGAGGGATTGCGAGGATAATGACTGGTACATCCCGACTCCTTGATACCTCTCCCGGACGGACCTGACTGACGCATTCCCAAGCCCAATCTGTCTCGCATCACTATACGCCCCACCAGAAGCGAACGACGCCGAAGACCCCGACCTCGAAGGCGGGACTCAGGTAATCACCCGGACAGAAACCACTACTACGACGTGTACGGGTATGAAAGAAAAGAATGGCAGCTCACCAGCAGCAAGGGAGTGGCAACCACAACCCATCGACGATGAGATTTTAAAAATGAAGAGGTGTCAGCATATGTTTCATGCGCGCTGTCTGGCGACGTGGTTTCTGAGGAGGAGGTATGATTGTCCCGTTTGCAGAACGCCATATTATCAGGACGTGCGGGAGACGGAAGGAAGAAGTAGGGAGGATCTGCATGCGCAGACGCCGGCTTTGCCTGTAGTGCCCATGTGGTGATGTTTGGGCTGCGCAATAGGGAGATGTTGCAGAGTCGTGGATGAAGACGGACGGGTTGTGTATATTACCGGTACCGTGCGGACAACCGCTGCGAATGGTGAGACTGAGCTTTGGAAAGGCAATCACACTAGTTAGTACTGCCTCTTGAGGTGCACATCGAGCGGAACGAGGACTGTATTTTCCTGAACCCGTCTGAAGCTGTCACTGCCAAGGACAAATCGGTGCCGCCGAGTTCGACAAATGTATCTCGGAAGGGCGATACGGCGCCAACATCTTATCATTCTAATGCGAACATGATGCCATGTTCTCATGGAAAACTGGATGAACTACTGTAGAGTTTGGGTATAGTCCAGGTCAAGGTTCGACATTTGTCGAGCTTATCGTGAGGTAAGTAAGGTTCAATGGCTGCACCAGAGCTCCTGAAGATCGGAATCGCTTAGCCCTAGCGAGGGGAGACGGGAGCGCGTGATTAGCCTCACTCAACTTGACAGTTTCTGCGGGCTTACGCAGATCATTCATCAATAGCAGATGAATCGAACAAGACGTAAAATTACAAACAGCCCGTATTAGACGTTTGTGATTAGGGTTGAAAGGATAACTCAACCAATTTGTGCGGAGAAAAACTCCGGACTACAATGTTGTAACACCTGAGATGCAGATTGCAGATGTGACAGCGTGCTGGGAGCTTGGGCTGTGTTCATTTCACCGCCCGGCAGTATCGATGTCATCGACGATCCATAGAGGGAATGATTTCATTGATCTTTGTTACAGCTCGCGCCTTCTGCTCTAGGTGATGCGCCCTATCCCGTGACCTCTCAGCTACTTTGAGTACGATTGATGCATCACGAGTTGAGCCGGGCCACAGTGACGTGCACTTTTGGCCTCTCGTCTCAGGCCTCTCAGCGATATGGCTTATTCTAATTGGTAACCGGTGAATGTTCAACTCAGGTAAAACGACAAGTGATCAGAAAACCAACGCCATAGCTTCCGGAGCAACGTTCCCGAGTTTCGACGTGGATAAGTGCATATATGACGTCCTCTAGGGGCTATCCTCAGATCGATCTGCAATCCTTTGAGGTCCACTCCGCCGGATGTCTTTGGGAAAATCACTGCACCCTAGTTCATGCAGTTGTCCATCTCATTGTTCCTGTCCAGTTTCCCTTCCCCTTGCCCACCTGCTCGTCCAACGGGGGACTTGACCCGACCGTTTGCGTACCGTCCCGCAACGTTCCTCGCCAGCTGAGTTGCATGGCACATTCCCTACCACCTCGCATTTGTTCATCGAAGATCGCCTTTCGACACTCCCTCGCTGCATTTGCTCCGGCGAGCATTCATTATATACCTGCACGACCCAGCGTCAGCTCCCGCCTTGTAGCCACCATGGTTTCCAAACGTAAGCGGCCTAACATGGCGCTCATGCAAGACGATATAAACACCGGGGAGCAAGCAACACCGGACACCCCTTCTTTTGCGCCGCGCCGGTCTGGGAGGAAGCTGCAGCACACAGGCTATGGACTTTGTCCTGATGCCAACGCGGCGGGCATGGAGAAATCATCGTCCGAAGGCGTCCGCTCCAAAGTTAAGCAGCAGAAGAGCAATGGCCGGAAGGGTGTCGATGTTGCCTTGGATGGCCTCAAAGAAATGGAGGACAGCTTGAAGGACGCTGTCAAACGACAGAAGCTGGCCGTCAAGTCGAGCTCGGTCATTAGCAGTCACGACTCGACTGCAGAAGATGCAATATTCATGCCTCGACCCTTGAAACCTTCCCCGGATGTCATAGGGGCCGGCCGGGGAAAGAAGAAGACGGCAAGCGGTAATGTGGATCCCAGCACACAAGGCAAGAGCCCAAATGGCAAGCCAGACGAGCTGGTGCATGATCGGGACGGCCCAGCCGCTGACGAAACCGGACCTGTGGATGTCGCTACTTTTAAGCAGGAAGGCGCGAGACAGCCGCCGGTGAATAGTGACTATCTACCATTGCCGTGGAAGGGCAGATTAGGATATGTAAATTTGCCAAGCTCTTGCCGCGCGAACCTATGTAGCGATGCTAACTCTGGACAGGCATGCCTCAATACGTATCTCCGCCTCTCAAATCCTCCAGTGTTTAGTTCTCGAACCTGTAGGATATCCTCTATCCTAGAGCATCGTCATCCTCTTCAAGATCCTGCGCAGCCGGAACATGCAACCAAGAACCGCCCAGACAAGTCCAAGCCGGCGGACGCAGCAAGGGGTCAGAAGTACGTTGAAGCGTTGGGATTGGCCAATGCGCGAGATATTGTGAAGATGATTCGATGGAACGACAAGTATGGCATCAAGTTCATGCGCCTAAGTTCAGAAATGTTTCCATTCGCCAGCCACGAAGACTACGGCTACAAGTTGGCCCCGTTCGCCTCAGCGGTGTTGGCTGAAGCAGGCAAGGGGGCAGGTGAACTGGGGCATCGACTGACCACACATCCTGGTCAAGTGAGTTTGCTGGTGCTAAATATATAAATGCTTACTTACACGAATTGCTAGTTCACTCAACTTGGATCACCACGCCCGGAAGTTGTCAGAAATGCTATTCGCGATCTTGAGTATCACAATGAACTCCTGTCGCTTCTACGTCTCCCTGAGCAACAAAATAAGGATGCCGTCATGGTTTTGCATATGGGTGGCACCTTCGGTGACAAGGCTGCAACACTCAAAAGATTTCGAGAAAACTACGCCAAACTCTCCCAAGGCATCAAGGCGAGGCTGGTTCTTGAAAATGATGATGTGTCCTGGACGGTGCACGACTTACTCCCCATTTGCGAGGAGTTGAACATTCCTATGGTATTGGACTTTCATCATCACAACATCCTCTTTGATCCAGATAAAGTGCGAGAAGGGACCAAAGATATCATGGAGCTGTTCCCTCGGATCAAGGCCACTTGGGATAGGAAGGGAATTACACAGAAGATGCACTACAGCGAGCCATGCGCTGAAGCGGTGACTGGACGGCAACGACGGAAGCATAGCGCGAGAGTCATGACACTGCCTCCTTGTGCTAATGATATGGATCTTATGATCGAGGCAAAGGACAAAGAACAAGCTGTGTTTAATCTGATGCGAAACTATCGACTACCTGGCTGGGACAAATGTAACGACATCGTGCCTTATGAGAGGGACGATGAAAACCGCCCTGCGCCGAAAACTCCGAAAAAGAAGAAACTGAAGAGTAAAAAGGCGGGCGACGACAATGACGTGGACGAAGACACTATCATGGAGGAGCCCATGACTCACCAGGATGTTCCGTCTGAGGAAGTCGGCATGGGCGGTCCAAACAGACGCGTGTTCTGGCCTGTTGGCATGGAGGAGTGGCTACGGCCTAAGAAGCGTGAAGTGAAGAAGGTAGAGGTTGAGGATATTAAGACTTAGCTCAAGAGGATGAGAACTAGATGCTTCGGTCCCAGGGGAACCAGTCGAAGGCGGATCGCCTGCGCATGTGGAATGTGCGTGAACCTAACGGTACGGCAGCTCCATCGGAATCTGAATCGTAACACCTGCAACGATAACGAATGATGCATGCGGGGCAGGACGCGATGGAACGAGAACTTGATATTTGATATGAGTGGAGGATTGCAGTACGTTGCTGGCGATTCCGTGCTTCACGCAAACGCTGATGGATACAAATGCTTTCGACCTAATTTTGTACAATAGCATAATTCACATTTTGAGCTCCCTCGAAAATCGGTCATGTATCCACCATTGTACAACGATTGAGAATGACATAGATCCGATCTGCGGGGAAATGATCAGGCATACTGCGGTGCACTTTTAACACATACAACCTCAAACTCCACACTAGACGCAGGGTATTGATGCAATTAGCGTAGCTTGGGCAAATGGGGATTCGCGACACAAGAAGCTCGTCGAGAAAATATCCATCTACGTACCCATGCGATGAACTACAGGGTAGCACAGAAGCAATTCAAAGCGCAGGACTAATGCCGACTTCAGCATATGCTGCTCGCGATGTAGTTCCTTGGGGACTAGATCTTCTGTATTATATCAAATTATATCAGTGTTGAAACCGAGCTCCTGGATGGAAACACGTTGTCAAGTCTGCATCCAGAGGCATACCCCATCGACGCGGGCAATGTGGGACGAGTCGCAAACCACCGACAGGCAATCGGGGCTGTGACTGAAACACCAAGATGGCAAACGATGGGATGAAGTCGTATCTAGTTCTAGTTCTGGCTCTCTCACGAGTCGTAGCCACCAGCAGCGTGCCATGTGTAAGCGAGCAACTCGCACTACTCGGGCACAAACCCGACGCGATTTGAACAACCGGGCGTCTCAGGCGGCAGAATGAATATACAAAGATGTATTCGTGGATTGGAAGAAGGCAAACCGACCTATCCATGCACCAATACATACCAGGACACTCATGCAAGTTTTGGAAATCTTACGATGCAAGGCAAGGGACCCATTCTCAAGGCCAAAAACGTGGTCAACATGTCGCTTTCATGTGCAATGAGATCACGTTTGACGATGGCAATGATGTCAATCCCTTGCCCGACTGGGAAAGCCCTGCAAGTCTTTCACATGCATGCGCACGGCAGCCCAGATGAAGCGGAGGTAAAGGAGTGGTATTCGCGCATTCCCATCGACATGCGGAACGCTCGCGGTGTGCAAGGCCATGTGATTGCTCGTTGACGAAAGGAAATAGGCGAGTAGCACGACACTTAGGGCGCGAGAGTTACATTTTGGTACGTTGATAAAATGACGCTGTGTGGCTGCAAGTGTGATCGTCACTCAAAAACCGACGAGATAACTCGAAAGGCGGGGGGACGATCGTGGCCCCCGGCCCAACCCCTCCATGAAAATGGCTCGTGCACCCCTCAACCCACCCGACGAGCGTTGAGAGGGCTATGCAAGGCCGCTGCTGCCATCCATTCATCATCATCTTACCCAACCCTCCCCTTCCCCAGGCCATCATCATCTGCAACTTCTTTCTCGTGTTTGTGTCACAGGCAAGACATCTATCACACCATCAGTAACACAACGTCGCCATCCCACGATTGCGATACTATCAGCAAGCCAGTGCAGAGCCAGAAGCTGGAAGCTCTAGGGTAGCTGCTGACTGTACTTCCCGCTATCTACTGGTTTAACGCTGAACGGCTCGGCTGTCTTCGCGCAGCAGTTCACGCGACATCGTCTGGAGAACAGCTGCAGAGGAACAAAAGATCCACTGTTTTGCCTCTCAGGGTCTCAAGATTGAACTCCCCCGCAGATAATACTCGCTGGTCTACCAAGCTCCACCCGGTTGCTTGCCCGCCGCCCGCCTGCCGACTTGGAAAGCTAATCGGTACCGACCGACAAACAAACATTGTTCATCGTTCCGCCGCCGAGCTCCCCGACACCAACCTTCTTCCTTCTACTTTACGTACAGCACTAGTATACCAAGCAAGAAAACCGAGCATCCGATATTCTGATAGCTTACTTTGACTATTACTCCGAAAAACTCAACTCAACTCAACTCACCATGGCCACCGTTGAGACTAGCCCGAACGCGGTTCACTCCCCTCCCGGCCCTGGAGCTAAGCGTCCCAGAGGTATGTGTCATTGCCCAATCCCACCAGCTCACCCCTCTGTCACACGTCGCAAGACAACCCCAACTTCAACTGCGATAGTATTTATATAGCAAAACACTGACGTGACTCAATCTAGGCATCTTGAAGAACTCGTTCCAGCGCTCCCCGCCCACTTCGCCCACCAGGGAGGTCGACGATAAAGAGCTCGTTATCCAAAACACTCAAGCGAACGCCGGCCACCGGCGCTCCTCCTCCACCGCCTCGCGCCCCGCAGGCTCCCGCCGTCAATCTAGTCGCACCCCCTCTACATCCGCCGATGCCGAAGGCGAAGCGGAAGTCGAGGACAACTCGCAGCGTCTGAAATGGGACGAGGCGAACTTGTACCTGACGGAACAGGACCGCACGTCGACGATGAAGATCACGGAACCCAAGACGCCGTACGCAAAGCATTATGAGCCGTCCGAGGACGAAGATGACGACGAAATGGACGGACGGGAGGACATCCCGGGTCTGTCTCTGGGCGAGCCCGAGGAGGATGTTCCCGAGGGCGAGTTCGCGCCCCGCAAGTCGAGCAAGGTCCACGTTAATGATGAGGACGCGACGCCGTTGCATGATGCGGAGAACGAGTACCTGGGTATGACGCCCGAGGAGCGCGAGAAGCACCGTCGCTTTGAGGAGCTGAGGAAGAAGCACTATGAGATGAGGGAGGCAGTGGGGTTGCTGGGACATCCTGAAATTGTAGATGAGGATGAGGAGGACCTCGAGGCGCATGGTGGTGCGCCACCGGTCCCGAAACTGCTTGATGTTGCTGCTGTCAATGGCACGAGTTAGGTTTACGAGGCCATCCTGAGGTTGCCCTTGGAGTCTCTGCCTCCGTAGTGAGGACGGAGAGATATCTTCTTAACGGTGAGCGAGGTATGAGGAAAGGAAAGAAAGAAATACGAGATTATGAAGGGGAAGGAAGGGGAGGGAACGGATTGAAACGAGATGCATCAGATAAAGGAGTTTTACGGTACTGCACAGATCGGGGCTGGCGTCTTGCGAGGGATTTCCGTTGAAACTCAATTCTGCTTGACGCGGAGAGCTTGCTATACTGTGCGTGCTCTCGGGGACAATAATGCGATATACCACTACCTTGACTGTAACAATGTTTTGATATGGGCTTTTAATATGCGAAATCGCGGTGCTGTATTTTCTCGATATTACTCTGTTGTCTCGATTAGACGGGGAACATCTTCACCATGACAGAGTCCTTGTTGATATTTCCATTGTTGCTCTTTAGAACAATGTCGATATGGTAAATTAGGCGTCCCCCCTGTCCACTTTCTGGGGCTTCGGGCGTGATACGACCACGAAAGACACCAGTGATTCGATTCTCGAGTCAATATACCTTTTTTATTTCTTCGTATGGCCCATATACGCCTTCCCTTTCATGGTCTCCTCCTAAACCTCGAATCGATACCTTGGCTACTTTATTTGTTGTGCTGTTTCCCGTCCAAACCGTATCTTCGCTCAAGCGGTTTGGTAGTTGTGTTCTAACGAGATAGAAGGCACCGGTAATCTCCAAGCTGGCCACCTAAGTAGTTTGCGAGCTCATAACATGCCCTTCCGCGCCAACTCGACCTTCCGCGCCGCCTCGCCTGCCTTGAATCCGCCCTTGGATATACAGATTCGGTGGCCGTCTACCGTCTCGGATTTGTCTTCTTGGGCGGGGAAGGCGCAGGGGCAGTGGTGGGGGAAGTGTACACATGCTATTCCCCAAGGTCAGTATGTGTTTTCTCTGCAAAGCTCTACTCCGCCCCTGTTTTCCTTCCTCGGGGCAGATGCTGAACTCGACCAAGGGCTAATGGGGAATGGGGGAGGGGAGGCAGAAGTGGACCTACCCAACGTATCTGGACACAAGTACTTGTCACATGTATACAAGTTCCAATGATTCTGATATATGGACGCGTCACTCGGCACGTTCTGCGGTTGTTGGCGCTGCTGCTGCTGTTGTTGCTGTCCACCGTTCCCGCCGAACATCTGGTCGAAGAAGCCGAATTGGGCGGATGCCGTGGAGAGGAAGGTGAAGAGCAGCGCAAGGAGGGGGCTGAAAGTGCGCATTATAGGTAGTGGTAATCTCAAATAGCAGATAAACAGGCGCAACAGTTAAAAGAGCGACTGGGTCACTGTGCTCTAGAGGCAGTTGGCAGATAAGTCACGATTGGTGGTTTGCAAGATTCTTGAAGCATTGCTGGCAACTTGAACATTACGTCTCTTATCGCTATCGCATTAAATTGACCGCCGACCATGGACCCCTGTCAAATTAGGTAAGCGGAAATTTTCGTGACTTAATGAACTTGACCCGAGCACCACGACCCCAATGTCGAATGGTTTGATGGAGCTCCAGTGAATCTGCAACCTGCCCCCTCTTTGGAGAGACGAGCATTCGCCAACAGCAGAACCAGTCATGCGAATCGCTCAATTGCAGCGGCCATTGACGGCTGCTGCGTCTGGTATCTCCAGACCATCCTTGGGCCCCACGTCGATTCGGCAACTCCAGGATGTCTTCAGCCAGCTGCGGATAGGCGGTTCTGGTGCGGCGGTGGAAGGTCGACGATATGCCGCTGTCAAGAGTCAGGGAATGTACCGTCTTCGGGACTCGAGCACAATTCCCAAGAAACTTGGTGCTAAGAAGAGCGGTGGTAAGAATTCCTCGTTCTCTACCCACCTGATGTCAAGTTCAGCCCAGAACTAACCCCCATCCCCAGACTCCTACGTAATTCCTGGCAACATTATCTACAAACAACGCGGCACCAAATGGTTTCCCGGCGAAAACGTTGGCATGGGCCGCGACCACACCATCTACGCCCTGACCACGGGCTACGTGAAATACTACCGCGACCCCGCCAAGCACCCCGACCGCCAATACATCGGCGTCGTCTTCAACAAGGAAGACAAACTCCCTTACCTCCCGCACTGCATGCGCCGCCGCAAACTCAACATGACAGCCTCCATCATTCCGCAGCGCGCCTCCGAGCCCGAACTCAGCCCCTCCGGCATCCCGAACCAGGTCGTCCGCGTCGGGTACGGGCGCAATCCCCACCCGCGCGAGGAGCGGATTTTCAAGTTGCGTAAGGATGGGTCGTATAGTTACCAGGAGGAGCCGTGGAGGCTGGGTACGTTGATCCGCACAGAGAAGAGGAAGATGGGATCTAGACGCGTGGCTATGAGGCAGAGGAGGAAGAAGACCAAGGCTATTCAGCTTGAGATGAGGCGCGATCGCGAGGATAAGATTGCGAGGAGAAAGGAGGCGTTAGATGCGCAGAGGGCGGCTAAGACGCGGAAAATGAAGGAGTATTATACTAGGAAGAAGGCGGAATTGGCGCAAAAGGAGGCGAGTAGCGCGGCGAGCGGGGAGATGCCGCCTAGTCAGCCGCCGCCCCCGAGGGTAGAGGCTTGAGGGTGGGTAAGGTTGAGAAGAGTAGATTGTGGTAGGCTTCAGAGCTGTGTCTGGGGCTACCCCGGGTTTGGGAGCTTTAAGCACTTCTGGCTGGCGACATTAGAGACATTGTATCATACATGTACACAGGAGGAAACGGATGTAAGATACACATCTTCATGGCTCAGTGATTACACTCGGCAATTTCCATTGTCCCAAGGTTTGAGTACAACCAACTCGGAATATGCAAAACGCCGTTTTTCTCCAGCTATGCTGGTCTGATTGCATCCTTTGTAGGATAACAGTTTATAATTGATGAAACGACGAGGAAATTCAATCGCGTTTTGAGGGAGATTTTCCCAAGTACTTCTACGATGGACATTTCCCCGAGAGCAAGTCAACAAATCGCTGTCGAACTGATGTTCCGACCCCCTCGATCGTGATGTTCTGAGATGAATCGTGGTCCAAAGAATAGTTGCTTGCTGTTCTAGTATATTTACGCGGTTTGGTCCTGATACAATATAGTAACCTAGAAGATTTGGATTGATTATAAAACTTTTCCAACTTTGTACTGCTTTCGGGGATTGGAGCGCTTTTATGACAGCTTCTATCAAATTCGTGTCACACAGAGATATTACATCAGCATCTATATCCTCAGCCTCTACCGTAACCTCTTATTGATATTATTATTCTTCACAGCCTCGCTAAACTGATCCTTAATCAACCCACCCCCAACCCCCTTCCACGTCCCGCGTCACTCCAACCTCTGCCGAATAGCCGTCTTCCGATTCAGCTCGGGAATCTGATACTCGCTCCTCCTCTCCTCCCTAACCTGCTCCCAGAAATCATATCCCCTCTCCTTCTTTCTCCGCCGTCTAGCTGCCATATCCTCCCTCATCTTCCTCCTCTTCTCCTTCGCTTCCTTCGCCTTCTTCGTCCTCATCCTCGCCAATCTCCCCTTCGTTTTCTCTACCCCGGAGCGGGAGTACTTGAATATTGCTCTGAAGGCGGCTTGTACCCGGCTGCTGAAAGCAGCTACTAAACTCGCGGCTATCAGAAACGCCGAGGAAGGTAGGGAAATGGCTCCGATGGTGCCGAGGGTTACGTTTTTATTCCCGTCGTCGCCGCCCCATTCTTTGGTGTTCATGCCGAAAAGACTCGTAAAAAAGCTCAGCGGGAGGAAAATAACGGTGAAGGTGGTGAATATCATGACCGACAGATTCTGTGTGCTAGCCAACTCGGTCTGCAGACGCGACCACCGCACCTCATCTACTTGTGCTTGTCTTTGCACCATCTCAAGCAACTTCTCGTAGTCCTTTCGCGTGGTGTCGATGCGCTCCAGCATGTCGGTCGTTTGTTTCCTATACTCATCCAGCCTAATCAGCGCCTCGTCAAGGAACTTCTGCCCGTTGTGGGTATGTTCTTGTAATTCGGGCTTGTCGTACAGGGCGCGCATGTCCTCGATGGCAGTGGTCTGCTGATCGAAGAGCTTCTTCATCGTGTTGAGCTCGTCGTCCATATCGCGCAATTCTAAAACGGCCGAGGTGTGTTCGCGGTTCTCGCGCTCGGCTTGTTCGAGTTCGCGTTTGTGTCGCTTCTTGATGGACGAGGAGCGGTTTTCTTCCATGTCGGAGGAGTCCGAATCTTGCATTTTGTCGCGGAAGGTTTGCATGCGAAAGCGTTTCAGGGAGGACGTCATGCGCTCGATCTGCGGTGGTGTTAGCTTGACAGTTGAATTAGGAACAAGTAGATGTCGCCTACCAAAACACCAATGGCTTCTTCGAAGATGCGGAAGATCTCCAGGTCAGGATGTGAGGTCCTATCCAATAAGACCGTGACCGCGTGAAGAGTGATGAAAGCAGCCAGGTCCAAAGCGTTCTCGCAGCGTCCAGTCAAATCTCCATTGAGCTCGTTGTAAACGCTGTTCCTGAGATCTGCCTGCTGGAACATAGGCCCCTCTGTAGGATGCGACTCTCTCTTTGGGAAGAATGTCGTCAAAGTAGTCGTATCCACCGCCCAAAGCCAAAGCTGGTCCACCATCAAGACGTTGCCATCAAGTATATCATCCTCGAGATCCGAGTCCGAGTCCGAGTCCGAGTCCAGGCGGCTGAGGACATCCGCATTCACGAGCTTGTTAGCAACGGACTCCAGCCTGCTAGCAGGCGACGTCGCTGAATTGGCGTCTTGCTTCTCTGCCCGAGTCCCAAATATGTCGCGTTTGTCGGAGAAAGGCATCGTCACTTGCTCCTTAGTGAGCTTATACAGAATCTGATCGTCATCTCGCGCATACGTGTCTTGCAGGGAGGGATACCCGTACTGGTCCAACGTCCTGCGAGTGTTAAACGGAGGATCATGGCCGACGTATTCCCAGATGACGCGCAACTCCAGTGATTCCTTTTCGGCGACATTTTTGGGCACGGGTCTAGCTCTGCCGTGTCTCAGTCGGCGTTTGATGATATTTCGTCGCCGGACTATGTTGATGTATGTGTCGAAATGCAAGTAGGGGAGATGCAGATACAAATGCGTCGGCGAGGGAGTAGGGCTACTTCGACCGCTGAAACTCGGGGAAGATGGCCGTGGCGAGTCTTTGGCAGGTCAGAACAGTCATCCTGGAATAGGCCAGTAGACTTACGTGATTCGGATGCAACAAACCCGCAACCAGGTTTGACGTAGGAGGCATGCGCCTGTGCATGTCTACCTTGAACCTGCCGATTAACCCAGTAATCATTCTGAAGAAGCTTGGAGTAGCTCTGATGCTGGGTTTCCGAGAGCTTATCAAAGATACTCTGAAATCGAATTAGCTGAAGTTAAATACCAAGACTCTATGCAAACTGACCTTAACCCAATGAGGGTTATTGAAAGGCAGATGGATCCACATAAACTTCCTCTTATTCGGATCCGGTCGCGAGAAACCGGCAGTCAAGTCCTCCAATGCCGACGCTTGACTAACGTGGTGACCCCTTACTTTCGAACCAGGGTCGTAGTCGTTCTCATCAAGCCCCGGGGCAGCATCATGAGTGACCGATTGGTCTATAGGGACTGGGCCAACAGTTCGTGGAGAAACATCAGTCGCGGTGGGATCAGACAGGGTTCGCGCAGTCTCATTACTATCTGTCCTTTTGCTCAAGCTGCTGCTACGAGAAGGACGATTAAATCCAGGGGTAGACAGCGAAGGCACCGTAAGGCCCCGACTACGGCTGGGCACCGAAGCGGGCATCGAGTTCGATGCACCGACGGGAGGTGGACGTGAAAGCCCATCGCTTGTAACCACAATCTGCGGGGACCCGGGCCTCCCTGCTCGATCAGGGCTGCGGACCTGACTTCTAGAGGGAGGTCCATTGAAGAGCTTCTGGCCCATATCTTGCATTGTACTCCAGATTCCCAGGGCACCAGAACTGAGATGAAAACCACTGGAACTGGAGGACGGGAGTTGAGACGGGCGGAGAGTGAGGCGACGTGGTTTTGCGGCAACTGTGTTCAGCCTTTCCCGAAGACAATTTTCGGGTCCTTTATCCAGGAACTCATTGAGGTAGTGCTTGGAGGAGTAGAGTCTGACATCAGACTCTGAATCCGGATCAGGATCGTCGTAAAACCCGATCAACTCTAACTTGACGTTGTCGGCCAGCTTCAGGGGCGTATGCACCCACTTGGAGCTGAGTTCCTGGGCTTTTCTTACGGCCCTGCCCAGATCTATTAGATACGAGTGCATCGTCGAGATATTGTTTATGCCGAAAGAAGGGCAACGTGCGTGGTCGCTTTCCAAGGACAAGGCCTGTTCGTGTCGGCTTCCAACTATGCTCGACTTAATGGACGCGATTGGGGCACTGAAGTGGACCTCATCTAGATCTCCGGCGCCAAAACCAGAGAGCTGTGAGTCGATGGTCTCATAGAAGGTCCAGATGTGCATCTCACTGGCGATATCTGTGAAGACGTCATGCATGTCAAGCAAGGACCTGTGGTTGAGGCGCAAACCGTCTGTTATTGATCTTGGCAGAGGTTGCGGAAGATCGAGCAGGTGCTGCATGCTTTCTCTCAAGTTTGGCATGGACATGTAACTGGAGCCTCGATGGGGCGTAGCTGGTTCTGTTAGCCCCAGGAAACAGGTGAAATCTCAAGACATCATACCAAAGAAAGTCATGCCGTGACAGTCGAAGATGATCCACCGCATATTCCCCATCTTGCTCGCTTTGACAAGAGCTAACTTGGCAACCAGTCCACCGATGCTGTGGCAGATGAAGAAAAACGGCCGAGAGGCGGGAGTGCCCTCGCGCATCTGACAGATATGCTTTAGCAGATCATCGGCCATCTCATCCAGCGTCAGCCCTTCATACAGCTTGCGATGTCTGTACAGCAAGACACGAGCCGTGTTGACTTCTTTCTTGATGCCATGGCGTATCCACAGATGTTGCGCCTTGGGCAGATGCCGGTCAATAGCTGGAGACAGAACACTGCTTTCAAGGACTGGCTTCGCAAACGTGCTTGGGTCCCTCTCAATATCCGCTCGCGATGGCCCTCCAAAGTAGCCATTGGTAGGTAACGGGTCCCGCACCCATGTTTCGACAGGCGGTGCTCCAATGCAAGGCACGGCAATAATGTCGACTTTGGTCTCATTCAAGCCCGAACCACCGATATCTCCATCGACGTGAGCAAATCCCGGCTCCGGATCCCAATGAGAGAAACTGCTGCGAGTCGATTTCTCAGTCTCAGCCACGTCGGCGACCCCATTATCCAGCGGCGTTGGCTCGTCGAGAGTCTGACGCCCCCATTCGGTCGCTTGATGAGGCTCGAAATCTCGAGCGCCGGTCACTTCTCGGAGGTCCTCTGAACTTTCCGGTGCTACGGTCGCCATCATAATCACTTCCGCTCAAAATAATAAAGCACCAACAAAGAAAAAGAAGCAACTACTGCGCGCATGATCAGATACTTGAGGAAAGGCATGGCAGGAGAAGGCTGTGCCGACTTGCGGTGATCGACAGGACATTTAATCAGTCTCCAGGCAACCTCAGTAACACATCCCCGTAGGACTATGCCGCTGCATGCAGAAACGGCTGCGGCTCACGCCACCCTACTTGCTTGTTGGCCAGAACGTGACAAGCAAACGTGGATACTTTAACCATTCCGGCGACAACAATAAGCAACAAGCACAGCAAACTGTGACTGCCCGTTCGCTGGTCGCTGGCCAACTTGCATTGAAGGGTGCTAAATTCGTGAGACCTGACCCTCCATGAGCGGGCAAGAGGCTAGCGGCCGCCTCATGATGGCCACCAATTGGCCGATATTTGAATCAGATCAGCACTGCTCGATCCGTCAGATGCTGCTGACGTCAGCGCGTGTCACTTGACTGCGTGAGGCTGATGTCGCTAAGTTGGAGGTATGGACGCCAGGTAATTCCGTTACGTGATAAGAACCGAAGTTTATCACAGATTTCTGCAGAGAAAAGTGCAATCTGCGCATTGTGGGAACTTCTGCGGAGGTGAGGTCGAAGAAGGGGGGTTATGCGGAGTCGTTCGCCGGGGATTTGTGCACACAGCTTCTTGCCGATTTGCCGGGCGCTTCGACCAGGGGTGACCCTACTGCGGACCGGGCCGCGAAATACCTACTGTCAACTCAACAGTACGGACTTAGGATTGGTAATAGTCAAGCTTATGTCTTCTATTTTCATCGTCCCTGCTTTGTTTTTCAATAATACGCGGAAAATTGTGAGGTTTCCCTCCACCCTGATGTTCATTCTTGCAGTACGCATGTAGTGGGATTATCGCTCTGCAGAAGTGACTTGAACATAGATGCACAATGAACGGCCAACTGGACGTTTTGGTCTACCCATTGGGACGGCGGTCAATAATCATCGCGGCGTGTAAAATTTGGGTTTATAGGGTTATTGAACATGCGGAACCTCATTTCTTATGAATCACTGTACGTAGAAACCGTTCACATGGCCAGTACTGTAACACAATCACCTCGAATGTCCACATCCGGCACTTATCAGAGCTTAAAAATACATTAGATGATGACTTGAGGACTAGTCGACAAGAAAAAGCTATAAGAAAATTCCGATGTATGTTCAATGATACTCATACAGCTTATGACTATTGCGTGCTAGTTCATACGTTTCATTCACATGTTATCTGAGCAAAGTTTTACATCAACTGTGGGCAGGCAATTGTCATAGCTCGAAGCTTACTATATTCATTGCCGACGCGAACCATCACAGGAGATTTATATGAAGGCCAAAAAGAGATGTTTTTTTCTTTTTTTATGATGATTACTTCTGGTTTGAGGCGGGGTTTTGTAGGCGTTCGGCCCTGCACTTGGCCAACCTTCCCATCTACAGGCTGTAAATTCCTGCACGTCGCTTCCAATATATCCGGCTAAAATACGCGTCAACCAAGACCTGAATATGCCGTACCAGAACAGAAGCCTGTGATCGTGTGTAGCATAAGCATATATCCAAAATAAATTGCCGTCGTAGCCTCCTCATAGTATAAGATGAAAACTTCCAGAAGCAGAAATTGCTCTTGACTTAATAACTCTGTTACAAACCCTCACTTCCATCATTTGGCCAAAAGCGTCTGCAGCGCACCATTTGCCAGTCCAGTGTACCCCACCGTCATAATCCATCGACTCCGCCATAATGCGCTCAACATCCACTATCACCACGCCCGACGGCATAACCTGGTACTTCGAACAAGAAGGTACCGGCCCGCACATAGTGCTCATTCCCGACGGCCTAGGAGACTGCCACATGTTTAAGAAGCCCCTATCCCTGATAGCCAATAGTGGATTCACCGTCACCACCTTCGACAACCCGGGTCTATCCCGGTCCTCCAACGCACCACCCGAAACATACCAAAACTTCACCCCTCACAAGCTCGCAGGCCAGGTTTTCAGTTTGCTGGACAATCTGCACATCGACATCGCCACATTCTGGGGCTGCAGTTCGGGCGGCGCGGTGGTTTTGGCACTGGCGGATAATTACCCCGAGCGCGTGCGCAATGGAATGCCGCATGAAGTCCCAACTTATGCGTTCAAAGCTTTACTGGATCTTCTTGAAGAAGACAACATGACCATATCCTCTAAGATGAAAGATTTCGTGCCCTCAGGTCTCGTAGGCAATGTCTCGGCGCGGGACGCGCTGGGGCCGGATTGCCATGCGAGATTGTGGAAGAACTACCGGCGGTTCATTCGTGAGTATGTTTCCACGTTTTCGCGGAGCTCGCCCATACGTCTGGAAGGTTTGAGGAAGAGGCCACTGGATTGGAGTGTCGGGGCGAAGACGCCGACGGCGGCATTTTTGGATAATATTGTTGTGGCTACAAGGGCTGGAGTTGGGGTTACGGCGTTGTCGGGTATGCATTATCCGTACGTGACGGATTTTGAGGAGTTTGCAAGGTATGTGGTGGATACGACGAGGAAATACTTGTGAAGACTTGAATACTTGCGGAGAGGTGAGTTTTGGCCTGGCTCTGAGCAGGCTCGCGGGCATGATAAAGCAGCATAATTCAATGGCTGCCATCAACTCCGAAATATATGGGAGGAGGGGCCGGAATAGTAGTATTTATTTAAATCGTCTAGGCGTGTTCCTATATTCTTCAGAGGGGGACTTCCTCCTAAGCAACCGTCCGGGTATAACTCAAATAAGAGCATCATGAGATGATGATTATTGAATTATCTGTGACTCATATTTTGAATACTAACCATGTTGGCCATGTAATTATGAACGAGCCCGAGTATCCCCTGACGTGTGGCATAACGGAGGTTGACGGGCGGTTACCATGTGGGAAAGATTTCACCGTGCTAGTAAATCGGATGAACCTGTGCTTTGAATTGCCGTTACTAGTAGTGAGATCTGAGACCTTACTACAACAGCCTTATGAAATCGTACTTGTTATTTACTTGACGCAGCTCATCCCTTGGCACAACCTATCCACGCCGCCGTGGTCGTTTTCGTGTTACGGAGAACTCTGTCTTGAATCCGGCTTTAGCGGTTACCAAGACATGTCTCATTAGGTCGGGCAGCAGCGCCAAATTCCCCATCCTCAGTACAGTGACCCACAATGTCTCCGTTCGGCTCCACACCTTAATTAAGACATCAAAAATAACACAACGTGACTTTCACTTGAACTTACCACGACTACCGCAATTCGACTTGGATTTTCTATCTTTTAGCACCAAAATAAGCGTAACCTGCGGTGTTGACTATAATTTAATCAAGGTAGCTAGAGCCGCTCTGATAGTCGCTAGAGCATACCTACACTAACAGTCGGAGGGAGATACTAGACACGTTCGGGACCACTCGGCTCGAAACTATTGCTCAGATTGTGCGTAGGACTATACCTACGGATAAGCAGATTAGTATATTAAAACGGCTACCTACTAGAGTAGAGAGGTATATAGTTATCCTTTACAGTCGGTACGCAGAGATAAGGCGTAAGGCCGACGTTACTATCTATCCTAACACTGTTGAAGTACTCACATCATCAGTGGCTCTTTGCACTACATGACTATCGCCCTTGAGACGTGTAGCATCCCCGTTACAAGCGACTCCATCATGTAGGCTAACGCTTAAGTCCATGTCTTATACTATAAGTAGCCGACTTATAGCCCCGATTGAAACCTTATAGAATGTATATGGAAGGCCCTAACGACTAGGATCTGTGAGATAGAGTCTAATAAAGCCGGATTAAAGCCCAAAGTACCGCATGAGGCCTAGGACCGAGTGGCAATTGAAGATACGTGGTCACAGGTTGATTTAACTATCGTGCGTGGCCTTATCAAGTACCTGCCGGCACGCATAGAGTTGGACAATATGGGCCCTGTGGGCCATGTGGGTCCTATACTTGCCACTATCGCCACCTAGAACGGCGACCATCCCCACATACCTCTATTACGAGAAATGTGGCGAGGATAGAACATTCCCTACTTATCTATATGCTTCTACAACTTGTCTGAATTAATCAGCAAGTCTACCATTCATTGACTATATAAGAACTCTTTTGTTTCCATACATAGACCCTCGAAGAGAGGACCAGAGTTAGCTACAATACAGACAGGTTAGGCATATGTGCCCTCCTTTTGCTCCTTCAACGGGAACATCAAATCCAAGTCATAGCCACAGTACGGAAAGCAAAGGGCTGGTGCACGTATTACTGAATCATCCAAGTTATCAAGTTTACCGGCTTAAGTTACTATTCTCATTGGGTAAGCAATTTGTCTTTGATTCTGATATGTTCGGGGTGCTCAAAGTTGGGACGGACGCAGACTTAATGAGGTCACTGACTGTAACAATCTTTCAGTTGCCACCGGCCTTCCGGTCAGCAGTCTACCGTATTTAAAATGAGCTTCCAAAAATATACCGGTTACCACATTCCGTTTCGTGTTGTGAGTAACCACAGGCCAGTTTATTACATGTTAGTCCTCAATCCAATCGGCGAAGCAGATCGTTCCTGTGACATGTGTAACTACACGCTCACCCAGCATCCGGCTCAATAGGATCCCGGAGCCACGAGGTTATCTGCCATCGATATTGCGACACCAAATCTGTACTGTCATGGTGATATAAGTGTGTACTAGGTTCAGTTATCGTTGTGGCGTTTGGATCTCCCTCGCGTCGTGTCACGTTATATAATTGTCCCAAGCCCCTCGATGCAAGCTCCCGAGTGGACTTCAGGCCTCCCCGGTGCATGTTCGATTCAATATAGGCTTCTGCTCGGATATTTTCTAGAAGCTCAATCCCACGCAGGTTGACAACTGGGCTCTCGACTTGGGTCATGCAAAAGATGTCTGAGCTGACGCTGTCTCTTCAGGATATAACCCGCGGCCCAAATACACTTATATCCCGAGGACTTTTGATAGATCCAGCTCAATGCCGTTTTTTTTCGCATTCCTTCTCCACATCCTTGCTGTCTGAGAACATCCCTGAGAGAGTCTTTTTTCAGCCGACAAAGTTGCATCGAGCTATTATCTTGGGCGTCTAAATGCAGTTGACTAATCTTTGCACACTCTAGCCCACGCATAAATACCCACGAATGAGAATTTTCTCCAACCAAGCCCATAAAGCGTTGCGGCCCGATGTAACGCAACCTGTACCCGAACAGCTCCCCAAGCCTTGGCTCCAATATAGACAGCGATCCATAAAGCGTCTACCCGGAAACGTCAAAATCGGGGAAGCATGGGTTGCCCAGGATTATATCTCCGACAAGACCACGTCGTCTGGACGACCTGAAGTTGCACAAGGGATCTGAAACTGACCTCACCGACAACAAAATTACCCTGTTTTGACGGTCGCACGTGGGAGGAATCATCCCATCTTCGTATGATCTTACAAGTAGTCGACATCGTCATGTTGGGGGAGGGCAGTTTCGTTTGATGATGGATGGGTGACACACCGGACTCCTTTCTTTTCTTAAAGGTCATGGGCAAATCCTGTTTCCTTTGTGTAACGGTAGGAAACGCTTGAATGGCCCGATCAACTTCCGAAGAAAAATCTGCGATTGGGCAGATTTCTGTTAGTATGATCTCTTTCAAAAACGCAGAATAATGCGAACCTATCGTTGCATTGAAGGCTCTAATCTATCCTTCCGTCCGTTCATCGATAATGAGGTGTCATCGAGGTGCCCGGAATTAGAAGGGAGGCTGCGACCTTTGATCCTCAGATCCCAAATCGGCATCCTGGAGGCTCAGCATACCACTCCCCACTCACAGCATGAGGTGCCGGGTGATCACCGTCGTATGCGATCGGAGCCAGTTCGCGATAATCATTGGGTCGTATAGAGTGTGGCTTCATCTCTTGGGACCCGTTGGTGGCGTTCGAAATGCATTATCTTAACGATTTGTCCCACACCAACGCATGCAGGGGCGCCGAGCTTTTGACATGAAAGCTTCGATTACACTCAACGACCCCCAAGAGAGATCGTGGGGGATATATTTGAAGGTTGGGTTGCACATGTTGAATTTGGTATACGAGCCGCATGACGGTTCGGTTCGCCCGGGGCTTGATGAGCAGCGGAGTCTTACGGCATCGAAACAAATCGCACCCACGTACACCATGTCGGAGCTGTTCATCGTTCTCCTGAAATATCGAGATTTAAAAAGACGGTGGTGGCCATAATGCATTAAATGAGATCGTCTTATACTCAAGTTGTAGACCTTGGCCCCTATTCCATCCTCACGGACTCACAATTCGCCATTGACTCTGGCGCTCTAACTATGGCGGATAACACGAGAGTCGGCTTGGTTCACTCGATCAACAGAACAAGATGGAATATCATACGTAAAACCATGCGGTTGGCCTACTGGATCTCTTCCCCGGACGATGATACTTTAGTGGGCGAACTTTCGTTACTCACACTCAGCGATATCAATACCCTCCAAGACTTTATGTCTGCCGAAGTCAATGGTGAGCATAATGACTCCCATATGCTGGTAGAGCATCTCATTCAGGTGCTTTGCAAACTACCTCAAACCTCACCGCGTCGGAAGCAACTCACTGATACCTTCATTCGCACCATTTGGAATGGGCTGCCGCACCCTCCCCCGAGAACTTTCACCTATTTGTCTTCTTACAGAGAGCCTACCTTGGATATCCGGTCGTCCTATGGAGTAGGGTCGGCGGGCTCGCAGTACTCGCGGATGGTACCTGTCGGTATACGCCAGGGGGGGTTACCTGACCCAGGTCTCATCTTTGACCTCCTCATGGCCAGGGACGGAAGGAAAAGAGACCACCCGAGTAAAATCTCTAGCATGCTCCTTTACTTGGCCTTCATCATCAAAGACGACCTCTTTCAGACTGTAAGTGAAAATTCACGGTGGGAATATACTCCAAGGCATTATACTGATAGTTCTCTTCAAGAAACCGCAAGATCCAAATGTCAACATGACGTCTTCATACCTCGACCTATCGCCCTTATATGGAAGAAACGCCACTGAGCAAATAGCCATGAGACAGTTCAAAGAAGGTCTCTTGAAATTAGACTGCTTCTCATCTAAAGAGGTGTTGTTACTTCCACCAGGCGTTGGTGTGTTTCTGGTCATGTTCAATCGGTTTCACAATTACGTTGCCACGCAGCTAGCCGCGTATGTACCCGCTCCTTCGAACTCTGGTGCCATTACTAAATTATTGTAGCATCAACGAAACAGGTCGCTTTACTGCCAAACCCGCATTAAATAATGCCCTAGATCCGACTGCTGCCGAAGTAAAACGGGACGAAGACCTGTTTCAGACAGCTCGACTTATCACCTGCGGACTCTACGTGAACATTATTCTCAAAGACTACATCCGCACCTCCTTGAACCTCAATAGCACCGACTCATCCTGGGCGCCTGATCCTCGCATAAGGGAGAATAAGAACCTGTTCAGCCCACCCATACCGCACAGCACTGGCAATAATGTTAGCCTGGAGTCCAGCCTCATCCACCATTGGCACAGCTGCCTCTCAAATCGAAATGCGAAGTGGATAACTGGAACACTGAGAGGTCTGCTGAATGGCATACATCCAGCAGATGCTAGTATTGACGAAACTGTGGATGCGATGCGTTCTTTCAGTGCAAACATAACCGATGCGCCCGAAAAACGGACGTTCGGGACTTTCAAAAGACTACCTGATGGCAAATTTTCAGACGATGGGCTCGTGGAGGAACTTAATTCCTCGATCGAAGATGTAGCGGGCGCATTCGGTGCAAATCGAGTCCCCTCCTCCCTTCGCGCTACGGAGATCCTCGGAATCATGCAGGCTCGCCAGTGGCACGTCGCAACACTGAACGAGTACCGGGCCTTCGTTGGCTTGAGTCAGCATGAGACGTTCGAGGACATTAACCCTGATCCAAAGGTGGCTGATAACCTTCGTGCATTGTACCGCCATCCAGATCAGGTGGAGTTGTATCCCGGCGTGGTGGTTGAGAAGACCAAACCTGTCATGGCCCCGGGGAGTGGACTGTCTGCTGGGTTTACAGCCAGTCGAGCCATACTGTGTGATGTGGTTTCCTTAGTCAGAGGGGATGGGTTTTATATGGATGGTTGGAATCATGCTAATGTGACAAGCTGGGGGTGAGTGCCAAGCCGAAGATACCTTTTGCGCCTGAGCTAACACCATCTCGAGGTTCAATGAAGTCACTTCTGACGACGAAGTAAACCACGGGTGCGTTATGCACAAACTAATTCTCCGGGCATTCCCGAAACATTTCGAACCAAACAGTATTTATGCACATTTTCCCTTCGTGGTTCCAGAGGAGAACCGCAATATTCTCGCCCAACTTGACAAGGATGTCAATTACTCCTTCAACCCCCCGAAACGACAGCCAGAGACAGTCGTGGTCAACTCAGCCCCAAAGGCTCAGGGGCTTCTGACAACGGCGATTCTCCGGAGTATGACACTGAAGCAGGGACAAACGGCAATCTATCAGGATTCATTCCAGCATGTGAATTCTCTATTAGAAGAGAGTAGGATCGAAATTCCTTTCAGCAGTGCGACGGAAATAGACCTATTCCAAGACGTGGCCAGCCCCTTCTTTGCTCAGTTGGGCGCCAAGTTGCTCTCCTTGCCCCTATCAGCAACACCAGGAGATAGGCTCGTGACAGAGCAACAACTCTCAAAAGCCCTCGCATCCGTCCACGCCGCGGATTCAAACTTGGACCCAACCAAGTCCTTCGCTCTACAAAAGAAATCCAGCGAAGCTGTCGAGATGCTTCGAACCGAGATCCTCAAAGCCCAACCAAAGGAACCGTTAACCATGTTCAGCAAGGTCTTCGGGCCTTTGCAGCACTCCGGCTCCGTGGACCATAGCATGTGCCCCGAGATTCAAGCCCTGGCCTGTCAAATAGTGACGATGCAGCACATGGTCATTGAGAGTATTAACTATTACTTGTACGAAGGCGCAGAGTACATGCCTCAGTTGCAGGAACTGGGAAGTAAGGTGGAAGTTGTTGGAGCTGATGGGTATAGCCCGCATTTGAAGTACAAAGCTGGGTCGGCTTCTGAAACCATACTTCGGTATTTGCTCGAGGGATGCCGGCTAGCTATTGGCCGAGAGGGTTTTTCTTTCCGCCGAAGGCTGACAAATACTGCGCCGACGAGTTTGAATACCAGTGCCGCTTCCCGAGATGCGTCAACATACCCCGACCCAAGTAGCCTCAGTCTTGTGCGCCCACTGTCTTCATATCGGTATCTCGGATTTGGCGAGCCGTCCCTACGAACGCCTCTGATCCAAGCTGCTCTGGCTCTTTTCGTAGGTGTGACCTCGCTTAAGGGACTGAGACGTGGTGTTGGTGAACATGCCGTTCTCAAGAGGCTCACCGTCCCAGTTTGGACAGGCCAATATGCCAAGGGGAACAACCATGCACGACGTGACAGCGGTGTCATTCTGGAAGACAGCGCTCTAAACATCGCGGCTGTTATCGACGATTTAGATGACTGGATTAGTGTGGAACATGAATCGTTGGTGATTTGTCTTGACGACGAGGCGGAAGACGGTGGAGAGAGAGATATTGGCACGGAAAAGATGACTTTGTATCTGTCTGGTAACTATAGCGAGCTGCAGTCAGTGCCGTGCTCGTTGCGGATTGCGTGGGATAGTGGCAGGGAATGAAGGTTTCTGTGAAGCCTTCTCCACTCACCACGGTTAGCTTTTCTTTTTCCAGTCATACTTCGATACCCAAAATTATAGACAAAACCTTCTATTCCCATAATAATCTTATAGTTTATTTCTTATGATGAATTTGATTTCAGTTCTTTTCTTTTGTCGCTCAACTCGTTGTACAAAGCGAGTCCCACAATACGCAGCAGCTTATAGATGTATACTTAGAAGTAACACGCGAGTCGTCAAAAATTCCTAACCTGAGTATGCACCTACTCAAAACATTTACGATTTCCCGCCATAACATTCAAGCTGATGATGTATATTCTCTATCACCAACCAAATGCACTAGGTAGTCTCATACACCCTCACTCTGGCGCCTCCTCCTTCTTCTCAACCATCGGCGTATCATACAACTCCCGCAACTCAGGTACCTCCTTAAGTTGTTCGTACCACCTCACAATCTCTGGAAACCTCTTCCTCATTTCCTTATCAAAATAATACTGAAACCCCAAATACAAAGTGGTCGAAATCGTAATATCCGCCAACGTCGGCCCTTCCTCCCCTTTAACCAACCACTTCCGGCCCTTCAAACTCCCCTCTAGGACCAGCATAATTTTCTCCGTGTCCACCTTTCCAGTCTGCTCGTCCTCCTTATTAAACTGCGTCATCCCCGCCCGCCACATCGTGACTTTTGACACCGGGGGCGCGAATTGTAGTTCGTTGAAGAAGATCCATTTCTGGATTTCTGCACGGGCTTCTGGGTTGGTGCCCAGAAGTTGGCCGGCTTTAGCGCCGGAGGAGGCGATATAGAAGGCGATGGCGTTGGATTCGGTTAGGGTGAAGGGTTCGCCGTCTTGGTCGGGGGTAGAGGGAGACTCAAAGGTTGGGATCTGGCCTAGGGGAAACTTGGCTAGGAAGGCGGGAGATTTGTTGGTAACACCGAACTTGATGGGCGGGATATCGAAGTCGAGGTTATTGAGTTTCGCGGCTGCGAAAATCTGGAGGGATTAGTTAGTTTAGCTAGTTGGCGGAAACCGCTCCGTAGAGATGGAGTTTCATAACGGAGGATGGTGTATCGCTCCAAGGGCTACGGGATGGGAATTTTGGGGTCTGTCTGAATGAGGATCGGTTCACCTTAAATGACCTCGGATGCACGAAGTTGGGAAGTTTGACAGTATTCAAGGTGCCGAACGGTGCCATGTTTCCTACTTTTCTTCAATGATGTAAGAGCTGTGCTTGATACTATTGATGGGGTGAGAGATCTGATTTTCAGGTCCGAGATAGGTTTCTCAAGTCGGCTTTATACTATTTTCCAGAATAGCTTGAATTGAATATAGCTTATAAATTCTCCAGACCTGGAGACTTATTTCCATGGCCCGGCGTATTGCGGTGAAGGTTTACCAGAATGCAGAAGAATGGAGAGCAGATTAGAAATCCATTCTAGATGCATGCTGATGAATCTTGCAGGGACCACCGGGCTTACATTGTGCCTCACAGAAGGATAACCAGAGACCACGTTACTAATGCCAGCCTTTATAAAGGTGTTACAATTGGAACCTATGTGCATGTGTATATATATCCTTATAAGCCGTACGACTAGATTACAAATACAACAGAGCCGGCATGTATGTAGACCTGATAGCATGTTATTATTACAAATCAATCAATGAAGTCAGCCGAAATTGGTTAAACCTCCCTGAGATTTATATGAAGGCCAAAAAGGATGTTCTTTTTTCTCATCTCTCTGATAGCTACTGTCAACCTTATAACTACCAAAAATACCTCATTCTACAGCGAGTGGGTCCCTCGTCTTTTGACGGTCAATTTGGTCCAACAGCTACTTCTGGCTTGATGCGGGGTTTTGTAGGCGTTCGGCCCTGCACTTGGCCGTATCTTTCCATCTCCCTGTTCCCCTGTAAGAAACGGGACAATGCCAACAGTAAATTTTGGTTATAGGGACAGACAAAAGACAGCCTGAAAGGACTAATAAAAAGAAGAGGATATTTTTCATGTTCAGGAGTAATCTAGAAACTTCAGAGTAGCACCGAAAATCACTCCACGGTAGTCAAATGCAGCACTATCAAGAATAATGGCTTACCTAGAAAGTAGTTTGCCTAGAATGGTCGGCAAGACCACCCGTGTGGTAGCATGGCATTACATTGAAGCCTTTATTCTTACTTGTCTTTATAGTTGTGTTTTTGTACTATTCATCTCTTGGAGCCCGCGTGGAGCGAATGCTACCACGATTTCTCTATTGAGGTGTGATGTGTTATACTTCCAAATTGGGAATTCAAAGCAGCGGGGTTTTAGTACACATATAAATATTGGTGGTTAATTTGACAGAGGTTCGTATCCATGCTTCGCTAGCAAAGGTTGCAATGCAGATATCAATGGCAATGTAATTTAGCAGCTTTATAGAACCATAAAGCGGGACCCAGAAGTACAATGTGATATGAAAATTTAATGCGTTGATCCATTCATATAGACCTATCTAGACCTATCTTAGTGGTCAGCCTTTTACTTGAGCTGTTGAAAATTCCATCGCAATTGCAAAACAAGTCCCTAGCAAGTCATATCCATTCCATAATGTCCTTTTGTACCTATATGCTAGTATTCGACTGGTGAAACTGCATTAATCCGTATGGTGGTTCACCTGAAGAAATACTTAAGCGGGTTGATCAGGGTTGGGAGGGCAGGCCGTGCCGACGCAGCAGTTGATGTGGCCTTCTTGGCACTCTCCCGCCGAAACAGCCGCGTGGTCTTCCTCGTACGCGTATGCAGCGTGCTGGCAAGGTGCGAAGAATGGGTTGGCTTGTGTGACGCCCAAGTCGCCACGAAGGGGGTTGGCACATGCTCCTTCGGTGACGGCAGACTATGATCTGGTCAAAGGTGTTTTGACAAATAGTGTATAAATTGACTTACAGGACAAGTACCCAGCTTGAACAGGTCCTTATTGCAACCCGTCTGGACCTTTCCAGCACAGGAGCAGACGATGGGGACAGAGAAGCCACCACTGTAATGGTTGGGTTAGACCGTAGAAAGCCAGAAGGTTGCAAGGTGGTCAAGGAGCCAAGGAGTCAAGGACTTACACAAAGGTGACATCCACCGTGCCAATCGCATTTCCATTCTCAAAGTCTGGGCCCCAGCTGACAAAGTTGGCCTCAATGCCACTGTCGTTGTCGGTGATCTTGTGCGAGGCATCGCTGACGAGGACGATTCCAGCCCAGTTGGTCGGTACAGCCATCGAGGCAGACGAACCGCAAGCCACAGTTCCAGGGACAGGAACACCACCCCAAGGGGAAGGGGCGACGACTCCATTGGGTTTGGTCTGCAGTTGGTGGAAAGTGGAGATGGCACCGATGTGGGAGTTGACAATGCTGATCGTTAGGTAGGCGGGAGGAGGAGCAACTTGAGTGGCGATAGAAGGGGTTGCGGTGGGATTCATGGCACCAAATATGGCGGGAGAATACTGAGGCATCAAGTGGTCGTCTTCGATGATGTTTGTCATGGGGAGGGGCTTGCGTACCGTTGCACCCAAGACAGGCATCATGAGGACGATCATGCCCAGGGAGGCGATCGTGCTCATCGTCATGATACGAACCATTTTGATCAGCGGTGATGGGAAGTAGAACTTAACGGTGGACAAAGTCAAGAGTGTGGATTGAGAGTTATTGCCGCGTGCTGGGATGTGAAGTTAGAATTTAGGGTGTGAATAGTGAAAAAGCGAGGAATTGGTGGAAGATTTACAAGACGCGTCTTAAGTAGGCTGAAGCAGAAAATCTGGACCAGGGCAAAGGTGTGGTCCCAGAGTGAACGCGTAGGCTACAGAACCAAGTTATGGAAAGCCCAACTCACTGTATTTTCACTATTGGCGTGCCTTCCATCACCATGTCTATCTCTAGGTGCATTGTTGACGCGCTAACTGAGGAAACACATAGTCGCCCCTTCCTGTTTCAATTCCAGGTTGAGTGAGGGTGGGTCAACTGGGAAAGCAGTACGCAAACCCAGCCTTGGAAGCATCGGGGAATGGGAGAGTTGGGTCTCTCAGGCGGCAGGGACTGACCGTGATGGTTGGCATGATTGTAGATAATGTTTGCACCATTCGATCATGGAATACCGGCACAAATCAATATGCTGTGGTAGAGGAACAGAGAATCAGAACTCCCTTTGTAGAGTATTGCAGATATCATGTATCTGTATACATTTAGCTTGATAGCAACCTTTTGTATTCTATCCCCCGGCCTGGTTAATCTTCATGATGGCACATTTCAGTTCAAATAGCCTGATAATAAGCATATTTGTATTTTAAAGCATGACTCCATGAGAGAATCTTGAGATATGGTGAAGTAACTTGACCTTCTGGGACTGCTCTTGAGGAATCTGCTATGCGCCTACCAACTCCCATCCTCAAAGAAAGCCTTGAGTTTGTCATCAAGCCATTTGACATCCTCCTTACAATCTCCAGGCCCTCCAGCCCTAGGGACGAGTTAGCGCCATGTTTTATACCATAGGAAGCAACGACTGACCAGTGTCCCCAGATGGAGGGAAACGCTATACACTTCCCAATTCCCTGTGACATGTTCTGTACTTCGTATTCCGAATCCTCGGGTGGAAAATAAAGGTCAGTTTTTGAAGGAAGCACTAGGGTTCTCGCTTTGATGCTCTTCAAGGCCAGCTCAAAATCTGCTTGGTCCATTAGTTCATGTCTTGGGAGGGGTCCGCGCTTGTCCGGCTCTCACCCTTATTGTACGGCTCTTGGTCTGAGCAGTCTCCTGCCTGCCAAGTCTGGAGCATGACGAGCATGTTCTCTGGATCTACACTCACAGTCGTCAGCAATCATTGCATTCGCGTCATACCCGGCTCTGACTGAGCAATGTCATCTGACCTTTCGACGTGGCCCACTTCTCCCAGAAATTGACCAGAAAGTCTTCAAGCCCTTTGTACCCAAGGTACTTTTCATGAAGCTTCTCGCGGTAGAAAGCCTGGCTAAAACCCCATCCGGCGTACACTCGACCAAGTGCCTTCAGACCCGTGATCTCCTGCTCCTTAGTCCACCCACGATAGTCTGAATCCAGGGTCACTTCTCCCATCGCCACGCCTCCCGAGGCTGCGCTCTTCGCGGCAAGAAGGCCAACTTTGACCCCTTCTAGCATTGTCTGGTTGTGCAGACTCGTCTTCGCGCTCCCACAGAAGGGAACAGCGAGGTCGATGAAGTCGGGGTATTGCGTGATCCACTGATATGTCTGCCCGGCACCTATTCCATGATAAGGATTATAGAACCAGGTATGGGCTCCTTGGTAAGCTTACCCATACTCCATCCCAAAACACACTTCGCATGCTTCACCCCAAGCCCCTCAGTCACAAGGCGATATTGAGCCTTCACGTTGTCATAAAATGTGACACCAGGAAACGGCTTCAGGTCAGGTGTATTAGTTGGGCTGCTGGACTGCCCATTTCCGAAGAGTGCGGGAATGACAATGAAGTACTTGTTCGGGCTCAATGCCATGTCATCGCCGACGAGCCACTCATTGTCGGCGATGGCGCCACTGTACCACGTGGGGTAGATGATGGCGGGGTTCAACGGGTCGCCGAAGGTCTTGTAGGCGATGAAGGCGTTGGGTATCTTGCCGCCCTGCTGGAGGGGGAAGTCACCTAGATTGAAGGTCTTGATCTCGGACATTGACAAGGGTATGGTAAACCCCCTAATGGAAGTGCTCAGGTTGGGAGTGCTGACGATGAATGTTGTTGAAGGCGTGGTATGCGCGTGGGTGTCTATGTCTGCGCCGGAGAAATTAAACAAACTGCTAACACAATATAAGTAGTCGCAGTATAAGCAAAGCATTGCGTGATTGCGTTGGACGGTTCTCATCCGCCAGTTCGGGGTACGGGACGCTTCTCCATACTAACTTACATATTACTCGCCTGGATTATGTCGATTTCCGTCTTTGTTACTCGGATAGTATTTTGTCACTGGTATATCAGTCGCTTCGAAAACATGAGCTCCGATACGATTTCATGCTAGTTGGTGAAAATAGTTGAGTGGCACATATTTGATGGACATGGAACGCCGTACCGCATCCTTATCTTAACGTTCCGTCAATGCTGCGGGGTCTTCATCGGTCTTCATCATTGACTCGTGTATTGTTATCTTGGGATGCGGCTACATTCGGGAAAGCAACACAGTGTTGCGTTGCTGGAATAGCAGCTTATAGCACGGTGCGGGTTGCTATTGCCAAAGTAGGCAATTCCATCACTAGGTACTTAGAGATTTATATCAAGGCCGAAAATCGATCAAGAAGATACCGGTCGTCCCACGACTCCCGGAAGATGACCACGGCGTTTAAATCGTGCTCAATATGGAGATTGAGGAGGAAGATATGGTTATCCTTTGCAAGTACCCGGAAGCCGGTAATGGTGTCATAGGGGTCTGCTTGATACAAATCCCTAAATTCAACTAATGATAACGTAGTCCACAAGCGAACGGGTCACCCAACCGAACGGGTCACGCCAACTAGCAAAACATGGAATTCAACACGATTTCGCAACCACAATGCCGTAAATCAATTAAAACTACTCAGAATACTCTTGCCCAGATAATTCTATCTCTACCTGACAGGTTCGCGCATTATGCCCGGTCTTTCCGCATACGCCACAGCGCCGTTGCCGTGGCTGGCCACGATTTGATCCAGCGCTATTTCCACGCATTTCCTGCTGTACTTGCTGCGCAACGTCCTTTTGATCTTGAAGACCTTGTACGTCTTGTGAATTAAGTGATCCTCCAAGCCGTACTCGTGTTTTTTTGGCCCTGCACCGCTTGCTAATTAGAGCATTTGCCTCTCGAAGTTCGGCGACCTCAGCTTGGAGTAAAGCCATCTTATGCATAATACTCCGCGCTCCTTTCCGCGCTCCTTTCGAAAACTGATCGATAGCATCGTAAATTGACGTCGGGGAGCTATTTTGATGCCTGGCAATTTGAGATTTAATAAATTCGGATTGCGAAGTAGCCTCGGTTGGGTTGTTTGGCGTCCGAGAAGCCCAAGGAAGGGTTTCCCGCGCAGGGGGCCGGGAGGACGTTGGAGTCTGTAATTTCACATCCAGCTTCTCAATAACAATATCTGGGCTTAAAGGCACAAGCCCAGCCCCTTGAAAGCCTGCACGAATATTTCTTTCGGTCAGGCTCTTCTTGAACGCGTCGCAAAATGCCGGAAGAAAGTCCTCCTTTGTGATATGCGAGTCGCGTAGCAGTCGGTTTGCCATATCTTCAACAGTACTTAGCCAGAGAGGAAATGCTTGCGAATCTAGCTCAACTATCTCAACTATCCTTTGAATAATCGTATTTTCTTCTAGTTTTGTTAAATTCCGACCGTTGGCTTCGATATTGCGACGTGATTGACGTTTTTGAAGACGCGCCTGGAGAGTAGTATTCGAGACTTTGTAGATTGTTGCAGCACGTCGGATACTAAGTGTTGAGTCATTTCTGATAGCCTGAGTTGCAAGGAGTAATTGAGATTCTTTTTGAGCAGAATCCATCGAGAATTAGTTGCGTGGTAAAGTTAGGAAGTTTAGTTCTATTTTTTGCTATGGGCGTGACCCGTTCGGTTGGGTGACCCGTTCGCTTGTGGACTACGTTAACTTTAAGATTATCTATTACAAAGGTAGCGAAAACAGAAGAGTAGATGCTCTTAACCGAAGACCAAACGAACAAGCAATACCTACAAATATGTAGGCTATTCTAGTAATTACTAACGAAGGGGATTTTCAACCTTTACTATAGCTTAACGCTAATCCTCCTAATCCGTCGCCGAATAGCTAGCTAGTTACATGGCCACTCAGAGCCATCGACTTCCAGACCTCTCACTGTCCCATAAATCGAGCCTACTCAGGCGCAAACATGATGAGACAGGACGGTGTTAGTCACCTCAAAATCCGTAAAGCGTTAAGATGCGTCTGTGTTTCATTTCCTTTCCCGATTTCTATACCCCCATAAAACTTGCCAAATCAAGCCGATAAGTGGGATGCTAACGAGGAGGGTGCAAACCACTACACACAATAGTACCACGACAACGGAGAACATCTAAAACGCCCGTTGCATATCTCGTTTTCCAGATTCGCTGAGTCCTTGAGGCCATAGCTCATCTCCTGGCACAGAGAGAGCAACTTGCATCGACGAAAGAGCGAGGGAAACACTGGCAAACACGAACAGCAAAGGCAGGGTCGCTCTCGCCACGAAATCGGTGTGAGACCACTGAGGAATTTCGTAGAACCAGATCGTGCTGGTGTGCTGGGGACGAAATATTCGGACGGCCCAGTCCAGTCGCGAGAGACGTAGCTGTCCGTAGTGGTATCGCTTTGCAACACTCTCGTCTCCGAGGTCGCGAAAGTGGCGGATGAAACTTGACCACAGAAGCCAGTCGACATCCTCAGGGATCAGATAAAACTCCTTTGCCAACATGAAGTCGAGGCGATGCGGTACGAGCAACGCATATGACCGCAAAAACCCTAGTGCAACCGAGCGGTCGAAGGCTGAAGTAGCAGCCTGGGAAAGTCCTTGGGAATACGGCGCAGAAGTTTCCCCCATCCTAGGATGTAGATACATAGTCCAAAAATCATGGTTGAGGAGGAAAACTGGAATGGGCTTTATGTAGATTTTGCCGCCGCCCCAGACGAGATGAAGTCTAGGGTCTTCCGCAGGGACAATGCTTCGGCCCTTGACTCTTTGCCTATGGAGCGCGTCAATGTTTTGGCCGGATTTCCTGGCAACTAGCCAAAGATGATCGTAAAGTTCGTCCAGGAGTGGAGTTTCCAGTTGATTGGACAAATAGTCGCGGACCTCGTTGAGTAGAAGATTAACTGCGGGATCTCCAGGTATATGTGCTATATAATGTGCATCGTTCTCATGTAGATGTGTAGGGGTTGGTATGCTGATATCAGAAGGCTTCAAAAGTTCTTTGTTCGGAGCACATGACTGCGGGAACGGAGCCTGAGAGCCTGTAGAAATAGCCATCGTGTGTCAGGCACGACAGCGAAGTTGGCGAACGTAAGGGTGTGAACAGCAGGTGCCTTGTATTTCGAGCCCATTGGTGTTCGACAAGGCACGAAGCGGCAACACCTCGGACGGAGCCGGGTATGTGGCTGCCTTAGGCTACAACAGGTCAGCTGCAGCCGGTACAGCCTCGACATCGAGAACAATGAGTGACAGTACTACACTTTGCTTTAATGTACTGCAACTGCATCGCACGATTATCGACAAACTGTTTCTGTACATTTTATGCGTATCTGCTCCTCTGTTCCCACCTGGTCCTTTACAACAATTGACCGGACCGACCCCTCTAGTGAAGTGGGGCTGACGGATCTAAAGAAACAACTGCGATTTTCTCCATCCTCTTCCTCTCAATGGCATTATTCTATGACATGATCACGTACCTTTTCGTCTCTCTTCTTGTGATCGCGTTCCTTTATGACCAGCTCACGAAGAAGATTCCGACCCGGGTCGACCCCCGTCAAGCCCCAAAATCGAGATTTGGGCTCGTCCCGGCAGGGCCGCATAGTTCACCTGTCCGTGCCGGAGGGATAGAGTAGGCGTGATTCCTCGCTAGTTAATTGGAACATTTCTGACACGCCTAGTATCGTTTTCGTCCATGGCCTTGGATCTAACCCCGACACGACGTGGCGAGCGAGGTCTGATGCACCCGAAGAAGCCCTGCCGGATAGTGAGCGGTATGTGACCTGGGTTAGCGACTTCCTTCCCACCGATTTGCATACAGCGACCCGAGATATCCGCATGTTCTTCTATAACTATGATTCATACTGGAAGAGGGATGCAATACACACGCGGCTCTCGCATCTTGCCCATGTTCTCCTTGAGCACGTCAAGCAGATCCGGGAGTCCGAGCAGGTGAGTAATGACAATGTATACGACTTTGGATTGCTGCTGACGGCCCGGCCTCCAGGAGCGAAGCCGGGACCTGATTTTCGTGGGATACAGTTATGGGGGTCTAGTGATCAAGCAGGTAAGTGGGCAAATGCTCTTCTCTAGTCGCGAAATCTGACCATGGTAGGCCCTTGTTCAAAGCTATGCACGTCGGGGCCCAAGCCACGTTACCGAACATATCAAAGCGATCCTCTTCTTAGGTACGCCGCATCGTGGGTCTAGCTTCAGTGTATGGGGACGGCTGGCGGCGCAAGCTCTCCAGCCGCGCGGTTCCAACCCTTCAATCCTAGCCGAAATAGAGTACGATTCGACTTTATTGCTAGACTTGCACAGGACATTTGTCGGTATCGTTCGACATGATTTATGGGTGTTCAACTTTTTTGAGCAACGATCGACGCAACTTCTTCGACTATGGTTCATCCAATGGCAACAATTCGTAAGTAGGTTACTAAGCTGAAGAAAGCATTCTAACAGGAGATCTAGTGTGTTCGTGAGTCATCTGCAACGTATGATGGACCACATGTTGAAAACATCGGCCTGTCCGTGGACCACTCTGGGCTTAACAAGTTTGGTTCGAGAAACGAAAGCTATAAGATGATCCTATCGAAGCTTCGCAACATCACGGCATCTTCAGCTCGGTCGGTAAAGCACCACTACGCCGTCCCGCTCGAGACCGTATCAACGTTTACCCAGCGAGACGAGTTATGGAAACAACTTGAGGAAAAGCTGCAGATACGACATGAGAAAGCAAGTGTTCCGTATGGGGTTACCATTCACGGACTAGGTGGTGCTGGTAAATCCCAGCTGGCGCTAAAGTACGCGGAACATTATCGAGATCGTTATAACCCAATTTTGTGGATTGATGCGACAGATGAGGAGGCGGTCCGATCGAGCTTCAAAAGATGTGCTGCAGAGCTGGGTCTCCCAGAAGAGCAGAATAAGAGGCAAGGCTCTGCTCTCGCTGATGCGGAGGCTGTCCAGGCGGTGCTCCGATGGCTCCGCGACAGAATGGAGCCGGATGATGAATGGCTGTGTATCGTTGATAATGCCGATGACCTCCGCTGGGGAATTCAGAAGATAATGCCAAAAGGGGGAAGAGGAAAAATTATTATTACTAGTCAGAACACCTTGAGCCAAAAGCTAGTTTCCGGGGGGTGCGAGCAGCTTAAAGTCGATATCATGTCGCCGCTAGAAGGAAGGAGACTTCTTCTCCAACATCTCGAGCTGGATGTAGTCTCAGCACCCGGAGAAATCCAAAACAGCTGCGATAAGATGGCGCAAAAGCTTGGATACCTAGCACTTGCTATTGACCTTGCAGGCGCCTATATTGGCAACGACCCTGATCGTGAGGGTGCTCTGACGCAGTATCTAGCAGACTACGACACGCATTGCGACGAGCTCTTGCAAATGGATAGTTTTCGGGGACTTTTGCCAACGGAGAAGACAGTGTGGACGGTATGGGACACGACACTCCAAAGAATTACGAGAGAGAAGCCAATAGTACAGCCTAATTTGCTTTTAACGTTTCTTGCACACTTCAAGGGCACTATTATTCAGGATGAGATGTTTCGACTAGCAGCTCTTGGCTGCGCTTTCGTCGATGATGAGCTCGTCGAAGGAATACCTACAGAGCTTCGAAAACTTTTCTTATCTAAAAGCGGTGAATGGGACAGTTTTCCATACCGGCAGAGCCGCGACGTACTACTCCGCTATAGCCTGCTGCAGCTTGTGGACGGTGAATGGCGTGGCGTCATCATGCACAGGCTGGTTCAGTGGCGGGCACTACAAAGCGAACAAAGTCGAGGATGGGGTTGGTGGTATATAGTGTTTATACTAGCAGCGTGCCAACAACTTAGCGAGGACGAACGCCAGCCCGAGTTCCGTCGACATTTGATAGTGCATCTCCCACATATTTCCGAAATTCGCGGTAATGATGGTGTAGATTCGGAGAGGCAACATGATTTTATACGGAGCACGTTGAGTAGGGTTTTTTATAGTGAAGGCCGGTGGGAGGAGGCCGAGGAGCTGGAGGTGCAGGTGATGGAGACGAGCAAGACGAAGCTCGGGGCGGACCATCCCGATACACTTACGAGCATGGCCAACCTAGCGTCGACGTTTTGGAACCAGGGCCGGTGGGAGGAGGCCGAGGAGCTGGAGGTGCAGGTGATGGAGACTCGCAAGACGAAGCTCGGGGCGGACCATCCCTCTACACTTACGAGCATGGCCAACCTAGCGTCGACGTACAGGAACCAGGGCCGGTGGGAGGAGGCCGAGGAGCTGGACGTGCAGGTGATGGAGACTCGCAAGACGAAGCTCGGGGCGGACCATCCCTCTACACTTACGAGCATGGCCAACCTAGCGTCGACGTACAGGAACCAGGGCCGGTGGGAGGAGGCCGAGGAGCTGGACGTGCAGGTGATGGAGACTCGCAAGACGAAGCTCGGGGCGGACCATCCCTCTACACTTACGAGCATGGCCAACCTAGCGTCGACGTACAGGAACCAGGGCCGGTGGGAGGAGGCCGAGGAGCTGTTTTTGCAGGTGATGGAGACTCGCAAGACGAAGCTCGGGGCGGACCATCCCTCTACACTTACGAGCATGGCCAACCTAGCGTCGACGTTTTGGAACCAGGGCCGGTGGGAGGAGGCCGAGGAGCTGGAGGTGCAGGTGATGGAGACGAGCAAGACGAAGCTCGGGGCGGACCATCCCTCTACACTTACGAGCATGGCCAACCTAGCGTCGACGTACAGGAACCAGGGCCGGTGGGAGGAGGCCGAGGAGCTGGACGTGCAGGTGATGGAGACTCGCAAGACGAAGCTCGGGGCGGACCATCCCTCTACACTTACGAGCATGGCCAACCTAGCGTCGACGTACAGGAACCAGGGCCGGTGGGAGGAGGCCGAGGAGCTGTTTTTGCAGGTGATGGAGACTCGCAAGACGAAGCTCGGGGCGGACCATCCCGATACACTTACGAGCATGGCCAACCTAGCGTCGACGTTTTGGAACCAGGGCCGGTGGGAGGAGGCCGAGGAGCTGGAGGTGCAGGTGATGGAGACTCGCAAGACGAAGCTCGGGGCGGACCATCCCTCTACACTTACGAGCATGGCCAACCTAGCGTCGACGTACAGGAACCAGGGCCGGTGGGAGGAGGCCGAGGAGCTGGACGTGCAGGTGATGGAGACTCGCAAGACGAAGCTCGGGGCGGACCATCCCTCTACACTTACGAGCATGGCCAACCTAGCGTCGACGTACAGGAACCAGGGCCGGTGGGAGGAGGCCGAGGAGCTGTTTTTGCAGGTGATGGAGACTCGCAAGACGAAGCTCGGGGCGGACCATCCCTCTACACTTACGAGCATGGCCAACCTAGCGTCGACGTTTTGGAACCAGGGCCGGTGGGAGGAGGCCGAGGAGCTGGAGGTGCAGGTGATGGAGACGAGCAAGACGAAGCTCGGGGCGGACCATCCCTCTACACTTACGAGCATGGCCAACCTAGCGTCGACGTACAGGAACCAGGGCCGGTGGGAGGAGGCCGAGGAGCTGTTTTTGCAGGTGATGGAGACTCGCAAGACGAAGCTCGGGGCGGACCATCCCGATACACTTACGAGCATGGCCAACCTAGCGTCGACGTACAGGAACCAGGGCCGGTGGGAGGAGGCCGAGGAGCTGGACGTGCAGGTGATGGAGACGAGCAAGACGAAGCTCGGGGCGGACCATCCCGATACACTTACGAGCATGGCCAACCTAGCGTCGACGTACAGGAACCAGGGCCGGTGGGAGGAGGCCGAGGAGCTGTTTTTGCAGGTGATGGAGACTCGCAAGACGAAGCTCGGGGCGGACCATCCCTCTACACTTACGAGCATGGCCAACCTAGCGTCGACGTACAGGAACCAGTGCCGGTGGGAGGAGGCCGAGGAGCTGTTTTTGCAGGTGATGGAGACTCGCAAGACGAAGCTCGGGGCGGACCATCCCTCTACACTTACGAGCATGGCCAACCTAGCGTCGACGTTTTGGAACCAGGGCCGGTGGGAGGAGGCCGAGGAGCTGTTTTTGCAGGTGATGGAGACTCGCAAGACGAAGCTCGGGGCGGACCATCCCTCTACACTTACGAGCATGGCCAACCTAGCGTCGACGTACAGGAACCAGGGCCGGTGGGAGGAGGCCGAGGAGCTGGACGTGCAGGTGATGGAGACTCGCAAGACGAAGCTCGGGGCGGACCATCCCGATACACTTACGAGCATGGCCAACCTAGCGTCGACGTACAGGAACCAGGGCCGGTGGGAGCAGGCCGAGGAGCTGTTTTTGCAGGTGATGGAGACTCGCAAGACGAAGCTCGGGGCGGACCATCCCGATACACTTACGAGCATGGCCAACCTCGCTTTAACTTGGAAAGCTCAAGGTCGACAGGCAGATGGTTTGGTGTTAATGCAGGGCTGTGCGCAGGCTCAGCAACGAGTCCTAGGGCCAGAGCATCCAAATACTCTGTCGAATCAAGCCATCATAGAAGATTGGAGCATCTAGAATGCATGTCCTTTTGCTCTGTAATTATGAGCTGTTGGACTTTCTTTACTTGTGTTCTGGTTAACCCGTTATTACTCAACTTGTTGGTCTTGAATTTTCCTTACAGCCTACATTTATCGTGCATTTTCTCGGGCGTTGAGATTCAACACCGGCTCGGTTTAGATGGTGACCACATCACCTTAATCAGACCATATATTTATTACACGCCACTGGCACATTCATACTCTGTGAGTCGGCACAGTCTCTCCTTAGTGCAGTAGCTATTTGAAGGGCTAAGTCCCCTGATATCTAGAGTGTCTATGTGCTGGTGGTTTTATTAGCTACTAGCATGATATGCTTGGACCACGTACCATGATACGTAAACACATTTATCATCTTAGGGGTAGCGGTGCCTAGGTACCCTTGAGATAGTATCTCGTCCAGGCTTCTTGGTGATCCTGGACTGCAGACTTGCTGCAGCCAAAATTGTGGCAGATAATGACAGTACTTCTAACTTATATGAAAATAATATTGCTACTATTGTTTTGTACTGGCATTTGGTTGGGCCTACGTGTTTCTACTAATACGTCAAGTCCACCAACCTCTAAGAACTTGTCGTCAAATGGTCTAGTCTACACTTCCATCTAGGCATCAACTCAAGTGGCTTGCCAAGTTGAGAAACTGTTTTTCGTAGCCTAATCTTCACCATGCAGTCTTACGTGGCGGGGACCAGTGTTGTAGAGTCGGTGCGTGACCACTCGGAGTAATCCTTTAATGCGTAGTCAGTCATTGTTCAATGCTCGAGACTTATAAAAGCGACACACCTCTGCTATTTGAGATTTTACAAACACGTTGTATACGTCCTTTGAGTAATATCTTCTACTTTATTAAGACCCATTACAAAAAATCCCAACTTGAAACCCGCCATGTTGATCCGTTACACCATGCGCCAAAACTTGCCAGGTGGCTGTTATACATATGACCACTCCTTGGAACTGGACCTGTATCTTTCGACCTTCTATCGTCCATGACGCCGGCGTAATAACCTTGTACTGTAACCATCGTTTCATAGGGTATTACCAAAACCCCACCGTCTGATTGTATCATTGAAGCTTAACTAACACCCGATTTTGGTGCCCGCAGATGAATCTATTTCAACGTTCCATGGGTCTCATCCTAGCCCTTTTTGACTGAGGATCATCGTCAGGTATCCCTTCTCCACGTCTTCTTTTTCTTCGGGCTTTTTCCTGTTCATAGGACCTGTGGATCATGTCCACGACGTAATCATTCCTCTCCTCCTTATCCTCCTCCTCCTCCTCATCTATTTGACGGGCGGAGGGGCCCACTTTAGGAACATATTTTCCTGGTCAGTTAGTATATACTACGAGCCCATCTTTGAACGGTATTCAGGGTGGGTCTTGCTAACCTCGGGACGGCATAGCGTCTTCAGATTCAGTAACCTGGTTGCCCAATATCAGATCATCATACCCCCTACCAAAAATCATATTCGGCCCGCGACGATCGATGGTTTTGACGAGAAACCGTGTGTTTCCATTCTTCTTGCCCAAAGGGGGGCCATCGGTGCTCCACTGAAGCTTTATTTCACTGCCATGTTCAAGGTGATCCATCTCCAAGTCTGTTGGGTCGAAAATGCTTGTTTCCTGGGAAAGGCTCAGTTTACCTATGACTCTCTCGATATTCCCGATATAGCTCGGCGATATAAGCCTCACGGGGAAAGTCTCAGACTTCAGGTCACAAAGTTCATCAGCTGGGTCGAGTCCACATAAGGGATGGATTGGACTGCATGTCAACCTACATTATCATCGCCCGGCTCGGAGATACTCATATTGCTCATATAAGCGCTATCTTCAGTTAAGTCGGCGTCCAAGTTTCGACTTTCATGCGCAGTCATGGGATGCTCGGATTCACGAATCCGAGGTGCTTGCTTGTCTGGACCCCTTTCATTCTCTCTTTGGTTTGGTTTTAGACACTCCATAACCTGTCCAACTTGTTCATGTGTCATCTCTTCTATAGTTTCAGGATCAATGGCGCAGTCTTTTAGATATTGTGTAATATCTTTCATGTTCACCAGAGCTTTTCCCTCTTCGGCTGCCTCTTCAAGGGTTCTGCAGACCGTCTTCAACTTCCGGTCAGAGACGCCGGTGATTGGCATATACACTGCTGGACTTGAAATGGACGTGCAACATGCGCGCTTTGGGTCGTTCCTCAAATAGCCTCGTGCGACAGTTTGCTACTTGCGGGTCGGCCAGACGGGCGCATTGGCTGATGTGCGGGACAAGGCACTGACAGCTCCTTGGGGTTAATTCGACATGGCTTCGACCCCGTGCATCGATTTCAAAGTCAATGTTTTGGTCACAGCTGTTCCTGGTGAAATCGAACCGTCAGCGTTTTGTAATATCCTGTGACCCAGAGACAGGTGAAGTGCGATGCGGAATGCGACAAGATAAAAAAGGTGGGGTCAACAGGGTGAGTGAGTGAGTACCCTCAAGATCTACCTAATACGTATCGTTTGGCTCCAGCATGATGGGTTTATCTATATTAGGCCCTGCCCATGCTGGTTTGGCCCTAGTCCTAGGACTTGGAGGCACGCTGGCAAGCCACGGCTATGCGAACGCCACAACGGTGCCTGCTTTACAAAGCCCGCAAGCTGTTCAAGCGTTGACATGTCGTTGATGTTCCGACCAGCCGTCAAGTCTGGTATTATTCAAGCACTCAACCCAGGCAAGGCCAAATCACGGAGCTGAGGAGCAGAACAAAGGGTTTTTTTTGTTTGTTTTTCCCCTCTTTTTTCACGGGTTCGGCTCGAGAACACTCGTCCAGTTGAGACTAGTGACTAGGCAGGATGGCTAAAAAAGGGATTCACAGGACTTATGAATTCTTTACTAGACGCCAGAGAAACCATATCCACCAATCCGAATGCTGAAATCATTCCGTAAAGCTCATCTTCAGGTAAGAATCGATCACCTTTGTCCGGCCTACTAAGTATGATTACACAATATCTCGACTACGAGTTGACTGTCGTCTTGACTTCGTCACTCGCGATGATTGCTTATGACTAGCTCTGCGTTCTTCCATCCTTGACCGCGAGGATGTCCCTGTGATATGTCAGCTCAGTCCTTCGCAACGGCTTCTAGATAGAATCACCTTGAAGACCCTTTTTGCAAGTGGTATCTCTAAGTGACCCCGAACTTGCTGGCTTCTGATCCAGGAACGCCTTCTCGCCACCACGTTCTCTCGACAAAGCTTCCAGCAACTCCTTCCCTACAACCAACTCCCCGGTCAACGTGGCGTCAGAAGTGATGTAGAACTCATTTTTACGCGTCCTCATCGCGGATCCGGACCATGTAATGCTAACCTTTCTGTTACCCTGCAGGATCTTGCCTTGAAATCTGTATGTCGTCGAGCTCTCAGATACTTCTCTTACTTGGCACCGAGAGGCGATTTCCGCCGGGATCCAATTAACAGGAGACTTGTGATCAAGAACAACGCTCGTAATCAAGCAATCTTCCAGATGTGGAGGCCAGATTCGGGCCCATTTGCGAATCTTCGCTTCAATGACAGGCGGCTGGGCTTCGCATACCGGTAACTCGTACCCCAGAGCTGGCCAAGAATACAACTAAGCATGAGTTAGTCCCATATACGGGATCCATTAGTCTGTGGTGCACTAACCAGATGCCTTGCTTCTGTCAAATTTGGTAAGTATGGTCCGGCCCTTTCGGTCCATACTGCTGACCCGGGAAAATTTGATATTTGGAAGTGGATCTGTATTGGCGGCACATGTGTCAAGTTATGCCGAGACTTCTGGTTTCCTGATGGCTGTAACTGCATCGACGGGAACTAATAGTCATATTTCGTTAGTATGATTAAAAGTTTTTCTGTGTGAGACTATTGGTTTCGCATATACCTCTCGGCCCAGATCATGTGGTGACATTGAAAACGAATCTGACGAGGAATCGACATGATTAAAACCGGTTTTGACGACCGAGCGTAATTTTTCTGGGGTAGTTGTTGACATCAATGTGGAGTTTGCGGGCTGAAGCCCAGAAAACGCCTTCAGGCTGGACAAGTCGCGTAGGATTTTGAGGAAGAGATCGTGGTCATTAAACACAGGGACTCCATGTAATGCATATCCTAACTTGAGAAATCTCTGACGATCAGCCTCAAGTTCCCCGAATTTAATCATATTCTCCGCTCCTGGGTGTACCAAAGGGGCATCCATTGACGACATTTCCGGCTCGTGAAGTGACAGAACACTGAGATTCGAGGCCGAAAGGTGAGCGATGGGGGGCCAAGATGCTTAATTGATCGGGACACTTTCACGCCGATGGTGTTGCGCGGCCCGTCTTGATGGTATGCAGGCGGACAGGGCGGCGTGACTGAGGACTGCTTGAATAATACAAATAGTTTGCTGTACAACGCGGGAGAAGCAGCCTCGAGCTTTGTTGGCGAGTTATGATTCGAAGATATTTCGGTAAGTGTATTGGTGGGTTTTCCTTCTGAAAAAACAGGATGCTTCACAAGGTGTCTTCTGGTAGGGTCGAAACCATCCTTGATAGACTGGCTGGCTGTACAATAAGTGCAACTCTCTGCATCGTTATCACAGCTCTACCAATACCCCGCATCATCAGCATGACCGTTTCATTTATTCTTTGAACTACAAAATGCGGTGAATGACATGGGGACACAATGTTGCTATCGTAGAGTCTCGACTGGAGGGGCGATGTGTGATGAATGATGAAATTGGTAATGAACCCAAATCCAAATCCTAGATACCTATAACAGTATGAGCACCTTTCATGTATTTCATCTTTCATCAGTCTTATTCACAAATTCCCTGATATCCGTCGGCCCTTGGCTTGACAAAGACGTAAAACTTGGGGGAGAGGGCGGGAAAATCCCTCGGTATTGTTGCTGCTGCTGTCTTAAACGGGCGATTTGCGCCGATTGCTCTCTCATCCTGACTGCAGCGGCTGCAATTTCCTCGCGTTCACCCTTCTAATTCTCAACATTTCTGTTAGTAACCAGGGTAACAATTGATTGTGTCTCTTTTGTTACCTTGATCTGCTTCTGCACCGTGAGAAATACTTTGGAGTCTGGTGGCTGGTCCCATAAGACACCGGGGTTATCTTGAAGGAACGTCTTTCCAACGACCAGACCTTCGATACTGGAGCTTGGGGGCGCAGCATAGAAAGAAGTAAAGCCCTGGTCTCTCGCACCACAAAATTTCAGTTCCACGAAATCGAGAGATTCGAACTTCTCGCCCGTGATTGTCTCATGTATGACGAAAGACCCTCTTTTGCATTCAAGTCCGAGTCGTTCGATCAGGTCCCGCGATATGAAGTTGCTTGTAGTACCGGAGTCTTCAATGACCTGGATCACTCTCTTGTCATTACTATGCAAACTTTTCACCAAAACGTACTTGTATTCATTCTCAGGTTGACGAGATCCCGATGCCCGATTTTGCGCGGATTGGCTGGATTGTGCTGCAGCCTCCTGCTGCTCTCTCGGCATTGTGTTGAAGGCTTCATGCTTGTTATCCATGTGAAATCCTCCGAGTATGTACCCCAGGCGTTTTGTCCGTACTTCATCACGGTTGATCTCCCGGAACTCATTGGTATTCTGTAAGAAGTTAGGTAACGAGCTCAAGATTCTTGCGAATTTCTTGCCTGTGTGAAGAAGCTGCGTTGAGGCACTCTAGCTGACTCTTGCTGCTCCTCAATTGTGTTGCTTGAATCCTCATGTTCGTTGCTTATGTGAACCTTTCCGAGGATGTTGAGGGACACACAATAGAAATGAAGTGTATTATGGTGAGGAAAGAAAGCTAGGCTAGTGTTGTTGGTCTGGAACTAAGTAGTGGTGGTGGCTGCGCAGGTACCACCTCTGACAGAGGATGTATCCGAGACCTTTTGTTCGTTTTTCATCACGATTGATCTCTCGGAACTGGCTGGCCTTCTCCGGTGTAAACATGGTGGTAACCTTGTGTTCGTTGGAAAGGTGGTTGATGTGATCTGAGGACAGGTAGGTCTGTGAGGTGATTTCATCGAACCCCAAACTTTGGGGGGTGAGGATCCTATCCTCTCCTGTCATATCTTATCAACACATCTAGTCATTGTCAGAAGCTTCACCATCCCTTGCCTGTAAGTGTCCTAAGGACCATTCCGCCATCTTTGCGGCAGATATGTAGCTTGTCCATTTCGGAAGGTAATATCACTGCTCATGCAAGCCGATGCAATTCAAGACCCAATACGGTCCACGGGTTTGGCATGCGTAGATTCAATGGTGTGAGATACGGTAGAGAGAGAGGGACACCGGACCTAGTCCCGAGCAGTCACCCCGCGCTTTTAACCATTATCTATGTGGGGATACGCCCAGATGTGGCCATGCCATTGTTGAGCTTGAGCAGGGAGGGGCTAGCGTGACGTAGAACTACAAGGCTGCATCTCGCGTCATTGTCGCAACAGGCAGATAAACCTTGACCAAGTCCCCTTACGGCATCTAACGCAAGGTGAAGTTAATCAATAGTTTTAATCAGTTCTTTTCCACCTTTTTTGTGGCACAATCTGATCATTCCATGGAGGGCTATGCAAAAGTGGTGGACCTGATGGCCACTCATCAAGAGTTCGCGATTACGCGGCGATTCAGGGCACTAAACATGCAAAATGTGCTATACCTCCAGGCTGAAATTATGCACCTGGACTACGTAGCAGCGTATGTATTTAGTCCAGCCATTAGGGCACGGTTTGACATACGGGAGCACTTGTAGAGGTACCGGGGGCTTCGAGCCTACGGCGTATTTAATTAATAAAAAAATGCACCTGGAAGAAGAACTCGTAGCGTTGGCAACTCGGGACGCTACTCACCCAGCACGTCAGTTTCATTGCAAAGATTGGTGGTCTCTGGCCAACGGCAGCGAGCAGGAGGATCGTCAGCAATGGGAAAAGATCCTTGAAATACGTCAAAAACTGGCGACCTATAGTGAGTTTCATTGAAGCATGATATAAGGGCTGGCTAGCTGAATTGTTTTATTACAATAGATGCGACGGTCCTGCAGCAGGCCCAGATGGCTAAGTTGGATACTCCTTCGAAATACGATGTAGAATTTCTACGTACCTGGTTCAAGCGGCCACTAATGGGTGCCTTCCCTCTACTCGGCTTGGATCAGACTGCCTGGGACGAGGACAATCAGAAAGACCTCATCGCAATTAGAGCTCGAAAGTCACCTGACATGTTCTCCAAATGGTTTACGGAGGTCGTAGTTCCAACATTCCATCACCTCGTGGGAGAAAGGCTGAAGGTATGTCAAGCGCAATCAACATCGAGGTTTTTCATAACCAGCAAACAAGAAACACGACAGCGTCGATCCAGGTATCTATGAATACAACGAGAAACTCCTGGCAAAGATCCTCTTTGGCATCTCCACAGTCATTGCCTCCATGCTGCCAATCTGCTCGATCGTTGTTCTCTACTATGTACAGTCGAGCCGTATCCAGCTTGGACTTACAGTTCTATTCTGTGCTTGCTTCTCGTCAGCTTTGGTCCTCATGACGAATGCCAAGAAAGTCGAGATATTCGCAGCGACTGCAGCGTGCGTTTTCCTGCCCTCACCCCAAATGATATCGAAGAACAAGGCTGATTGTTTCTTATGACCAGTTTTGCTGCTGTTGATGTGGTATTCTTAACCAGCGATAGCCATTATTCTGTTTGACCTTGGAACTCTCGGAATGCGCTCTACGGCGACATGTGTTTCCACGAAGGATTTGAATAAATTGTACTAGTGGAACAAAATGAGTTGTTGGAAATATTATCTTGCGCCTCAGTTTCCTCGTTGTTTGCTTTTGATTCAGTAATTTAGACAGTCTGAACCGGTTGCCGTAATGGTGCAGCGTTGATACCTGAGGACATCCCTGTCTGGAAAGCCTTCGCGTTCGAGCCTCAGGGCGAATTTGCGAGTTTTCAACTGTGAGAAATCTGTTCGGATTTTTGGAGTTTGCACATGGGTAACTTCGGGCATGCGATATAAGCTTCGGCCAAAGTAATCAATTGACAGACACATAATTAAGGCATTGAGCAGATGATATTATACTAACCTGGACGAATGCACCTACGGTCGCTCACCTATCAAGGGCCATTAGTCCACAAGATTCATCATCATTAATTAGATGGAATTTACATACATGGGAACTTGAAGCGTATACACCTTTCAGATACTGCAGAGCTGAGGTGTGTTTCCCATTATGAAACTCGGTGATATGTGTATATATGCACACAAAAACGGTGCAGTGGGGTTCGATAGGGCCGAAATATCGCAGGATACTTAGCCACCCGGTGTGTCAGTAAGGATAGGCATACAAAATTTTCAAGGAAAAAGCCCCGAGCAGCATCGATGCCGAATGGTGTTTTGTAGCACATCGGCCTGCCCGGCGCCATGAAAGTGTGGTGTCACCATTCTGCGCCACTATATTGACGTTTCGCCCGGTTTGGCAGCGCAACCTTCTTGGCGCATTCTGTACCAAGACCTCCTTGGAATAGCTCACAACAAATCAAAGAATCCTCTCTCTACTATGCATCACAATCACCCTAGTTACCGGAGTACTCTGATTGATGCATGGATGCATGGAGTAACCCCAACTTAGAAGCCTGCCACTTCCAATGTCGGTTATAAAACTCTAAGAGGATTTATTTCCTTTCGCCTCCTCAGCCAATAGAAACGAAAAGTCTGGGAAACATCATACCTCTCCCAGTCCCTCGTCTGTAAGAACGCCTTTGTGCTGAGGTCTCGTTATAGCTGCCCCCCCCTTTCTAAATCGAAAGAAAGAAAGTCAACTAGAACCCGCATGCTCGAAAGAAGAAGTGCTTTCTGTCATATGCTCAATCATAAGAAACATATTATAGCCGACCACGGAATGGTAAACGTGTGTTATGGCAGATTCGGGGTCATACAACACGACGTAAAGGAAGGTACTGGATACTCATCAGCGAGGGCCACAGTCTGGTTGCATTTGCACGCTGCATAAGTCAGAATTCATCATTTGCTGCTTTCAAATGTCTCTTGAACCGAGCAATGGGGAGACAAGACTTCTATGTATCCTTACGGGGCGTCTCTTTGCAGTTCTTTTGTCTTATGTGTATCAGACATCCTGGAGGACATTCACAGTCCTGTGCATGTATGTATACTAGCTCATAACAGTCAAAAAGGGGCTAATGGCCATTCAATTTCTGGATGCGTTATTGGGGGCGGTGTGCTTATAAATCAATAAAAACAGCATCATTCCTACTTTTCCCAACTCCTAATCAACCTCCCGCAAATACTGATACCTCTCTATGAAATGTCTCTTCCTCTCCCTCACCCTAGCTCTCCTCTCATCCGCCTACTTGAATGACCTCATAATCTCGTCCTGAAGCTCAGGACTCAACTGAGCAAGCGACTCGGCAGTTGGGCACCTCCGTGGGACTTGCTCCTGTCGGCGCCAAAAGGCCTCCTGGCTATTGCCGTAGACGTTTGCTATCGTTCGCTCCCCTGTGTCGGCATCATACCCGATTGTGCGTTGGTATATGTCTTCGTCATCGAACCTGGCTCGTCGTCGGGCTGCTGCAGGGGGTTGTTGGCGGAAAGGCGTGGTGGGTGTGGGTTGGGGAGGTGGTGAGGGTCGGGCTTCGGTCACGTTGGCGGGGACCGGTAGAGCTTCGTTGATGTTGGTGGAGGCGGGACGGGAAAGGCTGAGAGTGCTGTGGTTAGCCGCTGTGGGGCTTTGTTGTGCTGAAGAGACATAAGGTGGCGGGACTTCCGAGAAGTGGTTGATCCTGGTAGGGCTACTCTGTGGAAAAGGGTTAGCTCCGATGCTCCCTGCAGAGTATTGCGGTACTCGGGCTCTAGACGCAAAATGTGGCGCCCGGGCACTATATGCTGGTGGGCGTACAATGTTTCTTCTACAGTTTGGAGGTGCTATAGTTGGGGTGTCTAAGGCATTCCTATGGCCTGTTTGAGGGCTCGGTGGATTTGAGCTTGAGGTATTTGATTGCTGGCTTGTTAGGACAGGGGCTCGAATCGCGAGGTGGCTTCCTGGAAATGGGGGGACCAAGGGGTCTCGTCGACTCATCCGCTGGCTCTCTGAGGCATCGAGTGTTCCCTCAGTTGCAGCATCTCTAGACGTCCTAGATACCTGGCTAGTTTCAGCCTGGAAATTTATAGGGTATAATTTTGTGACATATCCAGATTTAACGAGAATAGGGATGATTTCGTTAATTTTCTGGAGTGCCTGTTGACGTGAAGTCAAATCCTGACTAGACCGAGACGCGGTGTTGTGGGCTTCGGTCGCAAAATTTGAGGATTCTTCTCGTCTAGGTCTGACTTGTTCATCCCTTTGGTGTGGCCGGGTAGCTGATCTTGAATCCTCACTACCTCCAACCCGGGAGTGGCAGACCAGCATTGCCGCATCCAAATCAGACGCTTGACTGTCTCTTGGTTCCTTTTCTCTCCGGTGTGGCTGGGTAGAATCTGGAGTCCTGGCATTAGTCCCGAAATCACGACTAGGACGCCCACGCTCGACAGTCCTGGCTGAGGTGCCTATATCCCGATTTTGCTTGCGTTTCTCCTCCTTTCTGGGTGGCTGAGTGACGGGATTATTCTTTTGATCGGCAGATGCGTATTTCTTGAGAGCCGCCCGTTGCGCGGGGCTCATAAGTTTCGCCCAGAAGTAGAAGGCGAGGGTCACCAGAACCAACAAAAACAAGATAAACATCAGTACATATCGATTACTGAGAACACTACTGTACCGACTGCCTGGTAGTATCTTCAGTTTGATATTGGGTGTGGTGATTTGCAGGCTCCTATTGAGCTGGCGGTAAACCCATTTACTGAAAGATCTGTCATCCTCTTGGACTGACGTCTCCTGTAATTCGGTTCCCGGTGATGCGGTTTCTGAGTTCGTTGTGCTAACCTTTCCCCACAGATTGGCGACCCAATTGTCACTAGTGTCGTCATTGTTGCTGCTTGTGTAAGTTCGCGTTGAGCCATGATTAGGGCGTGACGATGATATCCAGTAGTCTTTCCAGCTGCCACTAGTAGGAGCATTGCTTTTCTTGGCACGTTGTAGCTGGTCAGGCTCTAGATTTGAAGGGGCTGAAGACCAGTAGTTAGCCCATGTTCCAAAGGCCATGACTAGATTAGAATCCGTGTGATGGCGGTCAGATGTAGTAGGGTCAAAGCTAATACTCCGTAGGTTGAGAGTTTGAGGAATAAGATCCTTTGATTGCGTCTTGATTTGTATTGCTTGACTTGATTGCGTAACAGAATAGTTGTACTCAATTCATGGGTTACCGCCGACATATATAAATCAGGACAATGAAATACTGAGTGGGAAAGCATAAAGCAGAGTTTTGAAGGATAGCCTTTGTTGTCGCCGGTTACTTATACCCAAGGCAGGATACTGACAATGAATAACAAAAAAAAGCATTATTTGCTCTTCTCTCGGGCTACATATGAATGCGGAGATATATCAAAGCTAAAAGTTGCTTGCAAACATTGCCGACTTTCTCGGTATGTACTCTGCCCGATTCACTGCCAGCAGGTTAGGACGAGCCTTGAGCAGAATCAAACCGCAATAGTGGTAAAACTATTTTGTATCGTAAGTAGACGAAATGCATGTTTTGTTGTTGAAATACCTTAGAATATGGATGCGCAATTAAAATTACTTCTCCATATATATTAACTTGCTGCTACCTGCAAGTACGAAGTTCCACCAATTGGTGCAGCAATTGTTCGTAGCAAACAAGCGTATACCAACACTCGTGTTAGTAACAAATATCTCAAAATTCCGAGGAAGGGAAGTTGTTGGAGCGCCGACTGCCTATCGCGATGCACTCTCGTTCTGCAGCAGCAACACCCTGAACGGCGCTGGTCAGGGTGACGACGGCAGAAAGGAAGACAGAGGTCTTTTGTTTTTATGAGGTGTGGTTTGGTTAAAAGCTGCGTAGGTGTCGTCACGGTTGGTGGGTATGAATCTTCTTATGGAAACAGCCTTATAAGTCAAGCAACGCATCATTTTGCCCTATTCGAATCTGTTCAGTTGAACCAAGGAAAATGTATTCCCAATACTGAATAAAAACTTGTAAGCTGGCCTTCGCGTTCGGGGGGTTCATATTGGAGTCCGAAGCGTGATGTTCGATGCCCTGACTCAAGCTAGCGTGGGGTACATTATACCGCCTCATGCAAATGAGGCATACCCGGCTTAGATGATCTAAATATGCAACATGCCAGATAGGTCCCTGTCCGATACGGCTCTTCCTTTGTCAACCATGGCTTGACAAAAGTTGGTAATTCGTTCCATTAGAAGAAACTCCGCCACTAGGAAAATATCACACTGGTTAACATGATCGACCCGGGCCATATGAAGACCATATTGCTATATCTGTCTTGATCGCCGCGTGATATAATCGAGCATATCATATCTCTGATTTCAATTACTTACAGCACCATGGTGCTGCAGTACTCGCTCATGCTCCGAACTGTAAATGTGAATAATTCGGAATTGTCGAATATTCGCGTACAAATCTCGGCCGAGTAATCTGGGACTGACAGACCACGGCCATCAGAGCCGCCCCCACACTGATGGGGCTTACCGTGCAGATCAAATCCTCGCGAGACTCCGCGAAGTTGTGGGGTGTAACGCAACAAGCCGAGGACCCCAGTCTGAATCAGTCTGAAGGGCAGCCACAGTAATGGGTCTGCTACAAAGTGCCCCTTGAAATCTTCCAAATAAATCATCGAAATGTCACTGTTTGGGGTTGTGTGACACGAATGTCTCGAATTTCTCTCATTTCTTGGACAAGTCGAGACTGAAACACGCAGGGGCACGCCATAAACTATGGTCTATACCAGGCCGCAATCAGCATTAGACGGAAGTTGGGAACTTGACATAGCGCACACAAGCGGCTATTCGACGACGTTGGGTGTCGAAGTTGAATAAAGCTGTACACAACTTTCTCGCACCAACTCCTACAAACCTTCTATTCCTAGCGTCGTAACTAAGAAATCCTGTCAGATGCAATAGTCCCAATATATTTATACAGACACGAATGTAACGCTAACTCATTAAACCTATTCTACTATATCCAGCATGTATCAATCAAGTTCATCACCATCTCATGTAGCAACCATCTCTTCCCCATCCAAACTCCGACTCTTGATCCTCGAAGGCCCCGCCGCCATCTGGACCCACTCGTTATCGCTATTCCAAATCCCTGCTTTGGTATAATCATACGCAACGCTGCCGCCCAAATATGCAAACCTAAAGTACTCATCCAATCCCGACGTGGTACTCCTGGGCCAAACAAAACTATCCTCAGCGCCCTCATCCCCGAAATACGATCTGAACCTCTCGACGTCGTTCACCAACGCACTGATGCCGTCGTACGCTAGCCCTGGCGAATCGCTCCATCGGAACGTAATGCTGGAGTTGTCGGAGGATATAACGGGGCCAATGAGCGACGGGAGTGGGGAGTTAATTTGGGCGTCGCCCTGTAGCGCTGTTGAGGTCTGCAGGAAGGGGTCAAAGCCCCATCGTGCTATGCCGTTGATGAACAGACCGACGAGGAGACCTTGATAAAGTAGTGACGGCCGTGTCTGCATGCTGGTCCCGGGTAGGAGCAGCAAGGCGAGGATGTAGTGATGTATGCGTAGACTCAGATCGGGCAGAACCAAGCAGATAATGATGCCAATAATGAAAAAGAAGTAAAGCTTGAGGTACTTGATCAGACGCCTTTCCTGTCGGAAGAACCAAATTTGCGAGACGACGACAAAGAACAGCACGATGATAATGACAGCCAGAGCTGCCTTGGCACCTGGCTGTTGTTGCAAATCGTGTGCACTAAGTCTCTGGATTGGGATGAAGTCAAAGGTGTAGTTGGTCAAGGCGCCGACCCAACATCCACCAAGCCAGAGAATGGTCTTCTCGAATTGGGCGGTCAAACCCTTGAGCGTACGGCGCACGCCCATCTTGTCGTAAAACACCCAGGCGCAGAACATGGCCGGCAGAAACCTCCCCAAGATTTTGGAGAATAAGCCGGCTGTAGAGTAGTGGGAAGGCGGGTCGGATGCCATCCCCACATGCCAGAACAGTCCGACGAACATGGAGAAGAAGAACAGGGCCGCGGAGTCGGTGAAGAGGGACAATACTACTGTGTAGGCAACCGTGACACCGAGCAGCGACCATCTCACGTCTTTAGAGTCGCAACTTATGCCATCTTGAAAGGTGAAAGACAGCGGGAAATAAGAGTTAAACCCAATGCTTGTGATGCCATTTCGGGTCGTACTCGTGTAGTTGGCCTGCCTGCCGATAAGATTGACAACCCCGCAACCACCTCGGGCATTGTTGACGAGACCGGCATGGATCGCGGATCCGCAGATGAAGGAATCGCCTCGATAGATGGGATGCAACTCATTGTTCGGATCCGGGGGACCACCGACGATCAACGGCTGGTAGATGACCTCTTGTGTACCGACAGCGCGAGGGTTGAGGACCTGGTAGCTCGCGCAATTGGCGGGGCACTTGAAAGCAAAGCCACTGTTGGTAAAGGGCCGGCAGTCACTACCATCAAGCCCGCACTGGTTTCCAGGGATCCAATATGTTGTCCCGCAGCTAATGTCACTAGGCAAGCCATAACCTTCAATCTCGCTGGAAATGAGCCCCTGGCGCATAACAAACACGAAGGTCAAGAGCCAGCAGGCAACATAAGCCATGAACAGCCACACCCGGTGCGTCTTCTTGGGTACAAATCGGTCGAGCAGCACAAGCGGGGCCTCTTGTACGATCGGGAATAGCGGTTCAATCTTGTGATCGCGCGCTGCCAGAGGTCCCTCGGCCCATTTTGCCACAGCTGTCACGAACTTCCGGACGGGATACGGTACCCATTTCCACCTTTTCCATGTGCCTTCGTCCTGCATAAAGCGAGGTGTCGGGATGTTTTCGTCGTCCTCGAGCTCGAGATCCTGACGACTGGCTTCGTCGATCGGAGCGTCCGGATGCGCGCCACTAGAGCGGTCGTCTTCTTCTTGCTGCTCAGGGTCGGAAATCAGCTGCGGAACATGGTCTCTTCGTTGTCTGTCACCCATGATGATGATGACCTACATTTCGGGCGAGCGTTAGCGAGTCTCACAGTAGTTACCCTCTTCTAGCGACAGCAATAACAAGTGCAAATAACAGCCAGTCGAATCGCACAGCGATCGTGCGATGAATAAAGAACGGGTCAAGGTAGCATAGAAGGCATTGGTTGATTGCTTACCCTCTAACGGATAATCCCCAACGCAAATAAATACAGTTTCTATGATGATGGCATCGAAGTTAGGACGGTGAACATGTTTGCAAGGCCAAGAAAGGAAGCTGGTAGATCACTTGCGACCTCAAACCAGCTCGTTCGCCCCGAATTCGCTATGTGCTTCGGAAGTGAGATTCAGATGGGGGTTGGTTGCGCGGTCGCCAGTCGCATCCTCCGGACTTGACACGGCTGTAACACCTCGGATGATCCTGGCCGGTCCAACGTGGGGTGTTTTGTTGCCATGATTGGCTTGGCGGCGTAATTACCCCACCGTAGGATGCACGGAGGGGACAGTCAGCAGGGAGTCTAGCAAGAACTGACCGTCAATCAAGGGATTCGAATTGACAGGAACTTGCGGTCAGCTCCTTCGCTTCATTGCCCCAAACGGTTTCGATGAATAGTTCACATCCCAGGTACCTCTGATCACAAGCTAAAAAATACGATTAGGCAGTTTTTGCCTCGGGAATGCTGGAGATGGAACAGTACTTTCGGGTCAACCTTTATCCGTTATAAACCCTTCGTTCGCTTTCTCGATTTCGACTAATCCCAAAATAGAACAAAGGCTTCAAACTTCAAAATTCAGAAGCTGACGACGCGATCGCCAAAGTTCTCGTAAAATATGTGATTCAGCCAGGAACTAGACATTCCAGCGAGATTTCTTGATGCCAAAACCACCTGTCGTTTGTCTCGGATTGGCATTAGAATCAAAGCTGTGAAGAAGACGGCTGCGTTGCGCTTGGCAGGTGATGACAGCATGACCAATTCTGGGGCGGACGATGGCATGTTCTTCAGGGTGCTACATAAGTCGGTAGCCGATGGGGTAGCAGCAAGAATTGGGCGCTTGGCCGTCCCCCAAAGGAAGCTGGTCGATACGCCCAACTACATGGCAATCAGCTCCAGAGGAACTATCCCTCATCTCACACCAGATGTTATTGCCAAATACACAAACATCAGCGGTGCCTACATGGCACTGGAAGATTGTAGGTGAAGTAGAGCCGCGCAAGCGACATGGTATTCGGCTGACTTTTCAGTCATAGAGAACTCCCCGAAGCGAATCACGCCAGCCATCTACAAGACCCCACAAGATCATGGATCAAGGCCGCTTCATGCCTACACGGCGACACCTCCGTCCGTTGCCACCATTCTTGGGGCCCGGCGTCACCCGGCTGTGGTATCTCCCCAGGGAAACGGGCACAATTCCGTCTCCGTCTTCACCTCAACAGGTTTCAAACCTCTGGAACAACAAGACTACTGTGATGCTGTCGCCACCATCAAACCCGATATCGTCATTCCGCTCGCCGACTTGACCTTCAAACCCGGCATGCCCAACGTCAAGCGGCAGCTTCGCATGGCAGAGCGAACAGAAGTCTGGATGAACGCATTCTTCGAGAATCTGGATGTGGACGAGACCCTGAAGCCTTCGGGTATTCATGTTTTTGCGCCGCTGCTTCCAGTCTCTTATCCCATCCAGTGGGAATACATAAAGCGCCTGTCAGAAGACCACGCCGATCTCCTATCAGGTCTCGCCGTTTACGACGCTGATGTTCTTGCCGATCTTGGCGAACATGTTGAGCTCACATCTCTCCCACGACTGTCTCTTGATATCCCTCCGTCGCCGCATCACGTCCTCCGCCAAGTTCGTCAAGGTGTTGATATCTTTACCATCCCATTCATCCACGGCATATCCGATGCTGGAATCGCTCTGACATTCTCGTTCCCTCCACCGGTGATGTCCAGCGACGAACTTCAGCCATTGGGCGCCGACATGTGGTCGCGGGTCCATCAGACGTCTCTGGGGCCACTCCTGGAAGGCTGCGATTGCTACTCTTGCTCCAAACATCACCGCGCCTACCTCCAACATTTGCTGAATGCTAAGGAGATGCTTGGATGGGTTCTCCTACAGATCCACAACCACCGCGTCATGGATAAATTCTTCGAGAGTATTCGCGCCGCCATTGCAGACGGCTCCTTCGAAGAAAAGTCTAAGCGCTTCAGTGAAATATACCAGGCGGGTCTTCCTTTAGGTACCGGCGCACGACCACGCGCTCGGGGTTACCATTTCAAAGCCGAGGTAAATCGGCCCAAGATCAATCCTAGCGCATGGGGAAAATTCGAGACCGATCAGGCCGTGGACAAAACCCTCGTAGCGGAAGCAGCGGGACTGGCTGTGACGGGACCGGCGGGAGAAGGGGCAGAGACACCACTTGTTCCTGAATCCAACGCCGATGCTCTGCAAGATTCTGGATTTGCTAACGTGGATGAGAAGAGTTGAAGACGTCCCAAGGGGGCTTTGGATACAATAACACCGCACTAGGCGGATCATGTTCGACTAGCGATAGCGAGGCAAGCGGGCTATCCCACATCAACACGTTACACTCCTCTCAACGCTTCCTATGGCAACGATAATCTGCGAAGCTCTTGGCCTTACATTGAAATTAGCTGTCAGCTCAGTGACTGGTCATGGTCTGGGTGGCAGAAAGCCATGTTGGGGGCAACGAGGGGTTTGGAACATCAGAATCCCTTTGACGGCTGCTCGAGCTAGGTCGCATGAAGAGTGACAGACCCGGGGACGAGTTTGTCGCAACTGATTGCAAGCACCCTGCATGGGACACCACGTGCTCGTATATACTGGTTTCCAGCAGACAAGCGCGACTGGCTTCATTATCACCCTCCGCCGGCTTCCGGTTGGCACTAATAATCAAAAGTCTGTCCAGGTGCCTGGAGCAGGGGCTGCCGAGGTCGAACGTCGAAGCATTGTACCGTGGCTTAGCAATCAATGGAGATATGGCCGCACAAATGAATTGCACAGCTCCACGGTTCGCGGTCATTCACCTTATTGGTCTGACCTCTCGTCAAGTCTTGGAGCTGCGCCGTGGCACCGGGAATCTTGGGCCCGCTTCAAAAGTTCATGTGTACTCGAACCTTGACCCATCACCCAATCAGAAGCATCAATTCAACCCACGTTTTCTTTAAACCCCGGCCACGCAACGGCTTTCGTCCAACTACTTCCACTACCTCCCACGTGAGGACCAATATAAATACCAGAGCCTTGGCACGCACTCCCGACCCCTCGTGTCGTTCCTTGGCCCAATGTACTTATCCCACCAAAAACCGCCCGTTGAGTACGTTTGACAGCCCCCAGTGCCAAGCGGCGCCATCCTGTGGGCTCTACGATATCAACCTAGCTGATTCCTTGACCCCAGGATTATCCACGATGGATATAGAACAACAAACATGGGTTCAGCTCGGCCGTTCGTTCCGCGGAGTCGCTAGTCCAATCAAAGCTCGCCTCTGCAGTTCATCAGGCGTCTTCCAACTGTGACTACCTAGGTAGAAAATGCGCAACGTAGTTCAGATACTGCCAGGCCCGTGCCAATCGAAGCCCCGCATTCCACTCATACCTCTCCATCCCGGAGATAACTGCCACTTGCGTTGGAGCTTCGAGAATGCTCCTTCGAGAATGCTCCTTTGAGAGTCCACCCATGATGGATTGAGCCGATAAGCTGCCAAGTGTGAGCTCCCCTGCATTGGTAACAGCGCATACACACTTTCCTATATAACGGGCCGTAACTATCTGCATGGGGTTCTCGCCAGCTCTGACGCTCTGCTTCTCTAACTACTCCGAGCCCGTCCTCGCACAATCGAAGCCGGTTGGCCTGTGAATTGTCACCATGATGGGCAAACTGAATTGGTTAGGCCTTGCGGCAGCTTCACTGTCCGCCGTATCGGCGCAGTACTATCAACGGCTAGGCACCTGTCCAACCCTCGGTTGTGTGCTGCCTCCCGATCAACAAGACTTCTTGCCGGGACAGTACTTCGACCTGCGTCTCGAAGTGCATGCGCCTGTCAATGGCTCTGAGGCATTCAACGAAGGTGTGCCAGACGAGGAATTCTTCGTCACCATCACGAAGGAAGGCGGCGAGGCCAGGAGCATCACCGAGTTTTTCAGCGTCGAGGAGCCCGAGGTTGAGACGTGGTCGTTCAAGTGGTACGAAGACCTCTACGCCGCGGATGCCGGCACGGCGTCCGTGGTCAATGTCGCCTCCAAGATCTACAGACGCTTGGCCCTTTACGAGCCGGGTAATTATCAGGTTACGCTGAACTACTACGATGGGGAGACGACCACGGCGAATTGGGTTGTGCGCCCCTTGGCGACGAAGAAGAAGGCTAAGAATGTTATTCTCTTCATTGGGGATGGTATGACTACCAACATGATCACGGCTGCACGCTTGCTCGGGCATAAAAGCATCAATGGGAAATATCAGTCTGTGTTGCAAGTTGACGACTTCCCTGTCATTGGTCACCAAATGGTATGCGCATGACTACACGCCGGTTAACACGTGGCAGTGCTGACTATGGCTGCTAGACACATTCCATTGACAGCTTCATCACCGACTCTGCCAATTCTGCATCGGCTCTCTACTCCGGTCACAAGAGTACAGTCAACGCCATGGGCGTCTACGCTGATTCTTCCCCTGATTTGTTTGACGACCCCAAGGTGGAGACGATTGTTGAGTTGCTCAAGCGTGTCTGGGGTTCCTCGTGGGGGGCTGTCTCAACCGCCTTCATCGCAGATGCGACCCCGATTGCCCTTACTGCACACACCCGATCTCGGTACGCCTACGGGCCCCTGGTTGACCAGGCTCTAAAATCCCTCTCCAACTACACATGGACTGACCACGGTGGTCCTGATGTCTACTTCGGCGGTGGTGCCGAGCAGTTCCTCCCTGGTTCGGGTTCTTACCAGGGAAAAGACTACTATCAGGAATTTGCCGATGCAGGTTACCTCATCAGCTTGAACAAGACTTCGCTGGAGAGTCTTTCCAACGACTCCAAGGCCCTGGGCATATTCTGCAAGTCAAACCTTCCCGTCTGGCTTGACCGCAACGTCTTCACAGACAACCTCCAAAACTTCACAAACGACCCAACCGGTGCCGAAGCCCCCGCCACCGATCTGCCAGGCCTAAAGGAAATGACGCTTAAAGCCATCGACATCCTGCACACACGCGGCGGTGACAAAGGCTTTTTTCTTATGTCGGAAGCAGCCTCCATCGACAAGCAAATGCACACGCTCGACTACGACCGCGCGCTCGGCGACCTCCTCGAGCTCGACGACACCATCCGCGCCACCGTGTCGCACCTCAAAGCCCTCGGCGAACTGGAAAACACTCTCATCGTCGTCACCTCGGACCACGGCCACGGCTTCGACGTCTTCGGCGGCGTCGACACAAAGTATCTGTCCGAACAGAAAACCGGCCGCGAGAAGCGCAAGGCCGTTGGCGTGTACCAGAACTCGGGCCTCTCACAGTACACCGTCGAACACCCCGGGATAAGCTACAACACGGGCCCCAATTTCCCCGTGAACTGGGATCCGCGGTACCAGGTTGCGGCCGGCTTTGGGGCGAATCCGGATCATCGGGAGAACTATAGGACCAACCCTGACAATCCGCGCACACCCGCAACGAATATCACGGGATTCGAGTCGGATGATTATTTTGTGAATCCCACGGATAACGTGGATGGCTTTATCGTGAATGGCACGTTGCCTACGAATGAGGCGCAGGGGGTGCATTCGTTGACTGATGTGGCGGTTTTCGCTATGGGCCCTTGTCAAGATACTTTTGGGGGTGTTTATGGGAATATTGATGTGTTTTATAAGATGGCGAACTGTTTGGGGTTGGGAAGGCCGGATGGAAAGGCGGGGGGGAATTTGACCAGGACTAGTAGGTAGATCAACTAGTCACTAGCCACTTTAAGGGGTTTGGTGTGAGTGATGTAGACTCTATTACACTAATCTATAACGCAATCGCGTTATGTTGTATATAAGTCAGTGTTCTGGTATTTAATACGGTTATTATCATTTGTGAGATGTATCTCCCGACTCACCCCCACCGTCTCCACGATTCCCGTGGCTCCAACTCCCAAAGCTCCGATTGCACAGTTGTTTTGACTTACAGTACCAGCGTCCTTTTCGGGCCTGCCGCTGAGGACCCATAAGGGTGTTTCTTTTTGGTGGAAATCAAAAGGTTCGATCGCCTGGAAGAAATACCAATAATTGGTACGATGGTAAGCCGGGGTTTGTCTAGTCAGTAAGCCCCCCATAAGATATTTAGGCACGAGTAGTATGGAATGAAAATGATTCCAGTATACCTTTCCTCCGAGCTCCGCTAATGATAATCTCTCCTGTGATGGCGAAAACCAATGGACACCAGGTAAATTCCGCCAGGGCCTGCCCAGATCCTGCCTGTTCATGTCCAAATCCATCCGAGTCGACTGCATCCGTGCTTTTTTTGCGCCAATATAGCATTTGACGACCAATACCGAAGACACCGTAGTCGATATTGGAGATATAAAAGCCATCACGACGTAAAACGACCTTAGGAAGAGGCTTCCGAAGCCCATTCCGGGTTTCTACCTGCAAATGTAGTTAATAATGACCAACGAACATTAAAACCACATTGGGATGGATGTAGGCATGATTATGTTGAGCATAGGGGTAGGGTCAGGGTCATCACGACATATTTCCTTAGGAGTATCCCAAACCGGCCTCGCGGGGAAAGCATGAGAAAGACACCCGATAGGAGAGGCGATGTGAGAAGAAAGATGGAAAACATCAGTAATTCAGAACGCAGGTTCCCCGGGCATCCTTTTCATTCGAAGCGAAGCGGAAGATCGTTCGAGATATCGCTATTCGGACAGATGTTTGTCTGAACGGGGTTCTTTCCACCTCGAACAGACTGTCTCGAGTAGTAGCAGAGGCTTGTACTTCGCAGGTTAGTGCGCAGTCAACGACTCAAAGTACGTGATTCCCACGATGCCATAGAAAGAGACACTCATCAGTGTGAGAAAGGTGATGAAATTTCTCTCACATTCGTCTACATGCAACTTACCTGGTTGGATGCGTGTTCCAAACGTGCCAGCCCATCACCTTCACCATTGATTTCTCTGACGAAGAGTCGAATTTTTCATTGCATGAACAATAGGGTCCAGTTTAAAAAACACAGTGTCTATCGGGTTGAGCCGCCACCAACCTCAATGTGTATCGTTTTGCACAGAGAGATATGTCTTCGCAGTCGAAGGAAGAATGACGGTCGATGCGGGAATGGGACTGGAAAGGATTTCTAGTCAGAGAAACAGCGAGAAGGCAATGTTCGAGGACGAGCAGAACGACTAGATGTACAGTTCCGAAGAAGCTCATGGTAAACTTCCATGAGGATATATATAAATACATATTATCATATACAGTGATATTTACAGGTGTGAGTACCCCTGTGCTAGATATATATCTATACAGCTATAGTTGCCTAGGTTCTAAATGTGTCAGGGTACGGCTAGGCCGAAGGCAATAGTACAGAGTGATGGGGAGTAACGGGCGTCCCTCCTACGTAGCACCGGGTGGTCACTGGCGGTCTCAGGTAGGGGTGCCCACGGTGATGCATTGATCTCTGCTCCTTCCCTATCCTACTTCGAGATGGTCCTTATATAGATAGCTAGGCCGCCGCTTGGACCCGGCATAACAGCAGGGTCGGCGATGCCAAGGATCTTGACTCTCGTCATCCCAAAGCTTCACATAGATTGTAATCATGACTCGGGAGTCTTTTGTCCGAAACACCCCTCCGGCGGCCCACCGGTGTCCTGCATTCAGTGTCCTGACACCCACTGGTGCCTATGGCATTCTGTTCTCTGACAAAATGGGAGCTGTTTAACGGTCCACATGAATCAGTCATTGCGAGGAAGCCGAGTATAGATCGATGAAAAAGTTGCAATAGGTTCCAATAACATGACGTAAGTGATAGGGTTCTGTCGGCAATGGCGTGTGGGAAATAACACCATGCAGCATTGGCTAAGCTAGTTTACTACTACATTGACCTTGTCCACAGAGCTCGCTGAACCCTTTTATGCGCCTTGTGTCTCTACTTTGAAATGAAGGGATCACAAGGCAACCTCCAAAGAGATCGGCGTATTTTGGTGGAAACTGGTAAGCATCAAGTACAGAAACGGCACGATGGTTCATGCATCACATCTCAATCTCTCCCAACAATGTTTCGTTCCTAGCCACGTCCCACCTGCAAAGGTGCTAATACTAATAGAGCATTAGTCGACGATGCGGATGCGAACGATTTTTTGATCTAGATGAAGAACCCACGGGAATCTCAGTCGAAGTAAACGAGACCCAAGGAGCTCAGGAATATGAGCAACCTAGTTCTGGCCAGGACGTCTGTCTTCGCATGTAGCAGGATCGGACCGATAACCCCCATCCCCCAGAATCGACTCGGAAGCTGACAATATTTTCGACCCGCAACCGGAAGTAACACTTCAGGTGCCTCGCTCAACAACAATACGAGGTATGTTTGGAACTGGTAATGGGGGTATTTGCACCATATCTTGAATTCAGATTGTCTAAATTTGAGCATCCACATCATCTACAATCTGAACCTTTATACTCCCATTACTCAAATCCGAACACACATTTAATGCATCCAACGCCTTCTCCAGCGGAAACTCATGCGTGACCAACTTCTTCAAATCCAATATCCCACCACTCAAGCACGCTATCCCTGCTGGCCACGTATCACGATAACGGTTGATGAACCGTAGGTCGATCTGGAAAATGTCAGTCCAACATACCCACGAAAACCAGTCACCTTCCACATACCTCAGCAAGCGAAACGTGCATAAACGGCACGTTATTCATAATATCCCTCCCGACCCCAATAACACAAACCACGCCACCCCTCCTAACCGCAAAGGCCGCCAACACTACACTACTCTCAACTCCCGTACATTCCAATACCGTCTGCGGCGCCTCGTATTCCCCCTCCCCATACAACTTTCTCACCTCCCGAGCATTCTCCTCCGACGATAACTGTCGATCAACTTGGTACGTAACACATTCCGGCACGAAGTCCTTGGCAAATGCTAGACGTTTCGGCTCGAGGTCCGTGATGACGATGGGATGGGCACCAGAAGCCCGCGCGGCGGCCAGGGCAATCAGGCCTATGGGCCCGGCACCACAGATTAAGGCGGGGCGGCCGAGACTGAGACCGCCTGTTTTCACGCCGTGGAGGACGACACTGAGGGGTTCGAGGAGGGCGGCTTCGGCGAAGCTGACGTTTTCGGGGATTCTGCATAGCACAAATCATACATTAAGAATCTCTTCATAAGACGCACAATGTGGAGGGCTAGAACCGGTCATGGGGTGTGCAAAAACGTACTTGTAAAGCCACTTCGCAGGATGCACCTTGTACCGTTGCAAAGTCCCATGATAGGGGTACACACCCGCGAACTTCACGTCATCGCAGAGATTGTACCGCCCCTCCCGGCAGAGGAAGCACCTCTCGCAGGGCACGCCGGGCTCAACGGCGACCCGGTCACCCACTCTGAGCGTGGTTACGCCCTCGCCGCATTTTAGGACCACGCCTGCAGCTTCGTGGCCGAGGATGCAGTCGCCTTCTACTACCAGCGAACCTATCCGTCCTGTTTTCCAGAAGTGGATATCGGACCTGAATAGATGGAAGACTTGTCAGTGAGTTCTCGGGATAAGTAGTTTTGGAAATGGTATGGATGACCTACCCGCACACACCGGTCGCTTTGATGTGTAATAGCACATCTCCCGGGCCTGGTTCCTGCACAGGCGCTTCCACCATCTTGATCTGGTGGTCGGCCGTCACCTGCAACGACGGGTTCGGGTGCGAGGTCTGGACATGTTCAGTTGCGTTCACGGGCTTGGTCGCGTCGGGGAGGGTAGCCATTTCGAGTTTCGGGGAAGATTACGTCTAAGGATGCCAGGCGTATTAGGTATAGCGCGACCGGTCAAGAGGTTCGAAGTCGGAATACGCTGAAGTATCATACAAGAATTCAAATTCACGCGATGCGCAACGAATCATCCAAGGAGGCAAGACTGCGCCGTCAAGGACATTCTTGAATAATTTGTTACGGTGCGCTCCCTACCTTCCCTCATTCCCTCGTTCAACCTAAATGGGTAGGCTGTACCACCTCGACCACGCCGGCGAGAGTTCAGTGTTACGGTTTGCCTATTTGGGACAATATATAAAGTGTCACTCACTATTGGTCCTGCACGTTGAGGTAGTCCCTGCATTTCCCCGCAACCTCAAGCTCCTCCACATCTCAATCCGGAGCTAGCGCTTGGGATGACTATTCCGAGATGTCTCGGTCGGGTTCGCTCAGAGAGGATCACGCTGGTAAACTTAAAGGGTATAGAATGCTGATGTGGTCCTTCTCATAGTCGGAAATTGCTTGGTGACTTTCACTTTAAATTGAGCTGCATTTCTGCTTGTCGGACTGATCATTTCTCGGCTTTCACTCTTTTCCCAAGTCCCACTAAAGAGACTGACGAAATCAGTCAATATGGCACCTGGAGCTCTCATCGACTCAAAAACCCCATCGGGCCTACCAATCTCTCCAAAAAATGTCGTCAGTGCCCGAGAACTGGTTGAAGCAGAGAAGGACTCGCACGATATAGTCCTCAAGACCTTTCGTCTCCTAATCGCAGACCTATGTCAGCAATTCAAAGGCGGGCATCCGGGGTGAGCTGCCTCCTCTCGGGCCCCAAAAGAAGGAAAAGAAAAAAAAATAGAGACCAAAACCCCTCGCTGTTTCATCACTAACGGTGAATGCAGAGGATCTATCGGCATGGCCGCCATTGGCGTCGCCCTATGGAAATACACGATGCGCTACGCCCCGCATACGCCCAGCTACTTCAACCGTGATCGCTTCGTCCTCTCTAACGGGCACACCTGCCTCTTCCAATACACCTTCCTGCACCTAGCCGGGTACCGCGCCATGACGTTCGACCAGCTGAAATCGTACCACTCATCTCGCTGGGACGCCCTATGCCCAGGCCACCCGGAAATCGAGCATGAGGGGATCGAAGTCACCACGGGACCTCTGGGACAGGGGATCGCCAACGCGGTGGGACTGGCCATGGCGACAAAACATCTTGCTGCGAGCTTCAATCGGCCTGGGTTTGAGGTCGTGGGGAATCAAACTTGGTGTATGATTGGAGATGCGTGTTTGCAGGAGGGAGTGGGGATGGAGGCTATTTCGCTGGCGGGGCATTTTGGGCTGGGGAATCTGACCGTGATTTATGATAATAACCAGATTACATGTGATGGGTCCGTTGATGTGAGTCTTTCTTGTCGTTTCGTTTTTCGCCTGTGGAGGGAGACTGGGTGTATGAGTAAGACTGACTAAGAACCACAGTTGACAAACACAGAAAACGTAAACGCCAAAATGTCCGCGTGCGGCTGGAACGTAGTCGACATCGCAAACGGATGCTTCGACATCGCTGGCCTAGTCAACGCCCTCGAGGCGTCCAGGAACTCAGACAAGCCGACGTTTATCAACGTCCGAACCGTCATCGGAATCGGCAGTAAAGTCGAAGGAACAGCCGTAGCCCACGGCGTCGCCTTCGGTGCAGAGGACGTGGCCACCATGAAGAAATCGAATGGATTCAATCCCGAAGAACACTTCGTCGTCGGGCAGGAGACACGGGATTTCTTCGCTGGACTCCCGAGCAGAGGCGAAATGTACGTGGAAGCGTGGGAGCAGCTGGTGGACGACTATGAGAAAGAGTACCCTGAGCTAGGGGCCAAGTTCCGCAGTAGGATGAAGGGCGAGCTGAAAGGGTGGGAGGAGTTGATCCCCAAGTCGTTCCCCGAGAAACCGACTGCGACTCGGGCTTCGTCTGGCTTAGTTTTCAACCCCATTGCCAAGGAACTGGATAGTTTCATGGTTGGGACGGCGGATTTGTCGCCGTCTGTGAATATGAGTTGGCCGGGCATGGTGGATTTCCAGCATGTAAGTGTTGAGCCGCAGAACCTCTCACCGGTCACGGACGTCATGTACAACGTACCGGTTTCTTGCGAAAGGTGGGAGGAGCATGTGAACTAACGTTGCTGAATATAGCCAGATCGTCGTCCCTCCTGCGGCATCAACGGCAACTACGGCGGCCGCTACATCCACTATGGTGTCCGCGAACACGCCATGTGCGCTGTCGCCAATGGCCTCGCCGCCTTCTCGCCAGGCACGATCGTCCCCGTGACATCCTCGTTCTTCATGTTTTACCTATATGCCGCACCAGCCGTACGGATGGGTAAGCCAGCCATTTCCCTTCCCTCTTTCCGGTCCAACCTCCGTCATCACCATCAGATCACAATCCTGTGCTTAGTGTGGTCTGCTAACCCGCAAAGGGGCCCTCCAAAACCTCCAAGTCCTCCACGCCGCAACCCACGACAGCATCGGCATGGGCGAAGACGGCCCCACCCACCAACCCATCGAACTATCCACCCTCTACCGTTCCATGCCGAACCTGCTGTATATCCGCCCCGGCGACAGCGAAGAAACGGCGGGTGCCTGGACCGCCGCCATCTCCGCGCGCAACACGCCGAGTATAATCTCCACCTCCCGGCATACCCTCCCGCAACTCCCCTCTACATCCCGCCAGGGAGTCCTCAAAGGTGCCTATGTTCTACAGGAAAACGAAGCCGCCACCTTGACATTAATCGGCGTCGGGGCGGAATTATCGCACGCTGTTGGAGTAGCTAAGAGATTAAAGGAGGAAAAAGGGCTTGAAGCTAGGGTGGTCAGTTTCCCGTGCCAGCGGCTGTTCGAGAGACAGGCAGTGGAGTATAAGAGAGATGTATTGAGACGGCATCGGATGCCGGCGGTGGTGTTGGAGCCGTATGCGCCGAACGGATGGGAGAGGTATGCCGATGCGGCCTGTTGCGTGACGAGGTTCGGACACAGCCTGCCGGGGCCCGAGGCGTATAAGTATTTTGGATTTGATGTTGAGTCGTTAACGGCGAAGGTTTTGGGGTACTTGAACAGGGTTGAAAGGGATGAGATGTTGAGGAGGGAATTTGTTGAGCTGTGAGTGAGTGAGGTTGTGTGTTGTATGCAAAGACAAGTGTGGTAAATACGGGTTCGTTCTGTGGCGTCAATAGGAAGAATTCATTCTCTGATATTTAGTCGAATAAGCATGCACCTGGGAGATGAACAAAAACATCAGGTATTTAACGAAAGAATCGGACCAATGGCCATCATGTCATTACTGTCGTAAGCTATCTCTCCAAATATTAATCGTCGAAATCCGTGAGGCGTATCTGCTGAAGGGGTATCTAGTGTGTAACAGGGGCAACTACAATACTTGTTTGTGTCAAGCATTACTCGGCCGTGACCGCCTCTGCCTCCAGCTTAGTTTCCACTGCAGGCGCTGCCGTCTTCGAAGACTCTAGCTCCGACGTCAGCGACTTGATCTTGGCCTCCGCCGCCTCCAACTTCGATTTAGAAGCCTCGACCTCGGCGATGGAAGCATCGGCCTTCTTGGCTGCGTCTTCCTTTGCGGACTCAAGTGCTGCTTCTAGTGCGGAGATCTTGGTGGCAGACTCCTCCAAGGCAGATTCGTGCTTAGACTCGAGCGCCTTGACCTTCTCGGCTTCTTCCTTGGCCGCCGTCAACTGAGACTCAAGTTCAGAGATTTTGGAGGCGTGTCCTTCCGAGGCACTCTTTGTCTCGCCGTGGGTCGCCTTCTCGGCCTCTAGTGCAGTCTGAGTCTCGGTGTGGGCAGACTTTTCAGTCTCCAAAGAAGAAGTCAAGCTGGCAATCTCGTCGGTCTTGGAATCAAGTTCGGATTGGACATTTTCCAGAGTAGCAGCCTTCTCGCCGTGGGCAGTCTTTTCAGCCTTCAACGCCGAAGTCAAGCTGTCAATCTCTTCGGTCAATAACTCGGTCTTCTTGGTTTCCTCGGCCAACTGAGCCTCTAATTCCGAGATCTTAGAGGAAGAACCTTCAGATGTGGCCTTGATCTCGGAAATTTCCGTCTCCAGGTCCTTGATCTTGTTGGCAGCATCGCCCTCGGCGGCAGCGACCTTCTTCTCCACTTCTTCCTTGACCGTGGCCAGTTGAGACTCGAGGTCCTTGATCTTGTCCGCAGCATTGCTCTCCGCAGCAGCAGCCTTCTGCTCAGCCTCTTCCTTTGCCGCTTTCAATTCGGCGACCTGAGCTTCAAACTCGGAGATCTTGTTGGCAGAACCTTCCGAGGCAGTCTTGGTGTCGGTGTGGGCGGCCTTTTCGGCCTCCAACGCGGAAGTCAGGTCGTTAACTTCGGCCTGAACCTTATCGAGAGCGGCAATCTTCTCGGCAAGCTCGGCCTCGGCCTCCTTCAACTTGGTACTCAACTCCTCGACTTCGTTGGTTTTGCTCTCGAGTTGAGCCTGAATCTCACCAGACGCGGTGGATGAGGATTCCTTCTCGGCTTGGTATGCCTTCTCTAGGTTCTCGGAGTTCGCCCGCACGGTGGCCAGCTCCTCCTCCAAACTCGAAACCTGCGACTTCAGGGCGGCAGCAGAGGATTGAGCCTCCTCCAGAGACTTAGATGCCTGGGCTGCGGATTCGGCAGAAGACGCCTTCTCCGCTTGGTAGGCCTTCTCAAGATCCTCGGCGTTCGCCTTGACGGAAGCAATCTCTGCCTCCAGACTCGTGATCTGTGATTGGAGAGCGGCGGCAGTAGATTGAGCTTCCTCTAGTGCCTTGTTGGCCTGTGCAGTGGACTCGGAACCCGAGCTGGAGGCGGCTTCGACTTCCTTCTTTGCGTTCTCGAGCTCAGTTGCCAGGCTCTTGATCTGCTCCTCGAGCTTAGAGCTGGTAGCGGCAGCTTCCTCTTGCAGACGCAAGTGCTCGGCATTGAGGGTGTCGTGTTTCTTTGCGTGCTCATCGGCCTCCGCCTTAGCAGCATCGACATCGTTCTTTGCATTTTGGGCTTCCAATGTGAGAGTCTTGATCTGGTCGTCCAGCTTGGCACTAGTGGCGCCAAGTTCCTCTTGCAGACGGGTGTTTTCAGCGTTAAGGCTATCATGCCTCTTCGCGTGCTCCGCCGCCGTTTCCTGGGCAGCAGACAGGTCGGACTGAACATTGGAAAGCTCGGTGGTGATGGAAGCAATCTTGGATTCAAGCTCAGCCTTGAGGGACTCATTGGTGGCCGAAGCTTCTTGTGCCGCCTTCAGCGACTCGGTGGTGGCCGATGCATCCTGTGCAGCCTTTGCGTTGGCGGCTTCGAGGGACGCAATTCTGCTCTCCAGCTCGGCCTTGAGAGAATCCTTCTCGGCATTTGCCTTGGCCAGCTCGGCCTTGAGGGATTCCTTGGTGGAATGTGCCTCTTCAACGGCCTTCGCATTAGCGGCGATCTGGACCTTGAGGCCAGAGATTTCGCTCTCGGCGGTCTGGTGCTTCGCGGTAGCTTCGGCCAGCTCGGCCTTCAGCTGCTCGACTTGGACATCAGTGGATAACTCGAGGCTCTCGATCTTGGCCTGCAGCTGCTTCTCGGCCTCCTCTTTTGCCTGTTGTGCAAATGCAATCTTTTGCTCAAGTGTATTCTTCTCCTTGGATAAGGAGGTCTGGGTGTTCTTAGCAGTCTCGAGCTCCTCCTCGAGGGCTTCGACCTTGTTCTGGAGCTCGTCGACCTCAGCCTGTTCGGGCTGGGCCGGGCTGGTGCTGCTGAAGAATCCCCAAACCATTTTCTTGTATTGGTCGAGTCGAAAAATGGATCAGACACGGCGAGATTGCTTCTTGATAGGAGTAAGAGGCGGTGACGACTTGATAAAGTCGGTGCGAGGCAGCACGTTGGATAGGTTCACTTGGTGGAGTTGTTGCGGAGGGAATCTTTGGTCTTGGTGGACGTTCTGCAAAATTAATGTTGTGATTAGGCGTCAACAGTTTCACGCTACCGGCGAATGGAATGATGCGTTGTTATCGAGCTACTCACAAGCGACTCAAGCGTTCTGGGGTTTTACTGGTCTTGGTCAATTCGGAGGGTCACCTGCATTGATTTGCCAAAAATTGTACAAAGTCTGGTACGTGCTAGTAGATTGCAAAGATACACATGTGCGCTGTGCGAAGCAGTTTACCGCTTGAACCGAGTGAAAAAATTTAGGGCAAAAGATTTAAATACCCTGCACAACCCCTGTAAAGATCTATTTACCCTGCAATTTTTCTGCCGCTTTTCTCTCCACATTTCCGCCCTGCTTTCTGACTTCATGCCTCTGGAATTAGCATACGACTACTATTCCTCAGCTCAACATGACGTCGCTACCCCTATTATCTATTACTATTGATGGACAAGAGTTCCTTGACCTTGATACTCTATCGCTTGCCCTCGACAACTGGGCTGTAAAGGAGAAATTCTCTTATCGGGTTGAGCGGCGAGATAAGATCCGTGGCTCCTGGGTGTGTGCCTCTGCGTTAAGCGGCTGTTTATGGCGCTGCCGAGCAATCTATTCCCCTAGTGAGGATATCTGGCAGATTCATATTCTAGCTACAGGGGCGTGGTGCTGTCATCATATTAAGGAGAATTTCACGGGAAAGTTCGGGAGAGGGCTTGCCTCTTTATTTTGGACTATCGCCCGAGCACCAACTCTAGCCCAATACGAGGCAGCTTTAGAGAAGCTTCGACAACAAAAGCCCGAAGCTGCGGCATATCTAGAGGCGGCAAACCCTTCGCTTTGGGCCGAGGCGCTATTCTCTGGGCGTCGATATGGCCACGATACAAGTAATATCGTCGAGTCGCAAAACGGAGTATTAAAGCTTGATCGGGAACTTCCAATTATTGCTCTCCTCGACTCAATATGGCACCGGGTTATGTAGAAGAGGGCAGCTCGGCTTCAATCTGCTTTACGGTTGATAGAGGCAGGGAAGACAGCTACCCCATTCGTTGAAGGGAAATTACGAGAAGGGAGGCAATGGGCGTCTAGTAATCGTGCTCAGTTTTCGTCACCAACGGAAGCAAGAGTAGTACAGCCTGACGGCCTTATTTGCATTGTAAATTTGAGAGCAGGGACATGTTTATGCCGTCGGTATCAAAGGAATGGAATCCCTTGCGGGCATGCCATTACCGTAATACTAGCAGGAGGGGACGGTATAACCCCTTATCTACTAGAATCTCTCTCCGACAGTTTGGGCTGCCACGTATAGTAGCCCGATGCCAGCTATCAACGTCTCTGAGCTCAAGCTCAAGCCAGAGGACCCTTGTAACCCTCCAATTACTAGAGTACCTCGAGGACGCCCTGTCAAAGAGAGGATTCGAAAGGGGGATTCTCGCCGCCCTCCACAGAGCTCACAATCGCTATGCTCTAGTTGTGGTGAGACTGGACATAATATGAGAAGGTGCCGACGCCCCCATGGATAGCTTGATAGGCCCGATCGGTGGGTCTGATGGATTGGGAAGGCGGTGGGAGGTCTGGGAAATTGCAGGGTAAATAGATCTTTACAGGGGCTATGCAGGGTATTTAAATCTTTTGCCCAAAAATTTACTATCCTAGGATATTGACGACTTCACATGAAGAACTGCTGCTGCACAACAACCAAAAGAAGGCAGTGGAGCTTCGCCAAAGCGGTTAGTGGACCCATTGATCTTGAGCATGATAGGCTCCAGTTACTACGCAGTAGAGCAATCACAGGAAGGCACGACCCATGTTGCTTCACCGCTCTGCCCATGGGTGCTTTTATTGGAACTTTGAATGCCAGCCCCTCCTTCAAAAGTGGCAGAAGACGGCTGAAAGTAGAAGGCACAGCTGCAAGATACAAAAAAGCCTCGGCGGAGCAATGGCGGCGATCTTGCTGTTTATAACTTGCCTATCTGCATGTGCTTTGCTGCCCATTCAGCCATTCTCAAATCAAAGAGACCTGGTCCCTGACAATAGAGAAACATGTTTTTGACTTAAAGGACCCGGTTATCCGGTACCTCAACGGTTGCAGGAGAGCCTAGTCTAGGCGCCAACTCAGCCGAGCCTGGAGGGGATGCACTCCACTTACTCCAACCTGCCCCTCGTCGGGGAACTGCTTTGATTTGCCCGATGTATCAGCCACATTCGAGATGACATCGGGATATTCAGATCTCGAGCGGTTTCCCACCGACTCGACGTGTCATTTCATGGGTGCAGATATGTCTTTACGATGCTAACGGAGTCCGACGATACCAACACGCTATTCCGCCTCCGCAACAATATGAACTTTGTGCCTTCGGACCCCGACCCCACGCCGGGATCAGCCGAGCATGGGTTCTCCCCATTCTTCAGCACGTCCGATTTGACTGCCGCGACTCCCTCGGGGGTCTCACCAAATGTCTCTTCACCCTCGATGACCTCGAGACCAGACGAGTTCATGTTGAGTCAGGACTACCTGTCGTACCGGGAGGAACTTCGATCGTTGATCTTCCATACCGCCCAGAGCGCTGCGCCTACCCGGCAGGGAAGTCCTGCCGGCGCTGATGAAGTGAAACTCACCCATGAACTTCACAATGGTCATCTTCAGAGTCATCGGGATACTGCAAGGATCTTGTCAATAGGGAAGCGGGTCTTTTATCTCCGGAACTATGTTGAGCAAGTTGCTTCATGGGTACGATGCTCTGTCCTACCGTGTCCGACGCTAGTCCATGTTGACATCTAAAGCAGCTCGATATGTTTGACGGTGACCGTGTCTTTGGGATGCAAATCCCTTCTCTAGCGCAGACATCTCCCCCATTGCTGTATGCCATCCTGGCCTTGTCTGCAAGGCAGATCGAATGCAAAGAGAAGCGGAAGAACTCGTTCGACAGTCTCGAGCTTTATCAAGAAGCCATCCGACTTCTTGCTCCTCTACTTGTTGACCGTGATGTCAAGATCATTCCTATTTGTGTCATTCTCTGTTGCTTGGAAATGATGTCTGCCAGTGCCCAAGACTGGCGAAGACACTTGGAAGGCTGTGCAGCGCTGTTCAGTACCTTTGGAGTGCATGGATTCAGTGGTGGCATGCTCCAAGCTGTGTTTTGGTGCTATGCAAGAATGGGTATGGTCCTAGTGCTTGTTGGGCCTGGTGTCACCAACGAAAGGACTGATGCTTGTGTCTAGATCTGTGTGGTGCCTTGATATCCGATGGCACCCAATGCACACTCTTTCAACCCTCCAGGTGGTTACCTGCTGGTACCGAGGCCCATGAAGCCCGGTCTCTGTTCAGAGCCTCCCAGAACCCGGATATGCACGCCAACTATTCCGTATGGCTTTGCGCCAAAACATGTAAGCTCATATCCGACCGGACCCGATATAATGAGCTCGCAGAGCAGAATGGGTGCACCGAGGAAGTATTTACCAACCGTTGGCTTGCTTTGTGGGACGAGTTGCAAGTCTGGCTCGGCACTCGACCGCGGGAACTCCATCCAGTCAAGACGGCCGAGACCAAACCGTTCCCGCAGATACTCTACGTTCACTGGGCAGCCATCTCGTCAAACCAACTCCATCACACGGCATGCATTCTCATGCTAGACTCTATGCCGAAGCCACTGAAGTTGACCATGAACCTCGGCATGGCTGGGTCCACCTTATGGCATGCGAAATGGGTTTGTGGCATTTCCCTCAGCAACCCGCACCAAGGGTGTATCAACAATGCCATACAACCTCTTTGGCTCGCAGGGAGACTTTTGAGCCACAGATCGGAGCATGAAATCATTATCAAGCTCCTCCGGAGCATCGAGTCGACCACTGGATGGGGCTCTTGCTGGAGAATACCGGACCTGGAGTCTGCTTGGGGTTACAAAGTCAGGAAGTCCGGGTCTAACGCTGCCTCTTGAAAGACCTGAAGCAACGAAGTGAGGCTTTCTCCTCTTACGCGGTCGAAAGTGACCTGTAACGACACATCGCCTGAGCACACATTTCGCCACCCAATGGTAGCGACACAGCACATTTGGGTTGACTAACACTGCCACGTCAAGCTCTGACTGTGGAAGATATGCCAACCAATCTTGTTGCGCAAAAAAGCCGGCATGGGCTTCGCGAGTATCATGCGCATTTTATGCTTCAATCGCGCTTGTCAGATGGGTATCATCTCGATGGCACGCGCAACTATTTGACGCACCGGCAGGATCAAATGCCCCATTCGGCGTGAAGGAGAATCCTGGCTGTACTGACGTCGAATCCTGTCAATCTCCCGATCCTATCAAGTCCTGACAAAACAGCGCTGTGTTGCGCTTCATGGGTCATGACCTTGGACGCGACAACAAGCGAAGCCACGAGGCTTGTGTCCCAGCACTCTCGGGCATCATTATTCAGGGCTATGCCGCAAATACGCCTCGCGTGCCACAAGGGCGACATGGTGAAAGATCGGTTTCGACGCGGTATCGCAGCTGTTCGCGGTTTGTGCCGAAGGAGAAGAAACATCGCAGTATGGTATAGCTGGTTTCCAAAGACCCCTGCTCCACTCGTAAACAGAATACTGGGAAATCCATCGTCGGCATCGTCGAATTCAGCCATGGACATGAACTCCTGCGGTCGTCCGCTATACCACGAATTCAGCTCCTCCACCAGTGATGTCCATGTGCTGATCACATCCCCATCCGAACCCTGGCGATATGCAGCTTCGCCCCAGCAAAAGTTGATCGCACGGACGCATAACGCCAGTGGCATATAGGCACAGCGCAAAACCGTGCAGGCATGCTGAGAGCGATGCCATGGCATGGTGAAATCTTCAGGCGGTCGCGGCGCCCTTGGTAGTGGCGTTTCGCGGATTAGAGCATCGCCCAGATCTGGTGGTTCTTAGTTTCTCTTCTCTTCTCATTGCTGTGAACCGTTAGGACAACGTACCTATTCTCAACAGAAGGAGATCGGCGGCTGTCGCCAGGGGCGAAGAAATTCTTGCTATATGAACCTCATTCACGAGATCAAGCGCCTCGAGGTATTCGCGGCACTCGCTTGATGTTTCGACACCACTGAACTGCTGTCGTGCCCTCTCAAGGCTAGCGCAAATGAGAGCTTCTTCCGCGTTGTTTGGGCGAATTTTGGTACACTGTTCGGACCGAGCCGCATTTACCAACACGGACATATTATTCGTTCTTGGAGATGCCTGGAGCGACGACGCTGCTAAGCGCAGCAAAGCATGGTACATAGGCTTCGACTCAGTAGCACCACAAGACACTGATACTCCAAAGGATTGCTCAAGGTCGCAGATATCAAGCTGTCATTATGTCAGACGTAGCAGTGCGCATACCTACAAGATACACGTACCCAAGGTGCCACCTCATACCGATAATGTTTAAATAACGCAAAGCTTGCTTCGTCGGATATTTCTTCCTCCGTTGACATTTTTTCAACTGGTTCTTCCAAGGTCTGTGTCGTCTGTTCCTCATGGCGTATTTCTCCATCTTCGTTAACAAATTCTGGATGGCTGGGGTCGTTATCCGGAATGCTTTCTCGTGGTTTCCGTTGAGCATTCCTATCTATGAAGACTGCAGCATGTTCGTTTCCGAGCGACATGAGCACATCGAGCGCAATCTGATCCCGGGCTGGCTCGCTTGGGTGCCCAAGAATGTGTGGTGGCCATCCGCCAGCCGGCGTTGCGGGTTGGCGTTCTCCAGGGGTATTCGGCCTCAGACCTTGGTTGACTTCAGCGTGTTGGAGCGTTTCTGTATATGCATGGCTTGAAGCGCCATCACCAAGGGCCGCGTTGTATTCCACAGAACTATCACCTTGCGACGGCGTGGGCTTTTTCGCATGGCCCTGATGCGAAGGCTCTCCGGTGGGGGCTCCTCCGGTGGGGACTCCCTGTAGCGGTGAAATAACAGGAACTTCATCGACGAACTAGAAATCGATATTTGAGTACATTTTTTCATTTTTTCAATCAAATTGTGCTGCTTACTTGTACTTTTCGATATCCCGAACTAGACACCGACTCCCGGGCAGGCGACTCGGGCATCTCCACCGTGAAGGCATTCTTTTGTAAAAAGGACAACCGGGTGCCGTACTGGCATTCGAAGCCACCGGCTATGCAGCGTTGACAGCGTGGTTTGCTCTCATCGCCTACAAAGTCGATTAGATTAGCCAGGCGTCTCAACAACCTAAATTCAAGACAGTTCGGTCTCCCCTAGGTCGGCCCCAGGTCGGCCCCAGGTCGGCCTCAGGTCGAAGACCCAAAAGACGGACATGGATACACACATTTCCGCCGGCGAACCCGGCACTTCAAACATCCCGTCCGGACCCTCTTCGCCGGCGGTGCCATGCTATGTTGCGACTTTGCGCGGTTAGTCAGTGTAAGTCGGGTTGAGGATTCAAGCAGGTGGACTCGGACGACCTGGGAAAGCTGAAGCGACGGGAAAATGCGGTCTCGGCCTCGTGCCGTAGCCGAGGTTTCAGTGGGATTTCTGGTTCCCCGCATGCCAGGGGACTGCAGAGGTGTGGGGGAGAGATTTGGCATCGGGTGGATGGCCAAGAATGGTAAGTATAAGCGCCAGTTTGGTGGGGCTTCATTTGGCATTTGGGGACTTGAACGTCGGGCAAGGACCGGTCGACCAGTTGTCTAAGACAGAATCACGAATATGTGTATACATCACATCGCTACGCTAGGTGGACAGTCGTGGTGAAATGATACATACATCAAGGATGGTGCGTACGAGGCTCAGCTGGAGTTGCTCAGAAGTTGGAGAAGAACATCCGGAATAGGAAGGACTAAGCACTGAACCGCCATACCCACACAGCAGATGTACAACCTCGACGATCCTATGAGGATTGACGGGTTGGCCTCGGAATGCACTTGGAAGCGAGTCAGAAAATTTTTCGAACTCAAATGTGCGGCCATTGCGAGTTTTGTGTCATACTATTGTAGGCCTTTCGGTGCAGAATCGTAGGGAAAAGAACCTACCATTGAAGTACAGCGTGTGATAGAACTGGGACTTATCCTATAATTTTCGAAGTGGTTGTGTGTGGTTATAGTGATCAATATTCAATATGCAAGCTTTATCCCTTTGATTAATGTTAAGTTTAGATACAATGGCCATGGTACCCATCTGCCGATGCCTACAAATATCACCTACCGAAGGACTACTATTAATCCTTTTGATTTATGTTGGAATGAAAACCTACCTTCCGTGGCTGAGAAGTATCGTAATACAAATATTGGCCGCCTAGCTTATTGCCAGAATGTTCCTCAAATTTTTATAAACTCTTCCTCTTATCACATCACAAAGAGTTTGCCTTACAATTCCCAAATTTCTAGAACTGTTCCGATAAACATAGGAAAGGAATAAGAGACCCTATGTAAAGGACAAAGTACGTGTTAAGCCATCGATAGTACATTTAATCATATAGTACCAACGTTGCGAAGCCCCTTGTTGATACATGCTGTATATTCAAAAGTCTTGAGCATGAAGAGCTGTCATAATAATGTTGTCGTTCATGGTTGCAGTTGGTTCGCCACTTTAGCTGCATTCTCTTGGTATGTAGAAGTATGGCTTAACTCGCTATCCGTGATATCTATATTTGTTTTGTTGATTCTCGTGCATTTTATTTTTATGTTTGATGATTTACACAAAGCTTTGTTGGTGGTGAAACGGATTTAGTCACCTGAGTTTGACGATTTCTCATCATTGGTGAGGGTTGTCGCTATGGTTCCTTTTTATTGAACATTTGCCTCGCAACCTCAGGCAGTTCTTATCAGAGGATGCCTGGAAGTATAGGAATCTTCTGTGTAGTAATTACGGTGCTCCTAGATACCTGGACCACTTTCGGGCAATAAACGAAACGGGTAGCTTTCCACTTCTAACATGAAATCCTGAGTACATAAATCCAGTCAAAGACACCTATTGACTTTCGTCATCAAGAAATATTACTTATCTAGACCTGAGTTACCGGTTATCCTAAACAGCGCGTTTACAGATGCCGTTTCCGGCTGACAGACTTTTAGGACGAGCTCGGTTGTAAGCAAACGGCGACAGCAGAGGAGATCCAAGCGGTTCTATCAGGCTAAATCCTAGACCCATCATCCATAAAGAACCTGTATGACTAAGCAAGAGCCTCAATCGAGCATGTCATTCTTCCTCATCAACTACGTTCGTTGTCGCATGGATATCATCCACCAACAGTCTGAGATCCAGCAGGTACATGAGGTTCTCTAGAACCCCAAGCAACGCGAGAAGTACAATGAAACGAGAGCTTCCTCTGCCGGACCTCACTGCAACTCAACGCAATTTCCATCCACGACGGCGGCCGGCGACAAGCCTCGTGATGACTTGGACTTAGTAGTGGAAATTTAGTCAATACTTGACTTGAAGTGTGCCTAAGCAGACTTACAACTCAGGATAGTGGTGTTTCCTGAACGTGTTTTCTGAGTTCATTATAAGTCAACAATGTCCCTCAACACTACGCAAAGCTCTCACTATCCCCTACCACAGGCTCACCCTCCTCCCGGCAACCACATCAGCAGTAACCGACCTACTACTTGGCCACCACGTTCTCCCTCTTCATCCCAGCTTCTGCCTGCAATTCTCGTAGCGCGGTCTCGATCGCCATCTCGGTGCGCGATTTGGGTTTGTCTATGACAGCGCTGGGCCGGCTGAGGTTATTGAGGGAGGCGAGAAGGAGTCCGGCGGCGAGGTAGCCCGTGGCGTCATGGAGGGGGCCGATGGACTGGGCTTCCTGTATTGACTGCAACGTTCGTATTTATAAGTTCTTTCCACCAAAGGTGAGACAAGGCGACTTGGTTACTGAATGAGCGGTAGATTGAATGAAGTCTTAACTGGGGGAGGCGTGAACCCTCTGGGCGGAATCTCGTTTGGCGGGAAACCGCTATTGACATTTACTCCCTGAAGAGTGCTGGGTTAAAACTGTATTGGGCCATATGTGAAGGGGTAGTGAGTGGCGTAGCGAATTATCCGCCGTAGTTGGTCAGGACACAGGGCTGACCGTACTGCCCTGGGGAATCAAACTTTGGTTATATTCTTACGAAGGACTTGGGCCAGGAGTCTTGTAGGGATCAGGGCTAAAAGATGGATTCATTCTCCCATCATATGGCTGGCCCAGATTCTCCAGACCCGGGTGCACCACCTGCTCATCCCGGGCGTCTGCAGGATCAACTTCACGTTTTGGGGGGCTTATTCCATTTGCGACTGTTCAGGGACAGGAAAACGGTATCCGATCTCGATACGCTTGATGCAAAAGACTGACTCGACAATTTGGCGCCATCGCGGAGTGGGGAAGCCGGTGTACGGTTCAACTAGGGTTTCGAGCCTGAGGCCCAGGATGCGGGCTCGCGACATGACACTCGTGGTGGACTCGGCTTCGAGGGTACGTTTGTAGCTGGTGTAAACGTTTAAGGACGTGAAGAGAGGGACCCGGACATTGGATCGGAACATGTCGGTGATGCTATGGGGGTGCTCATTGTGACGATGGTGGATGCTGAGCGGAGGTTATAGCCCCTTATGTACGGCGGATAGACTATATATCGCGATGGTTGACTGTTTGGCTGTTTGATGAACTCTCAACTCCCCTGTTCTGCTCCATCTGTGGCAGAGCCCTAAATGGATTTATGTGGATGTCGTCAAGGCCAAGCAGTGCTGAGAAGCCCGGCCAACGGGTTGATGATTTTCAAAAAGTCCAGGAATCATAAGCGGACAACACGGAAGACTTTAGTGGACAAACTGGCTTGGATTTGAAGAAAACACTAGCTAAGCCATGCGAAGCGAAAAGATTTTGAGCCGGAGAATTCCGGACCTGACACCAAAAACGCCATGCTATACGCCCCTCATATCAGAATACGGTCTCGATGAAATGTGCCCCTAAAGTAACTCAGTTCCAAAACAAAGCGAGGCTGGAATGCGGCATGATTCCTCCCGATATAGCGTTGTGACCAGAGCCCCTGAATCCCCAGCATATAGCTCAACTGTCTTGAAAGCCCTTCAGACTTTCACAAGTCAACGGCAGAGGAGGTTCCAGGAATGCCGTGGCGAACTGCCACCCATACACGTTCTTCCAAGTCTGTGGAGTGGTGAAGGGCTCAAGATTGGCCGTAACCGTCCCCTTGACCGACACAGGCTCGTGCGGCGATGAGGTGAGCGAGGTGTTGTACAGCCTTATATAATTGTCGCACGACATGGTGTTTGCAAAAACAGGCTGGTTCGTTATATTCCTGATGAAGTCCATGGGATAGGGAGCATAGGGGCACTTCTGCGTCTCGACAAGCATGTATTTGTTCTCCGAGACCGTGCCGTTGGAGCTGTGTGCCCAAAAGCGGGCGGTGCCGTTTTCGAGGGTTCTGTAGGCATCGCAGGGAGGATCGAACGCAGTAGGATATACCTTGATGCCGTAATTCATAGAGCCCCTGATTGCTATCAGGTTCGTGTTAGTGATCATTATAGTCCCAGCCCATCGGAAGGTACTGTAGTGGTCGCCCAGGATGTCCAGAAATGGGAACTCCAGTGAAGCACGCTTATTTGAGATGAAGTTAGACGAGAGCACAATATTCGATAGGAGTAGGAGATGAGTACTTACAGAAAAGCTAGGGGTGGTCAGGTTGAGTGCCGGAAAGTGAATGTCGTGGTCGTGCAGGGCCGAAACCATCATGGGGTACATGCCATCCGGGAAAGAGGGTAGAAGAGAGCGATAGCTGTTCACCAGGATTGTGTAATTCTTGGGAATAATTTGTCGCGCGCTAATCAATGAGATGGGGACGATCAGCGTGGTTCCGTTGAGAGTGCCGGAGACCTTCAACGGGTATTGCTGGGCAATGGGATTCGGGCTATCTTGGGTTGTGCAGACATATGTGGCCGATGACAATGTGAACAATGTAGACACCAGCAGTAGCAGAGCCACTGCCGAAGTGTGAAGGAGGGTCATTGAGAAGGGCATGTGGCTGAATTGCAACCAAGAGTGGAACAAGACAGAGGACGTTGGCTCTTTAGCTGCTTGACCTGATGTTGATGAGAGGACTCGAAATAATTTGAATGCCATAGTTGTCATCTTGCCGAGCCGCCTGCTTACTCGGGTGCAATTACACGAGAAGGGAAGAGCAGGCCTCGTAAGCTTTGATAGAGACTGGATTTAAGGATCGTCGTGGCCAGGATTGATGTAACGAGCTGCAAAACCAACAATCACCTTTTAATCAACTAGGAACACATCTGCCTGACCGTGTATTCCAATAGCACACGGAAAGAGGACCCAGCGTACGGCATGCAGATCGAGAAGATCACTTGAGACCTTTTTGAAAAGGTCCGATCTAGTGTAGCTATGTCGATATATATTATATGGCGGCCAGATGAAAGACATGTCCACAAAGCGCAGCCTCCTCAAGATTTGTGTAAGTCCCGGACGAACTACAAGGGCGGCATCTGAGATTGCAAGTGCAGATCAAAGAAACAGAGATCAGACAGCTCCAAGGTGGATTTCTTGCCAACAATCAGCAGAGAATCCCTATCAATAGCAAACAATCGCCAGGACCGGAAACTCTGCACGCCGAAATTGATGGTTGCAAGGCCCTCGGTGGCTGCTACCCCTTGCTCGTGCAACTAACCCAGTGGCTGCAGTCCAACGGTTCAGGTCGTCATCATCCAAGAAAGCGCACCTTCCCCGCCACGACCATAACGAGTCTGCAATGTCCGTGTAGAAGAATCGACATTATCCGCAATAACGAGGCTTCAACATAGATCAACTAGCTAGTGTCTAACTATTTGAGCACACTTTTCCAGCCGCGACCCGGTTAAAACTTAATATTCCACCAGATCAAGTCCAACCCACCAGAGCGGTTCAACCAATCCCGAGCAGCCAAGTCGAAACGGAACACATCGGTTCCGGGCGAGCTATTGCAGATGGGAGAGAGAGAAACACCCGAAGCTATACATGCTCCACGTCTGTTACCGGTTTGTCTGCTCAACTGTCCTACAACAGCCGCGAATGGGTTGGCGGGATCCCGTTAGCCGGAAGTGACACGATCCGGGATATCGATTGCCCCACTTAAACACCACCACCAAGACGGGATGACGGACCTCCGTAAGGACGATGCCAGATTCGAATCTGTCTACTTTGCGATCCTTGCCTGATTGGACCGAACCAGCCAGCTGAATTTACCAAGGTTTTGGTCTGATTTTTAATCATCGTCCACAGCAATCGAGACTTCCTCGCTCATCCAGGGTTGCTGATACTGATCTCCATGCGTGTGGCGCTCCCCAGGCACGAGGTCATCGCATGCGTGAAACCTTAAGGCTGCTAGAAGGATTTGAGTACCTGCTTGTTTGGTAAGACGTGCATATTCACACCCCCATTCCCCCCCCTCAACCCACACACTCCCTGCTCGGGCTTTGCCGAGACGCTGGTTGCCGGCGTACATGGCGACAGCCGGTGAGATTTTCGGAGTCTCTCGCGGAGATGGGAGCCGAGCTGACCAGTGTCGGGGGCCAAGTGCCATGCACGCCACGAATGCCACGAGAAGGTGGCTGGACTGTCACACAATGCAACGCAACGTGCACCTCGGAAGCGAATATGCCATCTATTGACAATACTTTCTCCTATCCCGACCACTATTCATGCTTTACGGTCGCCGTCCCCTCCCAAGCCAACGTGGTCGGCAAAAGCGGCAGAAGCACCTTCTGCCAAACCGTAGTGTACAAGCCATCCGACCCATCGGCGGCCTTGCTTCCCGGCTCCAGACTCCCATACTGCGCCGAGTCGGAACAGCAAGGCGACGCGCTGCCCCAGAAGGGCCCCGCGGCCCATGCAGTCCACCCGATGTACTCCTCATTGTCTGCCATGTAGTTCACCATGTCCGCCAGCATCGTCGCACACTCGGTTGTGTTGGAGCCGCCGAATTCGGTGATGAAGGCTTTGAGGTTATTGGTCTTGTTGTGACAGTCAGTTATTGAAACGAGAAGCTAAATACTTCCGAGAAGATAGGGTGGAGGCCGGGTGGGAACTCACCTTCAACCAAGCCGTAACCTCCGCCAGATTCGTCGCCGGATCACTAACACAAGCCTGATGACTCCCCGAGAAATCCACATCCAAATACTCATGTATGTCAATCGCGGTGTTGCCCAGAGGATCCTCAAAATTCTGCATAATGGCACTACTTGGATCGGTCCCCTCGGCCCAGGCATGCCCCCCCGTCCAACTGTTGCCGGGCATGATGATCAAATTCTCGGCGTCTGCCGCCCGGATGGCATCAATAGCCGCCTGGTTATTCGCCAGGACGAGACTCGTCGCCATATCATGCGGCTCATTCATGAGCCCGAAGATTACCTTCCCATTATCCTTGAACCTGCCCGCCAACTCGCCCCAAAACTCTCCAAACTGCGCCGTCGTCGCCGCGGTGGGGTCGGAAGAATTCCCAATCACGCTCCCGCTGTACGGCTGCGAACTAGGGTCGTTGTATCGCATGTAATTATGCGGATCCAAAATCGCGTACGCCCCCTTGGTCACGGTGATGTAGTCAATGGCCTGCTTGTACAGGTCGAAGTGCGTCTCGTTGAAAGTAGCGCCCAGGCCCGTGGCCGGTGGACACATGCGCTCGAGCAGGAAGGCGACGCGGAATAGGTTTACTTTTTGGCTGTCGACAAAGGTGGCTACGGTGGACTCGTCGATGAACTTGTAGTCGATGCCAAAGCGGCCTGGGAGGCCGGTTCCCTTGGTTGCGGTGGCGCTCCATACGCCGAATTCGCCGCCAGATTCGGCGACGCCAGCGTAGTAGATGGTTGCCGAGGCTCCGGTGAGGAGGGAGGCGAGGGTTGATGTGAACTTCATCTTGGGAGAAGGGGGGACGGAGCAGATGGGTGGGATGTGCTCTAGAGGATGCGCTTGTCTACTCTGTTGGGTTCTGGTAGTCTTTTATCGTTACCTTTACAAACGGCTGGCAGCGAACATGTGACCCTGACGGAAGCTCAACGAATGATGCTGTTAGTCTTTGGCAGTGATCATCGCAGCTCCGGTACAGAAGTAGAGTCGTTGCGTATTTGGACAGCTAGGCTCCGTAATTACCCCGCGGGCAATGTCACATTGGGTAGGTGTCCCGTTGTCATATACCGGGTTGGTTCTTGTGAAGCTGTCTAAGGCCCGGCACGTCCAACCCCATTTGGGACCTGATGGCAAACGTCGTGTATTTATCTGGCATAATTTCATGTCGATTAGGTTCACGTACCTGATTCACATATAAAGGTGTGTGGGGCATACGGAATATCTATTCAAACAAGAGATGAGCACGGAGGCAGCCGCTCCGCACTGCATGCGGCTGCCCCTGGCGCCGTTGTTTGGTGTCCCGGCTGTTCGGATTCGGATCCGAGACTTCAAGATACACCAAGGCTTAGACATCGACCTTTTCGGACCGTGGGCAAACTATCGTGCATACTCCGTGGTCATACAATGTCTATAATGCGCCACCCACAAGTTGGACAATCCACATGGCGACTCGCACCTTGATTCCTACCCTTCTTTCGATCCTTGCAAAGTCGTCTATGGTGACCTGTTTGGCATACTCCTGCAGCCACGTCTGCTCGTCTCCAAGCCGTTTCTTCAAATTGTCGTCGTTCGTGACGATTAATGCCCCTGCTTCGAGATCAAGCGAGTAGCTCCGCTTTGTGTAATTTGAACTTCCAACCACGCTGATGGAGGGGTACTGCTCATTTGGGAGGGTCACCCACAATCCCTTCGCGTGGTATGTCCAAGCTTCTGGATCTCCGACCGTGCCTTTTCTCCACTCTTTGAGGGCAATGGCAGAATCTCGTTTCTGTTTGTGAAGCGCATCCAGGAACCGCCGCGCAAGAAGCGTGTAAGCGCCAGGTAGAAGACCCGACACACCTTTGGACCCGTAGAACCCGTTCGCGTAGGGTGATGCTGTGATGACGGTGCAATTTGAGGATGCAGTAGATATAAGGTGTTGGGTGAGAGACGGAGCTGGGTTGAAGTAGCCGGCGGTAAAGGTCCATGATGAACCGGCGTATTGAGGCGCTGCCAATGTCTCCAACACGTGCGTGATTGCGGGCAATTCTGTTGACGTATCCGGCTTCATCAACTGTGTCAATTGGGTGAGCATGTACACGGTCGTGTCCTGTGAGGACTTCGAGGGTCCTGATCCAGGAGCTCGAACAGCCCGCCCCGGCGATATGAGGCTATTTACAACAGCTGTCGCATTGGACACAAACTGCTTCGGCTCGTCCAGAGGAGATAGGGCCGCATTCCTCGAAGGCCATGTCAGCACAAATCCCTGGGCCTCATCTGAGGGCTCAACACGAAAGCTCAGAGACGCCACTCCCTGGTGTAGGTTCGAGAAGTAGTCTGTAATGTCCTTGGAGGAGAACAGATGGTACCGGTCTTGTCGATTCGTGAAATAGTCGCTTGAGAGATTCGCGCCAGACAGTATAATATCATCATCAATTCCATACAACTTCATGTGTTGCAGTCCCCAGCCTTCATTGATTCTCTTCGGTATGTGCTTCTTGCGCAAACCGGTCAAGTTGGGTGTATGGTACATGCGAATCTCGACACGATCGGGGCCAAACTCTGTAATGAGAGGCGCGAGTAGGGAGGCGCATGATGGGTCGGGGGCTTCTCGAGTTCCGCGCAGTGCATCAGTCAATATGCTCAGATTCAGGGCTGGATTCGCTCGAAGGGCTTCTTGTAGCGTCACGATTAATTCCTTCTCGGATTTTCCAATGTACAAGGTCGAGAGAAATATTCGTTGCTTGGCATTTCGAATTTTTTCTGTCAAAGTCTCGTAGAAATCTGACGGTGTCCGTAGGACCTGGATCTGTGATCCATTGATCTGGAACGACGGGGCGATCTTGTCCAACTCGTTCATGAAGGGTGCCAACATGCCGACGGAACTTGTCGTAGTGCTACCTGCTGGCATTGCGCTTGCTGAATACCGTCTCCTGGGGGAGCTTCTGCCACCCCGGATTGCGGTACGGGATAGAACGGGCCGTAGAGACTGGCAGCATCGTGAACCTCCTCTCACGATCATTGCGCTGTGTCATGGAAATCGCCTTCTCCAAATCCAAGTGCGAAAGCAAGGAAGCTTTTGGCTTGCACATGCACTGGGAATAGAGTACCTAGCTCCAAGCTCGGGCCAGTGCTTAAAGCTCCCTGTCCTTACGACACAGGTGGATTTGCGATTTGCAAGCAGGTGGCACTGCAGTAAAGCCGAAGTTCTGCCCTGTCTCGAAGCTCGAACTGACTTCACCTCCAACGTCTCGCGAACCTGCTGAATTTCCGAAGGCCAATTGAGCGTCACCCAGTATGTCGACCATCACGCGAACTGTCCGTAACCTATGGAAGGTCGGCATCAAGGTAAATCATTCATTCGAAAGGTCATATCCAGCACTTTTGAGTCACAACTAACGGTCGCAACAGGACGCCTTCCACCAGATCAACGTACGTCTCCTACCTCGATGCGCCTGCGCCTTCCCACCCCGCTAACCTCGCCCCTCCATACAGTACATCGGTGACACCAAGGCCGGCGTCCTCATTGGAACCGACCGCTTCGGCAACAAGTACTTTGAAGACTTCGAGGAATTGCCTCGTACGTCAACCAGCTTTGGAAACGGAGCATCGAGGACTTTGGGGGCGAAGGACTGACAGACAGCAGTGCGAACGAGATGGGTAGACTACAAGAGCAAGGACGTAGATCCAGCAGAGATTGAGCCCGGTTGGCACGCGTGGATTTCATACGCTGTTGACAAGGCGCCAACCCAAGATCCTCTCTTGGCGTACAAGCGAAGACCCTGGGAGGATGCCGATGCGAAGACAATCCCCAATTACACGCAGACGAGAGGCGCGTATAAGCCCTACAACACGTAAGTCAATGAAAGTTGGATGTGATTCTGGGACAGTCGTTAACAGTCACAACAGCGTCAAACCAAAGCACACTGCATGGGTACCTGTGGCTGCGCCGAGGCAGTAGAGATACGGATGATAGGAAGTAGCATTAGCGGTGTATATATCAAGCTAGACTGGTTGCCTCATGTCCCAATCACAAATTGATGTGCTTTCCCAGACGAATTGTTCCTCCCAAGCCACCGAACGTCCAAGCCTTGATGAAGTTATGAATGCCTTGAGGCTCCGAACACTGCATTGTGGCCTAGTTACAATCGTAGTTAACAATGGCCTCAAAAGAACAGACCTGATTGAAACTAATACATGGAGGTTACTGCGACGAAGAGGTGCTGCGGTCCTGTCATCCCAGCCAGGACTTAATGGATATCTCGAGATGCGCAATGAAGACACCGGTGACTCGATTTTGTGCTTGCAAGAGGGATAAATGGATCTGGCATCGCCGATTTTTCTAATGGTCTCGAGTATCAGCTCTGCGGGAAGTTTGTCGAAGTTGGTTGGTGCAGGGCGTTCGGGTGCCATCTTGTGCTTGGTAATGGTGACGTGAAAGACGAGATATTATAGAGAACTGCATTTTATTTTGGTCGTATAAAATCGTGCGGTCGTAGTCGATTAGGTTTCGTTTCCGGCTCTAGTGGGCAAGAGGTTTGCAAACGAGATAAATCCATTTTAAGGTATCAACGATAGCAGCACATGGCCAAAACACTACTGGGGTAGGTGGCTAGATTTCAATTAGCTGTATGCGATTATCAGTTAGATACCAGAGTGTTTGAGAAAAAGGCTATGGTATTGTTAGCTACATAGTACGGTCTACAAAGTGCTCTGCGGGATATCAGTAAGAGAAGCAGCCCCAAGCATGAGACACCGTTCTAAAAATAGTTCTCTATTAGCAATATCTAATTAGAGTTGCTATGAGGCTGTGAGCTTGTGTCAGATTGATTTTATTTAGAGAAACAGTTCGGCAAAACCAGCCCAAAAATACGTGGTTGGGAGAGTATATAAGCAGTCTGAAAGTCATCAAACCCAGCCTTAGATACATGAACATATAACCATTTCTGCGTGCTCATATCCTATGCCTTATGGCTCTTAATGCCCATTCCGCATTGATGCTCCGTGGATTTTTCATTCGTAAGTAAATGTTCAATGAAATCTTACTTGTGCTGAAGTCAACCGCTTGTATTTGTGAATATCAGATTTATTTCACCATGCATTTAACGTCCCACATCTACATCCGGGACACCCCACATGTGGGACGCCCTAAAAATGACACTGTATATCATAACCATTAACTTCAACCTTTTTTTACACTTATTCTAATGCGACTACAATACAGCTTTCACCGTCACTAGGGTTTTCAGACTCGCTAGACTCATCTGTACTATCTTCAATTTCACCAGCCTCGATTTGAGCCTTCCGAATAGCCTTGATATTAGTAAACTTCGAATTAGGGCTCATCTTGACCTTCCCCCGCTTCCTAGCCCTACTAGCCTCAAGCTCTGCCTCTATTGCCTCAATATTTCGCTGTGCGACAGCTAACTGGTAGTCCTTCTGATCAAAGCCCTTTTGAAATTTCCGAAAGAGTAGCCGCTGGGTATTTGGATCACTATCAAGCTTGCTGAATAAGCTGAGTTGATCTTGGAGCTCATCTCTCCTCTTAGGCGTTGACCAGGCTACTGCTGATGTCTCTAACGCCCAGTACTGACTACTAGAGTGCCCTTTTCAAGTCTGACTAGGCTGTTTGATTGGTGCTGACGTATTCTCAAGGAGCAGGGGGCTCATAAGGGGTCTAGCTATGCTCGAAGGCCAGAGACCAGTATATTTCCATCCACTGATAATGTTCTTGACGGTCAATGCTGCTAGACGTGCCTTTCTATAGCAGAGGAGAAAGTTTCTCTTCCCTACGACAGTAGTAGTATCCCATCGGTCAAGGTAACCAAGCTCCTTCTTATAGGCTGCCTTGAGGGGTCCAAAGACTGACTGATCGAGAGGCTGGAGAACGTGGGATGTGTGTGGCGGCAAGAAAAGCAAGTGTATCTTGTTTATGAAGCAGAGGTACATAAACTCTGTCGTTTCGTGGCTACTATGCCCATCTAGGATAAGTAACCTAGTCTCTTCAGGGTCCTCTGGTTGAGTCAAAGGAATAAAGATCTTTTGTAGCCACTCAATAGCCGTAGAGTCTGACGTCCACCCATTCTCTGTTGCTGTAAACCTCCAGGCTTCGTATGGAGTCAAGTCCAGAGGAAACCACTGCTGCTGGACAGACTTCCCCTTGTATATCACAAGTGGGGGTAGTGCAGTACCAGTCGCAGAGATACACTCTATAAGAGATGTCCAAGCTCGAGATCCAGGCTGTTTCTTCCGTATAGAACGAGTCTCAGATGATCCTAGAACAAGACCATTTGATCCTCTACCTTCTATAATACCTGCCTCATCCATATTGTATCGATTCGAGGCCTTAATGGCTTTGATCTCAGGAATAGCGAGGTATTTGAACCATTGCCTGATCACATTAGCTGAGGCTCCACTAATACGCTGGGAATCGATAGCTCTGCTTCTCTGGACCTTGACTGAAGGGTTCCTCTTGATAAAAGCCTGGACCCAGTTATTTCCAAGTGGTTCGGTGTCTCCGTGGATCTGTAGGATACGCTCGGCGAAGTCTTTGAGCTGTTGATGGGTTGGTGGGAGGCCTAGGGCAGCCTGGATTCGAACCCATTCAGCCAGATGAGATTTCTGGGCTGGAGAGAGCCTCTGGTAGTCAGCGAAGGCTATATATCTTGACTGGGCTCCCTGAATCCGTCGTGAAAGAGTAGACCTTGGGACACCATGCTCATATGCTGCTTTTCGGAGGCTTTGACCGGTAGCTATTGCTTGAAGAGCTCGATAGATATCATCTTCGGTATATTGACTCATATTAGTGTAAAGAAGACGTACGTAAAATGTCGTAACGATTAAATCGATATTGGCAAAGATAAAAGAGGTTGAGTTAGAGGCTAGCGGTGTTGAGGCATTTTTGGGTGTCCCACATGTGGGGGTGTCCCGGATGTGGGTGTGGGACGTTATGATGTAGATAAGAGAAAAGAGTGTCGTAAATCTATTCAACTGGCATATGACAATTGAAACTATGAAACCACCTCTACCCACCTGCACACAAGATTACCTCTGCCGACTCTTCCAGGTCTCTGTGAATGTTTCTCAATATATCTCAGTGTATTTGTGAGCATTCGCGAATTGACTACTATCCGCAAATTGCAACGCTCTACCACGACAAAGTCCTTAGATACAGCATCTTGGGCATGGAACTCGAGGTCACGAAAGTGGACTATGTATGTATGATACGATGCAGGGCCTTGACTTTGAGGCAACCATAGAGCCAGTACCGTCCTTATATGGCAAAGGAGGCGCTTTGCCATATTTGCGATTCTTACGGCTATTATTGCCCTTTCCCGGCTGACTCACCGCATGGCTGGAATCTCGAGTGGTGATGCCGGCGCTCACGATACGCCTGTGAATCACTCTATATTTACCCGCAAAGATCGTGGCATCCTCCGAGCCTCTAAGGCGGAGGCTACTGATCTCCTCAATATACTATGGGTCAGAGAATATAGCGGTACAAAATTAGTTATCAGCGAGAGTAGTCCGCATAAAGCAGGGATTAGAAATGTCGTTCACAAGGTCGGCCGCACTGCACTTAATATTGTTGGCAATACAGACTGCTAGCATTGACAGCCTTCAATCAACGCTGTTGAAACCCCGATTTAGCTTCATCCTTGGTTCGTCTGGCTGCTTCCGCACCGTGGCGTTTCTCGACAGCCGTAGACTTCTTCAAAGGTGCGACCGGAGTGATTTTCTGCCTTGAGGATGCAGTACTGGCTTCGGCAGCCATACGAGAGGTCAGGTTCTGAAGGTACTGGAACTCATCCTCTTCAATAGCATCTGGAGGAGCTAGAGGAGATTTCTCAATGTATTGGATGAATCCGTAAGCCTCGAGGCTAATAGTCATATTTCCTTTCCATTACGAATAGTTCCCATCGCTAGCAAGGTGATAAAGATCTGGCAGTTTGAAGGACTTCAGCACTTCCGATGACTTCAGAGCGGCCATGATGTCAATGTACAACGGCGACAGGTGAGGATTAATAAGTTGAAGGGTTTTTTTGAGGGATCGGTTCTCAACGTCAGAAATTGATCGCGAGACCGGAAATTTATATAACGAATAAATCAACCCCAGATTTTGAAGTACGGAATAAGGGTAAGCGAAGCGGAATAATATATGTATGCAAATCCCTTCGAAAGCTATTGGAAATTAAGAAATGAAGGACTGCTTGATTTATTTTACGAAGGGGACTACTTCGGTGGAATAAACTACAATGTGATCCTGAGGGCAAGATTATCATGGTGTGAGCATACAGGCCGTACAACAGGCCATTCAACGAACCTTCTAACTTGTGGAAGCCTTCAGCCAGTTGCGAAGGTTTGGCCCCATAACTATATTCTCGACAGAACATATGCTTCGGAATCATGCTTTGTGCGGACGAGTCGGGTGCGGATGGGTGAGGACGGAAATAGAACACGGGTAGTGCTAATTTCGGCATGAACCCTAGGTAGGTGTTTGTTTCATCCTTCAAGGAGCGAGGCGTTAGTATGTGGAAGCCATTACCTTTTTCAGATTAGCATTATGATTACTATGCGTATATTATTCAGGATGAAGAGGAATAAAGTTCGCGCGATATTAATGGAGAATCTCCTCTAGCTCCTCCAGGGCTTAGCGGGAAGAGAAATCTGCTTCGCAGCGCGAGCGCTAAAGCGTCACATATACTCCGGCAGGATAGGCCGGCGAAGAGGAAGCAGGCGTCGCAGCTACTCCGACCGGCAGGGTACACTATGGAGAAGGAGGCCCGGGGCTCCGAGTGGATGAGTGAGGAAAAGGAGGTCCCGGCTGCCCTCCTCGGCCACTGGAGGAAGAGATGGCTCACCGGAGCAGAGCATCACGATCGCCAGCGACGCGCTATCGCTGAGGAACCGGAGGGCCCTTCGATGCAGATACCGAAAGGGGGCAAGTATTTCGGCCTGAACCGACTGGAGGCGTCTACGCTGTGCCAGATCAGGACGGAAAAAATAGGACTAGCAGCCTTCTTATTCAAGACAGGGGCTTTTGGCGTGTACTCGCC